TATGCTTTATAGTTATCTATAGTAATTTATAATACTTTATAGTGCTCTATATATTTATAATACTAATTATAATTTATAACCTATAAGCTATATTCTTATAAAAATAAAAACTTAAAAACTAATTATAAATAGCTAGAAAAAGTTAGTATTATTTTAAATAGTTATATATAAAATTAAAATACCTTATTTATTGCCTTTTACCTTTTTAGATTTAAACTTACTTTTACCTTTAGACTTCTTTTTTTTCTTATAGTTAATAACCTTATAGAAAAATTAAAAAAGTCTATAATATTCCTTTTTAATAAAGTCCTTTAATATATCTATAAGGTCTTTTTTACTATTAAATAAAAAGCTATTATTATTATTAATAATAGAGATAGTATTAAATATAGCCTTATACTTCTTAAGAATTATTATTAAATAAGTTAATATAGAGATATATAAGGCATTATAAGTATATATCTTTAATATAGCTATAGTTTAATTTTAAATAGTTCTAAAGGCAATTAATATAGCCTTTAAATAGAGTTATAATATAATAATAGGTAAAAGCACTATTATTAAATATATACTTATTATATAAAAGCAATTTAGGTATTATAAATCTATATAAATAGTAAAGTATAGTATTAATATTCTATAATAAGAATTTAAGTATATATTTAGCCTTAATATTCTTACCTTTTTTTTTATATAAAAAAAGTAAGTTAGGCTTTTTAAAAAGCTATATAAGTTAGTATAATATAATATAAAATAGAAAGTAATTAAATATCTTACTTTATTTTTATTAAACTTTATATATATAAGGCTTTTATAGAAATAATTTTTTAATATATTTATATATATTTAAATAGTTAACTATAGGTTTATAAAAAGGCATTTAGCCTTATAGTTAAAGGTAAGGGTAAGAATCTTATTAACCTCTTTAGCTAAATACTTAAAAGTATAGTTATTAAAGTTATATTATAAAGCTTTCTTTATAGCTTTATAGTCTTTATTATTATTATATTTAAAGATATATAGTTAATATTTAAGTTACTTCTTCTTAATAATATAATCCTCTTTAAGAGCTTTATTATCTATTTCCTTTTTAATATAAGTAAGTATTTCTATAAGCTTATTATAATATTACTTTAATTTAATATATTTTACTTTAAATTTTTTAGCAGTAATATAGACTTTTTTAGCCTTTTTCTTTTAAGTAATAATATAGTTAGCTTTAAGCTTTTTTTTAAAGGTAATATATTTCTTTTTAGTCTTTTTAATAATAATATAATTAACTTTAGCTTTTTTAATAGTAATATATTTAACTTTAGCTTTCTCTATAGTAATATATTTAGCTTTAATTTCCTCTATAAGATAGGCTTTATAGGCTAAGTACTTCCTTTTAGCCTTTATAGTTTTATAGAAAGGTATAATATTATAAAATTATATAGATCTTTATAATATTTAAATAGATCCTTTAATTAAATATTAGCCTTAAGTTACTTATATAATATATTAAAATATAAAAAATAAAAAATAAAAAAGATATAAAAATAAAGCCTTTAATTATATAACCTTAATTAATATAATATAAAGGTATAAAAGGGTATAAAGGTAAGATAAAGAAAGGGTTAATATAGGCTAAAGTTTAGTATTTTAGTAGTCTGGCTTTAAGTATAAAATTAAAGGGGAAATATACTTTAAATTACTTTAAAGTAAAATAAAAATAAAGCTCTAAAGTATATAAATTTAATAAGGTATATAATAGGTTATAAAGGGTAATTATAGATAGATATAATATACTAAAAATAGGGATTTTTTACTTTATAAAGTATAATAGATTTAGGGAATAAAAATAAAGCTAAACTTAAGATTAATAATAACTATTATAAAGTTATATAAAGCTATATAACCTTTTTAAGTAAGGGGCTATAATTAGCTAGACCTATATTTACCTTATTTATATTAAATTATAAGGAATATTAACTATAGCACTATATAGTATAGGGTTGGCCTATTAAGAGATAAATTTTAGTATAGATATCGATTTGGCCTTCTGTAGTTGACGGCTAACGGGCAAATATCGGGAAAAGTATGGAATATTAATGTTCTGGACTGAGGTTCAGCAGGGAAATGGCATGATTGACGCGTTTAAGCAGCGTCAGGAGGTTTGTAATGAATGGTCTAGATGTTGCATGTGTGGCCGCCACCGGACAGCTGTCTGCAGAATGTTGATTGTATGGTTGCGATGTAGTAGGTAAGCTATCTTAACGTTGGGCCTCACAGAAAAGCTTGTCTTGTCATTATCGGTTCAATGTATTATCATGTTTGGAACCAGCATAGCATGCTTTGGGACACCTTTATACACAATAGCATAATGCTTATTCAACAGGAATTTTGATTCAATAGTTCTGAATAATGCCATTATTTATGAGATCACTTATTAGCTTCCATCTCAGTCCACCTCTTCCTCAACACCTGCACAGCGCTCTTTGGTCTCCGATCCTGCGTAAATACTCCTTTCTTGTTACCATCAACTCTAAAGATAAAGGTAGATGGAGTCTGGAAATCCGCGAAATTCTAGACTTGCTCTCTAACTACACTCTCCACCTTGTTAAATACTTGATGTGACATTTTCAGGACTTGGCTTTGGTATTCCTCACTTTAAGGTGTATCTCCAACTGTATGCAATCCAGTAAGAGTATCAGCACCATACTCTGTTATAATGATGGGTTTGTTGTATTTGCTCTCCCAGCCCTGCAAGCATTCCTCTAGGCCTTGCTCTGCTTCCTTAAGGTCGCCAGTATTGAGATACTAGCTGTAGTACCTGTTAAGGCAAATTACATCAAAAAGATCTGTAATGAGATCAGTGTGAATATTGGCTTGATTCTTGTTGGCAAAGCAAATAGGCCGTGTCGGATCCAGTTCGCGGTTTAGTTTGACAAGTGGCTCTATATACTCTCTCACACCAGGCTTACTGGCTGCAGGCTTATTTGCAATCGTCTATATGATAACACTTGGGTGATTCTTATCGCGGGCAACAAGCTTACGTATAGCTTGAGCGTGTGCGGTGCGTGTTTTATCGTTTATCGTTTCTGGTGAGAAGGTCGGTATCGGCTTGTGCCTAAAGAGACCAGCGACAATGGTGAGGTTGAGGCCAACTGCAGCTGTCTCATTGATGACAACGATTCCGTGACGATCTGCATAATCTAGGACCTCTTCTGTGTATGGGTAATAGGAAGTTCTGAAAGAGTTGGCTTCTATCTACTTTATCAGTTAAAAATCGTGAACTATATAGGCTGGGTCATGGCCTTTGCCTCGGATTGATGTATCTTCGTGTTTACTAAATCCTGTAAAGTAGAATGGCTTTCTATTGATAAGAAATTTGTTTCCTGAGACCTCGACTGTTCTTATTCTAACCGGTAGTTTGTAAGTGTCTACTATTGTGTTCCGGGAGAAAACTTGTGCGCGAAGTTGGTAGAGATATGCTGCTCCCGGTTGCCAAAGGTGAACCGATTTAATGATCAAAGAGCCATTCAATTCACAAGAGTGACTGACGGGGCATTCATCCTCGTCCAGGAGTGTCACCTTGACTGAGTGGTGGTCGAGAGGGATACTGGTAGCGATGTTGAAGTCCACGATACCAGTAGACCCCTCCACTTTGGTGACAACTGTGATGTCCTTGACAGAGATACTGGGCAAAGTGAACAACCATACAGATCTTGCAAGCCCTGCGTAGTTGAAAAAGTCATGCTGATAATGTTGCTTTCGCTTGCCATTCTTGAGTGTCTCTATCCTTCCTGGTGGAATAGTATGCCAGTCAAGTTCATTGTTGACCGCCACGGTAAGTCGAACTTGCTTGCCAGGCTAGACAAAGTCAGAGATGTCCACCTCGAATGGAGTGTAGCCCCCAATATGTTCAGCTACGAATTGATCGTCGATGTACACGCGCCCCCGATGAGTGGCAGCGTCAAAGCGCAGAAAGTAAGGACGTTGAGACCAGCTAAGCGGGATGGTGAAGCGCCTTTGATAGTAGACCCAGCCAACATGATTGCGAATACTGGAGTCAACGAAAATGTCGTTGTAGCTGGCGGGAACAGGAACTTGGAGCTTTGGCGGTATGTTCCGTTCCCAAGCTCTTTCATCGTCAATGTCGACTGATTGGGAGACTGCAAAGTTCCAGACACCGTCTAATGAGACAAGTTCTCGAGAAGCGTTAGCCTGCGGTTTGAGCATAGTGAAGGTTCGTGCTCAGAGAAGAGTTGATGTAGCTGGACTATCTTGATGAGACTAGAATACGCCAATTATTGGATAAGGAGGGAACATGCTGGTGATAGGGCCTCGAAACGGACCTTTCTCTTCCAATTAAGGATAAAGCCCTTCGGAGTAAACAGCCGTCAGTCGCACAGGTATCCGATAAAATGTCCCCAGTTTCACTATGGAACTGCAACCCGGCAATGTCACCTCTAAACAAGAAGATCAATAGCCCTGATTTGAGAGTCCATGCCAGCAAGAGTGTGCACAAGAGCTACCCTGGAAAGCCGGGTATAGCCTCGGTGGAAGCATCGGCCGATGGATACGCGAGAGCCGTGCCCAATGTGTTCTAGCGCAGAGTCATGCTCCCCTGTCACAACCCTCGTGACAGCATTCCACTGTGACAACCACCAATCATCATCGCCGAAGGTGAGCTACCGAGTCGGTTTGCGGGGTAATGCAACTGGTAAATGAATCGCTCAGAGACCACCACTCAAATTTCAGCTAAGCCAGCCATGTTAGCGGCAAGTTCGCCGATGCTAGAAATGATTCGACCTTGTTCCAACTTTCACGTCACTTCCGGACACGATGGAAATGTCGCACGATGACTCCCCCGAAGCCGAGCTCCCATCCTGCAGCGGCTGCCGGAAACGGAAACTCAAGTGTTCCAGACAGAGACCAGCTTGTTCCAACTGTGAGCGATTGGGTGAGTTCACAGCAAAGACCAGGGCCAATGGGCCTATTATTCACGTTGTCCAGGTGCGCCTTGTCTTTATGAGAATCGTCGGACGAAACCAGGTTTGAAAGGTGGTGCTGTCGAGAGCCTCAATCAGCGGTTAGGTATACATCAAGTGAAACCCATGGCTTCATCAGAACGCATACTCATTGAGCACAACAGAAAAGGTCGAAAAAGCATTGTTCGGCTCAGAACATGGCCAAGGTGCACAAGACTCTGAAGGTACAAATCGTGATTTCTCAGGCGGCAGGACAAGTGATAGCAGCCCAACGCCCCTAGAGGCAGTCCTTTCTACTCTTGCCGGCGAGTTGCAGAAGCTGAATCAAAATATTGAGCCGACTCGCAAAAGACAGTATGAATACGATCCCTACAGAAAGGTCTCCGAACTTTTCAAGAGACGGAGGCGAGATGCAGTCTAGGAGCAGCATCAAGCCAGTAATTAAGACACTACCCAGCAGTAAACTCGTCAATATTCATTATGCAGGATCGATATTATCCCAGACTATTTGGAAAAGCTAGTCGAGGCACATTTCGACAACATCCAGCCATGGATACTAATGATAATTATGAGAGGCTTCTATGACCGCATTCAGAAAGACACTGAGCATTGCATGACAATTGTGCTTGAGGTAATGATGATAGCTTCTCTGCGCTATGTCGAGATCAATGGCAACCCACTGGATAATACTTTTATCAATAGTGAGGTGGTAAGGTTACGAAAGTGTGTGATAATGGATGCGATGGAGGGTCTGATGACGGAGAATTTGCAAGCACTTATCATGATTGCATTCACTGAGGTATGTTTTGATTCTTGACTATATTAACACTCCTAATACCAGTTTAGATTGGAAATGGCAACCTGGAAAAGGCCTGGCCTGTTATTGGGTCTTTGATAAGAACAGTTGAGTATATGGGACTTTCCGTTGAATCTGAAGTGTATTAACGCAAGAGAGGGCTATTGTCAGATAGCCTATCACTACTAGAGCCACGAGATTGGCTGGAGGAAGAGGAAAGAAGACGGATCTTCTGGAATGTCTTTATTCTTGATAGAATCTCGTCTATCATCAAAGGGTAAGATCTCTTTGCTCTCTTATAAGTGACATGCCTGACAAATTCAAGATAGAGCCCAGGCATTAATTTAGCCGATGTTTGTCGAAGACTGCCTATATGCGGTGGGAGCTGGTTCCACAACGAGCCAGCGGTGACACCCTACTTCGGAAACTGGGACGAGCTAACAGTGCATAACAGTCACGGGACGAGTCCTTACTCCGTTGGAAGCAATGCTGGTGGTGCAAACGGACCAGCGAGTACCCGTAATATACGGGCTAGAGACAAGGCAACGGGGGATATTTCCAAGATTGGTGCCTTGGCTTATTACATCCAGTCAATCGATTCACTTTGCCAGATATCGAAGAGCTTCCTTTAACCTACCGTGGACTTCTCCACCAGACAGGAGGTATCTCTTTAGCTGACGAAGTTCAAAGAACTCGATCTCCGTTTAGTACAGTAAGTACTGTTCTCTAGGTTGCATGTATTACTGACAAAACCAGCTAGAAGATATATCTGCCTCAGCAATGGAAAGACTCTAGCGTGTCGCGCAAGATAATGCCTGGCGTAATAGACCCCAGCATAACACTAGCTAATGCGACGCACAACACTTCCGTAATCCTCCTCCACAAGCGCATTACATACCCGGACTCTAAGCTTCTCAGCCTAAACCTCCCCAGTCATTTTAATGCCAAGAACTGTCTCAACGCCACCATAGAGACGGCAAATATCACAACCAAGTACCTCGGAGGCTATCCATCAGCTCGTACTGTGCCACCGCAAATAGGAATATGCGCCTACATCAGTGCCAGAACTCTACTGGGTAAGATATCAGAATAGTCATATGACCAGCTCTGACACGGTCTTGCAGTTCACTCTCAATACTACAGAACCCCTTTAGCCAAAGAATTCAAGAATCTGATAGATAATTTGACGGACATGTCCGATCGGTGGACTGGTCTTGAACAGGCAGAAAAAACGGATAAGTCTCCCAACTTCTTTAACCAGCTATTCAACATGCTGCAAGATCAATATGAGGCGTCACAGAGAGCGGCCACAGGCCAGACCATACCACGAGCAATCTCGACCTTTGGAGCTGAAGGACCTATGTTCAATTCGAATCACGCCCATTCCAGCCCAGATGTGCCACAGTCTGTTAACAACTTGACGCGCGGAATGAATCCGGTGCAGTTGAGCAACCACGAATGGCACGTCGACTCGCAGTCACCACATACAATCTCAAAGGATGACCTGTTCACAATATCTCAAACTCTCCTAAACAATGACTTTCTTGAGCTGGATCGTATCGTCAGCTTCGAGGATATGATGGCCGTTGGGAATATGCCACAGTATTATGGCACCAACAGCTACAGCTAGAAAATCAAGATACCACGTTCAGATTAAGCTACTTGCTGACTATGAATTATTCCTGACTTATCGAATGCCATGAACCCAGTACCCTCTCTGCACCCAACATATTCAGCCAAGATATCTGAACCCTTCAAGATAGAGGTTTCCTCCCATAAGTTGATTTGGCCTTTGCCATCACCCATCTCTCCACCAGGTCCATAAACCTCCATCCATCGCTTTCGAAGCTTGACGTGGCCTCTGTGAATTCTGCCAACTCTCTCAAACTTGCTCATGTCCTGCCAGTAAAACAGCTCGATCTTTCTGTTATGGTTCAAGTTAACCGGAGTTCCAGTTTTGAACGTTCCAAAATCCGGGACATGGCCCATTCGTACGTCGAAGAGTCCATTCGCAGTAGTATCCTTTGCTAGGTAGCCCATCCAGCCACTGACTAGCTCATCGAACTCCTCGAACCACAAGGTCTTCTCTTCAGCAGACATTCCCGAGTGGTCTTGTCCTTCGACTAGAAAACAGATGTTTTCTGGTAGGTCGGTGATCATCAACCTTCCTGGACGAATATTTGTTGTTTCTGGAACTCGCGGAGGCATCTCCTCCAACGAAGAGGCTAAATTCTCACCCAGACTCACATCGGGTATACGATGACGAACACAGCCCCAATATCCAATCTTGTCGCAGAATGGTTCCATCTCTCCAACCCCATTCATCCCATTCTTCAACTCAGCAGTGCACGCGTTTTGCACTCGATTGGCAGAAGCTGTAAGGATCTCCCTCCACATGTCTGCGTCTTCTGGGAGCTCATCCCAAAACTGTTTCACGGCAGGCGATGACCACCACTCTGCATGAGCCTCTGGCCACCAATATGAGAGCCAGATCTGGGAACTCAATCCATCAGTGCCTGGTACAGCGATGCGGTCAAGGTGCGCTTGTCCAGTGATGAGCTTGTCGAACTTCTCAATGTGATCCAGCTGCTGAGTGTTTGGGCTTTGGCCCTGGTATTGGATGCCATATATCCCGTAGATGAACTTGTCTCCGGGCTGAAATTTGGCACGGTAAAACATGTTGACGAGATTGACTATGAAGGGACTTGGTGGGTTTTACTTAGAAAGCAGGATGTCGTGCTGCAAAGAATAAAGAAATGGCATTTATCAGAACAGCGATAGGACATCTGTTTATCTTTATAGCAAGGACATGGGATAAATGGCTACGGAAAGTCACCTGATGCACAGCTATAATTTATAATACTTTTGCTCAGCTAGGCTTTACTACACATAAAGCTATTTGGTATAACACCACTAGATAACCCGGATATTGACTACCCGGCTACGACAAAGATCTCATTCCGATATTAACGATACTAATCACCATTAGTCTATCTAGACTTGCTATAGCGCGAATCTCATTCCGAAAAACAGATCAACGAGACAGAATCGAGACACCAACCTGGGGATCAGTCTTTTCAAGATGGCACGTGAGGACGGCACTTAAGATAACAATTCCCTATTGTTGACCCCAGATGATTGTGGAGTACACCGTCGACTCGACTTAGACGAGTCAGGGTGGCAAAGCTTGTTATGAAGCTAAACTGGCTTGGATTTATTGATTACTTGACCACGATTCTGATTGGAGGAGAACTGCCGGAATGAGATAAAAATTTCCATGATTGTGGTTGATTCCGAGATCTGCATGAGATGAGTTGATAGAGTATGGGGTAAACGTGAGTTGATTCCGACATCTGTCGCAAGTGACAGATCCCGGAGCAATAGCTTATCTTGGGCGGGACAAGAGAGGGGTCAATTCTTGCACATAAATACATCTATCAACAGCTCAAACTCATTTGTTGTAATAGTAAGAAAAAAACTCTCATTTTCTCATCGATCTTTTAAAATGCCTTCCAAATGCAAAGTCGCTGCTATTCAGGCCGAACCATGCTGGAACGACCTGAAAGGGAGCATTGCCAAAACGATCGGGCTCATCCAAGAGGCTGCTAGTAAAGGCGCCAACGTGATTGGCTTTCCCGAGATTTTCATCCCTGGCTACCCATGGTAAGTCCAGATCTCTTGGTGCGAAGATGGTCAGCTAATGAGGTATTTCTAGGACAATTTGGGCTAACTCGCCAGTCAGCAACGCTGCCTTCATGAGCGAGTATTTTGCCAATTCCCTTGAGAAGGAGTCTGAGGAGATGGAACAAATCAAAACGGCTGTTCGTGAAGCTGGAGTTTTCATTGTACTTGGATATAGCGAAAGATATCAAGGCACCCTCTACATTTCCCAGGTAGGTCATCTGTTTCTGTCACTGCTTGTGGCTAAAAACTTACCCCTGTATAGTCCTTTATCGATGAGACCGGCACCATTGTTCTTCACCGACGAAAGATCAAGCCAACTCACGTTGAGAGAGCATACTGGGGCGACGGGCAAGCCGATTCCGTCAAGGCCGTTGCCCCCTCCTCATTCGGTAATATCGGTGGTTTGAACTGCTGGGAGCACACCCAGCCTCTGCTACGTTACTACCAATACTCGCAATACCTGGACATCCAAGTATCCAGCTGGCCCCTCTGCTGGGATGCATTGGAGGGCCAACCATGGCCGTATCACCTGACGCCACCAGCTTGCAACAGGTTCTCACAGGTCATGGCGATGGAAGGCGCCTGCTTTGTCTTGGTCTGCTCACAAGTTCTGACAGAGGACAGCAAAGCAAAGACAGGGTTGGAAAAGTTTGACTATGCTAGAGCCCCAGGTGGCGGCTTCAGTATGATCTACGGGCCTGATGGCTCGGAGCTGTGCAAGCCTTTGGGACCAGGGGAAGAGGGCATTCTATATGCTGATGTTGACCTTTCATTCAGGGCCATGATGCAGCAGAATCTCGATCTGATGGGACACTACGCACGGCCCGACTTGTTGAGTCTGAATGTGACGACAGAGACTGCCGTTCCGATCCGTCACAAGTGACACCTCTCTCGTTTGCAAATGGGTTTGGAGCATAAATTTCAGATATCATATACCGCAGAGTATTAGTTGAATAATTTGGGAATCTATTACTATGGTCTTATGACAAAGATAGCTAGAAGAATGTGAAGCTTTCGCAGTTACCAAGAATCTGACTCAGGTTATTGAACAATGAAGGATCAGTATCCACCCAAGTAGTGTCAGCAGGATCAATGTCAAATAAACCAATTGGGATATTCGCCGTAGTTGCAAGACCATTCAGTAATACAGGATCCCCTGTCAAGTTCGTCGCGTGCGCTGCCTCTGGGAGTCCAGAGTTTTGGCCAACTCTCGTTGCCTCTGTACTAGGCTCTGCTCCAAACCCTTCCCCGATTCCGGCATATCTCTGGGATCTCAACTCATCGGTAGCTTTCCGTATGGTTTGTAGCTTATCCCTCAGCCGCCTCGTGATCAGAGACTCTCCCGCTAGTCGGTGAATCAGCTGTGTTGCAGTAACCACATCTTGTAGACAAGACTTGCTCTGGTCGGGGCTGGCATAACAGGTAACAAGAAGCAGAGAAGACAAAGCGGTCTCAAGAAAATGGTTGAAGGTCTTGTGCTGAGCATGGTATATGTCCGTCTCCCTAGCTAGTCTGGCCAGCACTTGAATCGAGTCTCGAGCAACCTGGATCATGACTTGAAAGTTTGATGTATCGATGTTGTGAGATCCGAAGCGACTAGCTGCTTTGCGGAGGATGATTGTTCTCATCTGATTAGCTCGTAGGTAAAGAATTAATCGCAGCTTATAGTCCCCGCGCTTCTCAGTTGCCATATCGAATTTGTCGTCAATGCCTCTGAACTGCAATCGCTGTGGCAGATTTTGCTGCCACTGAAGAACCCGAAATTGCAAATAGTCCTGAGTTGAGCTAGAGTCTTGGAGCCTAGATGCCAACGTGCCGTTGAAGAAGCTTCGAACATCTGACGCTATGCCGCAAAAGGATATCATTTCTTTGAGATAAGCTAGTGAATGGCTGCTGTCGTTCTGTGTCTTCGTTCAGGTCATGTTCTCAGCATCTGGAATTGGGGTCATACCATTGACAATGACGGTCGGTTGATTTCCGAGTCCTGAACTGCAAATGGAAGTCCACTACCAAAGCTCCATCTTCGATCCAAGGTATATAGACTCCAGAAGAAGGTATCTGAAATCCTCTCGGCAGGGGTATCTTCCTCTTGACAGCTTTGCTCGTGTATAAGTCTCACAACGGTGCCAATTAATCTCCACGCTTCTTTCTCACGATCGTTAAGAAAGAAGAAGATACACTGTAGAAGAACAACGGATTAGGACAAGCATAATGAATACGAAGAATCAACTTACAATCAGAGTCAGCAACGTCAAGCCAGCCAAGTCCGGGGATCGTAGATATATCTTGGGAATGGTTGAAACGAAAACCTCTTCAACAACGGGACTCACAATCTCTACAGCCTTGGAGCCCTCAAAACTTGATACAATCGCCAGTACTAGGAAGGCGATGTTTCCAATATCTCCGCCACAGAGACTTCTAGAACGAGGGGAATCGGAATCGGACCGTGTTCGTCCCTCGAGTATCCTATGTCTCAGATGATCAATATCCAGGAATGGATACATCATGCCAACTTCCTCTTCATAAATCGCAAGGACTTGGCACCAAAAGCTATGGTCGAGAGCCTCTAGTGCTCTTCGCGGAGATATGCTTCCCTGGACGAATAAGATTTCCAATTCTCTGGAGACGAAGCCTGAACAGGGATTTGCGCTGGAATTGTTGCTTTGATGGTCGGCTTGGAAAAGCTGACGCTCGGTAAGACGTATAAAATCATCGAAATTGTCATACGTTAATTCCGAACCTGGAGCGTCTAGAGGCCAGCTCTGCGCCAGTGACTCTAGACTTTCCGAGCCATCATCCAGACGTTCTTTCTCCGACTGGGCATTCTCTGGCTCTTGGAGAGGGATCCGCGCCCTGGTACGTGAGGTAAGCCCCAGAATTCAAGATTGCATGGCGACACCTACGATGCACAACGGGAAGATCGATAGCGCGTTGCTCGTGGATAGAGGCATCTCGTGCAGGCTTTACGACATCCGTTACATGGTTGCTCGCCGCTGCATCTGGTCTTGCGCTGTTGACATCTCTCGCTATGTCACATGGTCAGCAGAACCACAGATCTATGACGCGTAGGAGGCACGAACCAAGCAACGGGCGTGTAGCGAGAGCGTCGCTTTTTTTCTGTTACCATAGCGTATGGGCCATTAAATGTAGAGTAATTATTAATGATGCAACCAAGTCATGCATGCAGGAAGAGAATAAAAACCCCGCAATCGCAAATTATTAGAATCTGGAAGTTGAGTTGAAACTATCGATTAAGCGCGATTGCTGATTGGCTGCGCTACGGTCGTTGGGTTGTTGATCCTGAACAAATGTCATCTATATTGGGATGATCATCCAGGGGGGTTATTTCATCAGGATCAGTATGTTTGCGCAAATCTGAATAGCAAGTCAAGAAAAGAGGACACATGCTAGTCCTTATGAAGATGTCTATTACAAGGTAGTCCAGGTGCAGTCGTCTGGCGAGTTGGCCGTCACATGGTGTTAGGATAATTACCCCTTGCCCCCCAAATCAATATCAGCAATGTAGGAGACTGTCTTTCAACTTTCCACTTCGGGACCTGCCTTGTCACCTTCGCAATAAATGTCAAAATGTGTGGTAGCATTGATCAATTTAGCGCCCTTGATATGTTACTTATCAAGTAAGAAAGTGACTAAAGGCAAAAATACTTAATGCAATAACAATACAAGCCCCGTATCCGGCAATAAACTGAACCTTCTCGCTAAACTGGTAAACTTCGGCGCCGATGGATGCATTAATATCCCCATTGTGTGTCGACATTCCAAGCGAAATCGTCGAAATCACAACATCTTGTAGGTATCTCTCAATACCTGCCGCGGAAATGTTGAAATGAGCATTATATCTGTCATCTAATCCAATATACGGGCTCCCCAGTACCTGTGATGCATTGCCTAGGAAGAAAATAACCCCCAGTCCAGGGCCATCTCTACCTGTTGGGTGTTTAGCTTTTAGGGGTAACATAAAGTGAAGGACTGTACTCACTCATCTCTACCTCTCCTTGCAAGGCATGCACTGCAGCCCGGCTGATTCCATATGCTTGGGCATTGGTGAAATTTGCTTCCAAGCTGTCGTTGGCGAGGCGAGGCGTTATGCCGCCACCATAGAAGAAATAATAGAAGAATTGTGTTTGAATCCAAGCGTTTTCCGACCAGACCTCCCTCTCATTTTCAATACGCACATCGATGGACTGAGATGAGTCAAGTGAGTTATTAATATGAAGATTGTATGTCGCCAACTTCATAGAGCAGTCAAGAGTCTTGATACTCCGTGACGTGCAATTCTCTGGTCGAGGGTCAGTGTACCAGCTCATCTTAAAAGAGTTATTGGTGCGGCTGTATGGTTCGTCGGGACTGCTGTCTTTTTCATCTGCCGCTCTGTAGATGATAGAGCAGCCTTCCGACAGAGCATCGCGACGACTATGCTCCTGGCAGTGAAACCGAGGCCCCTCGATAGAGATGTCGTAAACACACGAAGCGCCACAAGGCGAGTCAATCTTGACTGGCCTGCCAGACGATAGCACTTGAGCTGCCAATGCATTCAGACTTGGTCTCAATTGGTTCCTGGAATAGTCAGTTGAGAAATGTCTAACTTGGTGTAAATACTGACATGTAACTGAGGTCCGCATTCATTTCAAAAAACGACTTCTCCACGAAGTCTTGGTAAGTGCCATTTCCGTAATCGCTGATATTGATTGTTGGCACAGCATTCATCGTCAAAGGCACAGAATTCTGAAATTTGACCGTCAGTGCTCCAGGAGGAAATACAGCGGCAAAAGGAATCCCAGCACAAAGAAATCCTACAAGCCACAGCCTCTTAATATGTAGAATATGAGCTAGTACCCTGGGCCGAAACAGATTCCATGGGCTGGAAGCAAGAGTATGGAGCTTAGTGTCCTGACTATAGAAGGATTTCTGTCTGAGAAACCTCGCCAGGATCTGATTGTATGCCACTCCGAGACCTCCAAGCAGGGAGACTTCAACAAAAATGTCCAATATATTGGCTAACGCCGTTGAGAGTCCCTGGCCAATCGTTGTATTAACTGGACGGTTATTCAAGACGGCGAAAAACGCGGCATGGATGCCCATGAAGCAAACGGCTGTGACGTATCAAGTAATGTTCAGTGCTGAGCAAGAAGTCAGCAGAGGAATAGCACTAACCAACAAAATAGAAAATGAAGATTGGCCTCACGGCTCCGGTCGGCCTCTTGTGTGTTGCTGGATTATGTCCTCGTGAAGATCTACCTGCTGTTGTCTGAACTGCCATTTTTCTGGACTGCATCCAATTGATTCTCTGTGGAGGATTGTATCTTTTACTAATCCTAGGGGGAGCTTGCAAAACGAGAAGTTGGATAGATCTAGTTGACAGCCAGTGGCTACTTATGTTGGTGAGATGGAGGAGATTTCGACGCCTTATTAAATACGCCGGTCTCGACCAGCAATTTCTTACATGTGAAAATCCTCCCGGCGCCTATTCTCTCTGTATAATTGGTAGCCTGATTCTTCCTGGAGTCTGAAATGTGAAACACTATGATACAAATAGTGGGCATTAGGGAGCTAGGAGTGCGACTGAATCAACGCGGCACTGAGGAATAGCAAGGCAAGCAAGAGGACAGAGAGGGCACATGGCAGTCCTTGTGAAGACATTCTAGGTGCCTTAGTGCGAATGGTTGGCTGCCACACGGTGTTAGGATAACTACTTCCCCTATAGCAACACCGATAACCTGAGAGACTGCCTTTCAGTTTTCCACTTTAGGACCTGACTTGCTACCCTTTCCATAAAGACTCTTGGTTTGAGCTCAAGGCGGCGAACGGGCCCCGTCGAGCAGCGGATGATTGGAGCCTATGGGGAGGGATGAAATTGAGTTAATGGGCAGCCGACAGCAGCTGAAAGACGCCTCCAAGCCTAGAACAGGCCTCTGCAGAAATGGCTTCCAGCCTCTCAATAATGGCTAACCATCCCAGCCAATACCATCGATCATAGCGGAGGCCGGCGCCACAACTGGGCGTCTATCTGAACCAAGTTGACCCTCCTTGCCCTAGAAGGCCATTGTCTCACTCTCCCCTTTACAAGAGGGCTGACCTTGGCAACAGGTTGTAAATGGTGCAGTCTTCTCTCAGCCGCAGGCTAACGGAGCGCCACTGCACATCTCCAACAACAAACCCTGTCAGCTGTTTCAAACCCCACGAGAGACCAAATATTTTAGGGGGCAGTGCCTCCTCTGTTGTCTCACAGTCTCATCTGCTCAAGAGCACTTTGTTTTATCCCCCCCTAATACTCTGAAGGTGTCTCCACATTGAGTAAAAGAAGATCTTTTGACATTGACAATTTATTGATCTTTTGACCGCCAGCACGCTTTTATAACTATGGCAGAAATTCGGCCTACAGAGGTCGCAGTTGCACCCGCGTTTGATGCGGCTGGCCCGGCTGTGACTGCTCCTGCGACGCTTCATCAGCGCGATCTTTTCGGTCGCCAAAACAACTACGGTTCCTGTGGCTACTATTCTCTCGTGGGCAGCGGTTTGTCTTGTTAATTATCATGTTGAGCCTCCAATGATCTAATACTGTCACATAGATTGGGCTACCTGGAAATGTGGCGAAGAGAATGCCTGGACTACGACTTGCAAAACCATCGGCTCACACTTTGGTTGCTTCGAGAATATCTTCACGACGTGCTATCCCCGCGCATCTAGCTGTGATAGCACAGACCCGCGTGCCCTTTGTTGGTTCGTCTGTTGTGGCCCAAATGATTGCAAAGGTTTGGCTAATGTGTGAATTCAGCACCGGGGTCGTTAATGTGGACTATCCCTATTGTGCGACAGGCATCAAGGTCCTGGAAGACGGCGACGAGCTTTCTATATATCTTTGTGGAAAGTCCGAACAACAGGTTCCCTTCTACGAATCAACCGTTATCAAGGTAACAACGGGTAGTACGACTGGAGAGCAAACCATTACCAGTATTGATACCACCAAGGGCTTCATTGCCACAAAGACAGCTGAGCCTGAACCGAGCAACCCTACCCCAGTTGGAGCCATCGTTGGAGGCGTTATCGGCGGTGTCGCACTGATCGCCGTCTTGGGGCTGGCCTTTTGGTTCCTTCGAAGCAAGAAGCCGCAGAACAACGAGGTTGCCGCGGCACCTGCACCTGCACCTGCACCTGCACCTGCGCCTGGAATCCCCCCTCAACAATACCAACAGCAGATGAGCCACCAACAAGATGTGCCTCCTCCGGTCATCTACGACTACAACAACAACACTTACGCCAGCTATCCAGCTCAGGGCTCCCCGCCTCCCCCCAGCGATCCAAGATACAGCCAAATGTTCGTGGACGGCGCAGGTTCTCCGCATCAGAGTCCTCCCATCGAGCCTTACAAGACGGTTGTATCACCTGTTTCCGAACTTCCTATCGCTTCCTCCCCTCACGATAACTCGCCCATGTCTGAATTACCCGCTGAGATGGCGAATTCGAGGAACTCAATGCCAAGGTAAAACAACCACAGGAGAATCATGACTAATTGGGGAAATACTGGAGATAAGGAGAAGGGTAAATAAGACTGGATCAGATTATTAAACTAATGGGGGACTTGAAGTAAGCTAACATAATTACATGGTGAACGTCCTAGTTGACGGTCTCAGGGTTATAATGAGTGAATGTTTGGATGTTAATATTTTTCTATTTTTTATATAATCTCTTATTACTTCAGAGCACCTTTACTGCGTTGCCCTGCTTGACTACTCACCAATTAATGGCGACCTTTGATTGGCTAATCTGGCTACCCATGGTACAAGGCATTAGGTTGTTGCATCGGGAACAAAGCTGACATCTCTAGCGCCTAGTGCTGCCATGCTGATGCAGTGGGAACATATATCGTCAAGACCACCATGCTCATGTTCAGAAACAGATAGACAATATAACAGTGAGAAATTCATGTTCTACTGATAACATACGCTATTTGCTATAATCTATTTGCCGAAGTACTTGAGTTCCAAGTATCGAGCAATTGGGTACACAATCGCGGTGACCACAAAGGTCAACTCATTTGCAACGTCACCTCCATATGTTCCGATCAGCTTACCAAGTGGCCCAGTGAACCAGGTCTCTACCATTCCCATGCACCACGCAACAACACCCAAGAGGAAGGCAACAGAGGCAGCGATGCCATGTGGCAGCCTCTCCCGAGTGTTCCAGCCCTCAAGGTCGTAGTTTGCAAAGTCACGCTTGCGGAAGATGGTGTGTTCCTCGAAAAGGATGACGAAATAGCTTGTGCACCAGTAACCCAGGAGACTCAGAAAGTCCTGTAGATATGTGTTGAGCTTTTGACGACCAACGATAGCCAGAATTATGACAATTACGAAATTGCCGAGGGTCCAGATGAAGCGAGGAACTTTGGCACACGGGGTGGCCATCTGTTGGAACGAAATGGCTGATGAGTAGAGAGACATGATGTTGGTGTTGATGCCGCTGAAAGATAGCAGAACGAGAAGTAGCTTGGCGAAGCCTCGGGGATGTAGCATGTCTCTGATGAGGAAGCCAAGACCCTGGTGAGGATCCTCGTAGGCGGTCTTCCAAGCTTCGACATTGTTTAGTGAGCTGGCAACCGTAGCTCCTGCAGTCATACCGATCGCTGTAGGGATACCAATACCGGCAGTAGTCAACAGCCAAACTTTAAGCCGCGATGTATTGGCTGGGTAGTGTGCATAGTAGTCCGAAGCCATAGTCGCCCATGATGCGGAGCTGCCGTAAACAATGGCAATCAGCGAAAGCACATTGCCCGAGAGATCTAAGCCTGAACTAGAGGCAGGGGTCTTGTTGTCGGAGTGCGGTCCCACCATGCCGAAGATGATCATAAATACGATGAAGTAGATACACCAGGCATATCGCTCATAGATCAGGATGTATTTGAGACCCAGAAAGCTGATGGCGAGCGAAACGATGGCGATGATAATAACACCGACGACAAGGGATATATGCCCGTCAGCAACAGCCGTAAGAGCCAGGCCACCGCTGATGGTGGCAACAGAGGCCCAACCCAACTGTTCAATACCATTGAGGAAAGCAATGATCTTGTTGGGATACCACCCGAAGCTGTAGCGAGAGACGGAAACCTGACGTAGTCCGGTTGCAGCACCAAAGGTAGCGCAGTATGAAGATACCGAGCCACCAAGGATAGACGCAAAGATATAAATCAGCAGGCTCTGCTTCAAGCTCAGGCCAAACTCCCAGCCCAAGAACCCAGTGGCGAAGCAGCTGATGCCCATAGTACCCGAGGCCCAGATCAGAGCCATGTTGAGCTCCTCGTGCCATGGCACGGGTCGTTTGTCCTCTTCTGTTTTGCGTACGATAGCCTCTGACTCGACGCCGAGAGCCTTGTCCATACGAGCCTCGAAGCGGCGGAGGCTTGCCAAGACGCCGTGTCCGTAGTCGGCTGATGAAGTGTAGGCTTCGGCGGCCGGAATGTCGCCACTGCCTGACTCGAGGGACAGCTCGTGGTCCCCGCCCTTGAGCTTCTCATTGTAGGAAGCCATGCCGATCTGAGCCCTTGGCGTTGTAGGAGCCTGGATAGTAGAGATGGGCTACAGCTAGAGACGTACGTGGGTGAGAGGTGAGAAAGACACAGGCCACGCAGTAAAAAGGGACGTCGAGAGAGGCAAAACGAGCAGGCTCTCATACTCTATTTCTAGATCCTGCAAACCCCACATTGGTCCGCACAATTGAGGGTTCGACCGATAGCAGTTGCCGCTTCTCCCGTGCCCACCTAGTTATCGCACTCATTCGTGGGGTACGATACCACTGGCCTTCCCAATTTACTGTCACATCAAGCCTGTAATTGGTCATCGTCAGACCCTCCCAACGGCGATAAGCGACACTTATCAGTCCTGGACCAGGATGTCGTGTGCGATGGCGCGTGTAACTCACGAGCAGTGTGTCCGAGATGTCGTACACGCTAGAAGCTCAGGAACGTCGGCATTGGCTGCAGCCACTTAGATGCCTGTCAGATCCGTTGCCCGATGGGGCTACTTATCAATGACCCGCTGAGAATCCGGCTACCACGGCATCGGAATAGGTGCCGTGGAGAATTAGACAAGGGACTTTTTAACCTGCTTCCTGATGCGGGATGGTTTTTACTCCACCTGGGAGCTGGAACAAATTTCTGTATCGTTTTGTTTATGGCCACTTGGGCCAGCAATTCGAGATATTCGGGACTAAGGTTAGATAGCGGAGATGGCCGCCAAGGTCTAGAATCAGCGCTGAATTACCCCAGAGCTGTATTAACTGACTAAAACCCTATCAGATTAATTCACATTACTCATCCAGTCAGAAGATTCAAATTAAATGCCTAGTGAAGCCATCAGCATTTCTCCCTTCTGCTTTTACAGTGTCCATTAAGCCCTTCATTTATATGACATTTTGAATTCTCTAATTCTAGGGCATTTGCAAGTTTGGAACCTATTAAGCTGACATAACAAGTATAGATATCTGTTAAACTCAACTTTCTTAAAAGTCTAAGAATATCATTTTTCAACCATTCTTTAATCGTTGGATGCGAGAACTCATAGCCCCTAACGTGTCTTTGTTTCCTTACAATTAAATTGATTGTCCAACCTTCCTCATAAATCGCGAGTGTGGAAGTAGGCGAAGCTGAGGCTGCAGATATTTGCGCCCATGTATATTAGATCAAGAAGCTGCCAAGTCAGTACTTCTATATTGGCTTCCCCAAATTCCGCACAATATCGATGTAGGGTAAGCTACTTAAGTTGACTTCTCCAGGATCGGCCTACCTTAGCCTAAAATTTCTTAACCCCTGTCTTCTGTCTCATTGGGTAACAAAGTCGTGTGACTTTCTTGGCCATGGTCCCTAACGATAGCTTCCCTATGATCACTTGATCACAATGTCTCCTCCATCATCGTGTGTTTGATCCTCATCCATGCTCTACGGCTTTACTTCCTTTTTAATACCCATCCCCAGGGTAAATACAGTCCTATCAACATTCCCGTAGTTTGGTTACATCAATTAACCTCAGGCTGATCCACCATTCAATCCCGACGTCATCGATACCCCGCGTTTTGCGATGGCGTCCATCCGCCTCCTCGCCACCGTAACGCTCCTCGTCGTCATCGCTTCAGCCCAGCAATGCAACTTCAAGACCCTCAAAACATCCTATCCAGCACCTGCTACCGACGACAACTGGAACTACAGTATCATTGCCAATGAACTCAGACGACCTCGAGGTATTTTATTCGATAGCGAGGGTGCTCTCATTGTTATAGACTCTGGAAATGGTATAATCCATTTCGAACTCGATGATGAAGGAGGAACCTGCTTGCAAGTCAAGAAGAAGACCACTCTGCTAAAGAAGAATAATGTAAGAAACTCATTTCCCGAACCCTTTATCCTTCGACCATCAACTAAATGATCTACTGTACAGCTTAACCATGGCATCGCCCTCTCTAAAGATGGACGAACAATCTATGCTTCATCATCCGATGAGGTCTTTGCATGGTCCTATGACCCATCCAAAGTCACCCTCAGCAGCTCTTCTGTCAAGACTCTGGTCTCCAATATGACCAACGGAGGCCACACCTCACGAACCTTACTGATCTCGCAGAAACATCCAGACATGTTGCTCGTGTCCCGCGGCAGCGATGGAAACGATGACGCAGGTGCTGAAGATCGTGACTCAGGCCGCTCTCAGATTCGCGCCTTCAACATCTCATCATTCAGCAGCAATTCCGATAAGAAACCCTACGATTACCTAGACGGCGAGATTATCGGCTGGGGTCTGCGCAATTCCGTCGGCGTAGCAGAGCATCCAGAGACAGGCGGCATCTTCAGTGTCGAGAATTCAGCCGATGAACTACATCGTGACGGCAAAGACATCCACAAGGACAACCCAGGCGAGGAGATGAACTTCCACGGCTATCTCAATGGCTCTGATGATCAGGGTGGCAACTACGGCTACCCTCTTTGCTATACCCTCTGGTCTACAGATGGCTTCCCCAATCTCGGCGATCTCAAGATAGGCGATCAATTTCCAGCTGATCGTCAGGCGGATGGTGATGATGCTAAAGCCCTTACTGACGAGGAATGTAAGTCCGACTATGTTGCTCCAGTACTAGCGTTCCAAGCGCATACCGCGCCTCTAGATCTGAAGTTCGATGAGAATGGTACAAAGGCCTATGTATCTTTTCACGGAAGCTGTAAGATATCCTCCCTACCGTAGAACCCAGTTCACAGCTGACGTCCTTAGGGAACCGTAACCCGCCAGTCGGCTACCAAGTCTCGTACGTAGATTTCCAAGACGGCCAACCTGCATCTTCTTCACGAAGTACAAACGCCACTACACCCATAATTTACAACAAAGATATTACAAAATGTCCGGATGACTGCTTCCGCCCCGTTGGCCTGGCATGGGACTCCAAGGGTAGATTGTGGTTCAGTTCGGACAAGACGGGCGAGATCTTTGTGTTGAATCACAAGAGTGGATCGGGCTCAAGTGGAGGGAATGGATCAGAATCCGGTGCTGGCAATGGCGACGATGATAATGATTCCGCCTCTCTACAGCCTGGATCGGCTGCTTTCATCATAACTATTGCCGCTTTGATTGTAGGAGGCTTACTTGCATGATGCTTCTAAGCGACGGGACTTTATAAAATTGAAAATTGATACTGGCTGAAATCTATAAAACATGTGTACACCATAATGTTACATCTTCTAGTCTACGTTGTACATCAGAAGAAAAATGTTGTTGGTCTCGAGCCAGGTTTCCTCATTCGAATTCAATGATAATCTCAGGAGCGCCCTCAAACTCAGCAGGCATTGTGTGGACAAAAGTCCAATGATTGTGATCGTAAATCGGGCTTCCTGAACCGCCATATCGACCAGCGAATGTGATCTGTGGCTCGGGATTTGCATTTCCAGACACAGATATCGAGATGCCTTGAATATCAGCCCACGACTGGACATCCCTCTTCGCAAGTGAGGGAGACGCCACAAAAGTAAACACTGAACTGCTCGTCCCTTCAGGATAAGTGACTTTCAGTTTCTTTGGCGAGACTTCCATCAGGACGTGGGCCTCGGTAGGACGGAGCTGTATGTTGCATTAGTAAAAGCAGGAGTGAATATTGAAGCCGTGTTAACTTACGCTGAGCCATCCGATGTTATCATCTTCATAGGACCAATGTGCAACAGCGGGATGGAACTGGGCCTTGTTATTCGACGGTCCGTTTGCGCTCTTTGTTCGATACGACTGTGCTCCGATCATGAGCGACTCGCTAAGCCACGTCGTGATATTGCGGGTATCAAGATCGTAGGGCGGATAGTAAGCCTTCCCTTCATATGTCCTCTCTCCGTCAAATGTCTTCAGTGACTCCTTGAGATCATCCGAAAGCAACGAGTTGTGGAATTCCGAGTGGACGGCAATGAGTGGTGCCCAAGCCCAGTCACGGGCATGGCTCATGACCTCCGGGTACTGCCATAGACCTGACTCTTTCCTCCCGATGATGGGCGCGAGAAAGTGAGATAGAATGCCGAGAGACTTGGTCATATCGAAGGTATATGCGCGGTCCCATGGACCAGCGAGGTTCCGCATGCTCGGATTCCACAGTTGCGATGTGTAATTCCAGACACCACGCAAGAGATCTGGGCCTCTCTTGGAGAGAATACTATCCTCATCGCCATACTTGCACCAAAGCGTAAGGCCAAAGAGTGAAATGCCGGTATAAGTCGCCGAGTTGAATTCAGAAAGTGTATCATGCAAGTCAAAGAGGTTAACAATCTCTTTCGCATAATCCTCTCCAGCCTGTGTCATATTGTCATCGCCAACTTGGCGACCAGTCCAGCTTGTCCCGATCGCGCGCATGATTGCAGGGTTGCTGTACGATGGATAGAGATTATCTCCGTTGACACCACCCACGCGGTACGAGTCGCCAATACTGCAGTTATATAGACTGTCCAGCATAAGCCCCTTCAAATCGTCAGATAACAGATCGCCGAACTCTTCGTATATCGTGATGAAGCTGAGACCCACAAAACCTCGCCAATTGGGGTCCCACGATCCGTACATTTTGGCAGGGTACCATGCTGTTCCAACCGTTGGCTCCTCTGGTTCTCGCGTATAGTCGCCATACCACAAATCTTTGGGATTGTCGTGCTGGTCCTTGATAACATATCTTATGACATCCTCAGCCCTTGAGGCATCGCCGTCGCCGTTCCGTGCAAGAAGCCCGACCGCATACCACGTAGAGGCCAGTGTCTCGTGGTTCATTGCGGCGTTGGAGTTGAGGTCGTACAGCTGTGAGATCTTGGGGTCGTAGAACCTATCCATCCACTCCATAGAGTCTTCAACCATTGCTTTCGCCTCTCCTGATAGTGCCCATGATTGTGCAACATACTGCGTAATAACGCCGAGGAGACAAGTATGCAACCCAACAGAGAGTTTCATATTGGCTCCGAAGATTGGAAAGGATCAAAATGTTTCCTTTAGCTGATCTGTTCAAGAAGGTGATGAATGTCAATAATTGTCAGCTACCGAGAGAAAATGTTATCTGAACAGTCACAAAAGTATGGAGCAGACATTGCATATTTGTATCAAGTCTTCTGGCCGATTGGCAATTGAATCAAGCGCGTATCTTGCGGTTCTATGTCTTCGTCTCCTATCCGAATTCTGTCTGAAAAGCAAAGCCAGCTGCTATTAATTTCACGTGAGCCAATAAGGGGTTGTCACTCGACGCTGTAGTATGAGTTCATGCAGGTAAAACAGTAGTCAGGAGATTTCGACTTGGCCTACATAGCTCCGTGACCAGTGCATTCTGTATCGATCCCTTAGGAAATGAGCTTCCACTTAAAGCGAAACCTTTTGGTTAAGGAGGGTTAATAATTAGCAGTGGTATAGCACTGGGGATAGCTGGTGCTTTGAAACCGGCTTTGTTTCCGATGCCCAATAGACCCCATGATAAGATGTGATAGGCCAGTGCAACAGATATATCCTCATTGATAGGAACCCTGGAGCTTGTGATGCCGGGTCCTGGCTGATCTCCCTAAGCACGTGGCGAATAGCAGCAGGGACTTTTCTCCTTCACGGGGAAGTTTTGTCGCGGAAAATAGAGTCATTTATCATTTGTTTCATGACACCTAGTTTGGATACTCACGCGGCGCGTAACGGGTCCTTTTGTTCGGGCCGCATGAAATTCGGAAATAAATCGTTTTGATCAATGCATGGCTTAATCACGAAGCGCCTACCCCTGACGAGATGCGGGGACTTGTCGATCGAGATTTGAGCGCAACGTTGCATTTCGATCAGACCGTAGAGGTGATCTACAGAGGAGAATGTGACTCGGGCGCACAGGCGCATTCAGGTTTGAACAGCTTAGCTGTAGCCAGCAACGATTGCATGCATTGCCTCGGTCACAACCTTGTCGCGCAGACATGTCGAAGTAGCTGCAACGATACCTTTTGGTGTTGAACTGACTGGCAAGAAAACGATATCGGCAGAGAGACGGCGCACCGTCCGGTTCTTTTGAAATGTCGGACACGATAAAAAGGCGTGCTTTGGTTGTGAACAAGGACGCCTCTAGTAGTCATCTCTTTATTTTCATCTGAATGATACTCTGGGAAGTCATGCTATAGAGGCAGGACATGTCTGCTTTGTCACAAGCCATCACCGCGCCGCACCTAGAAGTACATGAGTCAAATATTTCAATAGTAAATGATCTTAACAGTGGGTTTATCTTTTGACCCTAGTTATATCAACCTGGTGAGTTTAACCACCATGTCGTACCCTCGTGGCATCGACACGGGCCGTTCAAAAGACGGGAGCGGCTCCACATCCCGGCATTGAAGACCACGTTTCAGCCACAGGATCCAATGAATTTGTATTGATTCAGCAATTAACTATGGGCAACCGGTTAATATTGGTATACAACACTAGGAAGTTAACATAATTAACAGGAAAGATAAGATATATATATTTTAGCTAGAGTTTCCCTAAATTCAAGCCGATGGAGGATGAAACGTAGAAATGAATTGTTTCTGGAAATCCCCAAACTTCAGCTTGTAGTGCACCGTGCCAACCACGTCCTGTTCAGTGATATTGGCCATAGCACTGGTAATGACCTTCTTCCCAGCATCAGGAAGCGTAGTTCGGCGCACTTCAACCGTAGTGCCATAATCATTAAACCACTGACGCGCCTCATAAGCTTCATCCTTGCATGCCACAAACGCCCCGGGCTTGGTGCATGGTTCGCCGCACAGCTCCCCGTTCTGCACGCCCTTGCAAACCGTTGAGAAGTCGCCTGGATCGGGGACGGCGTTGTGTCCTTCAATGGTGAACTTCCAATGAATCATCTGGTCCTTGCCGCGAGTTCCAGTATAGTCATTGCTGTGCCAGTCGTTCTTTAGATCTTCTGGGTTGGTGACGACATAGGGTGATGCCCATGCATGGCAAGCGACTACGGTAAGGAGGACGACTTTGGCAAGCATGATTGGTGAAAGGCTGGTGGATTATTAGTATGGGCTTCTTCTTACTTATGTTGCCAGATTGGAACGTTAACTCACATCCGGGATATTGTGGAAAGAGGAAGCACTGGCTACTGCAAGTAGGTTATAAGTGGAGCATATGTCTCTGGAGGTTTAAGAATCAGCAACTACGAAACTGAATGCGGGATTACTTTCTCTTTTGTACTTCCTGGAGGAAGGTTTATACCCCTGTGGTACGAGAAGTTTGTTCCATACAGCCTTGCTCATTGTATGCGCATAATTTTATTTTCCTTGTCTATTAAAAGCTTAATCCATCGGCAGTTTACTATATTGTGCCGTAGATCCGATTACTGGTGTATTAATAGCCTAAAATCGATTCTGTTAATTCATTACTGCATATTGTACAGGCATGCAGAGTAATTGTGTTCTGAAACATGTCGCAAACATTTGACATACCACCGTAGGCCCTTCAGTAGCAGAACTCGGTGTATCCGCGGCTGTAATCGGGATGACCTTTCTTGACTTAGCGGACACATAACATACTTAGAAGACAGACAAAAGAGACCCTCCAGGTTCAAATCCCCGTCTAAAAACTACCAAGCATACCAATCTTTAATTTATTATCTAAATCACTCCTTTCATATTCACTTTACAAGGTCTTAGTAGTGGTGCAAGTTACAAAATCCGAGAATCGGTGGACTTTTTGCACCTTTTCGGCCCTTAGAATTAATTTATTACTAACATGGCTAAAGATGCAGACGCCACTTACGGATGTCGCATTGCAAATCCAATCACAAGCCAGGATGTGTTGGTACTGTATAGGATTTTCGGATGGCGTTGCTTATCTCCGCACATGCCGAAAGCTGCTGTTGTGATATCATACTCTAGATGCTTAGCGCTGTTCTCCAACCCGATCACTGAGGCTGTTGCCGACGAGAGTCGGCCGAAAACGTCTTTGAGAAAAGTATAGAAAAAACACAAATGACCGCGTCAAATAATCCTGGAACTCGAAAAACATCTCAGCTATACATTGCAGTGAACTCTAGAAAAACAATTTTAAATCCCAATTCTTTCAAAGATGTCGTCCACCGAAGCTATCAACAAATTCGTTGAGAGTTACGCCCAGCTCTTCAAAAATGGGCAGCGCTCCCCCATTCTCCGACGCCCGGACCAGTACGGCATGAAATACGAAGACATCTTCTTTCCGTCTCTCGACGGAACCATTCTGCAAGGATGGTTCATCCCCGCAGAAAATTCACAAAAACTCATTATCGCCAACCACCCAATGACTTGCAACCGATACGGGTATCCTGGTCATCTGGAGGGATATGGCGGTTTCGGTGGTTTCGAAGTCAACTTTCTCCCTGACTACAAGAGCCTACACGATGCCGGTTACAACATTATTTGTTACGACCTTCGCAACCATGGCATCAGTGATACTGGCTCCGGCGGTATGTGCGGCGCTTTGGGATATTATGAAGCCCGTGATGTTGTTGGGTCTCTAAAATATGCCCAGTCTCGCCCCGAAACCAAGAACAACAGCATTGGTCTTCTCAGCCGCTGCATGGGTGGAAACGCCACCATCCACGCAATGACACATTTCCCAGAGTACTTCAAGACCATCAAGGCCATGATTCTTCTCCAAGCTGTCTCTGGGCATGCCTTTGTCGAGAAGGGAGCTATTAACTCCGGCCTTGATAAGGAGGCCACAGTCGCCGCCTTTGATAAGCGCATCTATGAGCTTACTGGCTTCAAGTTGGCGGAACTGACTCCGCTGCCTTTGGCAAAGAATGTAACGGTTCCGACCCTTTTTGCTCAGGTTCGCAAAGATTTTCTGATTGATACCTCTGACAGCCAACAAATCTTTGATGCTCTTGGAAGTAAGGAAAAGAAAATGGTCTGGATTGAGGATACTGATAGGCGCTTTGATGGTTATAATTACTTTGCAAAGGAGCCAGCTGAGATGCTTAAGTGGTTTGAGCAGTATGTCTAGGTGGTTCTTTTATCTTTACTAGGGTTAAATTATAAATGTCAAATACCTTGTTGCAATGATTGATGGTTTCTTACACAATACAACAGGCTCTGCTATAGTGTCATACCTACTCATATTGCAAAAGCCTTCTGACTATTTTCAGTTTATGGTTCTAAATATCTGTTGACCTGAAGCTATCCTGGAGTATCCCAGATTCACATCAGGTTCAAATTGCAATGCAAATAATATTACTATACGCCTTGTAACCACTGACTAAACATGTATCGTCTTTCAAATATTATCAGTTTGAGTGATCGATAATGGCCAAGTCCAAATCTTGCCATCTCCACAATTCGGCTAGATTTCCAAGTTCCTCTTCAGATATAGATGCAAAAATAGGTTGCTCTAAGCCCCCGTCATCAAGGCTCGATAAAGATGGGATATTCTTATCCATACTGGACTGGGCCATAAGTGATTGACCAACCATAGATATTTCATGAGCTTGTACCGTGCCATGAGAGGGGTGGTGGCGTTGAGGGCCAAGATTTGGTTGACCTAGTAGATTATGTTCAAGGCCGGCGTTTGATAATCGGGTGACTGAGGCTGTGTACGCTTCATTGTGAGAGTCAACAGAAGGGCTGTTGCTCTGGCAGTTGGAGATGGTGCTGGGTGCAGCACATGCATCCAGCAGAGGCGATGCCGATTTCGAACCAGAGGTTTTCAGACACTTGCGTGGAGGTTCATTGACTTGTGGAATCCTGGGAACCTTGCCCCGAGCCTTGATGCGTAGTCGACGAAGGATCTTATGGTAAAGTTGAAAGTTTGGAGCAATCGTCCTCAAATGCCTGATCATATCTAGAGCCATGTCAAATGAGTCGAGTATCTCTTGACGCCTGGGGGCTGAGCCATCTTTGTCGTGGACCAGAATGCTCGAGTATAAGGCAGCCGTGTCGAAAATTGAAAATATGACGAAGTGGAACTTAGCATCACGAGGCCAGACATGGTTGAAGAACCCACGTAGAGTGTTCATCAACTTCAAAGCGTAGTCTATGCCGTCTGATCTTATTTGGACCTCAGCGTTGGTCGCGGTTTTGGCATCGATGGATGTGGCCAATCGAACACGAAAAGGATCCAGAATCATGGAGTATCCCATCGTGTGAATATAATGGCGGTGGAGCGGAATCCATGGGCAAATAACGTCCTGGCTATAATCCGGATTATTGAGGTCAAATATCGGTGGAAACTTCTCCATCCAGTCTTCCAACATTTTCTGATACTCTTGAATGTCGGCAGACTCAACGACATTTTTGGTAGACCCAAACCGATTGAAAAGCTTTCTAATAAGCTCGGACTGTAATTTCAAGTGTAACAGCGGTGATGGAGTGGTGCCTTCGAGGGTCAGCTCGGGCAGCCCGACCTTGCAACAGGTTCGATCTATCATCAGAGGTCTTGATAGCAGTGCAGACATTTGCCTATCACTTATCAGATATGTTGACTATTTTGCCAGCAGAGTACCTACCAATCCCATGTATCAAGCACACACCAAACTCGTCGGTACATTTCGCGTTCAAAGTCAGACATGTCGAGCTTAGAAGCTTCTTGATGCATACCTGCGAAAATACATTAGCGCTGCCGGTAGGCTACGTGAATTCGAACCATACCAATCTCTTGAGCTTCCCGAATAGCGGCGGATAAGCTATACCAACACTCCGTGAACCGGGCTTCCGACTTGTACCAGTAACACGAGTGTAGCAAGTATTGTACACCATGTAAGTGACCTTTTCTAGGTGGAATGATGCTGTAAAGATCGTTTGAAGCACTGTGGTACCGTTCTGTGAGTGTCTGGGTCTTTTCACCGAGTTCATGCTCAACCTTTCCTTGTAGCTCGATACTTAGATATTGAGCGGAGCATGCGCAAATGACAGTCAGAAGACACGTCCATTGTAACTTAAGGGGGTTTCCTAAGATCCGATCGGCCCACCAGTCCCGGTAATCATCTAGAAAGGTCGAGGGATAGATGATGTAATAGTGAAAGTTGACGTTGTCGAAAAAGTTTTGAACAAGGGTGTCTAAACGTGGGATTTAAAATCCGTCAGGCAATATTCAGACAGTTGCTAGAAACTTACCCATAAATGATCGTGTAGGAAGTACATCCAGAACGTGTTGAAGTTGTGGGCATGACTTAGGATCCATGCGAGGTTGACTCGGCGGTGTCTTCTCTTTCTGGTCTATTATTAGTCGCTCTCCTTTTGCCTTTCCTGTTATGGCTAACGTTGGGGCGGTCTAGCATACTTTCACTTTAATACAAATCTTAGAGACGAAAGACTCTGAGTCGTACCCTAAAACCTGAAGCACTTGTGCCTCATCCATTTCTTCACCAGATTCGTCTTCAATCGTTTCCTCGTGAAATCCAGTATCTATTGGGCGCTTCTTTTGACGTGGACTCTGACGTTCGACGGACCTGAAATGACATTTGCTTGCTACATTCCGTTTTTGGCAGTTATTACAGGGCCAATTACGGTCGCACTGTTGTTGAAATTAGCTGCGTAGCGAATCGATTGAGGCTGGCTGGTCTTGCCTTCTGCTTACGACGCGAACACTCTGTACAGGCGGTGCGGCCGGAATTTGGTTTTCCTGTAGCCTCATTTTCATCTGTACTGAAATTCATGTTCAATAATTACGCGATGATTGGTTGCGGCTGAGGTCGTAAAATGGGGGGAGTAGAGGAGACAGCGGGGTGAGATTGAAATAATAGTGAGTGAGGTTTCAGGTTTAAGCTGTCTAGGCCGAAATGCATAATTAATGAGTTCCGGCGAATAGCCGGAGCGTGCCGAAATAACATTAATCCGACCTATTTCCGTTTCGTGATGTTGACAATAAGAGTAAACAACGCCAATCTTCCCTCTTGAGATATGTAATTAAATTCATTACGATAATATGTATTAACTGATATTTTGAAGGTGGTTTGACGACGATTTAGTAAGACAAACAAGTAACAGCAAGCCAGGCGACTAATATTTGGTGAGCTCCACCTAGTCTCAGACAAACCAAACCCAGTGAGTCTTGCTAAACATAAAAGTCAATAGCTGTAAAGATGTCAATACCTTAGTTACAGAAGCTTTTCCAGGAGTGGCTAGAAGAATTAAAGCAGGGATAAATATTTTGTTGAACAGTTCATGAGTAAAGTTGGGGACATAATAACTAACTGGCCTGTATGTATCAGTTGCATTTGCTGTCTTTCGCCAAGCTCGCTTACTATACGAATAGCCTTTATAGGGCATAAGTTGCAGATAATGAATAATACAGCCGTATTTGTTAGACATACAGACTATTTTCATTTAGCCTGTTGTTTAATTAATTTATCCAGGCGTAGCATTTGAAAAATATGCCGAAAATGGTTTACAATGTGGATAGCAATGTGGATGTATGAAAAGAGAAGCAAGGGAATTATCGTAAGACATGCAATTGAAGGACTCTCTGCACCACGATGAACATATGACTACTGACTCAAGACATCGTACATGGAACCCAGGTTTTGCAAGGTTGCGTGCTTTCCCCTCCAGAATTGGATATATAAACTGGAATCCAGTCTCCAAATTACTCAGAAGTTCTACACTCAAACCATCTCGACATCACTCGAGTCACAACATTTTAAATCACCTCCCTCATTATGAAGTCGTCTATCTTGACCTCGCTTATGCCCTTCGTGGGTCTAAGTATGGTGTCTGCTATGGCATGCTTATACACATTAGATATTTATTATTACTCATGCTGATTAGTTCTCAGGCGGTTGACATCCGTTCAGATATCCCAGAGGGCTACACTATTGTACCTATGACTTGGGTCGGTCCCATTGAAGAGGGCGGTAAGAACCATACCTTCAAGGGTACAGCTGAGGTAATTCAACAGCTGAACATGTATTTCATGACGACATAGCTGACATATAATCACTCGCAGGAGGTGCTGGCTCAGATAGAAAAGCTCAACCCCAACTTCGCCGAGTTTGCCGACAACAAGACGAAAGACGACAGCACGAAGGTAACTATACGGGCTCTGGAAGCTCGACAGCCGGTAAGTCCCTCTTCAATTGCTCTTCTCAGTTCATGGATCTCATGTGATAATGCTCAGACTCGCGTTGCTTGCGATGGGGGAGGCCCAAACGGAGGCCAAAGCTTTCGCACGAAAGTCAGTGACGCGCGCCAAGGCATTGACCATCTAAAGAGGCTTGGAGACTTTGGGTGCGGTGCCCCTGCAAGATCATGCGCACGCATGACGTGCAACTGGCAGTCTGCTATTTGGTTCTGCAATGACGTAAGCTGCGTTTCTTTTCCCACGATACTACCGGGCCGACGGCTGAATGTATACAGAATGACTACGTGGTCAGCGACCGCTGCGACTGGCAGGGCTATCTGGCTGAACTGGTGATTGAGAAATGCCAGCGGCACGTCAAAGCTGACTGCTGGGTTCCTAATCCTGGTTGTACCAATTGCTGCCAGGCTATTGATACGTGGCTTGTTATGGGCGCTCAGTATGATGTCCGGAATTGGAATGTCATGATTAACGGAGCGTGCTAAGAACCTACATACTGCTGCTGAGAGGAGCGCGCTCTAAAGGGATCTTAGCTGCTTTTATAGCAGGTCCTTCAGCAGTTAAGTAGGATAAGAAGGAACAAGGCAGCAGTAAACTCTGTAGTGCAATATATATTATATTTAAAATTATTATGTATTAGTTTTATAAACTTAATTACCTTATACTCTTTTAGCTATTAAAGCTTTTAATTACTTAAATATAACTTAGCTTAAGAAAAGTATTAACAATTTAACTTTTTTAAACTAGCTTAAATAACTTAATTAATACAACCTTAAATAATTTAACCTTTTTATTATATAAATAATCATTCTTAATGTTATTTAATAATAAATTAATATTTTTTTATAATAATATTTAATATATCCTTTAGTCTTTAATATTATTTATAATCTTACCCTTTCCTTTAAAGTTTAAAGAGCTGGTTAGGGCTATTATAATAGGTATAGATTAGGATTCGTCCTGTAAGGATGCCCCCTTAGGATCTACAACACTATCAGGACAGCTTGCACTGTAAACTCTATTAAAGATATTATAAAAAAGCTATGTAACTTGATTATGTTGTTCAGACTTACGATACAGGCACGCCGTTATCCAAGTTATCGATATTGCCGCCCTTAAACCGCCACAGAGCGCGTTTATCAGCCTGCCCGAAATCAATTTGGACAGTCAGCAGATGTATTAACGCGGATGTTGGCATCACAACTTTAAGGCAGTTCAGTCCTACTGAAAGTGCAGGTATGTTTTTAGAGCTAGAGGTAAATATAATAGTTTTAAAAGTCTAACTCTATGTTTTTCTTATCCTCTATAAATAGCTATTAATATATATTATAAGCTTATTACTATTTTATATACACCCTGTACTTAATTTTATAAAATAATTATTTTATTTTATATAATTATATTAACTAATCTCATCCTAAGAGATAACTACTAGTCTGAGCCAGATGTATATATATTATATAGGCCATTTCATAGCGCAACATCTAATAACATAGCCCTCATCTACAATGAGATATAGTTCATTCTCCAAGCTCTGCTAATTGAGATAATAAAAGCCCCCCTAAGGTTGGAGAAAACCCCTGTAGAGTTGTTTCGTACAAATTATCCAGAAAGGCGTCCGGGCTGTTGACTTTGTCCCGACATAATAGCCACTCAGGCAGGTCTTGGTCATCTGCAACTCTCCCCTTATTGATACATATATCAATCAACAGAACTATTCTGAAGTATGAACTGGGATCTTTTAGGAGAATTTCCGTCCAGCTTAAGTTTGTGGCCCACAGGCCATTCGCTTGGGACACAGTCTCAACTTGGTCCGCTGCCTGTCTCACAGCTGCCTTTAGCAGCTCGACGTCATCGTATTGAGGATAGAAGAAGCTCAGGGCTTCGGTAAAAGCAATCAGACTGTACTTTTCGGAGCCGGCACCCCAACAGTTGATTGGCGTAGACGGAGCATTCGTTGTTTCCAATTTCGCGGTAACAACGCTGAGTGCAATTGGTATTGCCATACATCCAATACTAAAGCGAGATACATCAGCAAGCGTCGCAATACACCTATTGCGTCAATCCTGACTTACGCGCTGACAGGCAACCACCGTACGAGTCGAAGCCTATTCAGGTTACTGAATAATTGTGACATGCTTGACACTGCATCTTGCAAGTTGTCTCGAATTGTGAGCAGCTCTGTTGGCTCTCCTATCTGATCGGTGGCAGACCTCAAGTAATGAGATAGTTTGCAGTGCTGTAAGGCGATTTTTGAATGACTGTTCCAGGGTCAGCAGCAGCTTAGAGAGGTAGAATGCCTATGGCAACAGGAGGGAATACCTAGTAGTAATACATGTATAGAATCCCAATGTGTAGGTTAACAGATTTGTGGAGAGTTGGCCTTTTCTCCATGGTAGAATTTGGCTGCTCAAAGGGTGGGAACATTACTGAGGCATGACTGAACCACTGATTCATAGCACTCTCACATTCTGAGATTCTAGGAAACCCTTCAACATCTAAGTTTTGGTTAGACACAGAGTGGTTTCTCAATGGGAAGGCGACTTCCAGAACGTCAGTTAGCATCACCATGAAATTAGTCGATACTTCCAAGAGACAATTCAGACTCTTTTTGCTCGCTGGATTATAGACGCTGGATCTATAGACTTCATCTTCGAGATCTGAGGCTTGAAGAGCCGTTCTGCACCCAAAATTGAAGGTAGAGTGGCTGATCAACGGGCGGCAGCGGGCACAGAGTGACATGATGCGGTCTGCAATAACACAGCACCACCACAGACGGCGGAGGCTTCCTTGACCCTTGGTTGACGACGCATGTGGCCTCGCAGCAAGTCCGTCGGCATCCAAATATCGGGCATGCTGCACAGCACGGCTTAACCAAGTCTGGCAGGGAACTAACACCATGTGTAATGGAGGGTACCATAGCATTAGTAGAATTGATGCCTGGGCAAGTGGCAAATGATCGCTTTCTGCGTGTAACTCGTACAAAAGCTGGGTATACACATCAGCATCCTTTCCCTTGGTCCACTGCACCACCTTGCTTCCCTTACCTTTGCTCGTCTGTAAAATTGCGCCCTGGCCTGGCGGAGAGTCGTGTATCCGAGATTTCTTATGCAGTCAAAGGGAACAAACTGGTCGCCAGCGATGTATCAGTAACCTTTCCAGTTGAACTCAGGTTTCAGATGACCCAGTATTACAAGCATATGGGATACACACCGTGCAACTACTGAAGAGCATGGCCTGGAAAAGAACAAGAGATATGGTATCTAGACCTCTTTCGGCTGTATCTGTGAGGTTCTGTGCATACATGCCCCAGAAGGTACCCTCGTCGATGATAGGGACCATTGGGTGGACGTGGAGAAAATACTGTTCAACAAAATCATCCAGCACTGGTCGCATAGGAACATGGAGGCAACCTTAGGACTCGAGATAGTTGACATCTGATGCTGATATATTGTGAAGGTTGCTTATGGTGAGAAAGCGAAAGTGAGAGTACGTTACCACCATGCTTGCTGACGGGGCTTGTGACCCATTCTGGGATATGGATGGGTTGCTGCTTCTTGATGATTCCTGACCCGTATCACTGTACACATGATCAGGCCGTGCGATGGACGGGTCGCTGGATTGAGATGGGCCGAAAAGGCTTTCAGGACAAATTCCCTCGTGTGTAGGAATATCGGTGGCAGATTCTTCTGTCCTGTCTTGTGATTCGGAGACTCCTTCTTCCATGTTTTGTTTTGCTGAGGCGTCAGTGGGAACTCGGCGGGTGTGACGTCCCCCTCTCGTTGCTCTGCTTGTCGATACTGTAGTCAGCAACCAATGAGGTATATTGGACAGAATCGGCGGTCCTCTTTACTGACAGACGCGTAGCCCTCCCGACAACCAGGCAATTCTTCCCCAGATGCCGGCAGTTGGTGCACGGCTGAGCAACAAGCGAGACGTCGCATCGAACCTTGCGTGATCGGCAGGATAGGCACGCCTTCATTGCCCTCTTCCGATTCGAGTTGGAACTTGGCATGTCTATCCAAGCCGAGCCTCTGAAGGAAGCGTCTTCCATGGCGAAATGTCTATTTGTGTACGGATCCAAGAATTACTCTTGATTCTGTAGGAGATAGATATTTGAGGGGAAAGGGATGCTAACTAACGCCTCCGCTGCATTTATGATTTGACTTGGCTGAGTCCGGGATCCACATAGTTGCCGAGGTACCCATCGCATTGGAGTTAGCAGTAGCGTAGCTGTAGTGCGAAGTCCGACCCGCAGGTCTGAGGCATCGCTTTGTTTGCATTCTTTATCAAGGTTTTGCTGTCACGCGCTGTTGCGTTCCCAACATTGGTTCACGTGTCATGTACATTCATCGCCCGGCATTCTCTTCCCATTAGGTTCGTAGGCCCACAGACTGGACAAAGCACGTACTCTGATATACGCAATCAATCGAAAGCCCATGTCGCTTATAAGAATGATTTCACATTTTCAGCTCTAATGACCTTTATGACTGTGCCAATAGGTATTGATTTATGCTATATATATTCAAGATCTAAGACCCCTAATACCATTCAAGTACATGTTGATATTTGTTTCAGTAGCTATCATCAAAGGGCCAATGCCTCTTCCAGGAAGTCGATCTGTCTGGCGATGTTCCTCTCAAAGGCTTCTCCGAAGTAGACACTGAAATGGTCTTCGCCATTCATGATAACCAGCTTCTTAGGCTGAAGCGCCTTTTCAAAAGCTTCGAATTGAGATCGCGTATCAGTGATGGTATCGTCATCTGCCACGATCATAAGCAACGGAGTTGGAGAGATTTGGTGAATATAAGCAAGCGGCTCGGAAAGGCTGCAATTTGCGACACTCTGAGCCGTCACCGTCTCAACCCAGGAGTATCCGCGACGAACCATCTCCTCGATGAACTTGACCGCTGATGGGCCAGCAAGAATCGCACCAGGATTATCGTGGACAGCGCCATCCCGCAGCTCGGGGTACGTAGGGATCATGGTAGGGTTGCCCGTGGTCACAGCATTTCCGCGTTCCATGACTAAGGTCGCAGGTGGTTGCCGGCTAACTCGGGATAGCCCGTCGCCGGAAACAAAGGGAACTTGAGCGATGACGGCAGCAATGTTGCTGTTGAGAGCTGCAGCCTGGATAACATTTCCACCAGACATGCTGGAGCCCCAATACACGATCCGACTGGGATCAACCTCAGTAAGTGTAGTGGCATAATTGAACGCGTCAAAGTAGTCCCTTGCTTGCATATCGGGGTCAACTTCGTGACGGGGAACACCTTCACTTTCACCAAAGTTTCGATTATCATACAGCAGCACACCAAACCCGGCGGCTTGAAATCGCCGGGCAAAGTCTGGCAAGTACTGAAACCTTTCTCCACTGAACTAAATCAGTAGTCGTTAGTCAATCCAATAAATAGGAAATAGATATTGAAGCACTCACGCCGGCCGTCATGATAATACAGGGCCGTCTTTCTCCAGCAGGATAAAATGTGCCTTGAAGCTTCAGACCATCATAAGTCTTGAACTCGACACTTCGTTCGGATGACATGTTTAATAGTATGTACAAGTGAGTTTAATGAGCGTGGCAAGTTTGAATGTGGATTATTGTTGACTTGGAACAAAAGTAGACGAGAAGCATTGGGCATTTACAATAGGCAACATATTACAATTAATATGAGCGTCTCCGAGGTCCGGCACACTTTGGTAGGCATCGGCTAACCGGTAAGACAAGGTCAGTCAACCACGTGCTTATTCCATCCGAGCACATATCCCAACTGTCAAGCATCAGCGTCTATTTGTTGTAAAATATCAAATAAACGGCTATTTCACCTCGGAGGTGATACTTGATTGGGCCCGGTTTGGGAGATTCAAGCCACATGATTGGTTCGGCTAGATTGTCCCCCTTAGCCGCTGTCCCAAGCCGACGGCACAGGGTATTCAAAGTGCCGACGCTCCAGCTCTAGCTTGTCTGGGGAAGTCCCGGCATAGACGTATCTGGGGTATGGGGTTGCACCCACGCTCTAATATGTATAAATACGTCCACGATGCAATCAGTGGGATAAAGACCACCCAGAATCCTCTCCCTCTAATCCAGCACGCTTCCTTATGCACACCAGTTAAATCATCAGCATGGACTCCATCTCGCGACTCTCGCAGCACCTGCCACCGTTCGTTATCAACTTGTCAAAGTCGCAAAGAGCACAAGGCGTAGCGACTGTCGTCGGTGTTCTTGTCTTGCTCTCGCCCTTGAACAGGTGGCTGTCTTGGAGAAGCGCCAACAATGGCGACACCCTCAACAGATGGAATCCCGCCACTGAACTTGTCGTGGTCACTGGTGGAAGCAGTGGCATAGGCGCCAAGATTGTCCAGATATTGGAGGCCGAGAATATCGAAGTCATCATTCTAGACATAAATTCGCCTTCTGGCAAGAATATTATGCAGCTCTAAGTTCTCTGGTGTTACCGTCCTTCAATTCCTTTTGGATTCCTTTTCTTGGAAATAACTGACTGGTAGTTGGGATAGATAAAACGGCTCCCTTTTACAAGGTTGACCTCTCAGACGCAGATGCAATTGCTGCAGTAGCAGAACGCATTCGATCTGACCATGGCCACCCGACAGCTCTGGTAAACAACGCCGGTATTGCACACGGTGAAACCATTCTCTCGGTAACCCCAGAAAAGCTTCAGAGGCTCGTTAGCGTTAACCTCGAGGCACCCTTTCTCTTGACTCAACAGTTTCTTCCTGACATGATCACCCATAACCACGGGCATATCGTCAATATCGCCAGCTTGGCTTCATTCTTAACACAGGCTGCTAACGTTGACTATGGTGCCACCAAGGTCGGTCTACTCGCCTTTCATGAGGGTCTGAAACAAGAGCTCAAGCACGTCTACAATGCCCCTGGAGTACGCGCGTCGTAAGTTGGATCTCCCAGCTATCTGTTAGCTTAAAGGCGGGTCTAAGTAGTAGACTTGCTGACAAAGGACCATAGGGTTATACATCCGACTGGGGTTAACACTCCAATGATTGAGGCAATTCTCAAGGCTGGCACCCTTGGCCGCTACGTTGAAGCCGAAGACGTTGCGAGTGCTGTTGTTACACAACTCACATCAGGGTACGCAGCGCAAGTGCCCGTTCCACGCTCTGTGGGTTAGACCTCGATAGTCCGTGGTTTGCCTGTGTGGATGCAGGAGAGGGTCCGTGATAGTATTACAGTAGGTCTTCTACGAGCCTTGGCGGTACAAAAGGAGAAGTTGTAGCTGTATGTTGACTTGTTTACTTTTTACTGATGGTGTTTAACACGTCCAAAGAGTTGCACGAGAGAGTCGCAGTGGAATTGAAACAAAGGATAGATAAGATGATGTATAGTGGCGGTGATTCTGTATCTATAGAAAAGGCCAGATAGTTAGCTCGCACCTAATCCGTAAATACCCATGTCATGATGTTTTGTTTCTCGATATCTAACTATAAGCGAATACTGAGATAAGTTATTCTAAGTATTATTATTCCAGTCACATTGTTTATTAGACGAATAATTAATAACCCTACCGAGTTCCATTAGGTACATATATAGTTTCAGCTACAGGTCTCAACTGCGCATTATAAGAAGCGCCAGCAGCATATCAGGTGGTATCAAACCAACTGTCAACACGTCAATTCATACCACTTGCAGAAATGTTAGTGTGTGACTCGAAGATTGGACCAAGGGCCAATATCAAGGGCTGGCTAACCCAGAGAATAGCCTGGGGTGGAGAGGAATATAGCCCAGTAAAATTGATCCGTCGCGACGTTCTTAGCTGTATTTGATTCCATAGATGGTGATAGATGCATTGATTCCAATGCTGGTATGGTTTACCATGTCAAGCCAGTCTAACACCACTGTAATATCAGGCGACTTTTCGACTATCTGAGAGAATGTGATCATCCTTGAAGTTGGACTCTGTAGGCTTTCCTAGTCCCTACCTTCTAAGACGACGGAGGCTGCAACGGCCTTTTATCTTCTGGCGGCAGAAGTCGCAGCTTACCGACAAATTGTTTATCGGTGGCCAAAAGGACGTAGTTGGAGGCACCAAAGTACTCATTTGTGGTAAGAGACTTTCGCATTTCCTATAGCATAATAGACCTTTTGTTGAGATTAGTGACTTCTGTAATGGTGGGGATGTAATAGTCAGACATGCGTCCGTCCGTTCTGGTCGCCATAGTAGTTATATGCCGCCTCTTTGTTCCGAGGGATACCTCCCGTAGTACTGATCAAAATAGTCTGATCAATAAGCAATAAATTGAGAAACTTAATTAGATTAACAGATCAATGCAGAGACTATCCCAATTCTATCCTGTTGCTTGATAATATTTACAACCTTGACCAATTTGCCGTTTAAATCTCAGCTAACTCTGTCAGACAAGACAGAACTTGCGTTATAGTACCTGCTTATGTCGCAATAGATAAGTCGACTAAGGCTTCTCCACTTTGCGGCACGGAAATATATGTCGTTGGTCAAAAAGTGGTAGCATCCCAAGTGGAGGAGATGTTGCCATTTGATCAGCAAAGACATTTCCTATCTTCCACAGATAGTTGCATTGGCATGCACTATGCCCTCAATCTAGTTCCCACCTATAGATCCTAATTAGTATTTTGCAGTGTGGGACTCTGCTTATTCGGTTCCAAATCAGGCACCGTGGACCGAAATATAACGCCATGGATATAATCCCCGTCGATACTACGTCTCGGCAGACGAGCTCGCCATACTTGCAGATCAATGCGAGATTCCAAGGATAGAGGTGATAGTATAAGATTATGCTTAAGTACTGAATTTCATCTCTCTCCCTGTCCAGATGTGGTTCCCGATTGACATACTGCTTGACGAAATCAGCGATCCCAGATTAGTCAAAAATGGGAGTCGTCGCAGCCTTGAAAAGGAACAAAGTTGGGGCAGTGGTGGTGTCTGTGTTTGACTGGTACCGTGCGCTTTTCAAATCCGACCTTGTAGAGTATGGGCTGACAATCATACAGCGTCAGAGTACCCCAAAGAAGAAAGAAAGCTTCTTCGCAAGCTTGATCTCGCCATCCTTGTCTTCGGATCTCTAAGCTGTAAGTCTCACATCCTATTGTGATCTCCATATTTTAACTCCTACTAGTCTTTTGCCGTGTGAGTGTCGCTCACCTCTTACCACCCTGCAAGGTTTTATACTGACAGTATGTTCAAGTTCCTTGGGCAGCAAAACATCACCAACGCATATGTCTCTGGCATGAGGGAGGATCTAAATGCCTTTGGAAATGAGTTGAACTACTATGTCGTTGCTTGTAGGTCATGTTCACAAGTTATCAAGAGGGCAGGGCTGATTCAGAAATGCTCCATGCAGATAACACGGCTTATGTCATAGGTCAGATCCCACTTATGACACTACAAACGAAAGGCAAACTGTAAGTTATGGCTAACCGACCTGGCACTTATCTAAATGGAAGAAGCTGACCGTGGCAGGGCACCATTCTTGCTTCCTTCGCTTCAGATTCTTTGGGCCGTCATCGCGTTTTGTCAGTCCGAGATCAAGCATAGCTGGCAACTTTATATCTTGAGGGCCATGACTGGGTTCCTCGAGGCCAGCTCATTTGGCGGCACCCATCTCATCCGTAAGTCTCCGACCAGGAACTATTATTGAAGTCTTTATCCCTTTTGGGTACTGACGTTTGTCGATGCAGTTGGCTCGTGGTTCAAGAATGAAGAACTCTTCAAAAGAGCTGGCGTATGGTTCATGGGCAATTCACTCGGCTCCATGTTCTCTGGTTATCTCCAAGCTGCTGCATACCGAAATCTCAATGGAGTCTTTGGGCGTGCTGGCTGGCGATGGCTGTTTATTGTCCAAGGCATCATTACATTGCCTCTTGCCTTTCTGGGATTTGCCGTCTGGCCTGGGCTTCCTACATCGCCCAGACGGTGGTATATGACCGAAGAAGAGCATGCTCTTGCTCTCAAGCGCATCCCTACCGTCGAGAAGGAGGGAATCACATGGAAGACGTTTAAGTATACTCTCAGTCGTCCCATGTGGTGGATCTGCGTCTCATGCTACATCTTCTTGTGTCAGGCACATTATTGGGTGAGTTTGATACCTATAACTAAAAAGCTCGATGCATGACTGACATCCAATCAGACAGGTTATATGGCCCTTTGGCTTCGTCACGCTGGCTACTCCATCGAGCTCGTCAACATTCTACCGACATTTATCGACCTACTCCGCGCCATCTCCTCCTGGCTTGGCACAACACTGGCAGGATGTCTCAGTCTTCGGGGACTGTGGACGTTCCAGGCCTCCTTTGTGTTCTTTGCATGTATTGTGCTGTCTATATGGACTGTGCCCGATGGTCTGAAGTTCGTTGCATTTTACTTCGGTGGCTTCTCAGGCATGGCATCGCCCATTCTGTACTCGTGGGTCAACTCGACGCTGAAGGAAAACTACGGCGAACGTGGACTCATCATTTCCTCTATGATGACACTGGGCTTTTGCAATCAGATCTGGATTCCGCTTTTCACATTTCCAACAGTCGAGGCGCCAAAGTTCCCAAATGGATACCCAGCAGCAACAGTTTTTGAGTTTACTATGTGGGCGATCCTGATAGGAGGAGTCTGGTATATGAAAAGGTGGAAGACTAAGCATCCGGACCTCGAGATGCGTCTGGCTGAACCCGAGAGTCTTAACCCAGCTAGTGAGGCCGAATCTAGCGACACGGGCAGGGCTGACACAAAGGGTACCAACGAACACGTGAGAAGTGTCTGATCCATATAAAACAGCAAGAGGATATGGTGAGGCCCTAGGATGCATATCACATCACGTACTGCCTGTATATAAAGACATATATCGATTAACTATATCCAAAGAACACGTAATCCTTGACGCGGTAAATGCGTACCACCAAAGCTATACTTGACTTTTCCATCATCCATTAAAGACTCCGTCTTCTCTAAGAGTCATACCACGCGGCAACTTCCTCCCCGAGTGAATTACTGCAGCCTGAAGTGGACAATAGGTGCACTGTCAAAGTCGGGATCACTTTTTCCATAGTACCTCACATTACTCTCCGACCAGTACCAAACAGTAGGAGTTGGACCACTTTCAGATTCACAGCTGAGGACGTTGTTGGCATCGGGGGTGCACTGAACATAGTGGTAAACATCAGGATACGGGTCGATGTTGGCTAGCGCATCAAACTGGAAGGCGTAGTTGGGGCCAGTGGGAATAACAGTGAACAGGTAGACTTTTTTGCCATCAACAAGATAAGCAAAGAGTCGGTTGGTCACGGGCTCAATTTGGAAGCGGGCCTTGGAGGTTGAGCCGCCTGATTGAGGAGTGCTGTAGGTACCGCCATATCGATCAATGTATGTATCCTTCTCGGTGTTGTCGGCGAAGACGGCGGGCATTTGAGTTCCCTCAAAAGCCTCTGTTGTAGTGGTACTCTCAGCAGCGGTCGTGGTTGTCGCCTCAAATGTAGTGGTTGGCTCCTCAGTGGTGATTTTATCTTGAGTGAGGGTAGTGGTGCTAGACCTTTCAATCAGTGCCGTGGTTATTGAGCCTTCGCTGAGCGAGAGAGTGGTAGACATATCACAGAGAGCAGCAGTGGTAGTGGCTTCGCTATCAGCCGTAGTAGTCGTCTCTCCAGCAGCCGTAGTGGTAGAATCATCACCGATCGCAGTGGTCGTGGTAGCCTCTGCGACACCAGTAGTCGTGGTGGTTCCAGCAAGCGCAGTAGTAGTAGTCACAGGCTTGCAGGGCGACGCCAGGGAAATACGAGGCTGAGTCGAGACCAAGCAGATGGCCAAAGAATGGAGTGAAAAACGCATCGTGGAAGGAGTGGACGTGGTTGAAGAACCAGCAGATCAATGAGTGTGGGGTGTTGCAAAAGCGCGCGACAGGAATTCAAGCTCATGCGAGAAATGCCATGTTTCTAACGACGGCAATCAGGGGTTGTTCATCTGGCAGAAGGTTCAGCCATATAAGCCATCGTTTTCTAAAGAGAGACTATTGCTCACTTGGATCTACCGGGCCTACGCCCATCGACGCGACAATTCGTATTCAGTCTAGCTGCTGCATATTTCTGGCTTGATTGGTTTTCTCACTGGTTAGAGGGCGTCCTTAACTGCGCAACTTTGATATTGCAGTCCGGCGTTTCTCCTTATGCCGATACGAAAATAGCTTAATCCTCTAGCTTCAACGTGAACGGCCTACATATGCTCTGTCAAAATATCTCGAGTATTCATGTCGTGGCTCAGCACAGGGACCGCAGACAACCCACTACTATCATGTTCCTCCGTTGTCATCATCACACTTTCACAATGCATTTGTGCCCCTTGGGCGCAATCAAGAATCTGTTCTCCATCTCCATCATTTCATCAGTCATCTCAGGGCTTGGCGTGGCGCCGCGGCATTCACGGAAAAATAGCGCGGCACCAAGTCGTAGCTCCATCCAAGCCAAGTGTAGACCGATACAGATTCGTGACCCAGCGCCAAATGGAGAAAACGCAGCCTTTTGTGCTGCTGTCAGTGTGGACTTGTCCACAAAACGATGTCCATTGAACCTACCAACTATATTAGTGTGTAATTTAAGTAAACCGCAGTGATCATACCTCTGTGCATCTTCAAAGATGTTTTCGTTGCGGTGCAATGTGAACGCTTGAGTGCTGACGACAGTACCGGGAGGGATGTAATGCCCGCATACATCAAGACCCTTGCCCGGCACAACGCGTGGTAGAGCACCAGGAGCCGCGCCATACAGACGAAGTGTTTCTTCGATCACACTGTTGAGTAGCGGAGCACTCTTGAGCTCGTCAAAGGTCAGCTCATCACTGAGCTCTGCTATCTCACGCTCCAGTTCAGCTTGAAGCTGGGGTTGCTTGAGAACGGCCCAGATGAGATACGTCAAAGTCACAGCCGTAGTGTCTGATCCAGCGACAATGAGATTGCTCGCTTCCTGCTGCACGCTTGATGTGGAGAGACTCGTCTTTTCCTGGCTATCAGATTCAGCCAGCATTTGGCTGAACAGATTCGCCTTGCTAAGCCCATCCCCAGCGCTCTGCATATTTCGCACAGCGATAGAACCGTGCTCGAGGACGACGTTATCGGCATTCAGTAACTTCTTCAAGCCTTGGAAAGGCAGACGCCGGAGGAGAGGATAGATCCATGACAGTTCGGCGCGAATGCCGCTCATAAGAAGTGCAGACTGGATCGCATCGATGTAAGAAGTTTGCTAGAGTCGGTTAGTCTCGATTCTCATTACACTGAGATAGAGATGATATAGTTACCTTGCCAAGCTCCAGCATCCGAAATGACTCTCCGAATGAAAGATGAGCAATCACATCTGTCGCCATGAGAGTCCACCACTTGAAAACATCCGCCCCAGTACTTTGAGCATCTCGCTTTATATTGTTCACCGCAAGCTCAGTCTTTTGTCGGATTTCCGACTCCCAATTAGCTAACAACGAGCTGACGCTAAAGGCACGAGCAAATAATCGTCTTCGGGCAGCATGCTGGTGAGGATCTCTCATGACAAAGATGCCTGGCTCTCGGTCGGGGGTTACAGCATCGTACCAAGCCGACTTGAGAAAGCCAGAACCAATCTTGTGGATCTTTGAAAACGCTTCGAGGTCACTGACAGCAACCTCGCCTGGTGAAACACGTACGACGGGCCCGTAGCGCTGATGTAGTGCGTGTATGTAATGAACGCGATTACCAGCGAGAATCTGGTATTTGAGAACGAGGTGAGTGAAATGAGTGTACCAAGGCCCAGGCAAGCCGCGGAGGGGAGACTTGAAGGCGTTGACCAAGGCATAGAGGACTATGCCGGCCAGAAAGGCGCCAACCAATAATGGTATACTGAGATAATTCGCGTTGTACATAACTGCGTCGGTTCACGAAAGACACGTCTAGCTTCCTGTCAAGCTCTAAAAGATGTCAACCCTCTTATAGCTCCAGCACCTCACCAGATCTTCCCCGTGGGGAGCTGGGGCCTAGCGTCGCGGGGTATCGGAACGGCTGGGGCATCGGGATCAACGGGGTTAGACTATCGGAATGGTGGGGGTCACTTTGCCGACGGATTTTCTTCAAAGACCGAGAGAGCTCCGTCAGTGCTCCGGAATAGTATTGTCTTGATTGGATATTTATCTCAAGTGGTTTCTGCTACCCCATAAGACTTTGCAGTGCTCATGTCCCGGTCGGACGATGTTAGTGGCACAGAACCTAGTCTGTATCCTTTAGTCCACAACCCGATAACCTAGGTCTCTCAGCCCAATCCAGTTATAAGCTATGAAGAGATCCAGTCTTGAAACAACAAGGTATAATCTGCAATTAATATATATGGTTAAGGAAACCTTTAATAAAAAAGAATAAATTAAATTTTTACAAGGATAACTATAATCTTAACCCTCTTAGTATTTTTTGCTATCTATATAATAGTGGCTAGTATAATTTTATATTACAGTTAGTTATAAGTCTATCTCTTTACATTAGTCGGATTGCATTTAAAGACTAAATATTTACATATCACTTTATTTAATAGTAGAGACATAAATAAACAATAAATTTTACTCTGTAAAACGCTGTACTGAAAGCCGTGATGGCATCCATTCTGTACAGGGTGGATCAAGCTCGCATCTAGGCCAATAAAATACAGTCGTCTTTTTAACCCCCAGTCCTGTAATTTAAGTCCTGCCAAGAACCTGAGGCATTAACAAATCCTTCCGGGTATAACAGGGCTTTGTCAGGGCTTATTGACTGTTACCTTCTGACCACTCCTCCTTAACCAGAAATCAAAACTCTCAGCTTTACCATTTCGGCTCCATATACTTAACAGTAATATGGATCGCCAGGCATTCATAAGGCCTGACCCTGAGAACACGATAACTGATGAGAACGAGCATCTACTTCCCGGAACAGAGCAACCCAGTCAACATAGATCCTTGCAACAATTCTCAGGACACGCAGACCAGAGAGGCCCTGATGTCTACACCGAAACGCATGAGCTTCAGCAGTGGAGATCGACAATGAAGAACACCCAGATCGATGAAACCCAGATACTTTTAGAAGGCGAAACAGAAGTGGCTGGGCTTACCTCACCTCTAGCACAAGAGTCTGATGTCAGCAAGCCTCAATGGGAAGAGGATTATCACGTCACTAGTACCCAGAGCGAGCAAAACAATACAACTGACCAGAAATACGATATCAATACCTCTACTCGTCTTCAATGCGTTATTGGCGTTTTCATGGGTGGTCTGCTCGCCCTCGCATGTATCGGATCTGGGATTTACGTCCTTGCAACGAGAAAGGAAAAGCTTGCTTTGCACGTGGACATCAATACAACGGCAAGAGAGGTCCTGTCGCTTATCTTCAACATCATCCTCACGTTCTGCATCGACAGTATGGCTTTCGCCCATTCGGTGTCATTGAGATGGGCTTTGTATAGGGAACATAAATTGGAGTTCAATACGAACCTTCGGCTTTTTACCAACTCGACCAATAGTGGACCTAATCGGTGGTACACCAACATCTTTGGCATGACCTGCTTAGTTTTTTGCTACGGAGCTTCCAGTTATTTGCTACTGCCCTTATCAGAGAACGAAGTATTCATAAATGGCATCGCTGTACTGATGCTAGGTCTGGCTCTTCTGGGGCTCGCGGCGCTCTCAATATGGTGTCTATGGACCAGCTCCAATTCTGTATTGACCTGGAGCTCTAATCCGTTGAACAATTGTCTGGCCGCTGTGCAAAACGGAATGTTCCAGCGACGCAATGGGAGATGTATGCGATCCGTGCACGATCGGAACCCTGCGTCATCGCAACTCTGCGCAGACATCGATACGCAGCCAATTCTTCCTCGGCAGAAGCAAGAAAACATGTACAAGCTGAGCAGGCGTATAAGGAGGATCATTTGGCTGCTCTGGACGCTGTCAGTACTGGCTATCGCATGGATGTTTGCCATCTTAGGGCTCAACCTGGCATATGCAGCCGACAATGGTGAGTATTGTCCGCCTAGCTTAGCCTCCCTAAAATGGGATATGTTCAGCTCAGGTAGCTGCGTCAGCAACACGGCGAGTCTCTCCATGTCCCCTTCAGGCCAAAGCCCTGAACAGTGGAACAAATACCCACTTCTCCAAGTCTTTCTGGGCCTGTTGTTCCTCAGTACGATCCAAGCAACCCAGTCCATTGCTCTACATTGCACCGAACTGCTTGTCAACATTTCGCGAGATGAGAAAATGTGGCGGAATGCGTATAGCAACGGTAGAAAGAACGGAAAAGGTCCGAAGGGGTCCCTGCTTGCAAGCGACTCACTGAAAAACGCGATAAGCAGCTGGGAATATATCTGCCTGAGCCTATTGAAGTCTGTCCTGCACTGGAGTGTCGGTCAGGCTGTACAGCCGGCCTTCCAATTAGATCTCCCAGAAGACATCTCTACTATAGATCCCTCTTCGATAAATCAGGAGCTGGCTGTGGCGGGTGTCGCCTTTTACATGATATATCCTCGACTACTGGTTTATGCCGTCCTTGCTATAGTGCTGGCTTCTTTTGCCACTTTTCTGGCACTGAGAAAGCGACCGGGGCCTCAGCCTGCTACTATGGGCCACTTGCAAACTATTTCAGACCTGGTTGACGATTGGACTCCAAGTGAGAACGGTCGTATTTATTGGGGAGACAAAGGGGAAAGCTCAACAAGCTCAGTTCGTCATGCAGGGACAAGCTTTGAACCAAAGGCTCTGGGCCGGATCTCCCCTAATTCTCTGTACGCTTGCTAGCCTGTAAGTAGGGTAATTTATTTGACTTGAATGGAGCTTACTATATGAGCCCGCGAATACCTCATGCAGTTTAGTCACTGACTTAGGTGGAATTTCAGAGAATGCCAAAGGTAACAAAACATCTGTAAAGGCAAAGTGATATGTGCTAATCTCTATAGCTTTCTCACAGAAAATATATCCTCCTTGATATAAAGTTTCGACCTCACAATCGAATTCATAACCAGTAACTTCGAACTTACAGTGAAACCTCATGTCTGGTAATACGAATGCTTGATCTGGATTCAAGAGACTTGTATAGTGGAGTATAGTGGAAAGATATTTCCTGTTCTCACTACATGCTTTAGCAGCCTATACTAACTCTATGGCCAACAATCATCTATTCAGTACCTATGAGTTTGCGAAGCGCATCAGCAACCTCTTGAACAGAGGTATAGTCCAGATTCCAAAGCCCCCGGATGACATGTCGTGTGGGATTGTCCTCGCTTACATGGGGGTACTCCCCACACATTAACTTCTCCTGCAACTCCTCGATCTCAATCTCGCCATACGGCACTTCCCATTCAGTAATCTCACAGATACCAGTGCCCAGTGCAAACAATTCCTTCTCGAACGTGCTTCTTTCTGGGCTTGAGTGGTCTGTCATAGGGATCCAGTAGCGAGGCTCACAGGCAAAGAGCAGGTCTGGATATACATCGTGTAGACTGGAGCCGGCAAAGTCGCTGAGTTTGATGTGGTGGTCGTCAAAGAGAAGGATGTTCCGCGTCGAGATATCACCCCAAATCACACCTCGGCTATGCACATACTGCAGGGTGTCCGCAAGGTGCAATGCCATCCTCAAGCGCTGGTCCATAGGTAGTGCATCCGCCTGTATAATCCGCTGACGGAGGTTGCCGTGAGGAGCTCTCTCGAGCTTCAGGGCCCACGCCTCTCTCTCGCTGTCGGCCATGAGCTCAGATTCTTCGCCCGGTGCAGGAGGAAGATATGCAGCTCCAAATGATTTGAGAATGTGTGGATGGTCGCCCAAAGCATCGTAGATAGCGGCTTCGCGTTTGAATATCGCGCTAGTGTCTGTGCCCTTGGCAAAGGATGCATGGTCATACATTTCCCCATCTAGCCAGAAGCCGGTGGCTTTGATAACGACATGTGGCTCAGATCTGTCGGCATAAATAATGTTGAGGCTTGTTCGACCCAACGGCTCAAGTCTTGCTCTAATCGCCGGACCGGCATCTCGGTCACTCATTCGCATAGTGGACGAGATGGAGCAGGTAATCAGAATAACAAAATTGCTAGGAGTGCCTTGGAACGTAATTGAAGCCCTTGGTACTAGGCTTCCTCAATACGATGGTAAAGAGACCCGCGGCAGCGCAGGCTCAGGTGTCTTCGCGTGTCTGGCGATCACGGCATAAAAGTAACATACTGATATGCTTCGTGAAAGTGTGAGTGGGGAGGACGCAGCAGGGACCGGAATATCTCTTTACCGGTTACCGCCTCTTTCAAACATGATGAAAATGTGAATAATCGCAGGACTTGAGTAACACGACTTAACCTAAATTAATAATCATACATGATCTGAGCTTACTGTGCCCGAGTTTCTTTGGACCTAAGATATTGGCTATCTTGCCGCCTCAAGACCTCTTTCACGACCAGTAGCCTCCGATTCTCCTCTTATGCAAGATCGCGTTGAAGAACGTGGATGCCATCCTTCTTGCCAATAGCCTTAAGCTTCTTAGCATTTTTCTTAAACACCAAGTCCAAGAATCCGAGCATAATCTCATTCGCCGCCTTCTCAACCTTTCTTCCACCAAGCGTCCCAAATACTTCATGAACCATAGCTTCTGACTTGGCCGGAAGCTTAAACTCGGTCAAGAGCAACGGAACATCCGTAAAGGCGTAGTGACGCGTATGGTTCACCACCATCTCCATCTTGGCAGCGTCGATCTTATCGTAGAATGCATTCCAGCCAGGAACTGGATCAGGCGCTGTCATGTTTGTTCCAACGAGTATGTAAGGCGTGCCCTTTAAGCCTTCTTCAACCACGGATCCATACATGGGACCGTCAAAGTTGAGACCTCCAATGACGCGGCGATCGCGCTGGGCTGTGACGGCGGCAGTTGATCCACCAAAAGAGTGACCGTACACGGCAACTTTGTGAGGGTTAAATGTACCAGGGAAGTCACCAAAGACCTGCTCCACGAGTGTGTGGTTGCAGAGTTGGGAGATTACAAAAGACTCATCTTTAGTTCGGACCTATAGCCAAAGTTAATATTATGCTTGTGACGCAGAGGTTAATGAAGAGCTTACCTCGAGCTGCCGATACGTAGAGTTCATGTTATCCGGAAACTCAGCAGCAGGTGCAACCGTCCCATCAGGGAACTCAACCACAAAGGCTTCATAAGTATGGTCCACAGTAAGAATGATATACCCAAGGCTTGCAAGTGACCTAGCCATGGCCCCATACACAAGCCTTGACCCTTGATAACCAGGTGAGAAAAGCGCGATGGGATATTCCTTCTTGGGCTTGTGAAACCTCTTTGGCTTGACGCTTGAGATATTGCAGACCTTCATCTCGAAATCTTTGACTATGTTGTCGGGTAGGCCAAGAGTTCCGGCCACCTTGCCATAGGCCTTTGCTGTAAGGGCCGGTACATATGGTACGACTTCATCTTTGCAGCCATATTGGGCGTCGATGGGAAGATAGGCAGAGACCATGAGACGGCGCTTGGTATTGGGCTTGGGTGCAAATGTGTCAATACGATTTGTATCGACCAGCTCAAAGTTTCTAACGGCAACATCATAGGGGCCTGGTGGAGAAGGGACAAGCAGGGCCCGTGAGGTCTTGAGATAGATAAGAAAAGCAAGAAGACGCATTTTGTGTGATTTGTGAGTTGGAGATATTGTAGCTTGCCAAGAAAGGACAGAGCAAGTAGGTGCCGTCACGCTGTGGGTATTTATAACACTTGGGTTCGCGTTCTAATTGTGCGGTTCTGAATGAAGGTGAAGACCGAATTTGGCTCCGTGGCAGGCTTGATCTAAAAACGACGTTTGAGCCACGACAGGATGCTAAGCCACGACCCAAACCTGCAGTTAAGTGACATTGAAATCCTTTAGATTAATAAAAGCTAATATGTAGTATTTTAATGACGAAATGTTCAAGACCGAGTAATTAGAAACAGCCCCAGTCTGCAGATCCCGCTCGGTCTTTGAGTTTAGGGTAACATAGCGTGATCCTTATCGATAGCAAAGCAGGGGTAAAGACCGAGCTACGAAGATCGACCAATGAACAGTCGTCCACCGCAGTAAGCTTACTTTCCCCTTTCAGTACTTACGTATCGCCCAGCTGGGTCTGAGCCTCCCAGTGCCACGTTGACAATAGAGAAACAATGACATCACGAGCCGATTAGCCGTTGTGAATTTTCATCAGGCAATTGCTCGTATTCTATCACGGTTTTCGTAATGCATAAGCACGGCGGAATTCGTTGCGCCCTGTGGATACCGACTCCTGGCTGTGAGTGGTCTGCTTGGACTTGGCAGCAATAAAGCCATTTTATACCCAAGCGATCCAGTCGATGTAAACACCGCAAGTCACGACCTTGCCTGAAACGAGACGAGAGAGTGATTTTGCATGATCACAGGACTCACCAAAATTTTGAGATTCATAGACACTTTACATTATTCTGGTAATGATAACGCGAAATAATAGCAATCCACCACTAGCAACAACTGCCAAGAGCGCCTCACCGTCATCAGCCCCGGCCAGTTTTCAGCTTCGGAATTTATCGTGAATAGAACGAATACATCTAGAATCAGAGTATAAAACTGCATACTAGATCGTGAATCTGTTACCACAAGTCCAAAGCATCTTTCTACTCTCAATCAAAATGCCTCTCCCTAACGAGCCCGTCAAAGTCACCGGTGGCTGCTCTTGCGGCGCCGTCCGCTATCGTATCAACGTCCCTGCACTGGAGGACCGTCCTTTGAACCCTTTCGCCCCTCCAGCCCTGGGGATCAAGCTCCCAGGCTCCATGACATGCCACTGCAATGACTGCCGCAGATCGACTGGCTCGTTCCTTGCAGTTGGCGTACTTGATGTCCCAGCGCCTATGCTCACCGTCTCCTCTATGTCACCCTCATCTGAAGCAGATATTGTATCTGGTCGAATTCTGGATGTTCTTGCAGACGACTATGACTCCGCAAAAGCAGACGCGGATCGTCCTCCATACATCCCAGCCATGGAAGTCCTCCGTGCAACAGGAGAGAACAAAACCTGGCTGCGCTTCTTTCACTCCGTCAAATGCAGTTCCGACGTATCCCGCAGTTTCTGTGGTCGTTGCGGAACGCAGTTGTGTTACCACTTCAAACTGGAGCCGGTATACTGCGCTGATGGAAAGTTGCCTGAAGGATGGCGGGACTCTTTTCACTTGTACCTTGGAACTCTGGATCGCGAGTTTCTTGAGAAGGATTGGTTCAACCCTGGTAGTGAAGGAATGTTCAAGTATGGAACACCTCTCGGTCGATGTGTTTCTGCGACGGCGAAGGGATTGAGGGACCTGCCAAAGATGCAAGAGTTTGATGGCCAGGTTACCGAGGAAGAGTTGGCGACCCTGAGAACTTAGTAAGGCTATGAGAGATAGTATGAGGTGGCTCAGAACTTTGCAAAGTCAATGACATTACTAAAAGACATTAAGGTAGCTACTGCAACGTGACAAGAGTTACACTTTAGCCCACTAATTCTCCTTGTGTTCGACCTGAACTACACCCGCCTTCTCGTTCGCGTCCATTCGACCCACATAATTATCAGTATCAGCCTGCTGTAGATCAGTGACATAGCTCTTGAACTTCCATGCCGAGATCCTCTTATCAAACAGCTCATCCAGTTGCTCCAAGCTTCGGCCCTTGGTTTCCGGAATGAAGAAGTATGTAAAGACAGCCAGGATAAAGTTGCTACCAGCCCAGATATAACAATACTTGGGGCCCCAGTTGAGTGACTCGGGGTTGATGAAGTAGGGCGTACAGTACGAGCACAGCCATGAAGCCAAGAAGCTTGTACCTTGGGAGAAGCCAACTGTCTGAGCTCGCAGTCGCTGAGAGGGTATCTCAGTCTGCAGGGCCCATAGCACGGGACCCTGGCCGATACCATAGATCCAGGTAAAGACGATGCTCAAACCGACAAGAACCTTTCCTGCAGTGGGAGACCCGACGGGAGAAACAGTATAGGCAACTGCCATACCTAACATCAAGCCTGCGTTAAGGAGAGATGTACCAAGGAGAAGATGTCGGCGGTTGAAGAAACGAATAGCGGGGAAAGAGAGCATATTTCCCGTGAGGGCGATGGCGAGAGATACCATGACCCACTTGAAAGGCGAACCAATTCGAGCCTGAACGAAGAAGAAGACTGAGAAAGCTGAGATAAAGTAGATACCAGTGCTAGCCTGGCCAACAGCTGTGGCAATGCTGAGAAGAGTGCGTCGCAAGTCGGTGCCACGGAACGCGTCAAGCAGCCGAGTGGTGGAGCGCATCTCAGTCTCTTCCAACCAAGCATTCTTCATAATCAGAATGTCCTCACGAATTCTCTCATCATCAGTTATACCACGTAGCTTTCGAATCGCAGCCTCGGCCTTGTCGTCCTGACCCTTGGAGATGTAATAGCGAGGAGTCTCTGGTAGGAAAATCAATCCCACGGACATCATGACTGGAACGACGAACATGACCGCAAGAGGGATTTGGTACGACAGGCGACTGAGCATGCTCTGAGTTCCGTTGTCAACGGCAATACCTACAAGAGCACCGATATTGATCTGCAAGACAACCAAGCCGATCGCCGCACCTCGAAGATACGCTGGTGTTGACTCTCCGATATAGATCGCCGAAAAGGTACTATAGAAGCCGTTGGAGAATCCAAGCATGATACGACCAAAGTATAATGCGGCGAGATGCGTGCTTCCCATTTGTGCTGCGACTGAGACGATGCCGAAAAGCGACGCGATCCAGAGACCAACTCGGGGGCTGATGAAACGGCCAAAGTTGAAGATGAGTATGCATGCTGCTAGGGCACCGAGACTGATGAGACTCTGCAGGAGAGTCTGGACTTTGGTGGTGATGTTGTAGCCTATTGGGTTCGTTGGCTGTTCCAAGATACGGTCAGAGTCTTCCATTCGATTGAGTTGTAGGGAAATGGCTGGAGAATAGACTTACATCAACGTAGCCAAAGACAATGAGAAAGCCCGGCATGGATTGGAAGCCGGAAACAGCAGCTGAATCAAATCCATATTGGAACTGAGCCAAGGCGATGAAGAAGCAAATGGCGATCAGTCGCTTCTCGCTCAACAGCGAATTGAGCTGACCCCTAGCAGAGGCCTGTTGTGCCTCCATGTCGGTAGTGATTTCTTAGACAACAGAGGATGATGTGCAATCAAAGGGAGGACTTTGTATCTGTGTGATTGTCCTTGCATTGGAAGTGGAGAGGAAGGATCAGCGATATATCCTTTTATCAGCGTCGCACACGTTCTGGGCCCTGTTAGACGCGCTTCCCCAGATCTTTACCCCGCGATCTAGCACTCGGCGTGATAACAAAACTCGGCTTGGCTTTAGAGGTGCATTCCCCAGCTTTACAGGGGTTAGTGGTGAATTTGGTGCCATCGGCGGTATGCATCCGACAGAACACAACAGCCGAACTGTCAAGGCCGATAATCTCCCCCCCTCAGCGGAGGCTGACAGCCACTCCCGATGTAGCTAGTCTACAGGTATAAGACCTCCCTGAGATCCAATGGGCTTCAGAAGGTACCGATCAGTAGACTGCTATTGTTTACTGTACATTCAGTTCCCTGTTCTTCAGCATACCAAATTGACGCGTCGCTAGTAGCGAAATCACTGGCAGCATGGATACCGAAAGTGTCATGAAACAGCTTCAGGCTATGGAAGCCAAGATTGAAAAGCTTACAGGTAATATTCTTCTTGATAATTCACATGCTTTGACTAATGTTACGTGTTGCAGCTGAGGCAGAGGTACGAAAACTACAGCATATCTACGGATATTACCTAGACAAATGTCTTTACAAAGAGGTATGTATACTCTCTGACCAATGTGATCCCAGCTTCCACATTACTAACACGATAAGGTGGTGGATCTGTTCTCGGACTCACCAGATGCATACGTACAGTTCCTAAATGGTCGCTTCAGAGGCAAAGACTCAATTCGCCGTCTTTTCATCGACCGCTGGTCCAATTACTTCGTCGGCGGCCGCAACGGCCCCATCCACGGCTGGCTTCTAGACCACTTCATCGGCCAAGACGTCGTCGACTTCCAGCCCGGCACAAACACTGCCAAGTACCGCGGCAGAACCCTCATGAGCGCCGGCACCCACAAGACGCTATCCCCCGAATATCCCGGCGGCCAGCGTCAATGGTGGGAGGGCGGCGTCTACGAGAACGAGTACATCAAGGAGGACGGTGTGTGGAAGATCTTCCGGCTGCGGTACCATCCTTTCTGGCACGGAAGTGTTGAGAAGGGGTGGCAGGATGCTGATCGGTTTGTGCCCTTGTTTAAGGAGACGTATCCGGCGAATCCGCAGGGCCCGGATGAGCTGTGGGAGGGCGGGGATTTGTGGCCTGATACGAGGGTTGTGCCGTTTCATTATGTGCATCCTGTTACGGGGAGGCAGGTGGCGGAGGAGGATTTGCAGGCGCCTAAGTGGAGGGAGCCGGCGAGTAGTGCGCCGCCTGCAAGGGTCATTAATGACTGGACTGTATGATAGACATGCATTAAACACGATGGCTCCAGTAATAAACACTGCACTTTATTCAAGGTGTTGTTATAATAACATGCATTATGCTATCAACACCGAGAAGTCGCATTTAACTCAACGGAGCGTGGTTTAGGATAAATTTATGACCAAGTCGACATCCAGCAAACTCAACCATAAATGAATCGAACAATACTGGCTCATTCCATCAACGACATCTACTATTATTTCTTTCGATCACACACATTAATAAACGTTCAAGACTCTTTTACCGCTTGTGTCGAGCGCCATCTCCCCGGCGAATCGCACAGCAAGGTAGGGCAAAAAGACATTGGGACGTCTATCACAAGCGACATAGTGACATAAGGTCTGGGGTAACTTGTCATAATTCAGTAGAGATTATTAGCTATTTGATAAAATACTTTTGGCACCTTAAGTCCATGTCAAATGTTTTCTTACGCCTCAGGGCACACAGCAGTTACGCGTCTTTGACGTGCGATTCTAATTTGCTACCCATCGGGTCTACAAGACAACACAGGCTTATCGCCCTGGATAATATTGCCATCTAGTTGCATTCGCTACCGAAGCGAATATTGGGTGGCTTGAATAGCGATAAGCAGGGTGAGGTCCGGGCATCTACACTCCGAAGACGAAAGAGGGGTTGGGACCCGTGACCATGGCTTCGTGGTCATCGGAGGTATGGCTCCGAACTTCAACAGCCAGCCACATCATTTCTCGGAGCAAGGGTTAATAATGCGGGGAAGAGGAACGAGACAAGCCCCAGGACTCTGATCGGCAAAGAACCCCCCATCTCATGTCGAAGCAATCGATCGGCTAATGTTACTTTTGTGTAGGTGCCGTTGCCGCTGGATGGAATATGGTAAACGACATGACTGGAGGAATCTCAATTGTCATATCATAATTGCCCCCGATAACTTATGCAATTGACAATAATCATCTATTTGTGACACTTTTAGCTATGAAGTCAGTATCGCTCTATGTTCTGGTAGCCTGTTGTTTGACTCTCGGATGGGTCTTTTTGACCCTTGTCAAACACATTCGTTCCCCCTTACGACGAGTGCCTGGACCTTTTCTTGCACGGTTCACAAGACTATGGCTCCTCAAGGAAGCTTACTTTGGGACATACCCCAAGACCAGCATCGAGCTCCATAGAAAATATGGTCAGTTAGTTCTTCCACTGTGTCAACTCGGTCTGATAATCATCCCAGGGCCTGTCGTGCGCATTGCACCGAACGAGTACAGCATCGATGATCCTGCGGCAGCCAAGATCATCTACGGCAGTGGTAGGGGATTCACAAAGGTCCGTCACGCACTGGCATGATGGTATCAAAGATAACTAACGCACTTGAGCAGTCTCCCTGGTATTGGGCCAGCGGCAATCCTTTCAGTTCACTCCCCAACATCTTCGTCGAGCCGAATCCGCATATCCACGCCCAAGCCAGACGAAAGGTCGCGGCAGCCTACTCAATGACCAACTTGGTCCAGCTAGAACCCTTCATCGATAAATGCTCCGCTGTTCTTCGGGATCGATTAGAAGAGTTTGCTCGGTCTGGTACCGCCGTGGAGATATCACACTGGATGCAGTGCTATGCTTTTGATGTAATAGGCATGATGACGGTGAGATGCACAGTCGTTGTTATCTTGTTACAATTTACTAAGTCTGGCAGCTCGGTAAACGTTTCGGCTTTCTAGACTCTGGTGAAGATATACAAGGGATAATGTCGTCCCTGAGCCAGTACCTGGTTTACTGTTCCAATGTCGGGGTGTTTCCGGAGTGGCACAAGACTCTGTTCCGTCGACAAATGCGATCAAAGAACGTATCAGGTTTGACGCATGTCAACGAGTTTGCTGATGCACAACTGGAGGACAAGCGTGAGAAGGTCAATGCAGATGATATACCCTATCCCAATGTAGCAGAGGACTTTGTCACCAAGTTCCTACGCCTCCAGGCGCAAGATCCAGCCAAGATTACCAACGCAGACATCAGCTCTGTGTGCAACATGAATATTGGCGCGGGGTCTGACACAACATCTATCAGTTTGACTTCAATCATCTTTAATCTAGTCAAGCATCCCAGGGTTCTTCAGCAGCTCCGTGCCGAGATCGAACAGCACGAGAGTCAAGGCACTATATCAGATCCAATCAAATTCGCTGAGGCCAGCCAACTTCCCTATCTCCAAGCAGTTATAAAAGAAGGTCTCCGAATGCATCCTGCTACTGGACTCAGTCTGGGCCGGGTCGTTCCACAAGATGGTGCGACTTTGGCAGGGCGATACTTTCCTGCAGGAGTATGTACTCCAACCTATGAATGATGATTCATGATGTATTCTAACTATGATAGACTGTCGTTGGCATTAATGCTTGGGTAGCCCATGCCAACACCAAAGTATTTGGTCATGATGCTCACGTATTCCGACCCGAAAGATGGCTCGATTACCCAGAGCTTGTCAAAGAACGTGAAGCATATTTCATGACGGTAAGTGACATACTGAAAATACCTTCGGTTACTGTATTCTGACTTTGGACTTCAAAGTTTGGTCAAGGATCTCGCACGTGTCTGGGCAAGAACATCAGCCTTATGGAGCTTTCTAAAGCTGTTCCGCAAATAGTTAGACACTTTGACTTTGCTCCAGACACAGAGTCTGGAGAGCCAGAATACGCCACAGAGAATGTTTGGTTTGTTAAGATTAGGGAGTTTTACTGTAAGGTCTACAGTAGATATAGGCACTAATGGTACAAGTAATAGTATTGGGGGACAGTATAGTCTTGAAAAATTCTATTTACAAAATTGCCTTGTATTCCACCCGTGATTCCTAGAGCTACTTTCGTAGCGACTTGTCACGGCCGTACTGAACAGTCATTCTATCGAATCGCCGACGCACAAAGGGAAAAGCAAGAGAGCCCACAAATGACATAAACACATCGTAAAGAGTACTATCGCGAGGGCTTGGGCCTCGCATGTTGTTCAATGTCAGGTCAGTCGTCATGTCCGTTGTGATGATGTACCGCCCCTTCCTGATACCCCTGAAGATCTTTGCGGCTATGTCCTCGGCACTCTGTATGCTTTTAAGCAGTTCCTCCGTGTCCGAGTAGTTTGAACCTTCCATGTTCTTGAGGAGCTCTGGTTTCGTCGCCTGCTCCAGCATGAACGAATCCGTGATGAAGGCCCCCGGAAAGGCAATGTGCACACGATACATGCTCTCGTCACCGTATAGGAGTAGCTCTTGGCGGAGCGTGTCTGCTAATGCTCGCACGGCAGTCTTTGGTGGTGTATAAGCGGTGTAGCCTGGGAGAGCAACAAAAGCAGCGCCGGAAGCGATATATACCAAGCGTCTGGTGCGACTTGGATCCGGCTGTTGAACCCAACGCTGCACACACCACTGTGTGATGAAGAGGGAAGCATGATAATTAGACGAAAAGCAGGTCGCGAGCGATTCCGGTGCAAGGTCTGCAAGGAAGCCTATTTGATCTGGAGTAGTGCCACCAACGCTGCAGATTAGCAAGTCTGGCGTGGCATTGTGCTCCGACATGGCATTTCTCAGCTATGTGATTGATTAGCTTAGACTGCCAGCCATGTATAGCTGTTCTTGTCTTCCTCACAGCAGCGTGATCGCTAAGATCCACAGAAATGGTGTGAACAGTCTGATCCTCTGATAGACGGGCGGCCACGATTTCTTCCTTGGCCTCCTGGAGGGGCTTCGGGTTCCGAGCAAGAATGACGACGCTAGCCCCTGGTAGTGATGCTATCAGAATAAACCGACTACTGGGCTTGCGGTACTCAGGAACTCTTACCTTTTTTCGCAACCTCTACCGCCATGATTCTGCCCAGACCTCGAGATCCGCCTGCGATACATACCGTCTATTAAAGTTTCAGCGCCCTCGCTTCTTCTAGTCGTTAACAATGGGTGCTTACCTGGCCAACCAACGTATCTTGGCCTGCCATTTTAGAAGTGTTTATTGCCGTTATTCCAAACTGGGCATTCTCATATATGAAAAGTGAATTGCAGATTGTTGCAGAGTACTGATAAATAACAACATAGCCGGTACTGAATTCATAGCTCGGCCCTCCGCGGATCGAACCAAGATGGGCCTCATTGGTTGATCACGCACGGGGCTAGGAAAGTCGGCTCCCTCGGGTCCCGGTCCTGTCAATTCTCAAACTCTCGTGCAAGCCGGGGCCGGGCGGGGGCTGGAGAATCCTTGCCTAAATATTATAACGTACCTCCATAAAGAAAGGGTTGACAAATCGGAACCCGTAATTTCTGGCGACTACTTGCCCAGCAGTCTGACTCTAACCAAGTAGATAAGTAAGAGGAAACCTTAAAAGCTGTCCTCCAAATAGTTTAACACTTTGGCATTACTCAAAACTCAGAGTCTAGAAAACCCTGTCACGCAGAACAGTTAGTTTGTCAAGATTATAGAGTTTTATTACAAGGTCTACAGTAGACATAGGTAGTGATAGTACATGACAGCTATTCTTGGAGGACTGTTGATCAAGCATGATCATCATTATGATGGCCCAAACGGGAAGATGGAAGAGATGTCCATCAGATTATCCAGGAATCCATTGTCGACGACTATATCTGCCATGTCGAGCTCGTTCAACCACGTCATCGCTAGTTGATCCGTGCTTTGTTCAAGTGAAATCCTGTGCACCATTAATATCACCCTGCGGGAGCTTGGGAAGGCCCTACATACCGTTGTAGAGGTTCAGTTACCATCTGGGGATATCCCAAAGCCTCTGAAGGCTGCAGCGTGATATTCGATGTATCTTCGACCCCCTCAGCAAGTCCACACTGCTGTAACTGAAATAATGTCTCCGGAATGAGGTGCTTTGGGTAGCCAGATACGCTGATAGCCAGTAATATTCGCAGACACTGCTTCGCACGAGCTTGATGGCCGTCCATGTGATATAGTCCGCAAGCAGCAACAATGACCTGAAGCGCTTGTAAGGCGAAGAGATAGTCGGCCATTACCAGGCTGGAAGCTACCTTGTGAAGGACCATGCTTTCTAAAATCTCAAACGTTGACTCAGCCGCAGATACACAGGTCTTGGCAAGCGTAGCAAATATGGGTTGCTTGACTGTCTCAACGTGCTCGATGCCCTGTAAAAGATTGCACAGAAGGAAAGGTTTGGTGACGAGCATCATGGTGCTCCAGTAGCGAAGATGTAGGAGAGATATAGAACGTCTGTAAGATAGTGATACTGACGGTGATAGATGAAGATGAGGCGGTACGTGCTCTAGCCAGTCTTGCAGTGCACTTATGGAATCGTCGAAGTGAGCCCTCGATAGCTTTTGCCCGCCATGTACAGGCCCATCGTAGAGGTTCTGCCGAATACTCTGCGTTATTTGAGCGAGACGTATACACTGCTCGAGATATCCGTTTGGCGTATGTGAACCTGGGCTGACAACCTGAGACGTGTTAGAAAGGCCCTGTGGGCTCGCTCAAGCCAAGTACATACGAATTCCGAAGGTAGAGGCGGCTTCCAAGAAGTCTCGTTGGGTGGACTGTTCATGCTTGGCTTTCCCAATGCCAGAGAGAGATCTTGATCAACAAGATACAAGGTCCACCAAAGGCGACGAGCATGTGCTTGACTTACTACTCCGCTTTTGGTGGAGTATTTGTCGAGGTGGAGACCGAGAGAGAACGCGATGCGAACTGCGAGTCCAATGTGAAGGTACGCTGAGTTGGTGAAGCCGTTGGACTGGAAGGCCAAGGACTAGAGATAATTAATCGCGTAAGTAATGGTATTAGCGATTATGAAACTGAGAGCGACTTACCAGCACTATCAAAGCTCTGATACTGTCAAGATCTGCTTCGTCACAAACCCTCGTCACAAGAGACTTGGCCATCTCCAATGAATCATGCGCCCTCTGCCCGTTGACCAACCCATTAGGCGATGGTTCACACGAAGCGCACAACGCTACTATCCCATGAAGCGAACAAAGCCACGAAGCGGTCATCTGCCCATTATCACCTGAGTAAGTCGTCTCAAGTCGGGTATAGAAGGATTCCGCAGAGTATATCCAGTACAAGCAGTGGACCTGCTCAAAGAAGCGAGCTGCACAAGCGGACAACAAATCTTGGGAGGGGAATTGGCATGGATTCCCAGGTGAAGATGCCACATCCGTTAAGGGAGATTTGACTGATGGTGGACTGACTTTGAGCATTCCGGGTATTTTATCCTTGTCCTTCTCTCTGCTTCTTGTCCCTGCGCCCATTCTGAGCATCCATGACCTCACGGCGCTGTTGAAGCTGGCGCCTGACTCAGCTCCCATGTAGCCTGCACATGTTAGAAGTGGGCACGGGCGGTGTGTAGCTAGGGAACTTACGATACTCTCCATGGGCATCGGCTAGCAGACAACCCAGGTCATGGTGCAGATTGACAATCTCTGGCAACAATATCTCTTCCTCTTGACTTTCCTCTACATCATGTAGCAAAGCCTCTCCTTGATCTATAGGTACATCTCCACAATCTATGAGTGGTGCTTCTGCCGACACTTCAATCAGAGACATCGCAGGCGTCGAGATATCTGTCTGTATTTTGAGCGCCGGCTTTTTATGTTCGTCAATCAATCGTCGCAGATTCGGTATCGTAAGCTCCTCGTCTGGGAAGCAGTTACTGCACAGTTCACGCAGCAGACGATATTCCTCTTCAGAGACGAAGTAGAAGGGCTTCTGCCGCCGCTTCTCCATATCCACCGAGCAAACCTCATCGATGCTGCGGCAGTAATCGCAAGGGCCATCGGCATCTTCACTCAGCGTCAGTCGCCTGTCATCTGGCCATTGCAGCCGACCTACCAGGTTTATTGCACTTGGAGAAAGGGTTAGTAAGACGTACAATGCGAGAGGCTCGGGAATAGTTACCTTTGTCTTCCGCGATTTGCAGCGATCGCAGCTGATGGCCGTCCGACTGACCCTCGATTTCTTTGTGACTTTGGAGCTACGCGTCGACATGATGTCTCACGGCACCGTGGCCTGGCTACAGGGCAGTGAGCAGAGGCAAGATGCTGTTGAGAACAGTTGGAACTTGGGAGAGACGAGGTTTGCTGGGGTCTCCACTACCCCAGACTCTGGATCGCCACGAGTTTGCGGGGGTGATAAACTGAACTGCAGGTATTGGCTAATCGGTTAGGCTTAATTGAGCCCCCTATCAACTAACCAGGGCTTCCCCGCACCTTGCCTACCTATCCTACCAGCTGGGTTTCAATTCACTAGCTATGCCACAAGCAATAATTACACTTATCGCTTTGGGAATGGTCACACTGAGCTCGGCATAAAATAGCGGCAATTGCATCGTTTCACTAACTCTAACTCTGACTTTGAGAAGAGCTGCTATATGACGCCAGGAAGCTCTACTGCAGACCGGCGCTTTTAGTAGGCGCATCAATACCCCTCTCATTCGAGTTCAATCTGTGGCGACAGTATCACAGAAAAGGCGAGTCAGTATGCTTGACTACAACTCCCATTATGAAGGCAATGGCATCATAAAGCTTAGGGCATTCTACATGAACCCTTAGGGCCTAAATGCCTAATTATTTGTACTAACAGGTTTGCTCTTCTGGTTAATTTCTACGCTACCTGACGAGTTAGCATTTGCGAGGCATTAGCCCCCAGGAGTCATGTCGCTTAAACTCCCTGTCATTTCTTGTCTCCAGTTACTGATTATTTCTCTTCACTAAGTCATGCCCACTCTTGATCATCTGGTCTATTCTCCAGTTCCGATGCACCATTCACCTGCTCTCTTAAATGTCGCTGAAGTCTGCCTTTACTCGGGGTCACCACTGACCTAGCCCTCGATTCCATAGACAGGATAAGTTCATGAGGAAATGGTCGACGAACTAGGATAGTTCTCATAGGACTTGTCACCAGAACCTTGACTGTCGCGTCTGTCTTTTGTTCGTCTGAAATTCGAAGAATGGTTACCAAGACGTCAGCCATGCTCTCTTTGAACTCCTCTCGCTCATAGTACACGATGCCGTCGATTAAGCAAACCAGCAGAGTCGATCTTGGTAGCTGGAAGACGATTCGCTCAAACAAGCAGCAAAGCTCATGGATATCACCTCGGTAGAGTAAATCCGGTCTCACGTCATCGGCTGAGATCGATGTGCTAAAGTCATACTGGCAGAGGAGCTGACATATGAAGCTTTGGATGATAGCACGACCGCCAGTGTGCTCATCTACATCACAGTTGTCATGCAATCCACAGTAGAACACTAGGTGGATACACCTTAAGGGATTGCTTCCGAGAGAATCGGCCAAGGATGCGCATAACAGCGTTAGCCCTGATACTCGTCGTCTGCTGTCGTAATTTCCATGAACAAGTAGCTGTGATGAGCGTGGGGAGACGAGCCACTCTTTTAGCTGTGCAGTATGTACGAGCTGCTCAGCATGGGCTTGTTCAATGGCAGGTACTCGCACATGTCTTGCCCTATTGATGCGTTCCAAATCCCTTCCTCTCAGGTCGCGGATATTGATCCAGTCTAGAAGGTCTTGCGGGTTGACGTATTGCCCAAAATTCACTCGCGCCATGGGGGGAATAGGCGAACAAGGACGGGAGTTATTGTATGCCATCCTCTCCATTTCGCTCGCTAGGATTCAATTAGCGACTAGTTGAAAATGCCGTTCCAATGTCATTGATACCTCTAAAGTTGTTTTGGAACTCATTAAAGAGATACAAAATTGATGTATTTAGGAAGTGCTGGTTGCGGTGTATTTCATCAAGCGTTGCCATCCCTGGAAGGACATTTTGTCAGTAGCTAGGCTTACTCATGGAAGCTTTCAACTTACGGTCTAAAACCATATGCAACCCGTTGCTCGTTTCATACTTTCCTGACATATCAGCTTCATAGATGAGGTTTTCACTCTGAGCTTTAATCGCAGCCAGACTTTCCGTTATCCTTTGCTGATAACCTTCCGGATTGAAAGTGACAGCCATCACTCTTTTGCCTATAGATATGTAAAGTCAGTACACCTAATTGAACACGGTTGAAGCACTGTGAGTGGGACAGCGTACCAGGACTTTTGATGAAGAATGAAATCACACATTCAATGGCATGAAAGACTGCAGCAATCAAATCGATGGCGGCCTTCTCAAGATTCTTGTCGTTCTTGTATATGTGAAGAAACCCTTCAACCTGCTTAAACACCTTGTCAATATCATCGAAAGAACTAAGAGCCTCCTCTCGCACTTTTGCGGCTTTCTTCGCTGCCTGAAAAATAAGACAAAAGTCCAGTCAGATCTGCCGCTAGCAATTAGAATTACTCCAACTCACCTCAAGAAGGACTTGAACAGCTCCCAATACTGGAGTTACATAATCGATATTGGGCACGAACTTGGTAGCGCCAATAACAGGATCGACATTGTCGGCAAGCTTTCTATATACTCGTGTGAACGTGGCTTTGAAGCCCTTGTCTTTCTTGCTGTACGAATCCTTAGCCTTTTCAAGTTGATCAAAGACGCTTGTACAATCTGCCTTATCGCGGATCTTGAATTCCTGCTTTATATCAGGGTCTGTTGAGTGCTTTTCCTTGAGTAGATCCATGGCAAGAGGAAACAACGTATCCCAGAATTCAAGTGCATCCATGGGCTCTGCCGAAAGCTGCCTTTGCGGAATTTGCACATTTTGAGGTGTTGTCGGGCGCGAACCACTTGCTGGAGTAACTAATGACTGTGAAGAACAATGCTCTTCGCAAACTATATAAGCTCCTAGGCTTGCATCGTATCGTGATGGTGGCGTCGCAAAGGCAGGATGATATGAGTCCAAGCGATTGTCAATAAAATCAACCGCTGGAGGCTGCAAATTGATGCTTGGAATGTGAGACCATGATGGCTCCATCTCGGTGTGGGTAGAAGCGAATTAGTTGATGCAAGAATCAGGAAACGGGCGCCGTTCTCCTAAAATCAAGCATAAGAACCACTCAGAAGGTTACTGTCCAAGACGAGAGTTGCATTGTCCATCTTATCGTACCAGGACTCGCTCGGAGGCTCGGGAGTCAGGTGCGGCTGAAAAGTGTTGACGATCTATCATAAAACCCCCTCACGCCCTTATACATGAACCAATGACAAGGGAGCACGTTGCCGCACGGTCGTGGAGGGAAGGAGAAAATATGCAGGTGAGACGGAAGCCGAGCGCCATTCTTGACCTCTTATTGAACGGTTATCTGGGCGAAGCGCTTGCTTTTGGGATCTTTTTGAGGCCCCCAAGAGCGATTTACAGGACGACTGCATATCGGCTTACGTAGGCGAGCAGGTTACCCCTTTGGTTGAAAAATGCATCCGAAGAAACAGGCCGAGCCTTTTCTTTGCTTTTCGTTGGTAGAGAAGGCGAATCAGAAAGCAGGACACTTGCAGGCTAACCCATGAAGCCCTTGCCATGGACTTTCCAATCGTCCATCTGCTGACTTCAACTGATTGGTGCAAATTGATGTTGTTTCAGCCAGGCTTATCTATGCTGAGACCGCTATAGATGTCTATTATCCCCCCATTCCCGCATCTTTCTCATCTTCCCGGTTTCTCTATGCGATTTCTGAAGCTTTCTTATGGGATCATTCAATATGGCGACTTCAGATATACCCCTGGACGACACCCCTGATCCTGTTACATTTAGTCCACTTGGGGAAGGTGACAGGGAGCCTGAACTTCCTGTTGCTCAGCATGATAACGGTTCTGCAACGCACATGGGTCCGACGGAACGAGATGGCCCGGTCTCTCAAGATCTAGGATCGAATAACGAGGGAGTGAACTCCAGCGCCCCAGCTACAAATGACCGCCAAAGTTCTCATGAGTCTCCCTCTGACCTGATGCACGAAATTCGTGCTTTGCAGAGTAAACTCCTTCTTCTTGAAGGGAAAGTAGGAGACGGATCTGGCGTTACTCACAATGACTCAGCGAGGAGTGACGGAAAAAGATTTAGCCATGTTGCAGACGAACGACAACTCCGTAAGCAGATTCGGAGGGCTCAGTCTGCCAGAAAATGGGTTAAAGAAGCAGAAAGCCTCGCTAATGAGACTCGAGACGAGCGAGTCGATTACGGACGGAACGACTTCATGCACAGGATTTCACCTTCAGGGAAAGTATGGCCCATTGACGGCAAAGAAGATAACAGGGGCACGGAATTCCAATCTGAAAGAGAATATGATATTTGGAGGGATGTTCCTCTCGAACCACAACGTGGTATCCGCCCTCTAACCTCGCTGAGACCACATTACTCACGAAAGCTGGGACCACCCAATGAGTGGGATACATCAGACAGCGATGAGTGGAGCAGCGATGGCTCAATACAAACACGGGACTTTGAATATTTCCGCGCGAGACTCCGTGGAGACTTTGAATGGGAACTTGACCGCCTTAACGCTCAGAAGAGCAGATTTGAAAAGTACAAGAAAAAGAAGCAAATCAAAGCTGAGAGAGAAGAGCAAGCAAATCGCAAGCATGATCCGACCGGGGCAAAAGTTGAAGAAGAAGAAAACAGAGAAGAGAGCAATGAAAATCTCGCTATTGTTGTCAATCTTAACCCCCTGGAATGGCGAGAATTCAGAGCCTCTCGGAAGACACTTGCCGGATCTTCTTCTCTCATTGATATTCTTGTAGGAGAACCTCAGGTACTGGATCAGTTCTTCGATCATTATCGCACCAAGGAAAAGGCCACTTTCCATCGTTCAAAGGTAGTTGAGGCACATCAAACGCATAAAGGGGAAAACCTAGGGCACATCGTTGCTTCAGATGGGCAAGCACATCTTCCCGAGCGAATTCGAATTCATTCTAAGGAGCTCATCAAGACTCTTCAAATTATACATGGCTCTGATTTATCCTCCGAAGACATTCTTACGGGCTCACTGGTAATGCTACGTCCATACCGCATGCTGACATACTATGAGAGCGAAATCCGACAATGGCATTCACGATTGGAGAAGAGGTTTCGAAAGTCTAAGTCGCTGACAGTCGAGGATTCAGCGACAGATATAGTCGGAGAAGAAGCAGCCGGTAAGTTGAATTCTTATTTTGCCTCTCTGCATCTCAGTTAAGAGATAGCAGAAAGGACTTGGAACATCGTAGGCTGACTTTGCTTTTGGAGATGGAGAAAAGGGTGATGAAAGGTCTACTCAGGAGGAGGCCTCTGACAACACAGATCCTGAGGGCTATAGCAAATCTGAGACAGCCCTGGAGCATTTGACATGCCTGCTCGAGTTCGTGGACCAGTACATCTTGAAAAGACAGGAATTCCTGGAAAGCTCAGCCTGTGAAAAGATATTCTTCTCCGACCTTTGGCACTTGTTCAAGCCAGGAGATCTTGTCATTTCTGCCGATGGCAAGCAGGCTTACCAGGTTTTCAATGTGATCTCCCATCCTCACGTTGGAACAAACCGTTGGTCTAAGTTTACCAGAGACACGGGAGACTCCTCAGATGAGTCTATTGAGGATGACATTTCCGTCCAGTGCGTCTTTATTCATTTTGATGGTCAGCAAATTGGTCCCGTGTTGACGACCTTCAAAATACCAAAGTTTGACGGCGAAAAGCCTGTCACTTCACTAAGTGTTTATCCTTTCCGATTCCACGTTCGAAAGAAACTGGATAGACAAATCATGAAACTCAAGCAGTCTGGGGAACAACTTGACGAAGCCGTGAGCCACGGTGTTACAAAATTTCAAGAAGCACTTATTGAAAGGGGAAAGCTATTCACTGAAGTGGCAGCTGTCAAGCATATGTACTACTCTGGCCTGACGGTTGATACACGCGATGAAGTGCAGAGCCAGGTCATGATCGACTTCGCAGAGGCTTTCATGGTAGAGAAAAATGGAAATTGGAAACCGGACCTCAAGCAGCTAATTGGGTTTATTGCAACGGAGGATTCAAATCCCGAGGCGCCGTGTGACGCTCTGTGTTGCACCAACGAAACCGTGCACAATGACGTCTATGTGGATAAAAAGCGCCATCATGACTTCATGAAAGTAATGATGAGCGGGGTCGAGGATGGCATGGACGACTTACCGCCTGCGAACATATACCCTCGTCCTTTGGAAGCTCTCAAGACAGGAGAGAGTAAGTTGAGAAGAGATGATTTACTCATCATGTCGTACTCTGTCTTCGGTTTCGTCCTGCGTGATCGGTCGTGGGGTAAGCCAATCACTACTCTTGATCACCTCAACTCGAGGCCTCCAGGCTAACTTCAAAACAGCTAAGCTGGACTTGACCCATCTCTCTCACATCACTGACTCGGTTGATGATTCTGTTGCTATTAGTGATGACGATACCGAGGATGATAAAACCGCATTTGGACAACTCGTCCTCCCTTCAGGCCACAAGAAGATGGTGCTCTCACTGATATCCCAACACTTTCGGAACAAAGCAATGCAGCGGGAAAGGCAAAGGGACGAACAGGTTGATATTGTTCGTGGAAAAGGTAATTGTCTTTTAAATCCTCTGTATACTTATCCTGACATCCAATTCTACACAGGAAAAGGACTCATCATCCTCCTTCATGGCGCCCCGGGAGTCGGAAAAACAACCACAGCTGGTAAGGGCAATATAAAGCTTATGGCCTCTAGCATTCACTCAATGATCGGAATCTGACTAACAAACATGGCAGAGGGTGTCGCTGAGAAGTTCAAGAAGCCGTTATTCCAGATAACATGTGGTAAGTGGCATGCACTATTCCTTTGTTGCCAGCCCTGTGTCCCCTTTGCCCTCTTCAAATTTGTCGCCAAGTTAAAACAACAACAGGTGATCTCGGATCAACTGCAACACAAGTAGAAACCGCCTTACAAACAAACTTTGCACTCGCCAATCGATGGGGCTGTATCTTGCTTCTCGACGAAGCCGACGTGTTTCTAGCAGAGAGACGAAGGGACGACTTTACTCGTAATGGATTGGTTGCCGGTCAGCAAATTTCTGAATCTTGATATTTTCTTTACATACTGACAAGATGGTTCACTACCATAGTCTTCCTCAGAGTTCTAGAGTACTACGCTGGAATCCTCTTTCTCACGACAAACCGCATCGGAGACTTTGATGAAGCTTTTGCCTCAAGAATCCATATGAGTCTTCACTATCCCCCTCTTGAGCTACTTTCAACTTCCAAGATCTTTGAGCTCAACCTCCAAATGATCAAAACACGATACCAAGATGCCGGCAGAAAGATTAAGATTGACAAGGATGAGATAGTCCGGTACGCTGTAGATTATTGGCAGAGAAACGACAAAGCACGACTGAACGGTCGCCAAATCCGGAATGCATGCCAGACGGCATTGGCGCTTGCAGAGTTTGATGCTCAGCCAGAGGGGAGCAAGTACGATCTCGCGGTGACATCGGACGCGAAAGTACACCTGTCGGTCAACAATATTCAGACCGTTTCAGAGGCCTACCTCGAGTTCATAGAGTACCTGAAAGCTGTTCACGGTACTGATGCTGAGACTCATGCCAACGAGGCAGGCCTCCGTGCCCTCGAGACCGCCTACTTGGCGATGAAATCTGGCAGTAGTCACAGAGGTAAGAGTTCTGGACAGGCTCCAGAAGGAAGACAGAACCCACTTGAGAAGTTCAAACTACAAAGTCCCCCACCCCGAGCTCAGACAACTGAGATGCGGCCAGAGCAAGACTATCACTCTCAGCAACATCGGCGAGGGCCTTCATACGATGCATCACAGTCTTCGATAGCGCCATACAACACGCCACCACGAATGTCCCATCCACAATCTGGTATGCCGCCGTATGGACAAGGAATGAACATGGCTGGCCAGAACTACCTGCAATACCAAGATCCTGCCCCAGGTCAAGAACAGTTCAATCCTCCTGGAAGCCAGCAACGCCTCCCTTTACCACAGCACAGGTCATATTCTCCCTCTCCACCTGGTACGGGTCCTCAGTATCGCCCTTCGAGTGGAACGCATATAGCAGATGGTGCCTCAAGTTCAGCGATGGGTTCGATGCACGAGCGGCCAGCTGATGCATATGGTCGCCAGGATCCCAGGACGGGAAACGTGTGGCCTTTAAATGTTAAGGGACAGCGACCGGGAAACGATCTGCCTCAGCAGTTCACAGATCACAACCAACCATATCCTCATCCTGGAAATCCTCTTTAAGTTTTAGTATATATCTCTTGAATGAACTATGTCTTTTGAAAACAATAGGCTAGATGTTACCATAATAACAAATGCTAGTGCGTACATATAAGCCTGTGAGGTTCTATTATACTATATATTTGAACCATAAAGCACTATATGAAAAGACTTTTGTTTGTCCGAATCAGTAACATTCTAAACCAACAATACGTTTTTATTTATAATTTCCTGGCTCTAGATCTGCCTCAGAGTCGGCCCAGGACACCGGACTCCGACCTTACTCTGCCTTGCAAGGTCAAAAACTGGCTGTTAGGTGGCTCTCTGCCAGTTATTCTACGACTTTAGATCCGCGGCTATATGTACTCGGGCTATATTGCGCTACGAATGGAGCGGTCTGGCGCTGAGGGCAAAACCAGAGGCGGTAAGGGTAAACAAAGACATACGTGGCTTCAATGCACAAGATTGCACCAGCGTAAGCCGGTTTCATTCTAGTTTAAAAGCAGCTTAAAGTCGAGTGGGTTAGGCACTGGACTGTACTAATTGCCACCATTGTCCCTTGTCGCGTCAGGCTCAAAGTAAGGTCTCAATAGCTCAAACGCGTCACCAAACTGAGACTTCTGCACCCATTCCCATTTGATCTGCTTCTCGGTCTCGTTCATCTCATAATGCTTCATCAAGCTCACCAGAATGGTTTCATGACCTTCCTCCGCAGCGACCGTAATGGCATCCCAAATATGCTTTTGTCGAACACTCCTGGACGAGTAGCTCGCCTCCAGAAACATGTCGACAGTACGACAACGACCTTGCCTGGCAGCGATGACAAGAGGTCGCTCATCCGACCACTGATCCATAAAGACGTCCGCGCCGTTCTTGACGAGCATTTCCAGTAATCTATCGTTATCCTCAAAATTATCGGGCTCACACCCGCTGAGCGCACATAGAAGCACGCGATCATCCATGTTAGGATCTGCCCCTCGCTCAAGCAGTAGCTTCACAACATCGTCATGGCCACTCTCCGCCGCCCAACTCATCGCGGTTAAGCATTGCGTCTCGTCTTGCGCGTTGGGGTCCGCGCCGGCATCGAGAAGGCGTTCTACGATGTCTCGGTATCCAGTCATAGCCGCGTGCAAAAGCGGCGTAAATTCTTCGTTGTCCCTCGCATTTGGGTCTGCTCCGTGCTTCAGCAGCAGAGCCACAGCTTCGTCGTGGCCCCGTTCAGCCGCGACCATCAGAGGAGTCCATCCTTCATCGTCTGCCAATTCCACATCTGAACCGTTATCAAGCAGAAGCGACATTATTTTAATGTTTCGTCCAAGAGAGGCTCGGCAAAGCAGCGTCTGTCCCTTCTCATCCTGTTTGTCCATAGAAGCACCCTGACGCAATAGGCTTGCTACTATCTGCTGAAACCCGAGCTCGGTCGAGTGTGAAAGTGATGTTTGCTCGTCACCGCCCCGAGAATGCGCGTTGACGGCCTTTTCTAAGAGTTCCTCAACGACATCCAGACGCGCTTCTTTTAGGGCTTCCAGAAGAGCTATTTCTAGATAGAGCTCTCCGTATGGGTTCGGCCAGTTCAGCCTCAGGTAACCCATGGCATCTTCCAAAGGACTGAGGCTCGGCTGCTCTGACTGTTCTTTTGTTGGTATAGGCTGCCAGAAAGGTACTTCTGGATAGAGGTCCTTGTACTGGTTCACGTCTAGCTTCAGACGGGGAATGGCATCCTCCAGGGAACTGAGGTCCCCATGCCCCGATTGTTCTGTTGGTTGCATGGTGTTTTGGTACGTCTTGGTAGAGTCGAATAGGTTTCTTAATTGTTCTTCGAGCAAGATTCTCTCTATTTGAAGCTTCTGAAATGTGCTTGGACATGTCAAAACCCTTGCAGGTGCCTGGCTATGACCCACATAGTCGGATGTCGCCGGTGCTCACGGACGCCGTGCCATACTATATTTGACATGTCAGAGGAGTCGTACCCACCAGATAACAGACCGGTATTGCCAAAACAAGGTAGGAATACGATGGTCTTTGAACTAAGTCTGCTCTGCCTAAAGTTTGTTTTCGCTCAGAGTTGAACGCCAAGGTCTACTAAGAATACGGCAAGATCCCGATATGGCAATTCGTCATTTGATTGAAGTTTCATCTCATTTATCCTCCACTGGTAGTATCATAAGTGGCAACCATGACTAACGTGACCCTTTTCTCTGACTGGAGCCGGCTCCTTAATCAGGCGCATCATTCCCTAGACCATCATCTTCTCAGTGTGGTTGAAACCTCAAACCAACTGAGTGTTGCTATCTGTTTTGACAAGCCTGGCGCGCATCTTCGCTGCATCTCTAGTGAACCAAGCGGCGACTATTATCATTCCCACAATTGCCAGCTGCAGGGAAAAAGTGACGAATCTGATGGCAAAACAGCCCGTGGTAGGATGCAAGATGGCGATGTGCGTAAATGAGTAAATAAGGTCGTAGTTCATGCGGATCAACTGAAGGACTGTGGCAGGCGCAGCAGCCATCATCATCACCTCAGCAGACCGATAGCTTATATCTTGTCGCGCATAGTAGATGTGTTTGCCGGCAGGGTATAGCCAGATCAGAGTGCCAATCATCACAAGAAACATGATTATGTTCCCCGTCTTGTCCATAGCATCGTTGTTTACATTTTCCGGCATCGATGTATTTCTCGTTCCGCCGTATGCCGCTAAGATCGTGCCGATGGCATATATTATATTCATCGCGACCATGAGTATCCGGTTCCGTTGGCGTTTATATGGGAACAGGGGAAGTTTCAAACTAGTGCGATATTAGTCCCCGTCCAAGACATCTGGACGTATAGATGTTCACATACGCTTCGTAGATCAAGCCCATAATGGCCGCTGATAAAGTACCAGTGCTGGCACCGGCGGCCACCATGGCATATGTGGTGGGAGTGTCAGGTTCGTTAAGCCGTGATAGGTAATAAATCTCCGCACTAATCCGAAAGACAAAAAAGAACATGAGTGGTGAAAGCCACGACTTGCCAATCTCTCGGTGTTTATACGCCACATATACCGCTGGGAATAACAAGGAAACGAATACAATGACGATTGTAGCGGATAGACCGATGCATGCTGTCGTGGGAGGGCTGGGCGGTTGTGAACTGGAAGTCGACATGATGACTTGGTAAAGACTCTGTAAGTGTAAGAACGGCTCGATATTTTGTTGTCAACTCGATAGAATGTCAGAACCAACCCAAATATTTATCAGCTACAAGAGCCCTACATATCGACAATAGAATCCCTCTGCCCAGCCCCCTATCCCAGGAAAAAGGGCTGAGCCAAAACAAAGACCAAAACCCCAGTGAAACCGAGTCAGTTTCTGTGCCAACAAAACAGCGCCCAGCATCGCCTTACAACTGTTTCCTAACTTTAAACGCTTCAAGCGCCGGGGAGACGTCAGCAAGCGTTCCGCCGTCCAGGGCTCTTGACCTATCAGCTCGGTCGACGTGCTTCGTATAGGACATACAAAGAAACACAATGCGTAATCGTGAGGCGCGGCGGGCCCTGCAAAATCATGTGGAGCCGAGTCCCGAGCGCAGATCGTCATGACTAAGCGGGAGAAGTGCTACTACCGTATACTTCCGGCCGGCGCTCGGCAGATCTCACTGCAGAGCTTCCTCGCTTATAATAGATCTTATCTCGTATATGGTAAATCCTGCCCTGGTTTCAGCGGCATAATAAACTTTAAACACGGAAGATATTGATCTTTGTCTTTTTTACAGGGCCTCGCTTGAGTTTTAATATAGCATCGCGTGCCTGGCCTTGCTTATCTGTGTTGCGATCTGCAACCCAACCGCTTCTATCACTTTTAAGCCACCTCATGCTTGTGGATCCCAGTGATGTGACAGCCAGCCAGTATTTGCGTACATGTACTAAGTTATTTGCAAAGAGCAATCTTCGGTTTTGGCGTGGATCAACAAGCATTGGGTGGCTCAAGGAGATGAGGGACGTGACACTCGTCTATTCAGCCAGCTCAACATAACAGTCCCTTCCGAAGCACACTTCGGGCGGTGTACACTACCCACACAGTCTTCGTATAAAACCTAAGGTGAAATGTCTGTGACAGGTTTCATCAAGAGTTTGTCTTGGATCCTTTATGGCTTCCCTGTCAGCTAAAGAGTCCACCAGAAACAGAGTTTGCTCCCAAACGGATCATGCATTAGCTCTGCAGATCTAAAACAGCCCTTCCCGCAAGCCTCCCACTTTCCATCTCCCTAAAGACTTCCGTCAACTCACTCAGCTTCCTCGTCTGATAGTGCACAGTAATGACTCCCCTCGCTGCCAAGTTCAGCACATCGATCGCATCCTGGCGATTTCCTAATATCGACCCAACGATCTTCAGCTGTTTCTGAACGATAGGACCAGGCATGGCGCTTGCAATAGCAACGGGTGTTCCACCAGGCATTCCAACGCCCACCAGAGTCCCTCCAGGCCTCAGAAGTTCGAGGCCTTGAGAGTATGCTGCGTTGCTGGATGCACATACAACTACCGCGTTGGCGCCGAGGTTGTCGGTGAGCTTCTTGACCTGGGAGACCAATTCCTCGCCGGGTGTCGCAGCATCAATGAATATCTCTGCCCCGCTTTCCCTCACAACATCTTCCTTACTTCCCTGATCGATACCGACAACGCGATACCCGAAAGCCTTTGCTGCTATCTGGGTGACAAGATGTCCCAAACCTCCTCCAGCTCCCGAAACAACAACCCAATCGCCTGGACTGGCGTTCACTTTGCGTAATGCCGCGTATGAGGTCAATCCTGCGCAAAGCATTGGTGCAGCTACTTCGGAGCTCACTCCATCAGGAATGGGTGTCAGATATCGAGCTGGTACAGTGAGATATTGCTGGAATGTCCCGGGGTTGAACATGCCAGACACAGACTGTTTGGCACAGAGGCCATCCTCCCCAGCGATGCAGTAAACTCGAAACATGTCAGCTAACTGTTTAAGTGAAAGCGAGGTCACATACCGCAGCTACCGCAGATATCCCTTAGCCATTTCACTCCGACTCGGTTCCCAATCACGAAGCCGTGTATATCTGCGCCCTCTCCAACCTGAACAACTGTTCCAACACCCTCGTGGCCGCCAATTTGAGCTACATCCATCATATCAGAGAAGTACACATACCACCTCAGAATATTACTTACTGTCAGGAAGCGAAAAAGGCATTCCCCAAGAGTTCTTCATGATAGAAAGGTCTGAGTGGCAGACACCGGAATGAGAGCTGTCTTTGTCAACTCGTTTCCGTCCATGATCAGACATCGAGACTTACAGTTTCACCAACACCTCTCCTGCAGATGGGCTGGGAGTCTTAATGTCTACCACCTTGGTGCTGAGCTCACCAGGTTTGTCGTAGACAGCAGCCCGGTGAATTGACAGAGTGTTGGGAACGATCGCCATGGTGAGTTGTGATGAGTATCAACGGTTGGGAGATGAGCAAGAATACGGTCTGGTTGGAGAAAAGTACTACTTGTTTGTTATGAAAACGTCCATATAGCACAGAATCTATTGACATATGATGTCTTCTTGCTAAATACAAAATACCACTGTTAAGCTCCCCTCGGCTCCATCCGACAAAGCCGGTGGAGTCTCGCCGAGTCGGAAGTATTGAAGCGATGGCTCAAGACAACCCAAGATCCCCGCTTCTCAGTACTCCAACGGAAGTTTGAACAATTTTATAGCGTTAGTCCTTCCAACTTGCTCTTTCGCGTCAGCATCCAAGTCCACAGTCCTCCACCACGCCTGTGCTTCTTCAATATCATCATACGGAGTATCTACCCAGAGATTAGCCTCACTCTGCAATCGTTCTCATTGAGATTTATTACCTATAGAGTACATGCATCTGTCGAGTCCAATTGTCTCGATGCAGAGCTTCAGGCCAGGGGTGAAGAAGTTTCCTGAAGTTGTGATGTAGACATTGTGCTTGAAGTAATAATTGTAGTCCTCCTTTGACGGGCGCGTGGCCTTTTTGCTTGGCTTGTTATACCAGTGGCTGGCTCTCCAGAGATTGAGTGGGATGCTGTGCGCCAACGTCAGTAAAAGTTTACTATGAGTAAATAGGTTCATACTTCTCTCCCAAATGCCCAGCGACGATCTTGGCGCCTGGGAATCTGTCAAAAACTCCTTGGATGGGGTCAGTCTCCGAAATCGTAAATTGAATTGAGATGTCTCACCAGACGAGCAAAGCGCGTAGATATGGTATGAAAGATCGAGATGGAACTGAACAGCTGCACCTTGAAGATGAGGTCGATCTCCATACAGCGATCCAGGTTGAAGGTCTTTGATCGACACGTATCTCGGATGTAAGTAAATCGGAACATCCAGCTCTTCAACCTTCTTCCAAAATGGATCATACTTGGCAGTGTCAAAATACTCTCGTCCTGATCCTCCCTCTACGCTCTGATAGTCGTTGACAAGTCCACCAAAGAACCCCAATTGTTTGACAGCTCGTTCAAGCTCTTGCGCTGCCTCTTCGGGGTCATGCATCGACAAAGCTGCAAGGCCGCCGAATCTCTCTGGCCTTTTCGCGACCTCGCATGCCAGCCAGTCATTGGCTTCTTTGGCTGTTTTCTCTGCAAGTTTGGGATCCGTGATGCCCTGGCATCCTGGTGCGGTCAGCGATAAGAGCATGTACTCGACACCTTCTGCATCCATAGTTGCGAGGCGCTTGTCGTGAATGTCAAGTAGCTTTGCAGCGTGTGCTTCAAGGGCCTTGTTGCTGCTGTCGCCAGGGTTGAGAATTGAAAAGGTTTCTTCGAGGAGCCATTTTGTTGATGGCGTAATGATTGCCTCTTCCACGGCGATGGTGCCTCGTTTAGTCATAACGGATGGTGAAGTGGCTTATCAATCAGACGTTTGACTTTGTTGAATAACCTATGCTGGTTCGGATGAGTAAAACTTTTTGAGAATTGATTGAGTCGGTGTCGCAAACTAAGAGCACTGCGCTCAGAATTATTACATTAAATTAGCAATTTGTTTCTCTCATAAATAAATAGAAGGCCGCCATCAGGGTAACAGACTCTCCGAACACTACTCATTGGACCTTTGTGCCTCCAGTCGTCTGCACAACTCATCATCTGAAACTACCCTGGACTGAGCCGAAGACGCAGCCGGAAATAGACGAAATGAAGGGGCTGTCGTGAGGGGCCATCGGCGGGATGCTTCCGATGGAGGTCTCCACTTCAGAGCCTACACAACGGAGGCCTAGAAGTGGAGATGGCCCAGCATCATCTGATGCCAGGTGCTACAAATCGAGGGCCATCTATAGAGGTCAAGATAAATAATTAATGAATTAAGCCTTTGCCATAGATTGTCTTTTGTAGTGCTCTTGGAATTCATGCCGTGCTAGTTGGTTAATTCTCTTATCTCTTATCTTATCTCAAGTCACAATGGCCCACATTTTCGATGTTGCACCTCTTATCGATACCGGGTATATCGACGGGAAAAAGGTCGGCAACCAGGTCAAGTATCCAGACACTGGAACATTTAGCGGCTTCAACAAGCCATTTCGCTTAGAGGGCGATATCTTCGATCTCGAAGTATCAGGAACCATCCCACCCGAGATCAATGGCACTTTCTACCGAGTTCAACCAGATCATCGTTTTCCTCCCGTCTTTGAAGATGACATACACTTCAACGGCGACGGCAACATCACTGCCATTCGCATCCAAAATGGCCATGCAGACTATAAGCAGCGATATGTCAGAACAGACAGATTTTTAGCAGAGACAAAGGAGAGGAGAAGTCTCTTTGGAAGGTATCGCAATCCATTCACGGATTCAGAGCTCGTCAAGTCAGTCATCAGAACGTCTGCCAACACCAACATCACCTTCTGGAGAGGAATGCTTCTGGCCTCCAAAGAAGATGGACCTCCATATGCCATGGACCCAGTCACTCTGGAAACCATAGGGCGATATGACTTTGAAGGGCAGATCCAGTCGCCAACAATGACAGCTCATCCCAAGTTTGATCCTGAGACGGGTGAAATGATCTGCTTTGCCTACGAGGCAGGCGGAAACGGAAACGATGGATCGCGTCAGATCGCTGTCTGGACAATCGATGCCAGTGGCGTCAAGACCGAGGAAGCTTGGTACGAAGCTCCCTTCTGCGGTATGATCCACGATTGTGGCATCAGCAAGAACTACATCGTGCTTCCCATGACACCTCTGAAGTGCAACCCAGATCGTCTTCAAAAGGGCGGAAATCACTGGGCGTGGGACCCAAAAGAGGATCAGTGGTACGGCGTAGTCCCGCGGCGAAATGGAAAGCCCGAGGATATTATCTGGTTCCGGTCTGATAACGGTGAGTCGATTCGGCAATATGATAAGGTGCTTACTGACATGCAGTCAGCATTCCACGGCCATGTTGCAGGGTGTTACGAAAACGAGGACGGCAACATCGTGTTCGATCTTACGGTGGCAGACGGTAATGTATTCTTCTTCTTCCCGCCCGAAGATACACCAGCTGGCACCGTAGCGAAGCGGAACCGCTTGAACAGTCCTACCAAACGTTGGATCTTTGATCCCAAGAGCCCTTCGGGGACACGCGTACAGGCTAGTGAAGAGTGGGACACGAGTGGTGAATTCTCCCGTATTGATGATCGCTATGTCACGAAGAAGTATAATCACTTCTGGCAAGCAAAGATTGACGGGTCGCGAGAGTACAACGCTGCGAAATGCGGTTCTCCAGCTGGAGGACTGTTCAACTGCCTGGCTCACTATACATGGGATGAGAGGACAGAAGATATTTTCTGGGCCGGCTCTTGTGCTACGTTCCAAGAACCATCATTCATACCCAAGAAGGATGGTGGAGAAGGAGAAGGTTGGCTGATTGCATTGTTGAACCATCTTGACGTTCTATGCAATGACGTTGTTATCTTTGATGCACAGAATCTTGCTGCAGGACCTGTGGCTACGATTCATCTGCCCATGAAGCTAAGACTTGGACTTCACGGCAACTTTGTGGATCAAGCGGATATAGAGGAGTGGCAGGCGAGAAGACAGCCAGGTGGAGATGTTGGTCCCGTGAGAGCGGCTGAGAAGCCATTGCCCTGGCAGTCGGAAGCTGACAGCATATGAGTATTGACTGGTCATTGTGAGAAGAACCGGATCCTTCGGTTGGGATTGAGATTGCATGTAGTATGGATCACTGGACTTGAATCTTTAACAATGAATTTTAAAGTTAAGCTTGCTCCTAATGAATATTTGAAGCACGTCAAAACTATAACCCCACATACGGGAAGATAATAGTCGTGAGGATGTGGACTTGAAATGTAACCTTGGGCCTTGTGATCGCGCAAAAGATGACATCATCAGTTCGAATTCGATACACAAGGAATGAGTATTCCAAATAGACATATATCAGTCGCAGGGATACCGCACATCGGCTTCATGCATTCGTGGGCTTAGATCGTCTGCTTGTGCCTTAAACCCGACCTACCCCCAGTCACGATATCAGCGGAGACCTCGGATAAGTTTGCAGATTACGATCAAAAGGCTCCGAATATGCAGTTACAATGCAATGACACCAGAATGAGTGATACCCCTCAGGTCCTCGGATGGTTAGATTTGGGCTCGGAAGGAATGTCAACTGCGGGGATGTCATCGGACTCATCCTTCCGATGAACGATGGATTATTCAGACGCCTGCAAGTGGGACACTTGACCTGTTACTGAAGTGGGGCATCTTAATGCCGGTCATTGAGTTTATAAGTGTGTACGCCATTGTATGCAGGATCAGAAGTCCACCTGAGAGGAGAAAGAACACACGTTCATAGTCTCAGATCAGCATACAATCTGAATATGCCTGCCGCCAAAACACCACGTGATATTGAGACTCGGCTCTTCATCAATGGAGAGGTATGCAACATGTCCAAATCGATAGAATGGATGTGTTATTGACCAGCGTCTAGTTCGTCGAGTCATCTGATAAGAAGACATTTGAGCTCAAGTCTCCGTCAACTCACCAAGTTGTAGCTGAAGGTATGTCCATTATTCACCTCAACCTTACGCCACTGCTCACAATCTGACTCGTCTACAGTCCACGAAGCAAGTGAAAGCGATACCAACGCCGCCGTCGCAGCAGCAAAAGCCGCATTCCCAGCATGGTCCGAGCTCTCCCCCAAAGACCGAGGCCAGTACTTCAAGAAGCTTGCCTCGCTCATCCTCGAGTCACACCATGAACTAGCATATCTCGAAGCTATTTCCATGGGAAGGCCTGTAAAGGGATACTTTGATGCTTTTGCCGCTGCCGACACGTTCAATTACTATGCCGAAGCTGGAGCCGTGGTGCTTGGAACGAGTAGTCTGAACATGCCCGGACACTTGAACTTTACCCTTCGACAGCCTTATGGAGTTGCTGCGGCTATTATTCCGTGGAACGTGCCGGTTTTGTTCCTTGCTCTCAAGGCAGCTCCTGCGCTGATGGCGGGAAACACGGTGGTTCTGAAGAGTAGTGAAAAGGCACCATTGACTGTGAGTAGCCTATCTCTCGATGCGGATCATTTATGCTAATCAACATCAGTCTGCGAAAGTTGCACAATTGGTCCAAAAGGCTGGCTTCCCACCGGGCGTCTTCAACATCATCTCAGGCCATGGCAAAACATCAGGCGCCATTCTTTCCAGCCACATGGATGTTCGAGTCCTCAGCTTCACCGGATCTGGCCCTACAGGTCGACTCATCCAAGCAGCGGCTGCAAAGTCCAATTTGAAAAATGTCATCTTAGAGCTTGGCGGAAAGTCTCCAGCTATAATCTTTGACGACGCTGATCTTGAAAAAGCATCTGCTGAGACGGCGTACTCCATCCAATGGAACAGTGGCCAGGTCTGCATGGCTAATTCAAGGATCTATGTCCATGAGAGTGTCGCAGAGACATTTATTGAGTCGTTCAAGACAAAGTTCCAGGCCATTGCCGCCGGAGACCCAACTGATAACAAGGTCAACCATGGACCTCAGGCAGATGAGATCCAATACAACAACGTGCGATCATATATCGAAATGGGCAAATCATCCGGAAAGCGTATCCTGGGCATGGATCACGAGGCTACTCCCGACGGCTATCTCATCCACCCGACCATCTTCGTCGAGACCCAAGAAGATGCTCGAATCATGAAAGAGGAAATCTTTGGTCCAGTTGTCAACATCAACACCTTCAAGACTGAAGCTGAAGCAATAAGCAAAGCCAATGACACAGAGTTCGGTCTGTACGCTGCTGTGTATAGTAAGAATATCGACAGGGCAATGCGTGTTGCGAAGAGGTTGGAGGCGGGCACCGTTGGTGTCAACTGTACCAGTCCTACACAGGCGAAGGATATGCCGTTTGGTGGATACAAGACGAGTGGCGTTGGTAGGGAGGGAACTACAGTTAGTCTGAATAACTTCTTGGAGACCAAGACAGTGTTGGTCAAGTTGGAGGAGTTTTAGTATATGGAGAGGTCTCGGATAGTTCTTAATCATAAAATAACCACCCTCACCTCCATCAAGCACTCTCACCACTAGCATTTCATCCGGGCGCTTTAATACATAGTTCGGCAGCAAAGATGCAACATGATACGAAACATACTAAACACCTTTTGAATAAGCATTTACCCACATCTTTGTTGATCTGGGCTTAGCAAGTGCCCCTCGCTCGATCAAGTCCATGTCATAGTCCGTCATCCCCTCCGCCAATTCAAACCTATCAAATTCTTGCAAAGTCCTTGCTATGCACTTCATAATGTGCATCCACGCTAGGCCTCTACCAATGCATCTGTAGGCCGAGTATGTTAGCTATAACCATTCTCGCGCTTTACGTCGCAGTGATGGTATACGTAGGCTCTTACCCTCTTTGACCAGCTGAGAATGGGACAAAAGCTCGGTACATCCTATCCTTCTTTTCGGAAGGCACGTTGAGCCAACGCTCGGGCCTAAATTCATTCGGATCCTCGAATACTCCCTCATAACGATGAATGGTATACGGCTGAGCTGAGATGACGGTCTGTTGTTGGCATGTTAGCTGTAACTGGAATTGATTAAATTTCCCATGCACCGAGATCTATCAAGCACTATTGGGGCTTCTCACGTCTGGAGGATAGGAAACGCCTTCGAATTCAAAGCCCGACTTGGGCACGACTCGGGGCATTGGTGCTGGTGCAGGAGGATAAATACGAAGAGTCTCGCGGATCACGGCATCCAGGTAAGGGAGGCTGGCTAAATCGATACTTGAGTAGCTCTTGCCGAGGACGCTCAGCTCTATTCGTAGACGACGATCTACATCTGGACGTTTGATCAACATCCAGATGACATATGTCAAGGTGATGGAAGTTGCTTCTGACCCAGCGACTCTGATGAGGTGGCGGTCAGTATCGGCACCAGTACACTTGGGCTCTGGAGTATTAACTTACATAAAACCGTGGCCAGCAAGTGCGATAGACCAAGCTGAGTAGCCGTCTTTCGGCTCCCCAGTAGCCGGGTCCAAGTAGCCTGACATTAACGACCCTTGCTTTTTGGACATATCCTGCTTGAGATAATCCTCTACTCGCTCCTGAGAATAAGAAAACACTCTTTGAAGTCCATAGTAAGCGTCTTTAAGCGTCTTAACAGGTAGATATGGTATCAAGGGTATAATGGGCGCAAACGTGTTTTGCTGAAAGGGTTAGGAACTCAAGCAAAGGATATATGTAGTTCTGGACTACTCACAAGTCCTATAAGCATAAAGGCATTGTTGAAGTCAACCACGTATTGATGCTCTTTGCCTGATGTTACTTGGCCAAAGCTCTTGTTAAGGGCTAGATCTCCGATGACGTCTAACATGAAGAACTTGCTGTGCGATGCGTTAGAACAATGTAGCTTAGCAAAGAAGAAACGACAGGTCTTACAAAAGTCCAAATAGATCAACCTTCCCTCTTTGCTTAATGACCTCCATCAAGATATCAAGTTGCTCGTCGAACTTTGCTTCATAGTGCTTAATGTTACCCGGTGAAAACAGAGGCTGTAGATCGCGACGCTCCGCCATTGCTTGCTTATGATCGATGTAATTGAATAGACCGGCATACTTTGGCCCTATACCAGGCTGTATAGTCGCATAGAAATCTGTCTTTAGAAAGCTGCTGCATTTTGTGACGAATACGTGATGGAAAGCTTCAGGTGAAGCTACAGACAGCTGATTTGGTCCGATGCGCACAACATTACCGTGCTTCTCGTGCAATTCCTGAATAGCGCGAAATCGGTCATCTTAATAAGAATATTAGAGCACAGCTTTAACGTCTCCCTTTGTTATGAGTTACTCACTTGTTAATGAATGGTAGATTTCCCATACATTGCTGATGGCGGCGAGCCGAGGGCCGGGGAATTTGCGCAGGGGACTGAGATACAGACGATAAGTAACTCGGCAGAGGAAGTCGATCAATTTGAAAAGAACGATAGCCAGTGTCAAGGATGAAAAGACTTTGAGCCACTTGTGCAGGTGATGGATGTGGAGGTGCAAGTCAAGGCTTGAAAAGGTAGAATAATCCATTGTTGAAGATGTTCTCAGAATTCTGCGGAACCATGGATATTGCCATTTGTGTTGCCTAGGAGGTCTACTCTTATATGAAATTGGCATTGGTTATTAATGCTCTATAATCAAGTTGTTCATGCCATTCATTGACTCCCCACTGTGCTCCGAGGCTGCGTATCTAGTGGGCACTAGGAATCGGTGCATCCCCTCACTTCCGTGCCGGTCCGGAAGTGAGGGGAGGTGGAGGTCATCCGCCCACAAGGATCGGATAGGTGGGGGGTACGTGGGCAGCCTGACACAATGGACTTCTCTAAATTGTATATTATAATGATGACACTGCTCTATGGGCTATTTAGGGAAGGCTACAGGTCCTATGCTAGGAGCTCACAGTTGCACCAAGACCTAATATCCAGTACAGACATATACAACAGGGCCTTAGTCAAAATACTTGCAAGTCAGAACATGGACCAACGAATCGAGAAAGAGAAGCCTGCTCCGCTCAAGATTATTATCTGCGGAGGAGGAATCGCAGGCTTCGCAGCAGCACTGCTCTTGCGTGAGGAACACGACGTTCTGGTCCTTGAATCTTCATCATCCAATGAGGAGCTGGGTGCCGCCATCACGCTCTCCATCAATGCGACTAGACTTTTGAGAAGAAGCTTCGCGCGCGCAGGCTTCGACAAAGATCTCGCCAATTACGTTGAAGCTGAAAAGGTTGAGGGAAACCCTACCCGTCTTACGCTGGTTACACTGTACAACCTACTAACGCCTTCAAGTTCCAGGAGCTCCATTGGAAGGACCTCTCAGTCCTCCTGGAATGGCCAATTAGTGCAGTCACGGAGAAATACGGCGAGCCGTGGTGGTATTTCTCTCGCAAGGATGTCCATGCAGAACTCAAACGTGCTGCACTCTCCGTAGACGGCTTGGGAATAACACCTCGCTTGAAGACAGGCGCTCAAGTTGAAAGAGTCGACTCGAAAACGGGCTCAGTCTTCCTCAAGTCCGGAGATTCCTACAAGGCTGACCTGATCATCGGTGCGGATGGGATTCGGTCGGCGAGTGGCAATTCAGTGTTTGGCAAGCTCGAGACAACATCCGAGGGCCTATCTGCATATCGCTGCATGATCCGCACAGAGGAGCTGAGGAAGAACCCACAGACACAGATTTTGACTGACAGTGCAAAAGTTCTCATAGTCATTGGTCCCGACAGAAGAATCGTCGTGTACCCTTGCTCGAGCTGGGACTGGATGAACTTTGTGTGCATTTACCCAGACACTAGTGATCGACGACTTCAGTGGACTGGTGAAGTCGAGGTACAAGAGATGGTGGAAAGGTTCAACGACTTTCATCCTTCCATAGTTGCTGCATTGTCGATGGCTTCTAACGCGGGAGTCTGGCAGCTGCGGCAGCGTGTGCCGTTACCGACACTGGTCAAGGATTGTTTCGCGCTGGTAGGAGACGCAGCGCACGCAATGGGCCCACGTATGTCTTCTCTGTTCCCTACACCCCTAAAAGCTTTATGAGCACCTAATAATGTTTTACAGATCAAGGCCAAGGCGCCTGTCAAGCCATCGAGGACGCAGAAGCTCTTAGACTAGTCTTGACTGGTGCCTCGAGTGATGATGTTGAGTCCCGACTTAAGATATATGATGAGTTGCGCCTCCAGCGGATCACTAGGGTTATGGAGAATACGAAGAAAATGGCTCCGCGGGCCACTGACTCGAAGGAGTTTGAGTTCAAGAGTTCACAGACATACAGTGACTACCACTGGGGCTATAAAGTGGCTGAAGAAGCAGTGGATCTAATGCGTGCCTATGGGTTGGCCCTGAAGATTCTTAACGACGCAACTGGGGAGGTCGGATTTGAATGATGGTGTTTTGTAGTGAGATAATGAGATATCTAACACGGGTTTCTGTTTTTCTTGATTAATACCTTTCCGATTCTCTGATACTCGCGAGGATGGACAATTACTTAAATGCGTGATCATGGTTTAGCTAGTATGAATTCCTATATGTAAAGATATATCTAATCTCCATGAGCCGCACAGGTCAACAAACCTTGTTGTGATAGCCAAGCGAAAGTAGCATGCAACCCCTGAACTAAACCCGCCATGGCTCATCTCAGGCCTTGCCATGATCATTCTCGTTAATGCAGCATTTTCGCTTGGCCATCGTATCCAGGCCCGACGGAAATCAACTTGGCACTATCCGGTTTGCAAATGACCTGTTGGCAGATGACCAATCGCTCTGGCCTTCCGTTTGGGCGATTGGATTATAGGCCAAGGTGGAGGTCACTCTCGGCTCCAGTGGACTATCCCGTGGATCCGGTAATGTCAGTGTGTGAGCTCGGAGCAGTGCTCAAGGAACCTAAAGAAGAACCCAGATCTTCCATTAGGCCGAGGAGGTTGCATATCAACAGCGGTGGAGCGTGGTCTGTAGAGAGTAGGTTGCTACGTAGAGTATCGGCCGATAGCTGCATGATTAATGTGGGATCTGCGAGCGTATAGAAAGTACTTGTTACTCCAGTGTACGCAGAATGACTGAGACCTGGTGTGCCATGCCCTAGTATGCAGAATGCCCGTGAGTCGTTATTTTCCTCTCCGTCTAGCATGATTGGAGTCATGGAAGATTCATCGGTTGAGCCATTGCGACTCATTCCATTAGGAACCACGATCTCACCCTGCTTTGAGCTTTGGTTGCCAAGTATGCTATAGGTCCAAAGCACAAGGGCAGCGTGGTACGTCGCCACGGCATAAAAGCTCTGCAGGGTCGTAGGCGGAAACTGGCGAGCCCTTCTAAGAACTTGGCCCGCGTGCCATATTGCAACTCGAGCGGCTGATGATCGTTTCCACTCACTCACGATAGGCGCTACTCTCCTCGCCTCGTTTTCTCCCTCTCTACCCGCAAAGCGTTGTATATGGGCCATAGGAGCATGAAGAACCATCATGACGTATTCCAGCAACAGGCGAATCTCGTAGTGTGCGACGTGTCTCTCACAGTACATACGGATGGTAATCAGATCTTGGTACAGGTCGCGTTGTCGGTTCATACACCATGAATCCATTCGGCGTCTTTTGGTCTCGGGGGCTGAAAAGAGGAGAGTGAACTGCTGTTGAAGGTCCCATACCTGATTGGCAAGTGCATGGATAGCGGTAAAGCAACAGAGCGGTAGATCAGCTTGTCCCCGGCATGTTTCGAGGACTGTGACATCAGCCAGGACCTCGGTGAGCAGGAGACGCCTTGATCCACGAGTACAGTGCAACAACTCTTGTCTCCATTCATTACGACCCTCTGCAAACCATACGCTGGGCGGGTATGGAACTGCCATGTTCAATTCGGCATAGCTAATCGCCGGTGCCTGGAAATAAGCCATCGATACCTGAGAATCATGGATGAAAGCACGAATCGCCAGCCGCTTTAGTGACTCCTTCATCGTCCAAGATTTCCAAACAGCATCAAGACCTTCAGCCCCTTGGCCGAGGTCTCCCGTCAACTCTTGCTCAGTCGGTGAGGAGAAGGCTCCCGCTTGGAACAGCATAGTGTATCCCGGTTGCATAAAGCTGCACGCAATCTCGGTCTTCCGCTTGAGGCCGCTCCAGGCTCCGACTTCCAGGGCCCTGAAGTACGCCTGCAGGGCCTGCAGGTCTCTCGTGGTGCTGTTATCACTCTCGTATAGCTGTGGCATTGCTCTGCGAAGGATCTCGTGCATGACGAGTCCAGTCACTTGGATCCGACGCTCCGGGACGATGACTGCACCAGCGGCGATAATTCCAAGCAGTAATTCCGGCCGCGCGTGATAACAGGAGAATGTGCCTGGATGGATGCATGATGCTAAAGACGCGCTCTCCTGGATGAAGAAGAACCGTACAAGGTCATTCAGTAACTCGGCAGGCGGAAACGAGTGTATGGAGAAGTGAGATATCTTCATCGCGGTCACCAAGACCAACAGGCTATCCCTGCACGCATCGTCCAGCGTGCTACCGATCATTCGTCCTGTCGAGGCTTTCATCAAAAGAGTAGTCCTCTCTCTAAGACTTCCTGCGCCCAAGTTGATGACGTCCTGGCCGTGAAAGGAGTGTTGATATCTAGAGGGGTTCCATGATGTCCAGGCACAGCGTCGGTAGGCTCCAAACCGGTTGCCAAATGACGGACCGAGAGAATGATTGTTGGTCAATTTCGAATTCTGATTCTCACCGGTTTTATCATGAGCAGGGACTGAAGCATTAAAGCTGGTCATGTCGCCGAATGTACCTACGGTTAGGTCCAAAAGTCCAGAATCAAACCATGATAAGTCCACGTACTCAAATATGGATGTAACTGGGCGGATATCTCCGACATCATCGCACTGCGACTCGATGCATGTCTCATTCACAATCTGATCCGGGTTCTCATTCCCCGTCATCGCTTCTCGTTGATCCGAGGCTCTAGACGCTTGACTGGCTTTTGATGAACTGCTCTGCCACTCTTGAGGCCTCGTATTGAGGAAGGTCAAGCCAAGACTGGGATTCGAACACTCTATACCCTTCTCCTGACACCGAATACAGGGCTTCAAGTCACTGCACTTTGCTTTGGCTCGTACGCAAGCCTCGCAGGCTTGTGAAGCACGATCTGTTCGCCTTGAGCCATGAGGTTTATCCATCTCTCGAGCATGAGCCAGCTCATGTCGTTGAAGTAAGTCTGCGCGATTGAATCCTTTTGGGCAGAGCCGACAGCGAAATTGTCGGTGATTCTGGTGAGATTGGACATGTCGCCGAAGGTGGTCGGATCTTTCATAAGACCTGCCGCATACGAGACAGACATTTTTATCGCTCTGGTGGGACATTTAAGTTGGTGGTTTTGGACAGAGGGTTTGACCAAGGGCAAATTCGGGATCTGGAGGAGAGGACCCTTTTTAGTTTGATAGCCTGTCTCATTAGTTAGTTAGTCTACTGGAATAATGAGTGTGGGGATGTGGGCTACCGAAGTGCGGGGAAAAGCGAAGAACTATAAAAACGTGCTGTGATTGGTTGGAATCCTTAAAAACCTAGATAGTGATGCGAGATGCAGCGTCGGCATGCATAGCATAAATACATTACATTACATGAGAGTTTAAGAGAGACAATAGCCCCAGCGCACAAAGTCAAAGAATGCCAATGAATGCCCATGTGGCATGAAAAGCCCCATCTCGTGACAGGCACCTAGTTATCGGAGCTGGTAAGAGACATATTTTCAGCATCAGACCTATCGTCAAGCAACGACAAGCACAATTTGTAGAAATTGCAAAGATAAACCCGGATATATTTCTACTAGATTGCAGTTCTAACAGGAACAAGCCCTTTTCCCCCCGGCGCATCTAATCCCATTTATAAAGTACCGCATAAGTAGGATCAAACGCATCGTAAACAATGCCGGTGCCCCATGTGAAGTGAGCCTCAATCATCCCTTCTTGGGCAACAAAAGGAGTGGGGCCATCGCCATAAATGTATTCTTGAACTTCTCTGTCGAGACATACGTAGCGGCCATGATCAAATATGTTAAGCAGCATCGAGATGCTGACCTTGATCCTTTGGCTGGTAGGTCGATGCCTCCATCCTAACTTGTCCCGAATATCAGCCAACATGGTAGCATGGTTTCCGTGCCCTTCGACTAAGGAGAGAAAACTGAGGTTGACTGATCTTAGTGTTGACGGGAGCTTGCCGAGAAAGGAAATAAGATCATCCTCGAGGACTTGCATCCCGGAAAGTCCAAAGTGTCTTAGTTTCCCAGCTGAGAAAAGGTCGACAGGAAAGATATCAAACAGTGATACATAGTCTTCCATATCGCAGAACCAAGAACCCCAATCATAGTTGGTTTGGAAGACAACCTCTTCCAAATCAGTTGCTTTGGCTAGAAGACTGGATATCCTGCCGTTTGTATAAATACTCCAATCTTCAGAACCATCAAATTTCTCGCGGTACCCAGTTGTTAGCGAGAGAACAAGGCGTCTAAAGCCTGGCCGCGCAACGATCTTGCACAGGCTATCATACTCTTCATTTGGCTTGTCGAATAGCGTGTAATCGACCCCGGTGGGGAGCTTTTGATTATCCACCACAAGCTCAGAGATTTGAAGCTGGTCTGCGTAATCGCCTAGAGCCTTTAGAACCATGCAGAATCCTCGCCACTGCTTCCTCTCGTCGTCATTTCCCCATCCTTGTGGGCAATCTTCAGGACCATATCCCTCTGTAAGAATATCGTCACATGGCCAGGTGCGAGGAGTTGGATATACAAATCCAGATGGAAATTCTCGGATCATTGGAGTATTATAAAGTGGCATGAAAAGAAACCCGTGCGCCGCCGGTGTTATCGTGACCCTTGCGAGTCGGGGAAAACGTCGTATGGCGTACCGAAAAGCCCTTTCGTCTGCGCTCGATGATAACACCTTTCGTTGCTGATTCAAAAGGTCTGTGTAATACGCCAGTGACTCACGAGAGGACATTAGGTTATTCATCTGCTTCTGCACTTCGTTGTCGCCCTCGTATTTGTTCTTTTGCTGCAATCTACTGTTGGTGTAAAAGAGGCTTTCTTTGCAAAACTTCACAAAATCCCTCGAGATCCATTGCTTGTTCTCGTTGGCGGCACAGCCATCAGGATCATTCTCGTCCCCGCTATAACCACAGGGGCCGTAGCCGTCTGTAATGGGAATTTTCCTCAACAAGGTGTCGTCCCATATAATCTCTCTCACGCGATGACGAAAGACGTCATGGTTGGCGACAGCGAGCAAGACCTCGACATTGCGTGGGTTAGCGGAGATGAAAACGCGGTCAAATCTTAGGTACGACTTGTCTCCCAAGGCTCGACATGTCAGACGTAAATCTTTGATATCACTGTTGCAAAGGAGACCGCAGATAGCACCAAGGAGCTCGTTCGGTAGTGTGTGGAGTGTACGTGAGGGACTTGCATCGTTGGACAAGCCCATGCTCGTAATTGAAAGTAACCTAAGATGAAAATGATAAATTCTTGAGAGGTCAAGTGGGATCAGAAAAGACTTTGTAGAGGGAAAGATTTACTTGTCCAGTGAAATCATGACATCATGTCACGAACTTTGAGTGATAGAAATCTATAGAGCCAAATTTGGGGGCTCCTTCAAGCTTTATACATGGCGCTGACTAACTGCGAGTCGCAGTTGAGACTTGTGGCTGAGAATTTATACTACCACATTGAACTCGCTGAGGTTGCCAGGCAATATGTTCAGTGGACAATGGCATAACCTTTCAGCCACGACTTTGAACTGTAAATTGGCCACAGGGATCCGAGCTCAAGTGAAGAGTGGCTGTGATAAGATTCAGGTTCAAAAGAGGCCTCAACTCTAACGTTAAGTCCTCCTTGCTGATTTAAGCTCTCATCTATAACACATAAAGGCAAACAATACCTGTTGACCCACATGAGCAGCACACAATGCTCGTCATCCTCTGGTAAGGTTGAAGTTTCAAGAGCACGGACCAACACATATAGGCAATATACCCATTAAACTCACTGATGCACAAGATCTGGCTTTTTTCTGAAAAAGCTAGTTATTCTAATGACTCATTCTAAAGGTCTATAAAGGGCTTGTATGTTCCGGTAACAGGATTTTCGAATTTCACTATTTTCTGGCGAAATCCTATACTTTTCTATTTTTGTTTTGTCCCTCTGATGACCACTCATCATGGGTCACTCAAAGAAGATGCATGTGCCACTACTTGCTTGTGCACTAATCATTTCTTCTCTTTTCACATCAGCTTTGGCCGCCGCCATAGGCAGTACACCGAGGAGGCAGTCAGACAGCCGCGACTTCGACCCCGTCTATCTCAAGGCGCTCTTCCCCGAGGGGCACATTTCCTCAGATACTTCTGATCTGCAGTATGGTCTTATCACCGTCGGAGCCGACTCCAAGTCTGGCGCGGTAGACCCTATCAGCTCGGGATCTGGCGTTCTTCTGGCTGTTGGTGAGTCTCATGGACTTACCCAACTCCAGAAAAGAGATGGCCAACCAGATCCTTTTGTTTTCCTTGACTGTCCCGCCAACGTACTCGACCAACCAGTCAACAAAACCCAGAAGGCTAGAGTCGTCTGCAAAAGTGAGGACGTCGATGGCTGCTTCAGGGTGATGGAGCGTGGAGTGGAAGGCACTTTGGTAGAGATGCCAGAAGAGTGTGCACCGAATTCGTTTGCTCGAGCAATCTCTCTAGATCTTGCTGAAGGTAATTCGTTTTCTATTTATTCACCCTTTTATACGGTGACCCTTAACTGACACCTCAAAAGACCAAACTATGCCAGACCACCTGGCTAAGCTATATAACCCCACGTCCCCGATATACGAGTTTTCCTTCGACTTCAACAAAGAGAAACGGCGAGTCGACGCGGAAGTAGCCATACGAATGGATTTGACAAACGTCAAAGGACACTGGGACGGTCTTGTCAACTCTCCCGGTGTTGAGAAGCGCCATCTTGAGCGCAGATACTTTTCGCCTGCAAACACTGACTGGAAGGAGAATTTACAGAAAGGAGACAGATTCCAATACGGCTCTGGTGAAAACTCGCTGAAAGTCCAAAAGGACTTAAGTACGCCGATCTTTTGGCAAGCCGCCGAGAACTGTTCTGTAGGTGATAAACGCTATGGTGAAGGTATCGCAGCTTTCGTCAAGGGCAAGGTCGATGCCAAATTATCCTATGCCGTTACAGTCATTGTGAGTAATCCAACAATTTCTTTATTCCCACTTCGATCTTGCTGATGCGGCGCTGTAGGCAACCTCAACCAGAGGCACTTCGAGGGTCGATGTCAAAGAGGCTAGTGGCTTCATCAAAGTCACTGGTCAGACGGATTTGACCTTTGGAATTGGCGGAATGGGTCGGCTTGATATTGTCATGGCCAAAAAGGGCAACCCTGCCAAGAGCGAGGAACACTGGGAAGCCTTTCAAAGACACACGATTAGTGCAGGGGCTTTTTGGGGATACATGAGCCTCACTCCCTTCATCAAACGGCAGACCTTTTTGGCCACGTCTCACATGAATGAGACCCCATCCAATGTATCTGGTCACGCGGCGACCTTGAATGGACGCCTGACTACACGAGTCAAGACTGAGTTGGGCGACTTTCCAGCCTCGTTTCCTCACGTTCTATTTCCAGACGAGATGCACAGTCTTAGAAAGGACCACAAGGAAACCGAGATGGATAGTTTTGAGGATGACATTCTTTATGGGGACGGAGGCGAGAGAGGCAGCACCATACAAATCGGACATAATCTCACTTTTGGGCTCAGCTTGAGTTTTGGCATATACACCGATGTACAGGGTCAGAAACCAAATGGCGAGTCCAGCTCTGCATTTGTAAGTTTCCTTTGATCCATTACCACCTTCTGATATCTTTGTACTGATTTGAAACTACTATAGTTACTTGTCACCAGCGAGACATATGCCACTTGGGATATCCCACCAGCCAAGAACGACCAAGTCTGCCCTTATGCAACCGCCTCGTAAGTAGATTTTGCTCCCGACCATGCGCACTATAAGGAAGGAACTGACAGAATGTAGGAGTCTACTTCGACAAGGGGTAGCCGGCAGGTAAGTACAGTCTGATACTGAAAGTGGGTTTCTGGAAACCATGCTAACAGATAAATAAGAGAATTTCTCGGCTGGAAAAAGCACGACGGGTCAGCTCTACTTTTCGTTGACAAAGTATGTCACAATTCACGTACATGAGCATCTCATTCTAACTGACATATTCAGGATGCGCCTTATCACCAACCCTGCTACTCCACCAAGAGTGGGCTAGACAACCATAGAGACGCCTTTGGTTATACGCACCTCAGGCCCAGCAATGCACTTCGCCACGGCGCCGACCTCTTTGTTGAACAAAGAGTCGATCAAAATCTCGGCCGCATCAACTGTGATAATGGGCAATGCGGGTCTTGTCTTAATATGGAACCTAGTCGAATATGAAGTTAAGAATTATGAACACCTTGACTATGACGCAAGCTTGGTTGGGTAGAGATGTTAATAAATTACGAAATATTCGATTCCTTTCCTATTGGCTAAACGTATTAATAATGAAAACAATAATTAAACTATTCACAAGTTATAAAAATGGCAAAAGTAATACTATTGACTCATCCCGCACTGTTTATTGTATTCGTCTGCTTTTAAAGAAGCCCAAGCTATAACAGACTGCATACACGTATCTTCAATCGGCTAACGCCGGCAAGATGAGTGACGCTCCATTTAAACACAAGGCATTAAATAATACTGCTAAAGAAATTCGACTGATGCGAGCAAAATATCAACGAAATTCTCCATCTTTACAACTATAACCGAGTACTCATTTAGTGGCCAACGATATGCGCTATTTCGCTGTCTCATACAGGGAGAGTTCAAAATGCATCAACATCGATGCATTAGTAGTTGTAAACCCATATCTGGCTTGTTCAACAGATACTCGACCTTCTGGGTTAGAATCATTGATCTTTGTTGCATAATCGGGATCGCATAAGATCTTTTCGAAAGTCTGAAAAGCCTCCAGTGGGAGAGCGTTCTCTATGCGAAGACCATTTATCTCTGATTCCGATAAGAAGCCTGCCAGTTCACAGTAGTGCCATTGAGGTATCAGATAAGAATCCTTATTTTGAGTCGTGACAGCGAAAAGAATCATTTCCTTCATTCCTGGTGAAATGGTAAACTCAACAATGGTGGCTCCTATGAAACCTGCAGCCGTTCGAGTCATTCTTTGAAGCCAGTTAGGGCCAAGGACCTGACAATAATCCGCAGGGCATATCACGAGTATGCTGTCAACCTGCGAGAACCGGTTTGGTGGAAACGTCTTAATTTCAATAAATTTAGATCTGGCAGAGCTGCGGCCTGCGAGGCCGAAAGATAGCAATGCACCGGCCTTACATTGGGTTCGGTTAGTGAGCGATGGCGACCTCGTGCTCTCTGAGTCGGCGTGTCGTACTGGAGTGAACATGTCTGTAGGTGGTAAATGCGGATAGTGAATTGAAGAGACCAAGGGAATCGGGACGTCTGGGTAGGAAGCTCGACTAAAAACGCTAGTAAGAGCATCTTTCCGCAAAGCTATTCCGACATACGGCAGTCCTCCCAGCCTCGCATTGAGGACAGCAATGTACGAAGACCAGCATTGAATCAGAGGAAGTCGAATAGAGAGACGCGAATTGGCAATAGCGTATGTAGATGGCCGGACACTGAGCTGATTAGGTCGATAAGGCGAGGCTTCTAGAAAGCTATGTGGTCTAGGGGCAAGAAGACTGATTTGATTGTTGCTCATGGCCCATGACCAGCAGAAGAGTGAGTGATCGTCTGATGTTTTCAGAATCTCCTCTTGGAGTCGCAAGAAGGCTCTAGGCCCCTCGCCATACACCAGAGGCATGTTAATACCAAATATACCCAACATGCAGTACGCCATATCCTCAATTCTAGTTGTCTCGCGGCGGGACAACCAAGACATTCTTTCAGCTATCGACGCTTTATGGCACAATGGGCTTCGAACTTCTGACCAGTCTACTTGCGTGGCGGTTGCCGTGTTTGGAGCAGAGCTGAGATACGTGATGCCTATACCTGTAGCTTCGGCAATATGGCGCACGAGAGTCGATCTGGTCCCAATACGTGACCAGTCAGCTGCATAGAAGACCACGCGATCAGGGGCGAGGAGCTCTTGAAGTGTCCATCCCCTCCTGAACCAGCGACTCTGCCGGAACTCCTTCGCATAAGATAACGGCTTGAACGTCGGGACATCGGAAAGATAGGCGTAACAAATATCGGCCTTGCTATACCATGCGAACATGGAATTAATAGCTTCCGTAAGCTCCGCTGAACTGGATTTATCGATACAGTTGGTGTCGACCCATATATACGAGTAGTCGTCATTTCTAGCTTGTTCGCAAGCCTCAATGATCTTGATAAATCCCGACTTCTGCGTCACTGTTGTTGGGTCTGCCCAATCCATGAACGTAACCTCCTCTTGCCCCCAAGTATGTGAAAGAATTGCATACTTTGGAACCTGGCTTCCGTAGAACTCCTCAAAAGCTCTGCTGTGGGTGTTTATGAGTCTCATTCTGCTGAAGGGATAGCCAAGCAAAGGTTGCAGTGGATAAAAGCGATGTAGTATGGATCACGTAGTAGCTCTAGACTGATGAACCGCGTTGCGGGGTTAACGCTGTTCTTTCACTTAGGTGTATGACCAAGTATTGCATAATACATACAAGAGACAGTAGATACTCAGTATGCAATCAACATGTTTATTATGTCTAAATGAATACGACAGCTAAAACCACTTGTAGACAATACATTAACGTCGAGAAGAATAATTATATGTAGTTAAAGTTACAGAAGATTAACTATTATAAGTACTATTTTCACTCCTTGAAAAGCAGCTGTAAATATCTTTCTATAAGTAAATATATGTAATTGAAATCAAAAACGTCTTATAACTTATACTTGAGTCCTAGAAATTGCCAACACCTTTGCTACCTGGTAAAAATGAGACGCATTTAACGGCTCTTTTTCAGAGCATGCAAGTTTCTCTGCTGTCCGACGTATGTTCTGAATCTCTCTATGTGAGAAGTTCCAACTACGTTCTATATCGGGGTAGAATGTGCCAATAGTCTTTTCCAACATCAAGGTTCTGGATTCATCATTGAGGTGCAAAGACGACACTACACGTGCTCGGTGTCGGAGGGCGTCATAGTCCAGACCGACTGCTCATCATTTAGTCAAAGAATGTCAACTTGCACAGACGTCGTAGAAAGCGCAACTTACAGCTACCCTCCATCGTCATGACAGTTATACCAGAGTAGTTATCAATTGCTTGGAGAATGATCGAGGCAATTGAAATGCCCGATAAGGTTAGATCTTGCCTGTGCCCTAGAAAATTGTCACAATCATCCAAAAGAATGACTTGGACGCATTAGCGTAAATTAAAGTCGGTGTCTGAAGGGCTTGGAATAGAAATATACCTGCATTCCAGATATCGCCAAGATAGAACGCCTCTTTGATGTTATTCTCGACTTGCTCAAGCTCTATACCGATTTCGTAGGGTGTTAATCGATACAATGGTTTCCTTGCTGATTCGGCAAGAGCCTCGGCAGCGAATGTTTTGCCGCTTCCTGAATCGCCATAGAACATGATCAACCTACCCAGATCTCGGCTTGCTATGACATCTTGAGATACCTTGGTTTCGGGTAGAAGTGCCCTTAGAATGGTCTTCTCATCCTCTGGGATGATCAGCATATCAAGCATATCCTCCTTCCAGACTATATCGGCTGCGTATTCTATAGCAAGCTTTCCTATAAACGTGTTGTCAGCCTAGCTTTTGTGATATTAAAGTCGGAGGCACCAACGCCATTTCTTGTCGTGTAATCCGAAGCCATATGTTGCTCGTGGTAGAAGAAGGGTAAAGCTGCCAGTAGGAGGTGAGGGTGACTCGGTGGTTTCTAATGGTAGGTACTCTTCAACATCCTCAGTGACCACGTCATCAAGGATGCTTAGTCTGTGAAAACGACTATAGGTTTCCATGTCAACCATATATCGGCCATTTCCCTATACAGTGGAGTAAGTATACTATCAGTATAAGGAGTTAGATCTCAATTACCATTCGATACTCGAGAACCTGTCTTGGGGCATTGTAAAGAATTAATGTCGGGTTTCGAAGCTGCCAGAAAAGGTCCCCACGTTTCCTAAGGCGTTGCTCAACTTGGTGATCGAATCTCAGAGGAAAAATACTGAGCGATTTTATTGGCACTTTGTCTACCTCCGCGGCATGCTTTGGCCAGGGTATGGTGACAATCCTTTTGACTTTTGCAAAACGGCCATTGAATTTCCACATTTCGCATTCTAGCCTTATCGGATTCGAGCCAGGGAGAGGCGGATATTTCGACACCATGGCGACGTGGTGACCCTCTTCAACAGTGACTATGATCTCTCTCGGCCCAAAAAGCTTGTGAAAGTGTTTCCTGTTTACAAGCCCATCGCCAAGAAAAAGGTTCTCAGCCTCTTGATAGTCGGTGCTATATTCCTTGTCCAGATACTCAAGAAGGAGAATGAGGTCTTTGCTTTGACGCTCTGGTAAGTAGGGAATGTAGTCGCGCAGCAGATTCCGAGTGTGATAAAAATGAAGGTACGGTGCCATCATGCTACTTTCTCGTCCCCAGCCGAGTAACAATGACTCGTCTACAGGGGATTTCTTAGTGCCTGCCACTTTGACTGCTTCTATTGCGTTTTTCAAATGCGTCGAGACAACTTCCATAGACTCTCCTTCTGCTACAGCATCATCAGCATCAGTCGGCAGGAGAAAGAATTGAGACCTCGGATCAGGTGTCGAAGAGTTGGCTGAAGCCTCCCTTAAGGCGCCAAATACTGTTTCATGGTATTCGAGGCAGTTGTAGATGCGGTGTATAATAAACGAAATAGTATGGTCCTTTTTGGCGCGCATCTGGGAATTCTCATCCAGAATTCGACCTCTGAGGGGCATAAACTTGTTATCGCCGACAAAGAGACGTGGAACGTCTTGATATGATGAAGTGGCAGGGTGACCAGAATGGGCTGGTGTTGATCCAGGGCATTCCACTCGATGGATAACTATGTACCGAGGTATCAGAGCGCTGGGCTGGGACGTCATAGCCTCAGTAATACTAGGCACGTTATCAACGATATTTTCCGCCGTATTCTCGTCAGAGAAGTTGCAGTATTTGTTATCGCGAATCCAGACTTGAGACTATGAGGGTAATCAGACAGTTTGAAGCAACAAATCACATTGCGCCACGTCGGGATAGAGAGGGGATATCCTTGCATCAGCTATATGGTTTACCTGCTAAGTCATAACATGCAATATGCAAATAGGTATTTCCTTATGAACTAATAGAGCCATCTCTGATTTTGATGTTATTACAAGTAACATAATTATAAGTAACAACTTGATGTAAAAGCAATTGAATCAAGGTTATCTGTAGTAATCGGTACGATAAAACACGCAGGACCGAAAGACAGCGAGTAAGGTGATATTTGTGACAGGATTCAAAATATCGTGGTATTCGGTTGCCTCATATTGAAACGATCCGACATCGCCGCCCGTACATGAAGAACAGTAAGTTGTACCGCACACTCGGGTCTCCAATTCGAGTCTAACCGAAAGTCCTGGTGGTTGACCATCATCATCTGGACGAGTAGTGTTGTAAATCTGAATCAGAGGGCTACCAACTGTCTTGGCAGCAGAGCCTTTCTATGACTAGGATATGGAGTTAGCCGAAGGATCCATGTTACCTTGTTCCTTTGTTGAGAATTGGCTTGGCCATTATGTTCTTTGTATGTAGTTGAATGCGATAATAATCCTGCTATGTTATACGAATTCACAAAGATGGCTGCCTCGAAAAGCCAAACGCACACAGAAGACACAATAAAAAGTGAATGTTAAGTATTACTCAACTAAGTGGGTTTTATTAACCTTGCCTCGTCGTCCACAATCCAGAGTTATCCTCAGAAATAGTTGAGTCCATCCATTCTTCCACACATATTGAAGCCTGCTGGTTGGAATAGCAGTGGTATGTCAGATGATATAGTCTCGCGAGTGACCTTGGATATCAAGTCTGATTGCGGCCAATTCACAGCCATCATATCTGCGCCCCAGATTGGCGTCGAGAAGTCGGCATAGAAACCATTGGCCCACTGCTGTGCTAAAGTGCTGAGAGTGTCACTACCAACACTGTGATCAATGGATGTCTGCGAATCATCCTCACAGTTATCGAGACACTGTTCCGGTGGCGATTGCTCATCTCGGCAAGGCGTGGGTAGCCCGGTTTCCGGAACCACGACCTCCTCCTTGGGAACTTGATCTGCAATTTCCTCTCCGTGTTCGCTTGCAGTATCTTCCGAATTCTCGTCATCTTCTAAATCCATAAGGGGTGTTGGAGGCCTGGCTTCGATGCGTGGTTGCGAGTAGCCTAGTTTATGGATAATATCGTGAACTATGACCTCACCACAATTGTCCAAATTAGGTTCATCAAAGTCCCAAGTGTCTCCATTGCGCACCATAAGGTAAAGCCTTTTGACAGTAGCTTCGAGAACAGAGTGCGTTTTCTTATATACTTCTGTATACCTGATTTCGGATTTAGTAATTGACGTTTCATAATTGCGAGGCACATACCCGGGCGGAAGCTGCCTATAAGGATTCTTTGTGGTGAATCCAGTAGTGCAGACAAAGCCATCGCGCTGGCACCGTCTACAGGTTGTGTATCCAGCATCGCACTTTGGTTATGTTAGTCAATTTGCTTAGTTCAGCTCAGCAATACAAACCTTGGTCTTTCTTGTTCGGCACCTGTCACAAGCTCTTAGTACTTTCTGACGTCGAATTCTGGTGTCATTGCGTTGCTTGTAACCCTGTGCGTATGTAGAAGTCGACATTCCGTACTTCGGGGGACTAGAAAGGCGGTCTGCCATTGCAATAGAATGTGAAATGCTCGTTTGAGTATTGCGACCTCAGGGAAAAGGGTAATGTTTGAGTGCTTTGAATAAAAGTGTGACTCAGTGACGTATGTATATACGCAGGGAGGAAATGCGGTATGGGGACTGCACTTGTTAATAGATTTGATATGTAGTAGAAGTATAACTCCAGAAATGTAATTAAGGTATATAATCTTCATTTATTCAGTCAATCTCCGATGACTTACCCTTGCGGAGGATTTGTTATTAAAGTAAGTGACATTTGAAGCAATAGACTTTCACGGCACGTCACATTCTTAAAACGGTAATGGAGATATGGGCGGTAAGTTGTCATTCATTGTCTTTTAATAACCTGTCCTACGTGACTTTGATATGCATCGTTACATTATGGCGTTGGTGGCTTCACAACTGCCGACGGTTGAATAATAATTTTGCCGGTAGATCGACATCAACGCTTGGTTTGGTATGTGTTAACCTTAAACGCTACCTAAAAGAGATCATAAAGCACGGCAGAGAAGATTGCGGAGAAATTATAATAACTGCTTGCGGTATTCTATGACGTAGTGAAAACCGTGTCTTGGGCGATCTTCTACACCACTAACCCAAACGGTCCAACTCAACCCTCTCAGCCGTGTCGCACAAAAGTCCCTTGACTTAACCAAAATGCGTGGCAAACCAATCCAAAGCCTGTTTTTCAGCCTCCTTGCTCTGTTGAAACAGATTTTCGTTCTTCTCATCAACCCGCACGCAAAATCCGTGCCCAGCTCCAGGATACACTACCATTTCTGTGGGAGTTTCCAAATCCCTCCAAGTCTCTTTCATTAAATTAACCCGAGACATCGAGGTGACAATGTCCCTGTCGCCGATAGCTACTGAAACAGGCTTGATGATTTGTTCTGCGTCTCGAGGCAGCGACATCCCGCTTGGATGGCCCGTAAAAACAGCATCAACAAGCGGCATGCCATCTTTGGTAATAGAATCTGGATGCGCTAGAGTCAACACGGGTTTACCGCCCCAGCAGAATCCAGCCGCTCCAATGCGTCGCTGGGGACCCTCGCGCAAACGGACGGCCTCAAAGAAGGACCGAATTCTGGGCCATGACGCTGCCAAGCTGTTGTAGTAGAAGAAAGGTGCCATACCGTATATGGTCTGCGCGAGATACCAGCTATACCACGTTAGTCTATCATCTCAGATTTATTAGACCTGTCAGAGTCACCCACGGCTTCCATATCCAGTTCCAACTTGGAGTTGTATCAGTCAGCGGGCCCACGATGTCCTGTAGATCCCAGTCAGTACATCTTGCCACAAACCACAGTAGTGCCAACGTACAAGAAGCCATATAGGGGCCGATCTGCCATCCATGAAATCTGGAAGATAGACCAGAAAATTGCCATTCAAGGCATATTGATCAGCAAGAAGCCTGTTGTTCACAAATTCCCATCCAAATGCATCTGGGACAATGACAATAATGCCTTTGATGGGCTTATCATCTTGTGGGGAAGCAACGTAGGTTGGCCGTCCAAACATTTCCTGGACTTCTCCAGTCGGCTCTCCGTCATGGCTGTGGCCTTTGAAGCACTCGGAGCAAGACATAGTGTAGGTAAAGAACTGTCATATAGATCTATGGGATAAAGTTCAAGCAAAGATAAAAGATTCTAGTTAAGAAGTGATGTAAAATTGCGCTGTAACCAGTGATTCTTATACATCTATAATTTTAGACAGGTATCCGAAATTCCCTCCGCCGCTAAGCCTAATACTGATATCTCCGACGGACTCGGTCGCTATCTCCATCGTCTTTCCGAAAAGCCGGCCTCCGTTTCATATTGGATTCACGGTGTAATCCTATTTAGTACTACTTTTATACCTTTTCTGTTTCAATTAGCGAATTGGACTTCCAGAAGTTTTGGCTCCTATGACCCTTTCGTCTGTTATTAATAGACGCTGGCTAACTATTATCACTTTAAACTATGAATAGATATTTACTACTCTATCTTATTATTGCATTCTCTTTATTATCTTCCCAGCCGGTGTTTGTTGGCATTTGTCACATACACACACACATATATATATATATTTTCCCTGTGGAGAATCTTATATCCCTAGTCAAGAATGACCTTCAAATGGACATTGGTCTGGCTCATGTATACCACTGCAGTTATTTGTAAATCACATCCTGTTGCCTTCAGAAGAAAGCCATTATTATCAAACTCTCTTGGATCCAGCACCAGCTAAGGCGAGGTCGTGAGTAAGGCATTAATACTGACCTGATAGGACAGCTAGAGCAGAGGGTAGGGCAACAGCAATTGAGAAGGATGCAGTTGACAATATAACTGGGTATTAAGTCGAGCACTTTTAGTCTTTTACCGCCTGCTCTTACCCAACAAGGACTAACATAGAATATCTAGAAATCACATTTTGTATTGCTGCCTAATGCTGACTGCAGCTATTCTCCAGGTAGGCTATGCATTGGAATAAACCAATCAGCCTGACTGTGGCTTGAAGCTCGGTGCTGAGGTTCCAGCATACTACGCCTCACTACTTCTACCTCTCGCTCTGTATTTTACTCGCAACCAGTACTTCTTTTTCCTCTTCTCTCTTTTGAAGCGCGATTTCGGTGCGGCCAAGGTTAATGTGAAGGCATGATTGGGTGGAGTACAGTGGCTGAGCAGGACAAAAAGGCAGCCGGTGACGCCCGAGATATAGAGGCCACCTCAGCAATGCCTCAATCAACTGGAACCACATCTCAAGACCAATATATCTTATATGAGTACCCGACAGGAGAGCTGGGGCAAAAACGCATTGTCTCCATCCTCTCTCAGGCTTGGAATACTTTACGAAACGTCCAAATTCTTTTACTGTTGAGCATTTGAATTTGCTCGACTGCAATCAGTTCACTATGGACCCCATTTCAGCTCTTGGCATCGCGAATGCGACCGCTCAGTTTATCGCCTTTGCCTCAGAACTACTGTCCACCACCACAGACATATACAACTCAGTGGGCGATGCTTCTGCATATGCGTCTAACCTAGATACAGTTTATTCCCGTTTAAAACTGATTTGCAGAAACCTTAACCAAGGATCCCAGAAAGTATGCAGGGATCAGATCGCCGGAACAGCCGCTAACCCAGGTCTTGGTCACACTTTCGATTCGGGTACGCAGGGGGTTCCCGCAGACGTTCTTGAAGGTATGAATGAATCTGAACTACGAATGGGTAACACCTTGCCTGAATTGTGTGACGTGTACTCTACTCTTCAAGAGGTCGTCAAGAGCTGCGACCAGGACTCCACCATCATTCTTTCTCTCATCTCAAAGCTGAAGTTAGAGAATGGTGCTGGATCCTTAACCAAAAGCTTTAAATTGGCAATAAAGATGATCTGGAAGAAGGATGAAATACAGAGATTGGACGAAAGGCTCAAGCGGTCGCAGGCTATCTTGGTTACTACCATGGTGCGGATATCCAAGTATGTATCGACCAGTTTGCCTCCGCACTTGTACAATCCTAATGGATATTAGCATCTACCAAGCCCAACATTCTCGAGAGCTGGCGGCTTTGCGGAGGGAGAGCCTGGTTCTAGGAGCAAGATACTCTCAGCAGCTGTCACATATGCAAAGCTCACTCAGCAACATCGAGCGGGGCGTTAGATCCCAGCCCTGCGATGACACATTGATCGATAGAATCACCAACTTGGAGATGATGATGCGCCAGACTTCACTATCTGAGGCTAGACTACGCAAGGAGCTTGACATCATACGATCACTCAGCTTCAAGACGATACACTCCCGTCATGACGCCATCTGTGACGCACACCACGAAACATTTGGTTGGGCTTTTAGAGCTTCAAGCGATGAACAAACAAACCTGACTAAAAAGCAACGCGAGTCTCAGAGGAAGCTTCTGAAATGGCTTGAGCATGGCAGTGGAGTATTTTGGGTGTCTGGGAAGCCTGGGTCGGGCAAGTCGACCTTTATGAAGTTCGTTGCAGATCATCACATGACAATGGAGGCACTTTCACGATGGGCACATCCAGGTCGAGCCATTATTTCCAGTTGCTACTTCTGGAATTCAGGGTCTGAGATGCAGAAGTCATTGGTTGGCCTTCTGCAAACACTTCTTTGCGAGGTGTTTAAGTGCTGTCCACAGTTGATCGAAAGTGCGTGTCCCTCTAGATGGTCCCAAGACGTACCTCTTGGAGAGAAGTGGACAGAGAGCGAGCTCCGGGATGCCATTTCACGCATTTCGGAGCAAAAGGACGTCACTTTCAGGTTCTGCTTCTTCATTGACGGATTAGACGAATACGAGAGCGTCAACGGCGATCACAGCGACTTCTGCGAGTACCTTATGTCAATATCCAGTCAAAGTATCAAGATTTGCTTGTCCAGCAGGCCTTGGAATGAGTTTACCGACGCCTTCGGCCAAGACCCAGCGTCTAGAATATTCATTCATGAGCTTACATGGGACGATATATTCGTATACACTCGAGATAGGCTCCAAACGCATCCACGTTGGAAGCTGTTAGAGCCGCAGACACCTAAAGCGGGAACCCTGGCCAAAACAGTCGCTGTAAGAGCACAAGGAGTCTTTCTTTGGGTTTTTCTCGTGACAAGGCTCCTCAGGGAGGGTCTGAGCAACGATGATAGCTTCACTGACCTGGAGAAGAGGCTTTTGAGCATACCAACGGAGCTAGAAACATTCTTCAGGCAGATTTTGGAATCTGTTCCAAGCTTCTATCATGAGAAAATGGCTGGCACACTCTGTGTGGCACTTTATGCAAGAGAGCCTTTGGATTCTATGATATACAGCTTCGTGGGAGAGGAGTATGAAGACCCAAATTATTTCCGGCATTGTTTCAACCCAGAAAGTGACCTGAATCCTGACGAAGCCCAGAATCATCTGGTAGCACGACAAAAACAGATTACTCGTCGACTCAAAGGCTGGTGTCGCGGGCTTTTGGACGAGCAAATGGGAAAGGTCCAATTCCTCCACCGAACAGTAGGGGAGTTTCTCAGAACCCGAGAAATGTCAGAGTTCCTAGAATCAAAACTCCCTTCGAACTTCAACAGTGGACTTTCGATACTAAAAGCATATTTGGCGTGGCTCAACTTGTCCAGTCTCGAGGGCGGGAAGTTCATGCTGTTTGAAGACATAGGTATAAAGGATCTAGCTTTGTGCGAAAGTCCATTATATCTTGGACTTCAATCCTCTCTCAAATATGCTTCATACCTTGAGCTCGAGGATAGTGTCCCCAAACCATATCTGGACTCGCTTATTGACGAAATGGATATACGGTTGGCAAAAATGGCGAGGGCTATAAAACCACTGCTTGTGAACCATGTTCTGGAGACATCTGAACATGTTTCTGGATTGGTTCGTATAGCTGCTCTTGATCTGCCTTTGATGGGATATCTTTCCAGAAAGATTTTAAAAGAACCAAGCTTTCTCTCTATGTTCGGTCAGTCACCAATATCCACTGTATTATGGACTCCAACACTGTCACACATAACATGGCCGACTGAAAGCCGAGAAAAGCTTGAGTACTTGTTCAAGTCCGGCTCCAACTCAAACGAACTGACAGTGGGATCGATGCATATGGTGACCGTATGGGAGAGGTTCTTATCCGAGATTCTACCAAAAGGCTCCCCGACAGGATGGAATAGAGCTGGCCCCAAGTTTCAAGACGCAATCGAGCTTGGCCTGGTGCAAGTCTTTCTAGACTTTGGTGCCAATCCTCGGAGCAAGATCTGGTTAGACTCAGTTAATGCTGTGTCTGCCTTGACTCTATTCTTGGCTGCTGGCTTCGACCTCGAAAGGCATGAACAAGCCCAAGAAATGTACTTCCAAGCACTAGACTGTTTCATTCAAGGAGGGGCAACACTTGATAGTACTGAGAGCTCTGGCGATGAACCTCGATCGTCTGGCTTGGACCAAACTCTCCTCGAGGTCTCCATGATCGACTTTGCTGAGTTTAACTGCGTCATGGGAACAACTACTACTGGATCCGCCCAACGGCACTGCGAGCTTATTTTTGACCAATTCGAAGAGAAGTTGCGACCAGTTGATACCATCAGTACTGAGACGCCACATCATCTCTTTTTCGCAGGATTGCTTAGAAGGATCTTGCCATGCGCTTACAAAGCATCATGGCCTTTGGACAGGTACCAGTATCTCATCGAGCGGACTCTAGAGCAGACTCTAAACAACGAAAAGCCATCGCCTGGTAGTATTTGGCGTTCAGTCCATCTAAAGAGATGCAGGACAGTCGATTCCGACGAACATGGAAATCAGGCAAAACGAAGGTTGTTTCAGGATAATTGAGTGATAAGGGCTAGAGGTAATTATATAGTTTGCATGTATAAAACTAAAGACTTTACTTTATAGGCTAATGAATTAAATTGTATAAGTGCCATTTTAATTTGATAGATTTTATATAGCTATAAGTAATAATATTATTTATTAAGCAGCTTATGTTATAGTTCATAGTATAGTTATAGCTTTTTATTTCACTTAGCTTATTAAATATTTATTAAATGTTTATTAAATATAATTAAAAAATAAAAAATAAAAAATATATAGTTAAAGGTATAACTAATTATTAAGCTTAAGACTTTTATTAATTATATTTAATATAACTAGTATAATATATAAGCTTAAGTATAAGGATAGATATATAGTATGTGGTTACGTCATCTGAATTTTCCTGGCCAGAAAACAGAGAGCTTAATCCAGCCGGAAGAACCTAGTGGGATCTCATAAATACAATATCCGATGGCTACAAGTATAGTTACGAAGAGCTTATTACTGACGCTATGATGTCGTATATTCCGGGGCCGTATAGGAAATATCAGGCTTTATCTAGAATTTTTGAAGGTAAATTTCTCTGTCTATTTCAAGCAGAACTGACTGACGCATATCTCTAGTTGGACAAGATGAGTTTTCCCAAAGGCACTGTCCCAAGCGGTGTTTCGGAATGGGATAATGGCAATGGGTCATTCCCTGGCCTGGAAAGTTTTCAACTCACAGCATGTAACCAAACTAACTCTGAAGGCGCTGTTACAATACTGACTTTGCGTTTTTAGCATCGAAGCTGGATCGAGAGGAGCGCAAACGTAGTTTATTTTGCCCGACATCCTTCCTCTAAATCGAACATATTACTGGACTGAGGAGTAGCAATAAGCTCGTAATAGATATTGTCTCAGGTGATCAGTGACATGGTTCAGCAATCACGTAGACTCGGGCATTCGCTGAGTGCAGTCTCTAGGGTAGCATTGGGCCAGCAGCCAACTACAACGCATCTGGCTAGCTTACACTTACGCTACCCCACAGGAGCCACATTTTCTTGACACAAGGGCGCACTAACTTATCTCTCACGTAAGGACCCAAAAGTAACTAGTCAGGTTGGTGGTTGATTTTCACTTTCAACCTCCTGTCCTTGACAATGTATCATCCATAGCACCTGATGTGTGACTAGGATACCAAAAAACGACAGTAATTTACCTTGCCTGTTCCTTGACAAGACGCCGACGCCCAGTTCGTGTCGCCTTTCGTGCTCCCCACCGCCCTCTGAAGCACGTGCATCAACACCTCAAGTGTCGTTCTGCAGCCAGGCAAGGAGTCTATTCGCCAAGACCCGATTTCTGATTTGCTTACTACTGTTCTTGTCTGTTATCCAATGGAAAGTGAGCGGTCTGCCGATCCAGACCGGGCCATGCTTCTACCCCATTGCGAGGAGGATGACTTGAGCTTCTGGTGCCGACAGCTTTTCAATGATGACCATCCTCAGTCCGTCCTCCCAGACGACTTCTCCTTTGGTTCCTTACCTGACGACCTGTTGTCTTTCGATTCATCATGGCCTACCATTGGCGAGTACACTGATCTTACATGTCATGGCAACCTTCCTCCCCCGGATGCTCTCGTCTCTGAAGCCTCCCAACATCACCAACCTCCTACGACCTCTTCTGTCGCACTATGTCGCTCCCACGACAACGGCTCATCGCCCAAGATCGGTACTCGTTTCTCCAAGGAGGCACTCAAGATTCTCAAAGACTGGCTGTCCTCTCACAGCGACCATCCCTACCTCGACGAGGAAGACCGGGAGATGCTACAGCGTCAGACAGGACTTAACAAAACACAGATTTCTAACTGGCTTACCAATGCCCGCCGTCGGCGCAAGGTCCAACGACCGAGGTCTACCTCTCCTTATGTGCGCAATACCTGGACCGGCCCTATCGACATTCCACGACGTCAGGATACATCTGCCTTTCAGAACAATACAGGCAGCCTGAACCCCCTGGAGCGCTGGGTCGATTCACCTCCCGAGAGTGAGCCCGCTTCTGTCACCGCGATCGCTCGTGCCGTGGCCTCGAACTCACACATTTCCTCGGGGCAAAACACTCCGCGCTCCTTTGCTTCCACCGATGATGGATCGAACCCGTCAGTTCATAATGTCTCTTCTGCCAGTAGTGCTGGTACGTCGAGCGGTGCCTCTTTCGGTTCCATGACAAGGCAGCGCGGCCGCCGCCGAAGGAGACCCGTTACTAAGCGTAAGGAGAAACTCGCTTCAGCTGTACCACTCAAGAAATTCCAGTGTACGTTCTGCACCGATACCTTTGGGACTAAGTACGATTGGCAGCGACATGAGAAGTCATTGCACCTCTCTCTGGAACGATGGATGTGTGCCCCAAATGGACCTCGGGTCACGGATCCCCAGAGCAATCAGATCTACTGTGCCTTCTGCGGCGAAAATGAGCCCAGTGATGATCACATCGAATCCCATAACCTCTTGGCTTGTATGGAGAGGCGGCCTGAAGACAGGACGTTTTATCGCAAGGATCACCTCAATCAACACCTAAGGCTTATGCATAATGCCAAGTTCCTCGACCGGAGTATGAAGTCCTGGAAGGTCATAGCTCCTGATATCCGATCACGCTGCGGCTTTTGCGGTATAGCAATGCCTAGTTGGTCCATTCGAGTGGACCATCTTGCGGAGCATTTCAGAAAAGGCGTTACAATGGCTTCCTGGAGGGGAGACTGGGGCTTCGAACCCCCGGTGCTCAAGATGGTTGAGAACTTTATCCCTCCGTGTAAGCCTCCCACTCCTACATGAAGCAATTGAAGAGTCTATGATCATCGAGGCTATCGTGACCGAGTCAAAACTGACGTTATGCATCTATACAGATTTGATCGACATTGATCGTCGCTCACCGTTCCCGTACATCGCAACCGCTGCGAAAGCCGAGACCCCCGAGAGCTCATACGAGTTTATGAATCGGGAACTTGATCAAGTTACAGCCAGGTCACAGGAGCCACTAACACTAGAGGCCCAAAGTCGGGAGCTGAATCAAATTGCACGAAGGCAACCTTGCTCCGAAACGGTTTCAGGAACAGCGGGAGCCTTCTTCTTGACCGACGTCAACTGTTATCGACGCCTCAATCGCGAGTTAACTCGCTACGTCACCTCCATCATGTCACTCAATAATCCGAACTGTCATGTACCAACGGATGCCGAGATTCAGCATCAGGCGCGGTGTATAATCTTCGATGAGTTAGTGCCGTTTCATTCCTTTGCAGATATTTATCTACCTATGCTGACCACGTCCCAGCGATGACCCATGGAATCAGACCGCTGCCGATAACGCCGAGTGGCTGCTGCGATTCAAGCGAGATGTTGGCATCTTGCCTTCAGGGCCTGGTCTTCCGCTGGACATCAATTCTTGGAGCATTGTCGACGGTGGCACAGGTTTCGCTCCTCCATTCGCCTTCCCCAACGAGAAAATGTTGCACGCTACTTCATCCTCGCCGTCGTCGTCAAGCGCAGCCACACCAGCCCTGACGTCTCACGGCTCTGACAAGGTTGAAATATTCGTCGGGAATGAGGAATCGCCCTTTGAGACCAATCAGGCTTTGCTGGACGGGTATATACAGACCTTCTCGTCGCGCTACGACCGCCCCGCTACTGTCTTTTGCTCGCGCGAGCTCGAGAGCAACCTCGTCAGCTTCGTCGAGGCGGAGATAGCCCGTGGCGCCGGCTTCCCTTCGGATGAGGCGTTAAGATTGCGTGGCCGTGAGATTCTGAGCTGCGATAAGACAGCAGCTGATGATCCTGATCTGCTTGGAAGATTTAAGGCGTGGATGATGAAACTACGCCATAAGCAGACGGTGGCCATGCCTTGTGATAACAATATCGACCTGAATAACGCGGACATAGATAGCCTGTTGGCTGATGCGAACTTTGATATGATATTTACATAAATTTAGATATTTCCTATTACCTAACGTCGAGTCTTGAGTTAATACAATGAATGGCCCCTCTTTGGAAACTACATAATGACATGTCGACAACAAACTTTGACAAGAAAACTTCTTGAGCTTTAACTCTCATCGCGACACAAAATGCCGGCGTGACTCACCTTCCTTTCATTATAAATATCATACTTCTCCCTTCAATTCAAGCAGTCACGGTAATCCTCTAAGCTGATCGCCATGACGCCCGAGGAATCGATTACCCTCATCAATGCCAATCTGGCAGAAGTCTTGAACCCCGAAATCATCGACAATGTGATCCTCAGAAAAGGACGACCTCTCCGTGTCTACTGGGGAACTGCCCCAACTGGAAAACCCCACTGCGGCTACTTCGTACCTATGGTAAAGATCGCAGAGCTCCTCCACGCAGGGTGCCACGTCAAGATCCTCCTCGCCGACAAGCACGCACACATGGATAGCCAAGCACCTCCTGATGTGATCAAACACAGATTCGACTACTACAAACTTCTCATCCAGAGCTCCCTCAAAGCCATTGGCGTGGACGCCTCTCAGCTCGAATTTGTAGTGGGGAGCTCATTCCAGGAGACCAGGGAATACGAGGCCCGCCGATTTCAATTCTCGAATAACGTCACCGTGTCGCAACTGATAAAGGCCGGTTCAGAAGTCGTCAAGCAAAGCAAGAATCCGACACTCGGTAATGTGGAGTACCCCATCTGGCAGAGCCTCGACGAAGAGTACCTTAATGTCGATGCAGAACTGGGCGGGGTAGATCAACGAAAGCTATTCACTTTTGCGATCGATCATATGCCAAAACTTGGATACAAAGTACGAGCATACTTGATGAACGCCATGGTCCCAGGTCTTGGAGAGGCACAGAAGATGAGTTCAAGCGAGCCAAACTCCAAGATAAACATTCTTGATACCCCAGAAGAAGTCACAAAAAAGCTCAGAAAAGCCGTATGCGCGCCGGGGGAAATTGAAGGGAACGGCGTCATTGCGTTCGTAGAACATGTCATTTTCCGCGTCGAGTCACTGAAGGCTGGTGACAAGCCAAGGTTTATTGTCGAAACACGAGAAGGCGAGATTTTGGTTTACGAAGACATTTCCAAGCTCAAAGAGGATTACGCCAGCGATATTCTCACACCGCAGATGATCAAACCCGCGCTGATGAAAGCACTCAATGAGCTTCTGGAGCCAATTCGCAAAGACTTCGAGGCAGATGAAGAATGGAAACGTATTGCCAATCTGGCGTACCCGGTTGAAGAAAAGCCTGAGAGAGGGAACAAGGTGAAAAACAACGGCAAGAGATCTAAATAGCTGCCTATTCGGATAAAATGCCATCAGGCTACAGACAGTGTGACCTAAATGGTAATCTACTAGCTTCTTTATGGTAATAGATTAAGATCGGATTTCGCATTAGCAATGCTAGGTAACCTAATCTCACTCAAGATTCAAGTCCTGCTATTTGCTGCCCTGCGTACCATGACTGCAACTAATTGATAGATAAAGCCTTGGCCCCGTTGAACGTAGGATATTCCTGTAAGTAATTAACGATTAACCGAAATGTTTTGATTAATAATAAACAGCATATAAAGCCATTCAATTAACTGAACTACTACAAGATTGCTTTAATTTAGTCTTAAATCATTATGACTGTTAGTTACAGCCTTTGTCAATGCGATAAGCTCCAGCACCCTCAAAGTTGGTCGTTGGATGTATCATCTTAACAACCACTGACTTGGACCCTATTCTTGCTGTTAGAACGTAATTCTTTTCACTTGACATAGAACTTGTTATTCTACTCCCCTTTAGGAATTTTAAAAGAAACCCAGAATCCTCGCCCAATGACACATTTTACAGGGCCGTCGGGCACGTCTCCGACATGGTCGTCTGGCATCATGGCTGGATCATATGGGTCTTGCCCACGACCCTTGAGGGAGAATGCTCCATGTGTACGGCCGATCTCTTTCCCGTCAACAAAAACTGCGTGCTGCTCTGAAGTACCTCTCTGGTCGGCGACTGAGAGGACCCATATCTTGCTCATAAGAGCTGAGGTCTATGACAAGTTCTTTACCTTGGCCGAAGGTGTAAGAGGTCCAGGGCTTCACGTAACCATTTATACAAGGTGTATCCTCACTGCAGGATGCGTAATAATACAGTTCTGGGATAATTAATCTATTCTTTTTGATTTTAGTATTATTGTTATATCTTGCCTCGTGATTCCTTGGAAACCCAGGATGTAATCACAGTTATCCATGTGCGCAAACACGCTTGTTGGCGTTTGTATGGTATTCCCTGTAGCTATTTGCTAGTCATCATGGTAAAATGACTATGTTGTTATCTACATGTGTTATCTGCTGTCGAGACTAATCGTTCATAGGTCAAATGAGCAGAGAGAACTTACAAAAAGTGGTCTGATCTATAGTCGGGAATGACCCCGCGTGTGTTTGCTGCAATTAATAGACACTAACCCTTAGAGGAAAGTGCGCGAAAGAACAGTGCTTATTTCGTGATAGATATATTTTGCTGTCATGACGTCAGCATTATATATAGTCACCACCTGTTGAGATGTCATAAGCTTCAACCATCAATCACCATGATGGCAGCATGAGACATTTATACGTGTGTCTTCAGTACCCACGTACGAAAGCTTCTCATGTGCGACTCTCCTTTGGGCGTCGAACTTGGGGTTAAGAAGGACGCCAATTATTGCGCCATGTTTGATGTCATGTCATTCATCTCCATTATGTCACACCCGCCACTGCATGCCTCTTATAAGTCCGTGAAGCCGGCGAAATGTAATCTCGGCATTTCAAGTTCTGTGATCGACTCCCCGAGTTATCATCACTCAGATCACACCAACAACATTGACTAACATGGCGGCTAAAAGCCCTGACTCCCTCATCGGCCAAGGGCCATTCCATGCTCGTGTCCACCCAGCTAAGCCTGCTGTAAACAAATGGGTGAGTAGCTGCACACTACCTTACATATTCCTTGCTCACCATTTCTAGCATAAGCCGGGTAATGAGAAAGGCAACGATGCCGCGCCAGAGTACCGCGCCGAGACCTTCCCACCAGGAACTGCACCCGCAGAGCACACTTTCCACCCGAATCCCGAGAGCAACTACACGACTGAAGCCTTGAACATGCCTGCTCTAGACATGCCAGGCTCGACGTCAAAGGATATCTACAATTCTATCGACACCGTCCATGGCAGACCACTGATCGGCCTAGAGAACCGTGAAATCAGAGGAGTCCATCCGAGAAAGAGGAAGAAGGAACGCAGTGGTCTGGAAGGTGTAGGTGCCAGTACAGCATACTCTGTGTTTGACAAGGTTAGGGATACGGTTGCTGATAAGCCCAATGTGGAAAAGGGGCTTAGGGGTTACTCTGGGAAGATAGAGGGGGGATTGGCTGCTGATGGAGCAGAGTCCATGCCGCCTGTCAAGGCAGATGAGCGGGCTGTTCGTGAAGGTCCCCATAAATCTAAAGCTTGACAATGGGGTGATTGTACTAGAGCTAGATAACATGTGTCATTTGCAGTTGAGGCTTGTGGCTCAGAGCTTAAATCAGCAGAGAGATTTTAGTGTCCCATTTGAGGATAGCGGGAGTGATAATTGTCTAGATCAAGTAATTAAAGTTACAGGATCACCTTTTAGCTGCAGACAAGTACAGTAGAGACACGATAAAATACACTGACAGGGGAACTAGCGAAATCGTTCGATAAGATTGTTCGGGCTTATTGGCCCATTTTGACTTTGGCTACTCCATGGTACCCTGAAAATCAGGATCAACCGAGGTCATCATACCCCAAGTAAAAGAATTTAATTGGCTGGATGCAGGTCATATCTCATTTGACACATTTGTAGAGTGGGTATCATTGACTGCAACCCTAACGATACAGGGTATGGATATATGAGACAACGACAACTCAAGATATCGTCATTTATTTATCACCTCAACAAAGATTCCAAATCAACATAAAGTTTCGTATAGACTTCAAGGGTACCAGGGCAAATTACGTGCATAATGACTTTTGTTTTCCATCATGGGCGGTAACAAGTGCGGGGTCGTTTTACGGCAGTTCTCGGTGCAATCAATTCCCCTGTCCAAACATCCCTCAATTCGGCAATTATCTATCGCCTACAAGTAGATTGCGTCGCTGCATTCGTAATACCTACAGCCTTCGCTTAGACAAAATGACACATTATGATGGTTCTAGAAGCTTAGACACGTGAAAATGCTCGCCATCATGCGAAAACCTGTTCGAGGGAGCCTGAGCCATTGGTCAAGGTGTCTATATAATTTGCCTCCAAAACACACGGCTCGACTTGGGGGACACTACCAACACCCATCAAACTTCAATCTTGCCAATATTCGCACTGCCAAAATGAGTCAAGTCTCGGAGAAAGCACCCGACAGGAAATGGTGGAAGGAAGCCATTGTCTACCAGGTTTGAACCCCTTCCTCCCTGTTACTGCAATAGACTTATACAAAGTTTAGATCTATCCCGCGTCGTTCCTTGATACCGATTCTAATGGTATCGGGAACATAAACGGGATCACAGCTAAGCTGGACTATCTCAAAGAACTGGGCGGTAAGAAGTATCCCGATCCTATGTTCATGATCTAACGAGTATATGTTAGTGGACATTCTCTGGATTTCACCAAGTAAGACCCCTCGATATATGGCGATGTTCCCAATCTAACATCTGCTTTAGTTTACGAAAGTCCACAGAAGGACATGGGTTATGACATTGTATGAACCCATTTCCCGATGAGATTGAAGTAGCACGCACTGACTTGGCCACAGTCGAATTACCGTGGAATTCATCGGCCCTATGGCACAATGCAAGACGTGCACCACTTAATCGACGAGCTCAAGGCACGCGATATGAAGCTCATCATGGATCTAGTGGTCAATCACACCTCAACTGAGGTAAGAGAAAGCTTTACATTCTGTGTTCAATTTTACGTGACTGATTTCACCTGACGCTATAGCATCCCTGGTTCATCGACTCAGCCTCGTCTGCAGTAAGCGCGCGACGAGACTGGTATATCTGGCGTAAGCCAAAGTATGACGCCCAGGGTAATCGGCAGCCACCGAATAACTGGTGTAGCCTCTTTGACGAGACAGAGTCGGCCTGGACCTATGACTCTAAGACGGATGAGTACTATCTTTCTCTCTTTAGTCCTTTTCAGGCCGACCTTAACTGGGAGACCCCGTTCGTCAGAGAGGAAGTCTGCGATATCCTGCGCTTCTGGCTCGACAAGGGCGTCTCTGGTTTCCGGATGGACGTCATCAACCTCATCTCCAAAGACCAGAGATTTCCCGACGCAGAGATCCGTCACCCAGGCAGGAAGTACCAGCCGGGAGAGTGCTACTTTGCCAACGGGATCCGTCTCATGGACTATCTCCAGGAGATGAAGACCGCCGTATTCTCAAAGTACGATACTCTCACTGTCGGCGAGATGCCATACCTTGAGAACGAAGAGGAGAGACTCAAGATGGTCGAGGCTGAAGAAGGCGTGCTCAACATGATCTTCACCTTTGAGATGATCGGCCTTGACATCGTTCCTGAAAAGGGCCGCTTCAGCAATAAGCCGTGGAAGGTCAGTGAGCTGAAGGACATCGTCGCCAAGGCATGCAGGCTCGTGGATCAGAACGGGTGGCATACGCTATTCTGCGAGAATCACGACCAACCTCGTTCCGTCACGCGTTTCTGCGATGATTCGGATGAGCATCGCGTCGCAGGCACCAAACTCCTTTCAATCATGCAGACCAGCCTTCCTGGTACCTTATATCTGTATCAGGGAGAAGAGCTGGGTATGCGGAACGTGCCCAAGTCCTGGGAATTTGAGGAGTACATAGACATTGAGTCTATTTCCTACATCAAGAAGTAAGTCTCATAAATCCTATCTGATAATCTTGAACAGGTACTGATAGGCCCTTCGTTGTATAGTGTCTGCGCCCAGTTCCCAGAAGGATCTCCTGAAAGGAAAGAGGCAAAGAACCTTCTGCGCCTCAAAGCGCGTGACAATGCCAGGACTCCTATGCAGTGGGACTCTACATCCAACGGCGGCTTCTGCCCCGCGGGAGTCAAACCCTGGATGCGCGTAAACGACGACTACACCATCGTCAACGCAGCGCTACAGACTTCTGCAGGACGGGCAAACGACCGTACCATGCTTGTGTCGCCTTATCGGTTCTGGCAGCGAGGTATCCAGATACGCAAGAAGTATAAAGACATGCTCGTCTATGGGGATATCGAGATTATTGATGGGACACACCACAATGTCTTTGCGTTCAAGAGGACCAGCAACGACAGACATTCCATCACCATTCTTAACTTTAGTAAGGACGAGGTGACCTTCAAGTTTCCTGAAGGTGAGGGGGTCAGAGGTTGGGCTCTTGGGAGTTACGACGTGTTGTCTCTGGAGAGGCCCAGGTCGGGGGAGATACAGCTCCTACCTTGGGAGGGTCTACTTGGTATTGCTTGAAGGGTCTCTTGCTTTGTAACCGAAAAATCAGACTGTCATTAACGTTTACGAAATTAGTTCGATATAGTTAATACAGAATGCCACAGATCGCTGATAACATGTATTAACTTGTAGCATCATGCTTTGCAGTGGTGATCCGTCGCAACTTGGCTTATTAGATCCCATTCTACGCTGTCGCTAGATGTGATATTTGTAGTAGAGACTCGTGGCTGGGAGCTTAAATCAGTAGAGAGAACTTAGGATTCCATTGACGATAAGAGTAAGTCTGAGGGCTCTATGGTAATTCACCAAGTTGTTTTATGGGGAAATACACAGATTGAAGAGTTTTATCGTAAGATTGTTAAGCTTGCTTCTGCAACCTATAAAATCGTGTCCTCATTCATCACCTGTGTTCGCAGCCTAAAGCTTAACCTTACAGGTAACAGTCAACCCCATAAATGCATCGTCCTTTAATTGTATAATTCGAGTATCATTACTGTACAAAATCATTGCTGGCGTGTAATGAGTAAAACGGGAGGGTACGATACTGCAACTTAAACTCTCCGACGTCAAACTATAGATGCCATTCCATGCTCAAATCTTAGACCCCGTTCTCATACTCATCAACCATGTCTCGATATCCGCCTCGCTGTTACCTTTCAACCACTTAATTGTTGCGTCCCGCACAGTAGCCGAAACCCTCTCATACTCAGACCGATCCTGCATAAGCTTGGTGATAACCTTGACCCACGGTACTACATCCTGCTCGGGTATCGTGTATCGTCCCGACGCGTCGCGCTCTCCAGTTATGGGAGTCACCGGCATGATATAATCCAGTCCAAGCATAGACTCAGAGAGCGCACCTGCATTTGATGACACAACTGGAATGCCCCGGAGGTGAGCCTCAACCACCACCATGCCCCAGGCCTCGCACCAGAGCGACGGGACGACAAGGACTTTGATATCGCGCCAGAGATCTTTTTCTACTGCACAGCACGGACGGACACTGCATACTAGTTAGATAATCTTCGATGTCTAAAGCTACATAGGCAATGGAGGTACTTACGTCATGTTAGACAATTCTTTGATCTCTTTTACAGTTGCATCGTCGGCGCCCCAACTCATGTAGGTCAGAAACTCCAACTGCGGGCACTTCCTTGCCAGATTGACCAGTATGCTCGCACCCTTTACCGGACAGGGGTTTATCATACCAACGAACTTCTTGTCCCAGTTAAAGACCCGATCTGGGATGACATGGTCTTTCCCGCCCATATACGTCCAGGGATGATGTACCAAGAAGCGCGTTTCCAACTGGCCGTGTTCAAGTGCATACTTGCGTATCGTCTCAGACACGCTCCATATCCCGTCGAGCTGCTGGAAAAGATCTGCTTCCCGCGTTGTACTCGAATGACCGGGCAAGCCGCCAGCAAAGGGGCCGAAAGGAAGTTGCTCGGCTGTATGCACAACTGCTATACGAGACATGGTTAGGTGCGCCAGTTCTGGGGCGAGACTAGCTTTCATGGATAGGCCGTCATTGGAAATAATGTGCGTCGGAGAAAAACGTCTGATCTCTTCTTGGAGGAAGGAGATGAAATCCATGAGTGGTGCTGAAGACGTTCCATTCTACGATGACGGTTGTCAGTAATGTTGAATACTTGAGTGATAGACATATTTATTTACCTCGATATACTCGGCTGACATCCTGGCCAGCTGGTTCGGTGACTCTACCTTGCCGCCAAACGCAGCGTCAAAGCCCTCGCTGTCGAGAGCCAGCGTCTCGACACCGTCTTCCATACACAGTTCGTGCACCTGCACATCTTGTCCGGGCTTGTCGCTGTCTGACCTCATGTGGAAAACTCCCTTACGGAATCGCGTATCAACCTCGTCGCTTCTATCCATATAGCTCTCTACCTCGCCTCGATACGAGTAGCAGAGCTGGCGGACACAGTGGCCTCTGGACGCGAGGTAGCGCAACAGCGCGTGATTAGCCTTATAACCGCCTGAAGAGGAGAAAAGACCCTTTGCGGTCTGGATAAGAAAGACGCGCATGATGTTATGCTTCGGTTCTAGTAGATAGTTGCAATGTGGTTTGGTGGGGGGGGAGTCGGGGTCAGTGGTTTTCGGGGATACCAATATCCAATGACATTAATGAGGATTTAATGGAACTGGAAATGGATGTGAGAAGAGGGCCGAGTTTGTGCGGTGAATAAATAGGAACAAAAGGTTCGCACACAGGAGTTTAAACACTGATATACGTAGAGGTGCGTTAATTCGCCTTAGAGTTCAAATCACAGAACCTCATATCAAACGTTCACTGTGACGCAATAGCGGCCTCGCCCGTGACCCAGGCCTATAGCCCCTGCCATTCCATCAATAGTGTCGGTCACTATTTCATACGAATGGCCCAGCATCAAATACGTCAAATTAGTAAGTTATAAAATGACAGATCAGATGATAACTGATCAAGATTGATGATGTTACTGAAGTGATGAGATGGTGCTTCACATGACGCTGGGGCACATCTCGGAAGCTTCTAGAGTTGCCTGTAGCACTTCCAGTGTCTTGAAGCTGGAGCATAATGAGAGAGGACAGAAGGCATCTGATTGCTGCGAAGATGATTAGACTTTAGGCTATAGATACGCATGACACGAATGTTGATTTATAGTTGAAGCTTCTGAGATCTCAACGACACATATCATGCCAACACACTGAGAAATCCTAATTAAATTCAGCTTAATAGACCAAACGTGCGATTATCAGATGTCAGCTTAAGGATGTGTTTATATATATCATATAATGGGTTATATTAGAAATTAAATAACTAACAAACTTTACTCAAATGTATAACTAAAAAACCTATAGTATGCCTGTAAGCTTTAATTAATGTAAGTAGAGGACTAATAAAAAACAAAAATAACTTTAAATCTCTATATTTATCGGAAGAACTTAATGCAAATCATGGAAATCGGCGTTATATACCACAGGTATGAAATTCAATATATATAGCAGAACGTATTGTGAAGACAATACAGTCTTTGCTTTAAATAACGCAACCAACCTGCCGATAATGGACCTGCTTCTTTGATTTTACCGTTGATCAGAATGTTTGTTTTCTAAGGTGAAGAGAACAAGAGGTATACTTGCACCACGTCAGCAGTAATTTGTATGAGACTTCAATTTATCTCACGAGCTAAGTCCTCTATCTCGAACCTGTGCATCATTAGTTCGCAGCCATTCATCCCGAGCATGATTGTAGGTTTCAGCGCAGAGTTAGGGCTTCAATAACCGCCAGACGTCGCGACGAGGACGTTGAGAAGTCCAGAACTTGACCACTGTCAAAAAGAGTTGCACCACAGGCATGGCTATTCTGTTATTACCCAACATCGCAACTGACATCACATCAGGCTATACTCAGTCAATCTCGCAAGAAGTAAGACACGCAGAATGGCTGGTTCTGTCCCCGGACAGTCACAGTAAGCTAGGTAATAGATAATTCCTGGGTAAATTATAAATTGGTATTAGAATGCAGTGACTTCAAGCTCTTTGTTCGAAGTAAACATAATCATGTAATGAGGTTGCGTGGCCAATTAGACAGAACCAGCGGCAAACAACTTCTCAAACCCAATAGGGCCAAAAGGTCCGTAAGAAGGATGGAATCACATAAGTCGAGGTGCAGTAAGCTGGTCAAGAGCTCTCATCACAGGACCGCATACGAGACTTTCACTGTGACGCAATTACGACCTCACCTATTAGCCAAGTCCACTTTATGCCATCAAAACATGAAGGAGCTTTAGCCAGTTTTGATGTAATCAACCGTGTTCTGATTACCACTGAGAATGGACTGAATTTGATATGTGATAGATGGCCGACATGAAGAGATGTGATGAGATTGATACTATTACTAAAAGGTGGAGAGAGCGCTTAACACGCTGCTTGATTCCACTGTTAAGATATTGACTCGAGATTGAGATTGGATTGAAATACCGAGGGAGTTAGTAAGAAAATCAAAAGAATCTGTTAATAATTCTTTGCGGTAATTTCAATAGAAATCAAAGCGCACTTCTATGTCAGACGTATGTAAGGTTACTAACGCAGAGCCGAATGCATCGTGAAGGAAACACGATCCATTGTTCGGCACCCCTTATGATGTTATGTCTTGTCAGCGGTGATGAAAAGATTGATAACAGACTTGTTCAGCTTGAGGGTCTTCCGACCAGGGTGTGAAGTGAATATATTGAGCATTTAACTCCTGAGTTGTCATATATGTGATATCGATCTTCTTAAATCTCACCTTTGAATCACTGCTCCACCACTTCAACACCATGAATTCATTGCAGCGAGTTCTTTCAAAAATTCCATTAAGCCCAAGTCCAGACTCTGAGCGGCTGGAAACAAACGGAGACGATATTGTTGAATTCAGGGACGCCGATGTTGATAATCCAAGGAACTGGTCACCGGCGAGAAAACGGTACATCACCGCCATCACGATGTTACTATTGGCAAACGGCAGCATCGCCAGTAGCATCACAGCAGGAAATACCCAATCAATCACTCAGGAATTCGGCATCTCGAATGTCGCCGCCCAGCTCACGACGTCGCTTTTCCTGCTGGGCTTTTGCGCAGGGCCTTTGTTATTTGGCCCGCTATCCGAGTTCTACGGCCGGCAGTGGTTGCTATATCTTACATTCTTTCTCTACTTCTGCTTTACGTTCCTGACGGCCTGGCCGACGAACTTGGGTGGTTTGCTGGTGGGAAGATTTCTCGCTGGATGTTTCGCTGCAGGGCCGTTTGCCATTGTGCCTGGAGTACTGGTTGATCTATGGGATAAGTGTGAGTGCGGCAATGCCATGGGTATCTTGATTTGTGTTTGCTGGGTTGGCCCGGCCCTGGGTACGGTCATATCTGGGTGCTTTGAGCTGAAGAAGGATTGGCGTTGGTCCATGTATGCTTGTCTTTGGCTCGGGTCATTTACTATGATGCCTATGCTGACGATTCCTGAAACACACGGCCCAACGGTTCTTGCACGAAAGGCAAAAGTGGCTCGACACAAAGGTCACGACGTACAGGCTGCAGGGGAGGCTTCCAGACCAAAGCTACTTCAGCTGTACAAGACAGCTCTGACACGACCGTGGGTCCTCCTCTTCGACACAATCTCTCTACTGTGCTGTCTATACTCATGTCTCATTGCTGCTCTGCAATACATGCTCTTCAGCATCTATCCCATCGTGTTCCAGGACCTGAGAGGATGGAACCCCGCTGTGTCACAGCTCCCCGTTCTCGGACAGGCCGTCGGCGCCGTCTTCGGTCTTCTAATGGTGCTTTATCATACGAGACGACGCAAGGCAAGGGTGGACATGGGGAGGGAGATGGTTCCAGAGGACCACATGGTTCTAGCCATGATAGGAGGCGTGGGACTACCGACTTCGATGCTCTGGCTGTGTTGGAGCGCCCAGTACAAGTCCGTATACTGTTGCATTCTCACGATAAGACATCCGGACTGATTTGTCAGTAGCTCCACCCATTGGATCGTATCGACAGCGGGTGGCACGGTTCTGGCGACATGCCTGATGCTGATCCATGTATCTTGCTTTAGTTACGTCGCTGACACCTACGCGGACTACGCTGCTTCTGTCATAGCTTCCAACCTCGTTGCAAGGTGTATCAGCAGCGCAGGAGCTCCTATCTTCACTAGTCAGATGTTCGAGGCCCTTGGAGTGGGCGGCGGAGGCTCGCTGATTGCGGGTGTGGCAGCGCTTCTTGCTGTCATACCATTTCTGTTCTACCGTTGTGGCCACGCTATCCGATCACGGAGTAAATACGCTCTTGCTTAGGCTGGGATATCAAGGCCAAGGAAGATAAATTCGCGTGTTTGGACGGGGAGCCCCTGAGTGTTGAGGATTCAGTTAGCAACGTCATTCTCGCGACAGTCAGCGAAATGTCAACTTGACTAGGTTGAGCAGACGCGACGCGCTAAGTCTAGATGGAGCTTCTACCCTGTCAGTCTTGGGTCCAATAGATGCACCGCAACAAACTCCCGACCATCACATTGTGACAAACCGAACCTTACTTGTCGGAGCCATCCAAACGGTCCACGATGCCACCGTTTGATGTCCAGGGGATCTTCACTCACACCATCTCTCATATCAGATCGCAACACACTGTGGGGCCAGCCTCCACCCCCAAATACTACCCTCCGTTGGAACATCAGCCGCTGATTGGGCTCATGCATGATTGAGTTTGCCGATGGCTGGACAGAACCTTTGGATGGGGGTTCTATAGGGGTTCGGAGCCGTACCGTCTTGAGATGGTTGGTGGGCAGATATCGCTCATAGCAATTTATCGATTTGGGTTTGCTCAACGACCCTCGCTTACGGGACATATCATTTATCACATTCCAAAAACCACAACGGGGCCTGAGTGATGGCGTTTCGGTAGGCCTTTGTTTCGATAATGATGACTGTTGAGTCTTGATGATATGCAGATATCATGTGGAGTTGTGTGCTTATCAACACGCACATCCTGTGGCTAAAAATACTAAAGAACCGGGAGTTTTAGCATCCGCTTTTGGGGCGAAGGATATTCCATGCTTACATGCCGGGTAACGAATCCAGAGTATTAACTGCGGGGTTCCCAGACGTTTCCGTCCAAACGACCACCGTCTGTATAACTAATTTATGGGCACTAGGCCATCCAGAAGCGGGGTAGCTGTGGGAACTAGAGCCTTTACATGTCATGACGACTAAATGACAAGGGACTAAATGACTAGGTTAGCATCCTTGCTCATCAAGTCCCTTGCAGCATCAGCACTGTAACACACCATTTCCACTCCTCGGACATGCGTTATCCTCTCGTCAAGTCATGGTATTTAAAATAAACGCATCATATAGCATGTCGAATTGTCTTTAATGGGAATATTCTCCGCCTGCTGCTAACTTTTAGGTTAAATTGAGCGGCAGGATACCGATCCAGTTCGACCCGGGTATTTAATGGATAGAGACGGAAACAAACCTCACGGCGTTTAACGAAAGAGCATACAGAACGTGAGTAAGACGTTGTCATACTCTTGAGTCCCTGTTGGATACAGCGCCAGAGTCCATTTTCTCGACAGCAGTCTTTCATCTCAGTGTGTGTGCTTGTCCCAGATTCGACGGCCCTCGTGTTCTTCGCGCTGTTCTTCCATGCCAGTCATGTGCGGTCCCTAACAAACGTCTTTGCAGCAACCATGGAGCAAGCTCCCACTACGCACGAGAACCAATCGTACGACCTGTCCCTCTTTGGCAACTTGGATGCTGCGACTCAGTTCTTGGGAGATCAGTGGTATCTTGCGTCCAATGGCGGGAACTACCAGTGCTTGCTCCCCGGGACTGGAGATTACATACCCGGAGTCCCTGGGGACCCGGCTCTGGTCCAATGGCCCGAGCCTCTACTCTCACCAGAGCTTCCAACACCCCAACAAGATTCATCATCGGCAATCATCGCGAGCCCAGCTAGCAATGCCGAATGTCGTCCAGACTCTCTGGTGCATCAACACGCTTCACAATGCACAGCCGTTTCTACTTCCTCCAGCGATGTCGACCACCATATTTCTGTATCGACGCAGACCGAAACACAGAAACGTAGTGTCAGCTTCAGCGTCGACAGCACGATGACCCTGTCACAGGGAGATACTACCACGAGCCCCAACACAGAAATATCCGTCCAGGAGGCAGGCCCGAGCACGAAGAGGCGTGCTACTACCAGTACTGTTCCAACCAGAGATGTCGAGTATATCAAGAAGGTCAGGGAGAGGAACAAGCGCGCTGCGACCAAAGTCCGCCTGAAGCAACGGGAAACCGAGAAGAACCTCGCGTCAGCCGAAAAGGAAATGCAGCAGACGAACCAGAGGTTGACAGAATGTGTGAAGGAGCTAACTAACCAAGTGCACGACCTCAAGATGCAGCTCCTTCAGCATGGCACTTGCGACTGCGTCCTTATTCAGGAGTATATTGGCAACGAGGCCAACCGCTATGTGCAAGAAACGAGTGGCTAGACCTTTTATCCGCAAGGAGTTTTTTAATACGGCGCGATCTTCCAAAATTGCATATGCTACTTAATCTTAACTATCTACGAGATCATGAAGCCCTCTATGGCTAGGATTATATACTGCATGGCTTAGGAATTAGCAAAGACCGCCAATATCTATTATTAATGGTAAGATTTGGGAGGTTAAGAATATACAAAAATGTAGCTAGTATGAAACACATTATTTGGAGTTACAACTTACGGCAAAGAGCTCAGAATCAGTATACAGAACTAATTGATGAAAAATAAAATATGGAAATACTTTTGCAATATGATTTGAGTCCATAGACTTGCTGTCGCACGCCCTAACCCAAAAGGGTCAAGACTCAAGTGGTGGACTCTGAACCTTACGGAACAAGGCCACAGTTAGTCAATACACCATAGCCGTGTCATCTTTACAGCTTCAAACCCACGCCCATCAAACCGCTGACATCACAAGTCAGTCAATGATGCAAGTGCTTGACAAAGGTCATCTCAGTGCTTACATGCATGACATCCTATTTATCACTATCGTCAATCCGGTTAGGCGCTGTAGTATCGCCACGCACCCAGATCTCACACTGACAGAGCGCTGACATATGTGGATCTGCTAGCAGATATGATGTGTTATGGTCTTTTGCGGAGCTGTCTCGGAGCCGAAGACCCCAAGCTACGCTAGTGAAGCGAAAACCTAGGGACAAGGTCTCCGGCTTGGAGTAGGAAATAAGGAGTCCTGTATGAAGCAGGTACGCGTATATATGATGGTGACACTATGTAATGGAAGCGGCACTGGACCTTGATTTAGGTATGGTATTGGGGGGTATTACAATAGGCTGATGAAAGAATGGAGAAGAATATGTATTCTTAGCACATATGATTTTATATGTGTATTGCATTGTGATGATGAAAAGATGAAAGAAATCACGTAGAACAACAACATCCTCATGATTGGAAGGAAGTGCTGGGGATGTGATGAAGAGCATAAATTGCATGGCGAAAGTCCCCTCTTGCTGATAGATTCTCGACAGTAACCACATTCAATACACAATCAACACCAACAATCAACATGGCAGAAGTATCCAAGTATGCTCCAACAACACCCTGTGGATAGTCAATCTCTAATGTTGCCACAAGACCAGTCTACACAACATCCTACAAGCCCCATCCCAGCGAGAGGATGAAGGCAGCCACTTGGACGGGCACAAAGTCTATTGAGCTGACCAGTGTGCCCAAGCCTACCATCACCGCGCCCGCAGATGCCATCGTGCATGTCACCCACTGCACCATTTGCGGCTCGGATCTGCACATGTACAATGGCGATATGAACAAGGTTATGGAGAAGGGGCTCATCATGGGCCATGAGGCTATCGGCATCGTCGAAGAAGTCGGTCCCCAGGTCAAGACCCTAAGCGTAGGAGACCGAGTTATCATCCTGCCCGTCATTGCATGCGGAGACTGCTTCTACTGCAAGCGCAAGGAGTACTCCCTGTGTGACCGCACCAATCCCTCCAAGGAGTTGGAGCAGATGTATGGCCATCGTCTGTCGGGCATCTTTGGTTACTCTCTGATCACGGGAGGATATCCTGGAGATCAGGCAGAGTATTGCCGCGTGCCCAACGCTGACCTCACCTGCATCAAAGCTCCCAAGGATATAGAGGCCAGTAAGCTCGTTGGCCTCGCCGACGTGACTCCTACCGCCTGGCACGGCAACGAGCTGGCCGAGGTAGGCGAGGGAGATGTCGTCGGCGTCTGGGGCTGCGGTGCCGTTGGTCTCTCGATCCAGCGTCTTGCGAAGCTGCGTGGAGCCAGCAAGGTCTATGCCATTGACAAAGACGAGCAGCGCCTGAATATTGCCAAGTCGATGGGCATGATCCCCATCAATGTCAAGGAGCACTCTGATCCTGCCGACTACATCTTGTCCATTGAACCGCATGGGCTGGACCGCGGCATTGAGGCGAGCGGCTTCAGGAGCACCAACTCAACTGCTCATGCTACTATGAGAGCGTTGGGAGTCGAAGGGGATAGTTCTGATACGGTCAGCGCGGCCATCAAGGCAACCCGTAAGGGAGGTAATGTCGCGTTGATCGGAGACTTCTTCTACAACACCAACAACTTCCCGATTGGAATGCTGATGGAAAAAGGTATCACCTTGCGCGGAGGACAGCTCTACGCCCAGAAGGTAACATTCATAAACCCGCCTCATCTTATGGAAGAGAGCTAACTATATTGCAGTACTTCCCGCTTCTTCTAGACCTTGTCGTCGAAGGGAAATACGATCCCTCTTTCATGTTCACTCATCACGGTACAGTAGCCTACTCGTATCTGCTAATTGTCGTTGTCTAACCCTTCTTGCCTTGCAGATAAGTTCGAGAATATCTCCAAGAACTATGATGCCTTCTTTAGTCACAAGACGCCTGGAGGATTGAAGGTTTGTCTCTCAACTGCGTTTGGACGGGCACAGACTGGGGGTTCCGTTTGAACATGATGAAATGCTGGGTCTTTGCATGATTGGGAAATTTGATCTTCACTTTCCTACAGTCATTACAGGAGCAAGGGGTCTTCCAGTCCTTACAGAATAATAGTACAGGTGTTTGAGATCAATCTAGTGCCATGACCCATTGGGAGAGAAAAGATAATTATATTCTGTATATCCTCCCGTAAGCTATCAGCCATGGGTATCATACTTGAATAGTATATCTGTAATCATGCACTTAAACTTCAGCAGAGCCCCTTTTCAACGGTCTAGGACTTGCTTTCAACTTCCGCATACATCTAAAGATGCCTATAGATAGCAGCCTTATCCTTGGAGCTTATATCAAGCCAGTACTTATCTGCAACCTAATTCACTCTTGTAAAGCCTAGATATGATAGTCTTTGGCCACTTTGCCACTTTAGAAAACTTGGGATCATTATCCAGCTGCACATCGATGGCGCTTATGAGTCTCCGGGACCAGCCTTGAACATACCAAAATTGCTGCTCAACAAGGCTTAGAAGCACTGAAAAATATGATAACAGGACAAGAGCGCATGGGTCATTGGCTTGGATGTCCGACATGATACTTGCAGAGATTCCGTATGGGAAGAACATGACCATGCCTATCTCTGGCTGGGTACCAGCATGTGCAATGAGAATCGCCGACTTTCGTAGCTGCAACGTGGCAAACTCATAGTCTGCCCTGTTGCAGTCCGATAGATCAGTGCGGTAAAAAGCGAAGAGACGACGCAGTGCCTGGAATGTATCCAAAGGCAGAGCAGTACGATCCAATGGCGGATCGAAGCTTTACAGCAATAGTCAGCCTATTGGTTCGTGGGGAGGGCAAGATCACGTACTCGTAAGAGGCCTCGTCATTCTCTCCGACTATCCAGATCCCAGCTGACCATGCGGAGAAAGGCGTCTCCGCAAGATTCTGTCCCGCGCCGAAGAGACTAGATCGAATGCCGCGTATCAGGACAAAGATCTGCAAAATATCCGCCATGGCATCTCCGGTCCAACCTGCCGATGAAAATGCATATATTACGATTGTAGATGAGAAGCAGAACGCAGGGTGCCAGTTCCTTTCGTTGATGCTATGAATTATGCTGCGGAAGCCTTGCATGCCACGGGTTTGGTGATAGGCTGCGAGATCGAGATATTTGTCCCTTCTTGCGGGCAGCAGGTGAGCTTTGTGTAAGGCAGCGACTGACAGTATGCCGTGGGAGAGAAACGGTGTATTATATGACATCTCGGGGAGGACCATACGCCAGATGTGCTGCATATCCAGCCTCAGAGCAAGAGTGTTGGCTGTAATGGTAGAGTAGTGGTGCATCAGTTCCAGGCCGTGGTCTTGGAAATCCAGAGATGCGCCCGGCGTTGGAGCACTCCATACTTCAGCTACGGATAATGCATCAGGACTCGCTTCGGTTTCTCTGTTATTTAACAGGGGCAATCTAATGGCCCCTGTCTTCTGAGGAGACTGTTGGGATGAGGTCAAGGTGCATGTTATCCCACGGCGGGCACAGTTAAAGCAAGAGGGAAGTCTCTCATCGCACTATGGCGAAAGCGTCGTGAGACATCAGCAAAGCCCGCCAAGAGAAGGTGGAATGGGAGATTTGATGAGGAAGATCCATGATATTGCGGCCATGACATACCTTGACCTTTCTACGTTTGCACTCCCGACATCCGCTGCGTGACTTTGTGTGAGAGCGTCGTGGTTTCATCTCTTCGACACATAAGTCGTCACCGACACACTGGAGGATATCGGTGGATATTTACAAACAAACCGCGTGTTCGCACAAAATGGATTCTTGGGGTCGCATAACGGAAAAGAGGCTAGTTATAAGCTTATACCGAGCCTAAAACGCGAATACGCGGCATTCGGATGCGCCGGGACTTGGGGGTATCCAATGGTAAAGCTGAGTTGACATTGGACATGGACATGATACGGATCCACATCTTGCCCTAACATCGCAGATGAGGCTGAAGAGTCAGCTCAATGTCTAAGCCATGATTTGGAGATCGAGGCACGCAAGCTATAAGTTCTTTGAAATGGAGTTTTGTATATATAGATAAAACGGACTCAAAATGCTCCGTTATTGGAGTGCTATCGTGTTTAAAAGTAAGGGCTGCCCTGAGCCAAAGCCCATATCGAACCATCAAGACATTATCCAGTGTCATCTTTCGCCAAAGAGTTAAAGGAATCAATTACTCATCTTGAAAATGGCTGTCAAGTGCGACCCTAACTATCGACATGCCGACTGGTCCTTCTACCGCTACGAACCCTCGACAGCCGCGGCCGTCATATTCGTCATCCTATTCAGTGTCACGACGCTCGTCCATGTCTTCCAGATGTTTAGGACAAGAACTTGGTATATGTTGGCATTCTGCCTCGGTGGTATATGTAAGGCACTCCATTATTGTCTGACGTTACTAATCGACCGGTTACTGTAGCTGAGATAGTTGGATATATTGGTCGTGCCATTAACTCAACCGAAGACCCCGGCTGTTGGACTCTGGGCCCCTACGTCATCCAAAGCGTCTTACTCCTCATCGCGCCGGCGTTGATGGCTGCTTCTATATACATGATACTCAGCCGCGTTATCCTCTTGACGCACGGAGAGGAACATGCCATCATCAAGAGGCGATGGTTGACCAAGATCTTTGTTGTGGGTGATATTGTGTCAATACAGCTCCAGTCCGCAGGTATGGACAACTGATACCGCAGTCACCCATCACGACATTGACCCTTGTTGACTGTTATTGACATCAAAACAGGTGGAAGTATGATGTCGGGAGCCAATGAAACAAATAACCTCATGAAGATTGGCGAGTACGTCATCATCGGCGGCCTCTTCTTCCAGCTTATAATCTTCGGCATCTTCATCGCAGTCGTCAGTGTCTTTCATCGCCGGATGAACCGCTCGCCTACGAACAAGAGCCTAGAGCCCTCGATCAGGTGGCGTCATTACCTCACTACCCTCTACGTTACGAGCGGTCTTATTTGGGTTAGGAGTCTTTTCCGGGTTATTGAGTACCTTGATGGCAATGACGGATATCTCATGAGGACTGAAGCTTTCCTGTTCGTCTTCGATGCCACCCTGATCTGGATTGTTACGGTTTGGATGAATTGGTATCACCCCAGCGAGATTGGACTACTTCTCCGAAACGAGTCACCGGTGGCCAACGGGTTTGAACTACTTCCGTTCGGCCGACGATTCGAAAGAGTTCGCTCTTGAGTCATGATTACATTGTCTGCAAGATTATATATTTAATCTTCGATATGGAGTTGGCGAATGGAATTGTATGCAAGAGGAGGGGTGCGACAGAATGTAATATTACAAGCTTTGAGAACCCTTTCTTTTTACTATAGAAGTCGCCAGTATAACAATCTGGTGGCAATAGCAATGTCATAGCTTGAGTAACTAGAATAAATATTATTATATACAGTTACACACTGACGTTAGTTGACATAACACCATGGCCAGCACGATACATATTAAGGATGAGCTCGTTTGAGATGAAGAAACACTCCTGCGTAGTAAGCCCTACCCCCGTACAGACTGTGATTATGCGATTTTAACACTACACTGTTTCTTCTCAGAAGGTCACAAGAATACTATTATTCCTGGTATGACAATCAGCAGGACATTTACCAGGGCTCTAAGAGAGCAAGCTTCTTCTCTACAAGCCACTTGTTCACCTCAATCACTGTATTCTCCCACAGCCCCTTAACCTGCCGGTCATCTTTAGCAACAGGATTAGGCTCTTCCAATTTTCCCACCGGAACTATAAACCTCCCCTTGTACTTCACCATATCCTTCTTTACCTCCGTTGCTGTCGCTGCGAACAAAGAATTAGCAGCACCCTGCTCAGCAGTCAAGAATGACAAGCGAGCTATAGCCCTGACAAGAACAGTATTAATAGCCAGCACACCCTCAGTGAGTACCTCCCCAGGATGAACAGCTATACAAGTAATAGCCATATTCTGTCCCTCTAATCTTTCTTGAAGCTCTTGTGTGAGTAGTACCACTGCCGCTTTGGACACAGCGTACCGGATGATGTCAAAGCCAAACACGAATCTTCCAACATAGCGCCATTGCCATGGGTAAGACGTGACTGGCTTGTTGAAACATGTTGGCGAGTCGAAGTTAAACTTGAAGTTGGCAGGGAGCATGCTGATGCTCGCCGTGGAGCTGAGGTTTATGATCCTGACGTCGGCTTCAGGATCCTTGGCGGCTGCTTTGAGGAGGCGTAGAAGTCTGTTGATTAGAATGAAAGGTCTCATATGGCTGTGCATGTTAGGTATCAGTTGATGGTCAGTTGGGCTATACATACTTGGCGGTCATGTGTTGTTCGTATTTACCGTCAACCAACATGGTAGATGATGTTGAGGCAGCGGCATTGTTAACTTTAATATCGTCAGTTAGAATCCAATAAGTTGAGGTCTGAGACGTACTTAGGATGTGAAGCTTTGTCTCATTTTTCTTTAGTTCTTCGACGGCTTGAGTAATGCTGACTGGATCATACAGATCCATGACCAGATATCGAACATTTCTCGCATCGATACCACCGTCTTTGGTGAGCTTGTCTCTGGCTTGTCTGGCTCTTGCTTCACTTCGCGTAGTCAAATACACCCTCGCTCCTTTCCGAGCCAGGAACCTGACTGTCTCAAGGCCAATTCCCGAGCTGAAGCTGTGTCAGTCGCGATATAGATTAATTGAAAAAAGCTGATTCATACCTGCCCCCAGTCACGACAGCGACTTTGCCGTTCAGATCTGGCATATCCGTGGAGGGGTTCCATTGTGATGTCGCCATTATGTGAAAGCTGGTTGGCTGCCGAATGGAATGGAGGGTAAGCGTTGGGAGTATGCTGAGCAACTAAGATGGAAGCTTTGCGCCTTAAAGATATATTTAAGCAGTCCTTATCATTCCACGCATTATCATGCATCATGACATGTGATTCTATGTAATTATAGTAATAACTCCAGGACCCAGGGGACCCCCACTGTAAGTGCACAAGCTGTCGCACTAATGAAACTTAACTTAGCATCTCCGACCCAAGTCCGCTAGCCTCCATCTCATCTCCACCGCTCCTCCGCAGCCAAACACCAACCTAGCCCAGCATTATCCATTTCTTCTCCCAGTTATCCAAACACATCCACAATGGGTCGGAAAACCAAGCAAAAGTCATGCTTCGCGTGTGTCGAGACCAAGCGCCGCTGCGACAAGCGATATCCCTCATGCTCTCGCTGTCTCGATCGAGAGTCGGTCTGCACTTATCCTTCTTTGCCAAGACGACAACCTCTCGACTTGATGGAAGCTGATACTGCTCCAGCGATGGGTCTTGGAGACATGTGGACCTCTGCGGCTGATGCAAATAGTCTGGCGTTGGTTGGGGAAATGCCCGAGCCATGGCTTCTCGATCCTGTGTTCAGCGCCAATCTGAATTGTCCGTCGATCTCGTCATGGACGCCCTCATTATCAGATCCATCATCACTACCAGCTTCAACCTCGAGTGGAATACCTGAGCCTTCCGGCCAGCTGATGCATGCATCCCGGGATTTGGGCTGGTTTCTTGGACCTCAATCATGGGTTATAGGATATCATTACAACGCCCCGGATGTGATGCCTTCGGCTTCCGTGTTCACTAATTTCATCCGCGGCTTACAGAACTGGTTATCCCGGTTTGCCAAAACTGGTCACAACCCCTTCATACACCGACATCTCTATTCAGACTCCGGATATCCACAATGCATTCAAGATGCATACTCTGCATGTGTTATCTCCGGCGCTGCTAGTAGCGAGAATGAAACCATCGTCAATGCAATCTCGGCTACACACATCACAAATCTACTAAACGCTCAGCCCGCCAGATGTGCCAGTATCATCTCCACCAGGGACCATCTAGCCCGCACCCAAGCCCTTCTCATCCACATCCTCCTCGCACTATTTTCCTCCTCGATTGAGCGTCGGGCAAGGGGAGAGAATCTCATCAGCCTTCTTCACGCGTGGAAGAATCAGCTATGGGAGTCTGCAACACATGATAGTACACTTGCTTCACCACTACCGATCTTAGCGACTTCCAGCGGAACAGCTGTTGGTGAACTGGACCCTATCCCCGGTCTTTACCGTTCCTTTGTCCTCTCCGAATCCATCCGTCGTACCGGGCTACTGTGTAACATTGCCACTGGTGTATATAGCGGTTTGAAAGGCAGCAACATACAGTCATGCGGGGGCGACATCCATATCACGACACAAGCCAGGTTCTGGGAGGCATCTTCCTCTGCACGCTGGGAGGCCGTTGCGCGACAGACTAATCCATTATTTATTTACACTCTAAAGGGACAGATGCTAGTAGAACAGGGCGTTGGTGCTGCTCAGGTTGATGAGTTTGCACGTCATTTGTTTACTATTATGTGGGGATTGGAAAAGGTTGAGACTTGGGCTGTGAGAACAGGAGACCAGGTTTCTGTTGCATACTAGGACGAAACACGAAATCGAATTCATTCAATCTTCAATCATTGTCAAATGTAAGAAACTCCCCTTGCTTCTGTATACTCTCCTATACTCATCTTGAAATTTCCGTCGGAAATTGGCCTACCTATACCGCCATACTCATGCGATCCGGTCGAAGCGTGTGGACCAAGCCCTCGCTAGTATAAGGGCCCCATCTCACTGCTAAGAATTGTAGTGACATTGAATGGAGTCTTATTAGCTGCCTGAGCCTAATCTAGGGTATCCGCCCCGCACAATTTGATCATGCACTCACTCTTTTACCAACCGCTCTGACTATGCAGAAAGCATTGAAAAACACTCTCCTCTTTGCTCGGGTACCGGTGGTAATCCACTCGGGCTTCTCGGACTGTAGCCAACAGGACCACTCCGAGAGCTCTCCACCTATGTCCGCGCCAACTCCACTTCAAGTTCACTGAGAGCCTATCTGCAATCAACGTAAAGTTTCGAGGCTGTGGTTAATTTTCACGGTGACTAGCAATCTGGACGTGCCTGACGCAGGCGGCAAGGAGTTCTGATCTCGTCATACCGCGCGGAGTGAAGACGTGGAGTGATCTGCGGAGTCGGAGAAAGGTGACCGATGCGAATCCACGGCACCGAGAGTCTCATATTTATAAGTATAAAATGGACTTCTTTTCTCAACATTGGATGCTTCTCAATTCACTTCTCATCTACTTATCAATTCTTCATTATATAGTATCTAGTCAACCAAAATGTCAGCTCAACAAGACTCTCTGTTTGAGTGGATCACCAAGCTCAACGACACCCTCTTCATTCAACCCAACGACGAGATCGCATTGAAGGCTATAGATGAACAAGTTGATCGAAGCCTAGTCACTAAGTAAGAGAACCCATTCATGACCCTTGAGGCAATATATCTGACCTACGACACACTAGGATCAATCACAACATTTACACCTATGATCAGTTCAAACCCGGTCTCCTCTACGTCCGTGGCTCAACTACTTCTATTCAAGACGAATTCTCCGAGATTCTCACATGGGAGGATCCCGAGAAGGGCAATGGCGTTGTGGCTGTTTTGAGCAAATGGAGGACCAAGCATAAGGAAACGGGCGACGAGACCAAGAAGACTAATGTCATTCTCTGGGAGGTCAAACTGATTGATGGGAAGAGAAAGCTTACGGGACAGACTGAAGTGGAGGCAATTTAGATCGCATTACTTTTGATGGGTCTTGAAGATGCTGTAGAGATGGCATGTGTGGCTTAAGTTCCTTGGTGAATCTATCGCTGGTACTGCAGAGGTTCCAAGTACTCCTTATCGCGAATTCACAGCTCAATCACGACAAGGGATTAAAGCAGAGAAACGTTTATTAAGATATGATATACTTTGTGCCTGTAATACAGAGCATTTCATAAAGAACCAACTTTTCAAGATGCCTCAAGTGACTTCTTCCACTTATAGGCCTGTTTTGTATCGGTACAGGCAGAGCAAAGCCGATGATACACTCAGCACTTGTTGCGACTAACGCAAGATCCAGACTAATAAGTTGCATTAGTGGCCGTCGTCAACGAAACGATTTGAACTCACCTGGCTTCGAATAGTGCCTTCCTTGCAGAAACAGCCAGGAACGCACTGCTTGGTGCACGGTCGGGGCTCGGGTGCATCGCAAGTCAAGGGACAGGCCGTGCCGCATTCAAAGAACTGTTCACCCTATGGATTGATGTTAGATCAAGAAACAATGTTGAGGATGTAAATGCTTACAGCCTTGCATTTCGGAGTGGTAGCGGCAGGGATGGCGAGAGCGCCGGCAGCGAAAAGGGCGATGAGGGAGATGGAGTACTTCATTTTGAAGGTATGGTAGATAGAGTGTTGCAAGTAGATTGTTAGAAGTAGATGAGATTGTGAGTGAAGTGTGAAGGTAAGGAGCAGTGAACAAGATGCTCTGGAAGCACAGGTCTTATATAGAGTTTGTTTCTTGTATTCACATGCCATCCGGTCAATCAACGTGATGTTTAAAGTTTTCATCAAAGCACACGCCGCAACATAACATTCGATGTTTAAGGATCCACTAATGTGAGGTTGGTCTCCAGTGCAACCAACCCGTGAAATATGGATTTGAGACAAAAGCGGCATAGAGTTAAATTACACATCTCAAGTCGGAAGTGATCTTCAAGACGAGACAGTATCTAGAAAAGTTAATAAATCTCTAATTCTCTCCTTATGACCTATCTTCAAAACAGTTATTTATGAATTAGTGTGTTTCTCCGTATTTCCCTTTTGACATAATAATAGATTTAACTTTAAAAATTGTGGAGTGACTTCACTGCCCCACTCCACCTCCTCAATAAGCCGTTAGTGGCCGAGCGGGCCGAGATGGTGATCAACCCGACATTGAGCCTCTTAGGTAAGATGCTTGGTTTTTTTCACTGGAATGTGGTTTGTGTTTCTGCAAGGGGAAAATTCTGCTTTCTGAATGACTTGCTAATTCGATGTGAAATGAACTTTTGCTTATGCAGTACACTGGATCAGGGAATTCACGACAAGACAGGCAAGTCTCAGCTGAAGAGAAGTAGCATGAATGAGACAAAAGTTAGGGATGAGTATTTTGAAGTTCAGACACATTTATTCAAGAAGGCAAACAATGCATTATCTCTCTGTATTATGTCATAAACCCAGCAGTTATATTATGTACGTGCTTATCATTCTTTCTTGCCAAACTGGTAACTCCAATATGCCATATACTCCTAGTAAAACCTTTTCTCTTCTTCATGCAGCGTAAAGCCTTTTCATCTCACTCTCAACTCCTCCTGTGTCTTTGGTGTTGGCTTATAGGAGACACAGGGGTTCAAAGTCGCAGAGGGCTTTGTTGATGGGCGCAGAGTCAGTAGCCAATGTGATGAGATCGCCCTGTTCACTCGCATCACCCAAATTCTGGGAAGGCCGGTACTCCAGATTGTATTGGCCTCTACTCTCAAAGACTGTGACTTGTGTCTTTGGCTTGTCATTTACACGAGACCAAGACTCATTCTTTGTCTCAGCCCCCATTGCCTCCCGCCCTAGTTCGGTGTGCTGGGAGGCTGGAGGCCCGTACAACTCTTCCCAGTTCGGCTTGGGAGGCTCCTCGTAAGAAGCCTTGGGCAAGTCTGAGGCGTCCACCTTGCCATTGTGGAGAAGCTTATACCCCATATACCTGAACCACTCCAAGTCTCGCGCAAGGAGGCGCCCCTTGCCATTTAGCTGCCAGTAAAACGGCCACGACTCATGCGTGGTCTTTGTGTCGCCCGACTTATAAAAGCCAAACTCGGGCTCAAGAGCAGCAGCGAGCTTGACGTCGGGGCCCTTGATGAACTTGCTGTTGGGCCGGCCAGTCCCAGCGCTGGACCTGGCGGGCGAGGAGGCGGGTCTTTTGTTCGGGGGAGACAGACATTTTGGAGTTGGTGGAGATATTGGCGGGGGATATGGATGGGGAGGAGAGATAGAAAGCTCGTTTGCTTTGGATAGGATGGGAGAGGGAGGCGATTTGTGAGGTGATTGATGACTTGGTCTTGGGAGATAAATGAGAAGTTTGTGAGAAGACTTGGAAGTAAATAAGTCTGGAATCCTAGAAGTGATAATTAAGGGAAAGGAATTTTAGGAGAAGAAAGCTGGGAAGGTGGCTATTTATAGGGAGGAAAGATCATTTTGACTTTCAACTTCTAGATAACCTGTGCATTCTGGAGATGAGAGACTTTTGCAGGTTGATGCTTTTCTGGCTTTAGGTTTTCGTGATTACGGGTTATCGTAGTCTCATTGTAGCATGCGCCGTAAGCTTTCTTGTCACGACGGCAAATACAGTTAAACTTCAGAAACAATAGTGGCAGTCTAGAATTTAAATTTATGCTTACAACTGTACTCTTGATTGATTGGACAACAGTGCGCCTTTCACTTCTAAGTCCGAAGTTAATAGTGATCTCTCAAGATGAATGGAAAAGACTGCGAGTAAATTTCATAAGGAACTCACAGATAGCCACCATAGACTCTCAATTTGTTTCTGCACGATGCAGGTTTGCGCATAACAAGAACTTATTCAGATCTAGCACAATACCGTCTTTCATACTTTCAAAGGTTCGCGGTCACACTATGCTGCCTGTTTATGAATCTTCCAATCAACTCTGACTATCTGTGGCTTTAACATTTCATTTGGCTCGATAAAAAGTCAAATACTGGTTCGCGAATCAGAACAATATAGATTCCAACTAAGAGACAGATTCAAGGTAGAATTAATACAATACAGAAAGGTAAGAACAAGATTTCTCACCAGATCACCACTCATCACCACCAACTAGCCACTCAAAACCTAGATCGAACACATCCCTTTCCCACCATCTTTCGTCCCGTTCCACAAGTGCACTTCTTATCCGCCCAGACAAGATTCCCATTATCGCAAGCACACTTCTTCGCATACCCATTCCAACTCGCCGCATCTCCACAGTCAACAGTGCACTGATTCTTCGACCAAACCTTTCCATCAGGACATCCACACGTTTTGTCATCTGCATCAAAGATCTGACCCTTCTTATCGCAAACACACGTCTCAGAACGAGAGTTATACGACGCGTAGTCGCCACAGTCGGTGATGCACTCCTTGCCACTCCAGATCTTACCACCTGTGCATCCGCAGCCGAGGGAAGTGAGGTTGAATGTCTGGCCCTTTTTGGGACAAACGCAGGTTTGGGACTTCTTGTGCCATGAAGCTAGTCTCCCACAGTCGATATGGAATTGTCCATCGGACCAGACTAGCTTATCAGGGCAAGAGCATGTTTTCGTCTCACTGTCAAAGTCCATACCGTCCTTGTTGCATACGCAGCCTTTGGCGGGGTTACTCCAACATGCTTCAGAGCCACAATTCGAAGCGCACATTTTGCCGTTCCAGCGCGTATCAGTAGGACACGTGCAGGTCTTGTCTGCGTTCAACATCTGACCAGCCTTTTTGCAGACACAAACATCGTCTTTGTCGTAAGCGTGTGAGCCGCAGTCTTTCTTGCAGCCTTTCTTGGTGGGCTTGTAGCCATCTTTGCAGACGCATTTCTTATCGGATATGACAGTGTTGGGCTTGCTGCAGATACAGTTGCCTTCGGTGTCGCGGGTTGAACCGTCGGAGCATTTGGGGGTGCAATTGTCCTTGACGGGTTCGTTGCCGGGTTTGCAGGTGCAAGTGTTTTTGGTGTCTAGCTCGGCGAGGTTGTCGTCGCAGATGCAGATGTCTTTGTCGTTGCGGGTAGAGCCTTTGGGACACTCTGGCTTACACTCGTTGTTGACGATCTCATTATTAGCTGCGGTGCAATTGCAAGTACCGTCTACCTGACGCGTGGACTCTTTGGGGCATTCAGGCTTACACTCTCCCTTAACGAGTTCGTAACCGTCGGTGTCGCATTTACAGGTGTTGTCCTGCTGACGAGTAGACCCTGCAGGACACTCAGGCTTGCACTCCCCACTGACAACCTCGTAGCCATCAGTAGTACACTTGCAAGACTTATCCTCCTGTCGTTCTGAGTCTTTAGGACATTCTTCCTTGCACTCGCCGCTAACTATCTCGAAGCCACCGGCATCGCATTTGCAGGTATCATCCTCCTGACGGGTTGAATCTTTTGGACACTTGGGTACACAGACACCCTTGACAATCTCATAGTCCTTGGTATCGCAAGTACAGGATCCATCCTCTTGGCGCTTCGAGTCCCTGGGGCAATCAGCTGTACATGTGTCCTTCACGATCTCAAAGCCATCTTCGCTGCATTTGCAACTGCCATCGTCTTGACGGCCCGAATCCTCAGGACACTCAGGCACGCAAGTGCCTTTGACAATCTCGTAGCCGTTATGGTTGCACTTGCAGGTACCATCCTCTTGTCTGGTCGACTTATCGGGACAGGTAGGGGTGCAGACGTTCTTGATGATCTCGTAGTTATCCTCATGGCACTTGCAGGTATCATCCTGTTGTCTGGTGGAGTCTTTGGGACAAACAGGTACACAGGTGTTCTTGATGATCTCCTCACCCTCTGCGTCGCATTTGCAAGTATCGTTGTCTTGCCTCTTTGAGTCCTGGGGGCAAACTGGGACGCAGATATTCTTGACTATCTCGGAATCCTCCGCATCACACTTGCAAGTGTCATCCTGTTGTCTTGAAGAATCCTTTGGACAGATAGGGACACAAGCCCCCTTAACGATTTCCTTATCATCGGCGTTACACTTGCACGTATCATCGCTTTGTCGAGTAGAATCAGCCGGACAGACAGGAACGCAAGTGCCCTTGATGATTTCCTGGTTGTCTGCATCACATTTGCAGTTATCATCATTCTGACGCGTCGAGTCCTTCGGGCAAACAGGCACACAAGCTCCTTTGATGATTTCTTGGGCTTGATCATCACACTTGCAAGTATCATCGCTTTGTCGCTTTGAGTCTTTGGGGCAGACGGGGACACAAGATCCCTTCACGATCTCTTGGTTGTCATCGGTACATTTGCAGGTGTCGTCAGATTGACGCGTTGAATCTTTGGGGCAAACAGGCACGCATGAGCCCTTGATAAGTTCTTTGCTAGTGTCATCGCACTTGCAAGATTCATCATTCTGGCGAGTCGTATCCTTCGGGCAAACAGGTATGCAGGCTCCCTTGGCAATCTCTTCCTTGTCGTTCGTGCATTTGCATGAGCCGTCATTCTGACGTGTTGACCCGGTAGGGCATGTAGTGACGCAAACCCCCTTGACGAGCTCCTTATTGCCATCATCACATTTGCAGGACCCATCGGTTTGGCGTGTAGTATCCTTAGGGCACTTGTTGACACAAGAACCCTTATTGATCTCCTTGTTCGGATCATTGCACTTGCAGCTGCCATCAGACTGACGCGTAGAATACTGAGGGCATTTGTCGACGCAAACACCCTTGACCAAGTCCTTGTCACCCTGACACTTGCAACTACCGTTGTCCTGACGAGTGGAGTACTGGGGGCACTTGTCGACACAAGAACCTTTGAAGACCTCCTTCTTGGGATCGTGACACTTGCATGAACCATCACCCTGTCGAGTAGTACCCCCAGGACATTTGTCAACGCACTTCCCCTGGACGGACTCCTTTCCAGACTTGCAGCTGCACTGTCCAGAGGAAGAAGACCAACTAGCTCCATCGTCATCACAGACACAAGACCAGCTGCCGTAGCTGCCAGGCTTGTACTTCGAATCAGCAGGGCACTTGTTAACGCACTTTCTATCCTTGAGTGTCTGTGCGTCAGGGCAATCGCAGGAGTACTGCTTGTAGATCTGCCCTTCGTTGGGACATTTGCAGTATCCGGGAGTTGAGCCTTTGGGTGGGACCCAGGTGGCTTCACCGCAGTATTGGGTGTAGGTGCGCCTGTTCAGGGTGTTAGGGGTGCCATCAGGGGCAGCGGAGACGCTAGTGATGGTGATGAAAGCGAGGGTGAGAGCTTTGAACAGCATTGTGATAGTGCCAGGCGGGCGTTGTATTTACAAGTGATCAAAAAAAGAGATGTGAGAATTAGACTTTGAGTGCCGGTGCATCTGAGTGAAGTTACAGGATTGACCTCTATGCTTTTATAGAAGTTACGGCGAGAGGGAAAAGAGAGTCACCACGATGATACTCATTGGAGGCTTGACATCTCCGAGCTGAGTCGGAACGCCAAAAACAATCTGGTGACAAGCTGCATGATGCTATTCCCAAACAGAATGAGTTCCCATCTTTCAACTGCAGTATTCATTGCTATCGAAGTCTAGGCCCGTCACCAATAAATCAGCTGAAGGATCCCATGGTCCGGAGGCGTCAGTCAATCGATAGCTCATGGAATTGTCGAAGCTGAATTGCCGCAGTGGGTGGAACGACGAGGTCTGGATCGGCATTTCTTTGTTATTCTAGAGTACCAACTGCCCGTCATCGAGGAGATGAGCGAGATCCGAGATTGGGGGATGCATCCTTGAGCTTGGACTGGCCATTGGGGCTGAATGGCATGGGTTCTGGCTGTTGTCTTTGGATCTTGGACCCTAGGATAAGCATAATCTTTGATTGGCCCTATCTACGTCTGCCTCTCTCTCTTGTGTGTGTCGTACGAACCAGTTCTTTTGAAGTGATTGGGTCGTTTGCCGCCTAGTTGCGTGTCTTTTACCGTCTTAGTGTCAACCTCAACACACTAATACATGGCCTTAGCCGGGGGCCGTAGTCTGAATTGCATCGAGCTTCACCATCAACCGAGCTGGAAACAGTTGGCTCAGGACCTTCCCTCTCCTTTGCCTTGCACTAGCTCTCGATCCAGGAACAGACCAAGTAAGCCGTGATTGGTCAAAGGGAAATTATCACTCCATCTCCATGTTGAGGCCACAGTCAGCTGGAAAGCACTGACAAACAAACATGATTTCTTCCCCACATAAGACTAGAATAGAAACAGGAACCTTGCTTGGACAGGGCGTCGCGATACCTGAGCGTTGAGGTGACAGGCTGATGAGGCGTTTAGGGCTGAGGAGGATCAAAGAACCGCCGCTATTCACGGCGACGCCACGACGCCACTTCCATCAGTTTTGGAACCTGGGAGCGCCATTTTACATTGACAGAATTTGTAGAATGGGAGGTGGAAATTGGATCATGCGGAAGTCTTTGATGGTTTATGTACCTTTGTGGGATGCCCGTATCAATTTCCACTTCCTCCTAGGCCGGGCATGGCTGTTGGTCGTAGCCAATGCAATGATGAACTCAATCACACCGATCACAGTGCAGCAGCCTGTCAGCTTCAGCGCTCAGACCTTGCAGAGCAGAGTCCATGCGTCACTTTTACACTCGATCTGTCAGGCAAAGCTGAGTGGCTGATCATCCTCACAACGGCCGCAAGCCATCTTTGTGTAAGCTAGAGCTGCAGTTTGCCGATAGTATCAGCCCTATAAGCATTCATGCCGATGTCCAATTTCCACATCTAGACAACAATGCGATCCCCGGAATATCGGCGATCTAGATTCGTGCATGCCAAGATCAAGGACAGGATCTGATAGATGGATCATGGTTGCTCCCTGTTCAGCTCATCCAGTGAGCTTGAGCTTATTGGCTCTTTGATCGGCGTGTCTATGTTTTCTTGCTTGGATCGTGAAGAGTGAACAGACTCCTAACGAATTCACCATGTCCCAAAATCTCAGACGACGGTATTGACCTCTGGAATGCACCCACAGTTTTCAATTTATCGCCGACTTTGATCTGTAAAGCAAGCTGCATCATGCCTAGAGCACAAATCTCAAAACTACCCTAGGTACAAAATGAACCTTCTCAGCCAGGCAGAAATTTCTATAGTTCTATTACATCCTAAGACTGCTACTAAATGAAATAAACTCTCAAGATAAATACTAAATGAATATCTAATACACGTACTGTTTTTTGTTGCACTTCTTCTGCAGATAATGGATAAATATATTCGGAACCACCATTCGGAAACAGATGTCTGCCTCCCGTTTCCGACGTTACCCCGCGTCTCTTTAGTGCGGCGTTCCTAAAGTTTAACGGCTGACAGTCAGCCTTTCCGGCCAAGATCTTCAATCTTATCTCTCTAGCTTGGGTTCTCAGCAGATAAGCATACTTCATCAGCGCTCACACAATAGCTCTTCTCTACAAGCTGACATCGAAACAAGTTAGATAGGAGTTAAGTGATAAGGAACTGATAGTAAAGAGATATGATCTAGCCTGTGTTGATTCAATTACGAGAGACAAATGCTCTATCGCGTAGCGAGATTGGGACTGCATAATCGCTCCTCCGGTGCTGCCGGACTGGCTAGGTCTAAGTAGGGTAGCATATTCTATACTGCTAACACTGTTGAGAGATCGCGCGGAGATAGTGATGGACTTAATTGTGTTATGTCACTGTTTGCTCGAGTCAGTGGCCGCGGGTCATTTCCGTCGTGAACTGCAGCAAGGTAGTTGCTATTACTCAATCTCCGCATTATATTGAAGCATGCTACAGTCTCATTCCTCTTCTATATTTAGAAAGAGATGCCAAGAGAACTCTGCTGTTTGTCACAATCGTACGTTCTTATGTCAATACTGGGACCGTCATGACACAGGTGTCCTTGGGAGGATGGATGCTGCGGAGCAGGACCGTTACATCCAGGTACCTTGTTTTGTTCTAGATCATCAACTGGCTGTATGATCGAGACTGCCCCTCGGTTAGAAAAGTGGCTTGCTTAAGGGTTTCTGTTATGATGTAACTGTATCTATGGAGAAATGCACAGAATGAAATTGTTTGATGAACTCTTCCACTGTTGTTCCATCTCCCCGGTCCCGGTCTAGGGTGACATGTGGAGTTTGACTCTGCCTACAGCGAATGGGAACAGACTTCAATACGGTGAAGCCAATCAGAGCGCGTAGACGTGCATACTCAATGCTCCGCAGTGACGATCAATTGTGTGGGGTTCGGAAGACTCTCGGTAGCGAAGCTCGCTACGGGAGGAGAATAAACCATTCAAGCTTAAGATAACAGCTTAAGACCTACGGCATATTAGGGGCTTTACCAGTATCAGCACGATAAGATATGTGTTCTCGACAAGGATTCACCGAGAATGACCAATCAACGCTGCAAACGCTGTAATTATCATCGCTGGCCCTCCATTCCGAGTAGTTCCGCGTTCCGATCCCTCACCACCACCCACCAAAAGGTCCGGCCGGACCACTACACGCAGTACCGGTCGGTCCCACGTGGTATCGTTTATTCAACATGCACCTCTCCATCTCCTGAAACGCCATTGTTTCCCACAGCTGAACTTAAAAAACTAGCCTAGCGATCCGGAAGATAAGACTCCCGATGCGTGAATCATGAGTGGCCCGAATATATCGGTTATCTTTGTCTGTATCTGGTCCTCAATTGCAACATTTGCCTACCGGATTGCAACCTCCGTGAGCCCGAACGTTCGCTTAAGATGTGGCTTGCAGTATGGGAGAGATATGAGGTATATGCACTGTAGCCCTGTCAGCATGAACCTTATCATCTATCATATAGAACGTGGGGATTAGTTTCTATAACCCTTGTCAACATTCTGCGAGCTGAAGAGGAATGAAGCGACTACACTTGGTCGTGATAATGCCAAGGGTCTTGGAAAGGGCTTTTTTGAGGGATCTGGTAGTCGGCTCATGTGTTATCTCCACGATAAACAGCGTGGGGATATTCTCACCGACATGGTATAGGCATATCACGCGAGTCAAGACCTGAGTCTGTAGAACTGTATATCTCTATATATATCGCCATGTATGTCCTCAATATGAAAGAATCAACCCATCCTCGTTTGTCTATTCCCACCTAGACATACAGCTGACAAGATGCGTTTCTCAAACTTCTTCGTCTCAGCCTCTCTGGGGAACTTGGCTCTCGGCGCAGCCTTCTCTACTGGGAGACTCGAGAGTCGGAAACAAGGCACTGGAACTGATTGTTCTCTAAGCCAGACTGCCGCGAGTGCTCCTCACAAGAACTTCTGGGGTAGTCTGACTACCCAGGAGACTAAGGATGTCCTCGCTCTTCTGCATAGCAATGCGACGGGCTTCAACTTGACTGCTGCAGAGACTGCAGGAAGGTATGTTTTCAAATCTTGTACTTCAAGAAAAGTATCTAACAGTTCATCACAGCCGAGACAACAAGATGTAAGTCGTGCACTAGACACCCTGCATCAGACTAACGACTATACAGCATGTCAGTTGAGCTCATGATGCCCAACAAGACCGATGTCCTCCCCTTCCTCTCCAACAGTACCGGCAGCCCAGAGCGTTATGCCCTAGCCGCAATTATGTTTGGCGCAGTTGAGAGTGCCTACGTTCAAGAGTTCAAGGTTGGCCCTTTGCCTATCACCAACGCCTCGTATGTTATGCCGTACACCTTCACAAACACAAGGGGTGGTGATGGTAAGATCCCAATCGTCAATCCTGATGCTGAGGATTATGGCAACTTCAATCTTGAGGTCATGAAGAGCGCAGAGGACGTGACGAAACGGCTCTGGAACCTAGTAAGCCTTTTTGCTACGAATATGCTATGTTGGCTTGACTAACAGAGAAAAGACCGTCGCGGATGGACTGCAGATCCCGCTTGCTTTCGCAGCTCCCCTCACAGTTACAGAGGACAAGGTCATCATGTGGCAGGGCTTCAATGCACCTGTCACCAGCATCTACGACACAATCTCCCTACTCCCTCTAGGTCTGTATATGAGAACAGACATCACAGGTCGTGATCCCAGCAAGTGGAAAGTGACAGGTTGGGTGTACAACAATGAGTTCTACAAAGACCTCGATGCATTCCGCAAAGTCATTGCCGAGCCTGATTTCAAACCCCTGGGAGCCAACCTGGACCAGCCTTGGGCACATACTAACAAGCATGGCGATGCTCTCCCCCTGGATGATGAGGCTCCACCGGCTTCTGTTCAGTCTGGAAAGGAGAGGTTTGTTGTTGATGAGGAGGAGAGCTACGTTTCGTGGAGTGAGTTAATACCTGGGGATGTACGTGATGCCCTGCTAATGGACTGTGTTAGTGGACTTTTCATTCTATGTTAGCATTACACGAGATAATGGTTTGAGACTTTACGACATCCGATATAAGGGCAAGAGGATCATGTATGAGGTATGTGTTCTCAACTTGAGCTTTATGCGGCTTTGATTAATCTGATTTAGCTTGGACTTGATGAGGCTATTGCCCATTATGCGTAAGTTATCCATTATTCTCCCTTTACAAACCGTCGCTGACGTCGGCACAGTGGCATTGATCCCGTTCAATCTGGAACCTGGTAAGTGAAGGCCCATCTTCGAAACGTCTCACTTTCCTAACGTTTATCTCTCAGCTACTTCGACAGCATGTCTGGCTTTGGACCTACCATGATCTCTCTCGTCAAGGGTAAGACCCAACTAACTCAAGAAACCACTCATGGCTAACTTGACCAGGCTACGACTGCCCCTCATACTCTCACTACCTCAACGTCACAGCGACTACAGGCGAGACTACCTTTACCCAGAAGGATGGCCTCTGTAAGTCACCACCTATCATCGTCTGCACAAGCTAACAGAACAAGGCATGTTCGAGATCGATAAGGGTTTCCCCATCCAACGCCACTCCTGGGCCGGCCACACCACTGTGACTAAGAACATCGCCTTCAATGTCCGTGCCATCTACACCATCGGAAACTATGACTACATGACCACCTACCAGTTCCACCTCGACGGGTCCATCGAAGTCGACGTCCGGGCATCAGGATACATCTCATCTGCGTTCTACGCTGAGAACGAAGACTACGGCTTCAAGATCCACGATAGTCTTTCTGGGTCTCTACATGATCATGTCATTACCTTCAAGGCCGATTTCGATATCTTGGGCGAGAAGAATTCGTTGCAGAAGGTTGCTATTGAGCCTACGGTTGAGAAGTAAGTTTACTCATATTTGAAAGAAGTGCAGGTTCCTGACGTTGAATTAGGTATAAGTGGTCAGATGGTGAGACGCGTAGCACTATGAAGGCTGTTAAGAGCTTCATCAAGAATGAAGATGATGGCAAGATCAACTGGTCGCCCAATGGTGGGGCTATGTATGCCGTCGTCAACAAGGATGAGAAGAACCCTTACGGTGAGAACCCAGGATACAGGATCGTACCAGGTAAGTTACTCTCATGGCCTCAATAACTTTATCTTGCCACTGACATTTGTAGCATCTGGCGTGGCGTACCTCACCGTTCAGGACTCCTCCGTCACCAAGAACGCAGCCCACCATACAACCCATCATCTCTACGTTACCCGCCAAAAGGACAACGAGACCTACGCGGCTGGGGCATACAACTCTCTCACCCCCGAAGATCCGCAGGTTGACTTTGACAAGTACTTCAACGGCGAGTCCCTCGACCAAGAGGATATGTAAGTGCACCTATCCCATACCTAACGAATCATAAGTTGACTGGGTACAGTGTCGTTTGGTTCAACCTCGGAATGCACCATATGCCTCATACAGGCGATCTCCCCAACACAGTCTTCTCCACCGCGCACTCATCCATGTTGATTGAGCCGCTAAACTATCTCCTCGGTGATCCGTCGCTGGCTAGCTCGCAGCAGGTTCTCATCAAGACCACGGATAGCAAGCCTGAGATTACGAGATATGGGGCTAAAGAGGCGACGTGCCCGGTTGATCTGGTACGTTCTTTGTTTTCTTTTCTTCTGACGCAGTTCTAATATGGTTTATTTTAGGCGCAACTTAACCCTGATCTGTCGAGCTACTCCAACAGCATCAGTGTTCTGAAGTATCCCTTCGATGGATCAAAGCCGGATCGTGCTTAGGCTTTTGATAGAGTTGGGTGTGCAAGAATCAGCTTCTTGTAGGGAAACTCGTGGGTAGCAGCTGGGGGTGAGGCTTTGGTGTTACCTGTACTTCCATGTGGACGAGAGCCACACTGTATGTAGCGCATAACCAGTTGCAATAAGACCCAATTCAAGACACACTCTACGATGAAGCAATGGATAGTTTGCCTGACCGGATCGGCCTCTTATCTGTTTTAATTCGCTCAATTGAAGTTAGTTCAATGCCAAGATGCAACCTTATCAAAAACATACTCAATGAGGACAAGATCTGCTGTTCTACAGTAGCATCGCTCCAACTTATGTAATAGAAACAAACGGCAGTGTTGATCCGATATCCCCGCCATGAAAATAGCTATCAGCATCCTAGTTTCACGGCATTTATTTGGCCGACAATCTATCTATCCTATAAGAATCAAAATTCCATTTCGCAACTATACAGATTCCTCTTCAACCCCTTTGCGGTCTTTTAGAGAAATTTGTTGCTCACCATGCGGTTCATTGCCTTACTGAGCCTTTCCGTGTCAGCGGTGGCAGAGCTTCTCCGCCCCAATGGTATATCCTTGAGCCTGAACGGAACAAACTATTTCTTATCGCCATCGCTCCAACAAACATTACCAAAAAGCCTCATTCCAGCCACCATTGCTACGGACACTTTGTCATTTGTGCCCATTACTGTCGTTGGCAATGATACCGCTCCAGATGATCTGGCTAAAGTCTTTAAAACCTGGGCACAAAAGGACGACGTCTGGCAACCTGCCTTTACTGAATTGGTTGTACTTTTGAAATCGCCTGGTTGTAAATCAACAACGGCTACATTCAAGGATGGCATTAAGACGGTCGTTTCCTGCTGGCACAAAGCTCCTGCAATTCCATCAGGACCTTATTTCTTAGATCCTTCCAGAGGGAGTCTACATCAAGTGTATCGGCTCTACGATGACTTCTCCGGTAGCTTTCTGGAATCTCTCATTCAGTCCCCCCACGGAACCTTTCAGACTCTTTCAGCGCACGCTCCGGGTAGCAGTTCTCTCACCATAGGAGTCCCCTCGCGCTTGTACTTTACTCGTACGAAGGAAAAGCCTTTGGCAGGTATTCGCGTGGGAGTCAAAGACCTTTACGACCTCAGAGGTGTAAAAAGCTCGCGCGGTAACCGTGCTTGGTATAATCTCTATCCCGCCGCGAATAAGACAGCACCAGCTATTCAGAACCTGATCGATGCAGGAGCTGTTATTGTCGGGACACAGAAGCTCTCCCAGTTTGCTAATGGGGAGAATCCAACTGCGGATTGGGTCTCGTACCTTGCGCCATTCAACCCCCGCGGAGACGGGTACCAAGGTCCATCCTCGTCCTCGTCGGGCGCCGGAGCATCTATAGCATCTTACCCTTGGCTTGACCTTGCTGTTGGGAGTGACACTGGAGGCTCTATTCGAGGGCCTGCTGGAGTTTCAGGTGTCTTTGGAAATAGACCTACTCACGGTCTCGTCAGTTTGGACCATGTGTTGCCGCTTTCACCCAAGATGGACACGGCTGGTTTTCTCACTCGCGATCCAGAGATCTGGGGAGAAGCACAGGCAGCGATGTACAAGAAGAACTACACGGTCTTTTCAAGGGAGAGAGTCAAGTACCCGCGGACGGTTTACACGGCGGGATTTCCGGCCAACGATACACCGGAGGGCGCAATACTGCACCAATTTGCCAACGATCTCGCTGACTTCCTTGCCACCAATGTCACTGAGTATAATATCAGCCAACACTGGGCTTCAACGGCACCGAAGTCCGTTGGAAACACTCCCTTGACGGAATTGCTGAACGTAACCTATGCTGCTCTCATCACCAAGCAACAGGTCGCTTTGGTAAAAGAGCCGTTCTTTAGAGACTACGCTGGTATGTGCAACTGTATAAGAGATAACCGTATCGCATGACTGATCACAAACCTTCACAGCCGCTCATGATGGCCGTACGCCCTACATAGATCCAGCACCCAGCGCGCGATGGGCATGGGGCGAAAGCCAGCCCGACTCCCTCCTCGACGACGCCATCCGTAACAAAACCATCTTCATGGACTGGTTCAACCACGACGTTCTTCCAAAAGACAAAGACTCCCAACGATGCTCTTCGAGCATCCTGCTGTACACCCAGGGCCCAGGGATCTTCAGCCGCCGCGATGTCTATCTAGACCCCCCAAGTGTTCCGTTTGGATGGTCCTTGAGTAGGATTTCCATCTTTAGCGAAGCACCGGATAGTGTGTATCCGATTGGGGAAGTATCTTCTTTCAGTAATATCACCAATCGCAACGAGAGCTTGCCTGTAAGCGTCAATATTATGGTGGCAAGAGGGTGCGATGGGCTGGTGCCGAGGCTGGCTCAGGATCTTGCGGGGCTTGGTTTGTTGAAGATTCCAAAGACTGGCGGGAACATGTCGGGAGGAGAAGTTTTATTTTAGGTACAAGTCTCCATGCGAATGATGGATTTTGGACTGGGGTATTTAATTTATGCCAGTCCTAGGCAAGTCTTTTTAATAAGCTTAATTTACGCCAATCTTGATCTGTGGCCAACATACCTCAACGGTATCTAGTAGCATTCCATCTAAGACACAAACACAGGGTGCTCTCATTTCATTCCATTCCTGGAAAATCCAAATTAGGCATCGCCACAAACATCGCTCTGTAGTAATTCCAGGTCAGAAAACTCCTCGCAGTGAAATGACAATCTGGGGGCCAACTTACTCCTACTCTATCGGGGCATACGTGTGATCTCCACGTATCATAGACCCCGTCACTTTCAATACATCCCCAGTCACAATTGCAACCGAAAGGATTGCATAACGTTCCGCTGACATCGTAGTTGCTCACATTCATGCACCCCGCGGCGCGTGCATCTCTTCGCGCATCGGTTCGGTTGTGACAGGTGCTGGTTTCTTCGAGGATCTGGAGATAATGGGCGGATACTGAGACTGCAGAACAGATCAGGGCGATGAGCGTTAGTTTCATCGCATCGAAATAAGGTTGAGCGAATGGGGGAAAAGCCTGTGAGAGTTAAAGTTAAGAAATGGCGTCCTTGGCAAGACGGCCATTTCTTTAAAAAAGCAGGGCGTGGCCAGAACTTAAGGTACTAGACTCCAAGACATGTCTAAACCCCATTGCAGCTTTTACTGACAATGCGTCGCGTCATAACGGCTATAGCATTCCTGACAGAAGCTGGAGATTTCTCAAGGGAGGATGGAATTTACAAAACTGGATATGCTTGAATTCTGCATTGCAAGGAAGGCTTAATTGACATTCCCTACCTCGATAAAGACATAATAATTAAAAAAAAATTAGATCTAGACAATTGAAATCAGAGTAGAGGCCAAAAAAGAATTATCAGCTGTGTCAATCGACCACGCCAGGAGTCGAACCTGGAATCTCTAGAGGGATCAGTTGCTGAGGACCGAAATCTAGCGCCTTAGCCATTAGGCCACGCGGCCTGATCTTATTGGATGACTTCCTGGATCAGATACTGGCATTATGAACAGACGCATATTTATTTTCTCCGACTAGGATATCTATCTGTTCCAAGACATCTTCCGCCTTTTTTACTACTAATCTTTATGGCTCCCTTCTAGCTTGAGTCCTGCCAGCTATTCAAAAGTCTAGCTTAGTGGTGTACAAGCGACTTACAGCTCCGGGATACCTACTGCTTCTGAATTGCGCTCTTGAGAAACCCAATTGAATGCTCGCACACCTATGGGCATATGCAGGTCATAACTTGACATTTGGGAAGCAAAGACGCTGAACTTACGTGTCCCTGCTCCAGATAGAATGCTACTTCCAGGGATCTCTAAAGTTTAAGAGCCACAACGCCTCACCGTCATCCTCGAAACGTCAGATTTAAACTTTAGCCAAGGTTCATGCTATATACACCTGACAGTTTGTAATGGGGCTGTGGAGTATCTTATAGTCCTCTTCTCTATTCAGAGCACTCAAAGTGTCTATCATGACTATTCCAAGAAGTGTAAGCGAGAGGCCCATATCCACTACCAGCCCGTCAAAAGACATTAGGTTAGCACGGAAGGAACAGTTGTGCCGCATTCGAAAAGCATATATAAGCCTGAGCTAGACGAATATCTTGCTCTGGACCTCTTGACTTCAGCCTCTAGAAAGTCCTACCAGAAATTTCATCACCTGATATTGCCTCATCGCTCAACATACATCAACGATGCAGATCAACTTGGCCACTCTTCTCCTCTTCCTTGCTGCTGGATTCAGCGCAGTCGAGGCTAACAAATGCCTCTACACCGAGCCTCGCAAGTGTTCTCAGGGTTGTCCCAATGGAGGTTGTACTGGTAAAGATAATAACCCCGATGACGTATGCTACTATGACTGTTGAAACACTATTGTAGGTATATAAATCACCTTTTGTCGCCTTGCGCTAAATTTACTTCGCAGGGAAACTGATCAGAGCCGGAGTTATTACATTCGTCATCAATCACCAGTCATACAAGCAGCGAAGGGGACGATGTTGGCCTAGGAGGACATTATTGCCACAAGACTAAAGGGAAACATATCTTGATAATTCATTCGTCAATGGTAGGGACCTATGCTAAGATGATGGATCAAATGCGTGGCTCTTTATCTTAGTTTGGTACCATTAGACGGGGAAATTTAACTACTGTTCTCGCTCTTGTGTACGCCCCACTTCATGCACAGGATCAGGCAGGCATAAGTAGTTGTGATAATATCAACCATAATCAAGATTTTCAATTTATATCCAACACATCTATCTTACATCCGACCATCACCATGACAGTTTATTTTAACTGAAACACCTGTCTTCAGCTCATTTCCACTTTAGACAATCTCGGGGGTTTCCTGCTCACCCTTCTTGTCATCAAGAGGCTTGTCAAGACCAAGGCGCTGACGAGTGGTATAAGTAGCAATAGACCCATTGGCATCAGCCTCGGTGATGAGCTCCTTGCGGCGAGTATCAACCAGAAGGCGGATCAGGTCAGGGCGCATGTAGTGGCCAGCAAAGTCAGCGAGAACCTTGGTGAGATGAGTCTCATTCAGATCAATGTCAACAAAGAGAAGGCCATCAAAGTCCTTCTCAGGCTTGACGACCAAGCTACCATCAGGGCGGTAGATACGAGCATGGCCGTTGTAAACAGAGGGATCAGTCTCTGGCTCAACGCCCTCGGGAGTGTTGATCTTGAGACCCTCAACAGACAAGCGCTGGAAAGGTGCGAGAGTCCAAGTACCCGTCTCAATGGCGTACTCGGGAGTGACCAAGTCAGAAGCGGGATCAGCGTAGTTGGTCGCAGGATCAGGAGCAACCTGACGCTCCTTTCCAGGGTAGACAGGCCAAGCAGCGATGTGGACCTGCTCACCAGCAGAGACGTTGAGAGACTTGAGGAAGGGGTTCATGTTCTCCCAGCAGTTTAGCTGTCCAACACGACCGATGTCAGTCTCGCTAACGGACATGAAGGTGTCGCCGGAGCCGTCACCGTAGACGAGCTTCTCTACGTGGGTGGGCTTGATCTTGCGACGGTGGTTGATGACGGAGCCATCCGGGCCGATGAGGACCTGGGCGAGGTAGAGAGTTGCGTGGTCGATCTCAGAGAAGCCGAGGGAGACATAGATTTGGTTATCGCGAGCTGCGCGACGGATGCGGCGCATCTCTTCAGAATCGACGGCCATGGAGTTCTCGCGATAGCGCTTTAGCATGGGGAGGGATTGGAGGTAGGTGACCTTCCACATCCAGTAGGGATATCCAGGGATCCCTGGGGGTGTTAGTAGAGAGTTCAAATGCAGAGGGAGGGAGGACATACAAACTTCGGGGAAGGCGACGAGCTTGCATCCAGCTTGGCCAGCCTCGTTGATGAAATCGATGGTCTTGCGAACACCGCCCTCAAGATCGAACCACTGGATACTGTCAGTTTTGCTTGGGTAGTTGGAGTGTTAGGTCTTACTCCAGGCTCGGAGGTGACAGCAGCAGCCTTGTACTTGGTGATAGCCATGATGAAGTTTTTGTGGTTGTTGTTGTTGAGATTGGTGTTTGCAATGGAGTTCTGTGAGGTGATGAGTGAGATCCAACTTGAGCGCGACACCATCATATTTATACCACAGTTAATCAGTACATGTATACAAAGCACTGACAGTTTATCTCATCAGCGTTACAGTCCGAGTCACCGAGGTCGCCCGTATCTGCACGAGCTTCATGATATCTGCACCATGATGTATATCATTTCACATACAACACCCATCCCTCAACCAATAGGAACCAAGCACCAAGATCTACCATCCATGCAGAACTGCCGGAGAGGCTTTACCGAAAGTGTCCGTGGCGGCGTAATCGTCTGATAGTCCACATTTTCAGAGGGCAGATGCCGCTGCGGCGTGGTGCGGCCCGCAGATTGATAAGTCGTGCGGCGATGCGGCGGTCGCCGTGTAGGAAATTCTGGGGGAGCGCGGCGAAGAATGGATATCGCGAAAGCTCGTGGTGTCTTGTGGTTTCATGGATGCATTAATTTACACAATTGCAATGTTTTCCGCTGATCCCGAGGCGATTGCTGCTCCGACAATACCCGTGTTATTATTGGGGCGGACGATTGTTGGGATTGGGAATGTGTATGAGGAAATGAATTGCAAGTGTTTCATTGAAATGCAAAGGGACTTGTTGGGATACATTGGGCTGACCACAGTGTCGCATTGTTCTGAGTTGGTTGATAGACTCGCTGATGCTGACCATTGTGTAATTTGCCAGTTCCGACTTCTGAGTAATCATAAACGGCGATCATCTTCTACCAGCTCAAAAGGACTGCAATCAATATGAAAATCAATTGATGCTTTAATATATGTCATATGTTGGCAGTCTTACAATTTCATGTCGCCTCTTATTGATCAATTGCTTTCTGCTTGCATGATAATCGTAATGATCGAGACAGCAAAGATAACTGCCTGACTTGGCCGTCAGCTCACCCTACACTACGCGAAATCAAAATTCGGAGAACGTGGTATTTCTTACCGCTTCTTGCATACATTGGTGGCATGTATGCACCAAGATGCAGTTGATTAGTGATAAACGGTCTCCCGAATTGTACATGATCTATCTCTCCACCCTTTCCTGCACAGATGCATGCTCATTCGCGGCGAATGTAGTTATATGCAGGTAGTTGGTAAGACACGGAAGTCAAAATTGGTTGTCGCCTTGGGGTACCTGCTCTATGATGATGAACAGTCTGTCAGAGTAAAGGTTTACGGTGGGAAGAGGCCTCTTTCTAGACTAGTTGGGAGGTTCATTCTGAGTTCGAACACGCGAACTGCAAAAACGAAGAGTGGTGTAGGGAAGAGAATTTAGGATTTAGGTTCGGATTTTAAAAAGTTTATAGGTTATAGGTAGATACCACTACACCACTCTTCGCCAAAGACATACAGAGATGTATTAGGTTATAATGGTAGGTCCACGGTATAGAGATTAGCATTTTCTGGCCATGCTGTGAAATGATAGCCAGATGTCGCAAGGCTAGTTCATTGTCGACATAAAGAGCGGTTTCAAGTATTCAGTTCATGTCTATAAGCAATGCAAACAATTCTCCATGTCTATCAACACAATGTCCGATCCGAACGCCATCCGAAAATCTTCCGTAATCTACTCCGTCAAGTCACCGGGAGTAGGCTCAGTACTGATCCCCTGCAAAACACTCTTATCAGCACTCTTGCCCTCGGCCGTCTTAACAACCTCCAACAACTCAACAATTCTCGGCGACCAACCCCCATTAACATTGCCCTCAAGAATCTGCGCCGACGAAACCTCCGCTCCATAAAAGTCGGAGTTCACATCGCGCTTCTCCTTGATAACGGTCCCATCAACGGTCAAACCACCATAGATACCACGAGACTTGGTATACGTCCACACAGGCTTTACCTCCCCCATGTTGACATTTCCACCGAGCGGCCCAGCTGCAAGAGCAACGGCGCCTCCAAGGTTGACCTCGGACTTTTTGTAAGCGTCAACTGCTTCTTGGGTGTTGAGGACACAGATGCAGTCGTAGACGTCGATGCCATAGACGAGACCGACACTGCCGCTGCGGACGGAGAAGGCAGACGGGGATGACCATGATCCGTCGGGGAGACGGGCGATTACAATGCCTGAGCCACCTGCGCCGGCGAAGTACATTCCTGCGCGGAAGCCGGTGAATATGGCAAGGCCATTGGCGTTACTGATGACGTTGGAGGGGATTTTGTTCTTATCTGTTGTTTGTTAGATGGTGAAGATGAGTAAGAGACGTTGGTACGTACCGACGAAGCTCTTGAGGATACGAGCGCTCTTTTCGCATTCCTCACGAAGATCGGCAGTCTTGAAAAGGCCCATTCTGTTACTTTGTGAGTGTTTTGGTTGGACGAAGGTATGGAGTGTTCTCGTGTAGTAGTCAGAGATGGAATGGTTCGAGTCGCAGTGTCTTGAGACTAATGGTGAAATATAGAGACTGTCCGCTGAAGACGATGCTATCTCGAACCTTTATAGGAAAACATCTCGATTTCTACATCGCGTCTACACCTACGATAATGAGCCATCTTGCGCAAATCTGCGTATGCGACAATGCCCTCAGCATAGCCTCAGTTGGCGATACCTTCTTCTACGACACTCTACACTCATTTCAAATGACAAATAATCCCATTGACCAATCACATACTCCAGCGTATGTAAGCAAGCGTATCGCAGCGTATTCCGCGTACATCGTAAACCCGACCAATAAGCACTCAGGCCCAATGAGGCTTTGCACTATCGAAACGATTGGACCGGGGGGAAAATAGCTTAGATCTCTTAGTTCAGTGCTAAAGTCACGGGACGCGCGGCGAGAGTCATGATGGAGGGTAGACCCTGTTTTGCTTAGAGAGTTTTGAGCCTGGTTGCCTAGAATCCTGCAACGTCTTGACTAGATTAGCTGGATATCTTGATTTTTGGGATGAATGTGGCTTGAATCCTTCGCCGACGCTACGGTTACTTCGGCGGGTCGGAGAGATCCGGGAGAGGTCATTCGCTGTAGACCTCCACTGATGTCCAGATTGACTGCTATCTTCATAGCCCAAATGATATCAACTTCACAATTGCTCATGAACTGCATCATATCAAGGCATCGAGAGGCATCAGAACTGAACAGACTTGAATATCAATAAACCTCCCATTCATTACACATTAAAAAAATCTATATAAATGTTCTATTGGGTATATCCCTCTCGTGTATGATCCTCTACATGCCGCGTCACTTCTACGCACCGCTATAATTCCGCTGATGCAAATGTTTAGTCGAGCTAGCCTCGCTAACAGCACGATCGTTATGCTCCTCAGCAGTAGATTCACCATCATCATCCTGCTGCTGACCCTGATGCACAATCTGCGTGACGACAGTCTTCTTGATACCCTCAATCTTCTCACGCTCCTTGAGCTCATACTCATCCTCCTCGCCGAGCTCAATGTGTGTTCTGTGATGAGCGCTGGCAAGAGTCTGACCGAATCGTGTTCCGTGAGGTCGCGATGTTCCGGTCGTTCGTGATCGTGAGGAGTAGTCGTGGCCGCCGCGCTGATCGTTGTTGCCGGCGCGAACGACCTTGCCGATAAGATCGGCCATGTTCATCTCGATGTGAAGCTTGAGAAGGTAAACAAGGGGATGGAACTGAATGTAACTGTAGAGAGTCAGTATATGTAAACACTCTTGGTTCATGATTTGCTTACACAAAGCCATTGGGCAGAGACATCATGCAGATGAGGAGTACATCTAAAGCAATGGAGATACCACACAGAAACATGTTCATCTGATACAAACGAGTATACTTCTGCAGACCATTGGCAACAAGTCGCTGCTTGACGACGTAGATGAAGTAAAAGTTAAGAACAGCATCCATAATAGCGAAAATGACCTTCTCGCATCGATCCCAGATGTTGTTCAAGTGGATATAAGCCTCGCTAATCTGCAGTCGAGCGGGGACCCAGATACAGAACACGCTGATGTTGACGGCGAACAGGATAAGGAAGCAGAGCCATTTCAGCTTTGTACCGTTGGATCGAACAACCATCAACAGCGAGACTCGGTTGATGATGATTTGGATAAGACACTGGACCTGCGTTGACCACCAGACAACTACACCCGTTAGCAAATAACACAAGTCGGTCGATATCGGGTAGTCTCACTGATGAAGAAGAAGAACTGCATGCTCGGCTCAATATCACCCCGAAGATAAAACCAACACATGACACCCAAGATAAAACTCGAGATGATTTCGGCCCAAATCAACGCAATGTAACTGGTAACCCTCTTCCTTCGATTCCACGCAGATTTCGTCTGTCGAATCGCCTTGGCGACGTTGAAGAGCGTGATGCCCAGCGACAAGCCCCAGGCGATGGAGGCGATGTTCATGTCGGTCTCATTGGGAAGATCGTCGACATAGTTGTCGGGGACGAGGAAGCCTCTTCCTGTCATCTTGCCTTGCTCTCGGAAACAAAGAAAAAGAAATGAATGATATGCAGCTGCTGTATACGGATAATTCAACAGCTGAAAAAGGAATGTGGAAAAAAGGAAAGTGAACAGGCTCTTTGCTTGGATTTAAGAACCAGGCTTGCAGAATCTGCAGCAGATGCAGTAGTCCCGGTAGTAAACTGACTAGGTACGAAAGGCCCCTGTTTTTAGTTCTACTGCCGATCACCATTGGAGGCTGAAGTGGCTTGCGTTGGGACCTAACGGCGTGAAGAACTAGCTAGAATGCCGAACACGGCGGGGGACAGAATAAGAGCAACAAATCTGGTTTCATCGTAGGGTGCTGTGACTGGTTGATAAGGTGTCTCGTATTTCTGTCGGCCCCGAGACTAGGCTGGGGAGCTAGACTGGGAGACCAGATGAGATGGACAAACAGCTAAGAAAGTATGTTCATGGATGGTCCCTGAATCATGGGAATACAGTAGATGAGTGCTCAAATGGCTTCGTTGAGACCATCGCGTGCCAAGAGTGTTCGCATAAGAAATAAGACGTAGTGTCTTTGCATCGTGAGGGTATCAGTGAGACATTCCTGTACCCCAGATGATGGAAGAATCTCTCGCTTCTATGCAGTCTGAGCGTCATCCAAAAAGCAAATCACCACAGTTTCAGGCCCAAATCCTTGCTCACAAACTCAGATATTCGCAGATCGGCCGCCTTGCTTTATCGCATTGGGCTCCAATCCCCTGAACCTCGTCGGTGTACGGAGTAAAATTGACCGAGTCATTGGGTTCTCCGCTAAGCTTACTCCAACTCACTGCTGCAGATCACGGCAAATCGTGGATCCTTTTTTTTTCTACAGCCCCTTATTTTAGTGCCTTGGTATTATTTTCAGTCATTTATGATCAAGATGCTCGCGATGGCCCGTCGTAGATCTCACACCGTCTGTTCGCCCAACGGTTGATTCAGCCAAGCATTCCAAAGGGATCAAAGCACAAGTCGAATTAATTACATTCACTCTCAGAATAGAACATACTCTTTACTCACGGGCATTTTGTATCTGAACGCTATAATTTTATGAGACGACGCTAACAACGCTGGCGCGTTGATACCTAGCATTTTGTTTAGTAATTGTACCTGCTTGCCTTGTTTTTCCAGCACGAGTCAACAGCGCAGCAGCCCCTGTGATCTTGGTGAGATTGATGTTCTAACTGGATGAAGCATTGTTAGGCATAGTATCGTTTTGAATTTCGGCGGAGGAAATGCCGAGGATGCCGGGTAGCGAGAACGGTGAACTTGGCAGGATCCGAAGAATCGCGGCGTCTACAGAGATCATCGCGAGTCAAAGCTGTGAGGTTTGATCGCGAGTATGACTTGAAGCATTTGATGCTGTTGACCATTTGGTGAGATTCCGTGCGTCAATGCGACTATGCGAACCGCCTTAAGTGTGTTCCTCATGGATGACCCTTTACAGTTTCTGCCTCGGGCAATTTGGTTCTGCTCGGTATTTGGGAGCGCAGAACAGCCGACGTGGACGGAATGCCGATGTGTACGCAGTCAGCGCTATTGAGTCAGATCCTGTCGACAACAGAATTGATGCCGAGAAAACGACATTATTCATCGTACAGAGTGGCGCTCTTGGTGTTGAGTCGTCCCCAATCTAATCTTGCGGCGCGATGAGAATGGATCCCTCATGACTCGTCCATGTCGATACAGTCTAACCCCGATAGTCTAGTGCAGTGGCTGATAGAATTCCCTTTCGCTCAACCTGCAAAACACACAAACCGTCCCCGAAACAAACTGTCACAAAAACGTGGCACAAAAAATTAAAACCGTCACTCTACGTTCCTTCCGTAGGGCTGGCTTCACGACCTTCTCCCTTGAGACAAAAACGTGGCAGACATTCCATCTCGTGGCGCTTCCCATCAACAGAGTTTGCACTAAGGTCTAGGTACATTAGTTTCCACCGGGGAGACGCAAACTCCGCTAGTCTCTTCTCTTTTTTTCGCATCCCGAGGAAGTAAATCTCGCAGGAGGACCCTTGTTGCGCTTTGACTTCCGTGCTGCCCCGGACTTTTACTTTGTGCATCTTGGGACCCGATGGTCGGGAGCGTGTGTTACCGGAGATGATCAGCAATGGAGGTGACGCCTGTTGGTGTTACATCGCGAATCGTCGGGAGATGGGCATTTGATCGGCATGTGACTTTGCACGCTTGACATTAGGTATCTTTGTAGTCTGAGATGGCTGTTTGCAGATACCTACCAGTAGTACGCTGTTCGATAGTCGCGGAACTAATGCCCCGGCCCAACTAGAACTGTCTACCTCCGAGGAACAGTGACATACCGTATATAGTCTAGAGACAGCCCTCCCCTCTTTTCATAGTAGATCTCGCGGCCCAGAATCTTCACCATGGATCCCTTAATCCACTGATCGACTCCTCAGGTACCAAGATTTCGGTAAGACTGCTCGAACCGTCTACCTGGTCCATAGCAGGGTTCTAGCCTCGGCGTATAGCTCGCACTAACGATTGGATCCTTTGGTAGCAAATCATAGGTCGAAATTGTCGAAGGACCTGGTTACTGTGGATTCCGTGTGATTGTTGCCGTGGGTCTGTGGTTTCGAATTCCCGATATGTTTGATTGATGGGAGATTCAGGGTTCGAGGTATCGTATTCTTGTGTTGGGTTGTATCGGGAGATGTCGCCCCGAGAACTACTGATTCCTGGTGCTTATCTGAGATAAGTGTAATATAAGCATGGGTTTGCCTACGTGACCCAGTATGCCGGTTCGTAATCTCAATTGAAGAATTTCCAGTTACACCTTGACATTGATGCAAATAGTTCAGGACTTGGAGCCGAAAAAGATTGACGTCTTTCAGTTTTTTTCATAAATGCTGGCACAGTTGATCCAAAATCGGTCTTATCTTATCTTATCGCTTATCTTCATTGTGCAATATCTCAACGCAGTTCAAGTTCTAGGTGCTTAGTATCAATCATAATTCTGCAATTTCCGCTCTGTCACTAAAATCATATTCTTTCAATACTAAATAATATGTACTTGTATGCAAACAATTACTCCGTATTAGTAGAGTCGCAGGTACTGCTGAAAAGTTTATGGTTATTGTCTTTTTTAGCAAACGAACACGCTCCTCCTTGGACCTAGGGTAGCCGCAAGATTCAGTTGAAAATACCATTAGGCCAAAACGGAAGGTACCTCCACATCTTGGAAGGCAGGTATCTCAGGTTTAACCTCTTTATAGATTCCTGTGCTGCTAGTGGGATTCTCAAAAAGGCAGACTTTTACTTTGCCAACAACTTATTTAACATCAAACATTGACAACACTGCCAAGAGAGTTCCGATAGTCTCGCAAAGACTAGCTAGTTTATTACTCGTATCGATATATAGTTACTGTAAGACCATCTATTCAGAGCCTCTAAACATTTCTCCTAGATAGGTACGACACTGATCTCTCCCTTTAGTCAACGGTATTGCTTGTCGAAGCTCGCACTGCCCCTCAGCTGCTTGTATGAACCCCATCGGTCTCTGCCCACAAAACATCCACTCAAGCTTTGGAAAGATGGCAGCATACTTCTCAGCCTGATTAAGCATCCGGTTACGATGCATCCTCTCCCATAAGGCCTCCACTTCTATGGGCCTCCTATCATCTTCGTCCACATCAAGCTCTGGCCTCGCTGTCACATCACCCATCGACCCGGGTCCCGGTACTCGAAACTCGTAGTACAACTCATCAGGGAGCTGAGGTACGGGAGCAGGATACGTGTCCTGGACTATCGCCAGCTTAGTGAGTCTTTGGAGCCTCCTGAGCCCACGGCGGAGCTTCTCATGATCTACAAGCCAGTAGTGTTGCGGTCCGTAACTCTTTCCGGCGCTGAGACTCAGCTGCTCCAGGGAAACAAGCCGTCCGATCATTTTTAGGGAGTTTGTTGGAATTTGAGGTTCTCCCCAGGTTAGATGTAACGATCTGAGGCTACCAAAGTCGCAGCTATTCAGTATGGGCATTATAACATCATCGAGATACGGAACTCCTTCCATGGCCGCGGATGCCTCGTGGAGATACAATCTACGCAACCCCGTGTGCTGCAAGATGAACTTTGCAATGCGTTTACAAGCTGAGATATCTCGCGGCGCAAAAGAAACTACAAAGTCCTCAAGATCTTGTAAAGGCTCGCAATTGAAGACTGAGGGATTTTGTAATACCATGTGGTCTAAATCAAGCGACCTAAGAGGCGATTTGAGAAGAGATGAGATACCAACGCTGTCGAGCTTGACAAAGTTGGTCCTCAAGTATCGCAGGCGAGGAAACGACACGGTCCTGTCTCCGATAGAGACAGGGACGCCTTCTTGTCTTGTATCGTTCAAATACATCCAAGTCAGAGACTCGAGGGTCTGTGAGCAGAGGCGGAACAGGGTTGAGAAGAAGCTCGTCATGTGATGCGTGTCAGTCTCGCCTTTCTCTCGAATCTCGTTCCATTTGTCCTGTGCCAAACTGACGTGAAGTTTCAGCGACCTGAGCGGCCAGACCGAAGGTGTCAGCGGCGGCGTCAAAGACCAGGCATCATCGATCACCGGCCTGTCCAGGTCGATGTGCTGTACCGAGCACCGCGTTATCTTTCGGAAAAAATCCCCGTCCAGAGAATACTGGTCCTTCCAGCTGAGACTTTCGAGGTTCGGCAATGATGAGATAGCCTCGACTGCGACTGCACGTGCGGCGACATACTCCGCACCCACCTGATGATAGAGAAAATATAGTTGTTTGTCGGTGATTGATTCAGAGTCTGGGCCGTCGAGTGCGTCATAAAGCTCTCGATGAGTTTGTGTGAAATGGTGTGGATGGGAAGCAAACGTGACCCTGCGAATACAAGCACCAATTCCAGGTTTGAGGAGCTGAGAAGAGTTTTCTTGTACAAGATGAGAAGCAAGCTGCCTTGCTTGGAGGCTGTAGTCGAAGTTGACCTCGGCGAATTGACCACAGCGCGCAAGTTGGCGACAGTCACTATTGGCTAGTGCAAGGGACCCCAACGACGTCTTGTCATCGCTTAGAAGATCGACGATATCGGCGAGGATCTCGGCAGGCAATTGAACGAGTTCGCAGCTGGATGCCCTGGGTCGGCCTTGCATGACTGTGTCAAGAAGAAGGGAACGTCGTGGTGTGTTGTCTTTGCCGAAGTTATCAACGCCGGGCAGTTGAAGTGGACCCATCATTAGCTTGACGATGTCGCGGTCGTCGTCGAACTCCATGGTGGTAGGTGTTAGAAATGAAGTAGCGAAGGGTTGGACAGCGTGGAACGAGTTGGCCTGGGCGAGGCTGCTTTATATATAGGTAATGTGTACTTACGCATTGAGGCACAGTGTTGAGTTTGGTATCTATCTATGGGCTTGACTGCCACCTATAAGGTTAACCTTTAGGCTGCAAACACAGGCAGCGTGGGAATCTATCAAGGTGGGTGGCAGTAGTTGTATGATGAGTTGGCTCCGTATTAAGTTTGTTGTGTTTTTGGGGATAGAGTATGACGCCTTGTCTCGTGTTGTGTTGAGAAAGTGAAAGGAAACTTTGTTCAGAATACTACATGTCTAGACGTGGCGTCATTTCTCTTTTCAACAATTATCACCTAAAGTTTATATAAATAGACAGGCTGTAGTTAGTCTTGAAAAAAAAAACAATTCCAGGTAGTTGATAATTATACTAAGCTCTGTCTGCTGGAATAAGCTCTCAGCCACAAGTCTCAACTACAAATAACACTTCTAGCTTACAACTTAGACATTATACCAAGATGTCTGACCAATTGCTACAGGGCAAGGCTGAGTTGATGATTATACAAGATTTGACAATAGTTCCTACGCAAGATAACTTTGACCTCGATATAGAGTGTCGGAAAAGAAACAGTCCCAATTTTACTTTTCTTAACCAAGTCTCTTGATTATCTAAGATAAAGATTCCTTGCCTCTCTCTCCTTGGCTCCCATCTCCTGAGATGAGATGTCTCGTCAGGTCTGCTGACAGCCAAGCCGGCTTTTGGGCCGTTAAGTGGATTTATATCGACTTGGCACCAATGAGATGCATAAAAGTCGGGCTGATTGCCCACAGAACAGGCTAAGCGAGATGAACCGTACCACATTGGCGCATCTGAGACTCGCGTGCTGATGGATAAAACTCGCATTGTTCCTGCATCCATCCCAGCTCGCCAAATATACATGTAATATGAGCAAAAATGTTGGGCGTTAATCGGATAGCACAGCTACAGATTATCCTGTTCTGCCTGCTGACGCTATGTCTTGCGAAAAATGACGAAAACTATGACAACTCGACTAACTACCGTCCTCGCAATGTCACAGGCCTCGGCGACTTCTATCAATGGGTCGGATCGTGAGTCTCATTGCAGTAAAAGAGTGCGATGACTCAACTAAATAATATCTTAATAGATACTATAACGCGACCGCAGAAGTCGAATTGACACCCATCTTTGGAGACGTCTGGAACGAGACGATATTCGGCCCCAACTACACCGACAATCTGTGTTCCACGCTAAAGAACTCGACCCAAACCGCCAAATACGACGCTATTCTGAGTATTCTGGAGAAAGGCAAATGGAACGCTGGAAGCAACTCTGTTATCTTCTGGCTGACGCTTATACCGAAATCCTCAGCCGGGTTTAACGTTTCCTCTCTCGGTGCTGATTTTACGTATTCATCTCAACCTGGGGGACTTCAATTTCCTTTGTATTCAGTTCAGTAGGTCAACTACTATTACTCTTTCGAAACTGTCTAACTTTGATTCAGTCCAAGCCCAGATGGATATTGGCGGCCCCGTGAGGGAAAGGGTCCTGACATCTTCAACTTCACCACCACCCAGACCAGTTCCGGAGCTTACAACATCAGCGCTCTACTCCAACGCAACATCCCAGAATCATACTCATCAGCTCTAAATCTCACCATGCCAGTGTGCAACACCACTGAGCTAAGCGGTGACTATAGAGTTGATATACAGGAGTTCCGATCTTGGCAAGCAGAGGACTGGGATGACTTTCGATGGCCCGAAATCAGCGTCATGTTCGACGACAAGACAGCAAACTTGACTATGGACGCTGTCTTTTCTGCGAGTCCATATGTATGGCCAAACACGAGTAATTGGCAGGGACCTACAACAAGCGACCCTGGTGCTCATGGCTTTATACAAATTCGCGTTTCTGGGGTTATTGATGCGTATCACTCGGATTCTCTCAGTCTTAAGGAAAAGACTCCTACCTGGCTGCGAACAGTGGGTTTTGGGAATGATTCATCTAATATTGGTTATGATAGCGGAGCTATCAAGTTGTCATCTAAGTATACTATCTCGATCATGGCTGTTGCTGTAGGTATTGCGGTGCTTTTATAGACTAGCTTCAGCTATTTATATATCCAGCGAATGTAGAACTCTATAGCTACTGGGTAAAACCCCGCCTTCTTCATTCTATGCTATGCCACGCCGCCTGGTAGCTATTGGATTGAGTCGACCAAGACTTCATCCGTGTAGTCGAAGTTTGTGAGTAAATCCCCACCGAAATCAGATTCACGAGCAATATGTCAGTTGTGATTCATGTCATTATTAGCAGGGTCTTACCAATGTCGAAAGGCTGAGAGTAACCACCTCCAGGCCCGGCGGCTGAGAACAGAGGAGGCTGAACTATTGCAGTGGTGGGCTGATTCAGTTGAGACTGTCTCGGTACCCCGGTTCCATCTTTGAACATTGAGGACGGTGTCGGGGGTGCTTGCGAACGTCTGGACTTTAGCTGGATGGCATTTGGCCTTATAAATTAAAAATAAATATAATATTTTTAAGTTTTAAATAAAAAAACTAATTTATATTAAGTTTATATTTATTTAAAGTATTTTCGTTTTAAAATAATACTATTAAATCTAGCAAAAGTAATATTAAAAAAGGCAAACTCTTTAGAATTTTTATTTTAAAAATTACTATTAAGGAGCTAATAGTATTTTTACAGTTTTTATATAATTAAATAGCCTGTAGAGAATCCTACTTTTAGCATTATATTAACAGTCTATACCAAGAAAGACTTTTTACAGAAGAGAGTTATATCCGCTGGTGTACTCAGGTTTATAATATCTAGGTTCCGGGTACGCCGCAAATATACGCTCAATAATTTACCAGATTCAACCCTCAATTACATATTGTATTAAATATATCAAATGTTATTTTAAATCCAAGAAATTAGATTTATTTATTTAATATCGTATTCTAACATGTTTGATTTGTATATTTGTAATTTGTTTGATAGCATTTGACTGGTGGGCCGCGCTGGCTGAAATGTTAGGTCGGACCTCGTCAGCAAAGCTAGCGAAACCGATATTGTAAGGTCTTCCACCATGATTCAAAACTTCACATAGCCGGTCCCAGGAACAAAGGTGGCAAGCCAGGGGATATCTTTCTCCTGCTGAGCGAGCTGCACAAAAAACTGCCCATGTGCATCACCATCGAGTCCCATCCCGCCCATATTTCCATCAGCTTGGCGCTGATCAGCATAGAAGAACCTGGCATAAAAAAATTAGTTTTCATGTCTACAAGTGTGTTTACATCTTCAGATGTACTTACCGAGCTCCCTTGCCCTGGTACAAATTGTCGGCGAGACTGATCCAGTATGAAGATGCTGACTTGCCCATGCCCAGAGTGGCAGTAGCTGGCACAGATAGGGGTTGGATGTTCATCTTGTTCCCGGTGTAGATGAAGGTCTTCTTTGCCCCTTCAGCTAGAGTTTTCCACCCGTCGACGGCTTGTTGTGCGGCGACGTAAGGACCGAGGGCATTGATGTTGATGTCTCGAACAAGGCTTTCTTGTGCAAGAGAAAACATATCGTCATCTACCGGAGGGACCGTTCGTGCTCCGGCATTCCAGATAACAACACTGGGCGGAGCCTTCCATTCATTATAAACTCTTTGAAAAATTCCTGGAACGGTGTTGAGATCGGCAAGGTCTGCTTTGAGCGACAGATAGCCTTCACTTGTTGTGCTGTCGGAACCCGACTTAGACACAAGAGCTACCTTATAGCCGATTTTGGAGAATTCTCTAGCAACTCCAGCTCCGACTCTGGGGCCGGCTCCAAGAATAAGTACAACGAGAGTAGATGCCATGTTGAAGTGTTCAGATTATGTGATTTTGTGAAGATGATGGGAAAGATTTGAGATAGCAACAAGCAGATAAAGGATAAGCGATGGACTTTTATACATAAGGAAGGATATATCAGCACGCCCAAAACGAAGTGTTTCTTTGATCATTGGTAATCAATATGAACATGACTGCTCAGGGAGATGTGCATATGTCGTAAGCCGCGCGGGAAAGCAACACCCCCACTACCCACTAACTATCTGATAGTCAGAGCTGCGGCTGTACGTCTCTGAATGATTAGCCTCGACTGCAAAGAACATGGGTTTGCTAAATGTTGGAAGTGAGATATCTAGTTTCCGTTGCTAGAGCTATTAGCTCTATTCCCATTATAGCCGCCTGTAGGAAGTCTCTAGTTCTGAAATATAGATTCCCTTAAAATGGTACACTAGATGTCTCCTGCATTATTTGTCAACGCGACTTGCTTTCCTTCCGATTTGCTGCACACTCCTGTCTTCCAGATGATCTACAAGGCTATGTGTGATGTGGAAGTGGTGTACATTGTGGCGATTAGCACACTATCCCGTTAAGATGCCATAGAAAGGCTGAGCCAACAATTGCCTCAGTATCTTCTCGTGAGGTATAACTATGGTGAGCTTGGCGCGGTTGTAGCTGTTTCAGCTATCTTTTTGAGACAAAGGGCAACCAAGCTCTCTATTATATACATTTTGATGGGGTTGTTGTGAAAGAAGAGTAAAAGTAAGGCAGTGATGGATCCAACGTAATGGATTTTGTGAAATAATGAATACCATCTTAATCGAAAGGGCCTGGAGGATGTAACACCGATAATCGCGAAAGTGACCGAGCTAAGAATAGCCGCCACGATCTGTGGTTGCTGAGCCATGCTTCCAAATATTTGGTTTTGTACCAAAACAGTCGTGTAGCCCAAACTGTGAAGACCAAAAAAACCGATGATGATTCTTCCACCTATTTTGTGAATAGTCATATTCCATCTGTTCGAAGTTTGCATCAGAAACCCTAGCGGCGGAACAATCATCTTTGTCGACAAAAGAATATGAATTGGCAGCTGAGAGGCTGCGACTAGACCGAACCTTTTGATAAGGTGGATGGCATCTGTGATAGTGCGTTAGGAATGCCTTGGTAGACCTAAAATGTTGCAAAAGACTGGCTCAGCGTACCTGGGTGAGTCTGAGTGAAACAAAGAAATAACAGCCACATGAACCAGAGCATGCCTATAAGAAATTCCCCTTCGGTCCAGCCTGGTACGATCCTCAAGCAACCAGACCTTCTGCCATCCTGTTTCTTCGATCGGGCATCATGCCAGAAATTTGTGTGTTTTGCTAAGCTTCGGAATATCAATCTGCAGAAGGGGACACAGAAAAAAAGTATTATTTGAGAGGCTTGCGCAATGCTTGCATATTTATCTGTTGAAACTCGGCGGATCTCGACCACTTCAGGCGCTTTAGGTAAAAAGCGGAAACCCAACATGTTCATGGTATACTGATGTCTTGTTGCGGTCAAGATTGTGTGCGTTTCGATTGCCAACGGAAGGGTTTGGACTGGTTGATATACTGTTTTGGCTCGAATAACTAGTGTTAACCCTCAAGACCATTCTTCACCTCTATTTATGAGAAGAAACCTAATACCTGATTCAACATGCTTACACTAAGCCTTATCTGGATACGCGCTTACACTACTGAGAGCAGGTTGTCGCGAGTTTGATACAACGCTAGACTATCCCGCGCGGGAATGCCAGCTTACTAATTGTACAAGCACAATTTCCCGAGTATTTCAGAGTGCCATTTCCCGCGCGGAAAAAGAATGGATATTCCCAGTTCTCATTCTAATTCTCCGCCACCGTCATAATTCCCCTCCAAATTAATATCATTCCAGGGAGCTTTCGTCAAACATGAGAACCTCAAGCGGCTGTTGGACTTGCCGTATTCGGCGTAAAAAATGCGACGAAGTGCGTCCTGTGTGTAAAGTTTGCGCGGCACTGAACATCACTTGTCATTTCGACCCAATAAAACCCCCATGGATGGACGGTGGCGCGAAACAAGATGAGATGACGAATAACATCAGGCTAGAGATTAAAACTCGGTCTAGGCGCAGTAACCCACGACAAATCAACCGCGCGGAATACAAGACCACGTCGACCAGTGATGTAAGCGACTTCAGGTCTCTGGATACCACCAGTGGTCTCGGAGATAATATTGTCGAGCCCTCAGATCCCGCAGACTCGGCCATATCTACTATAGAATGGTTCCCATCCCCTGAGAGTGGGTCAGTTGGAAGTCTTTCATCCACCCAGGTCGAGTCTCAGGCTGGTCATACACCTTACTTGGATCCGATCCTCACTACATTCTACCTCGATCATGTGTTCTGTTATCTCTATCCTTTTTACCAACCTTCAAGTCGTCGAGGCGGTAGATCGTGGATCCTTGAGCTATTGATGACTAGCTCCGCTTTCCAACAGATCGTTCTGAGTTACAGCACTTACTACTATGATCTTACCACGCCTCCTGGATCACCTCAGAATGGAAGAACGCAAGTAGACAGGCTGCTTCAGGCTGAGAGCTCCTTCAAAAGTTTGATTCAGTCTTTACAGATGCTTCTTAGTGTAGGCAGTCTAGACGGCCATACTCATTGCGCCTGTCGGGTTTTGACGAGCATCGTACAGCACCATCGGTATGAGATCACTACGGCCAATTCCAATTGGAAAATTCATTTCAACGCTGCTTTAACTCTTTTCACACGACTGCTAGACAAATACTCAAACACAGTCGAGAGTCTTCACCATTCCTCTGCTAGGGCCGGCTTCAATGCTATTGTCCAAGACTTGAATGCCCCTAGGCAGGAGGCATTTGTTTTCTCCGTGGGCATTATGGTATTTGATGACATTATTGCAGCTGCTTCCTCGTATCAAGAACCCCAGCTTTTTCAGTATCATCAACAGTTGCTTGGAGGGGATGAACCCGCGCTTGAGTTAGAGGTCATCATTGGGGTGAAGAGCTGCATTCTTAGACTTCTTGGTCAAGTTGCCTCGCTGAATGCAAAAAAGCAGCAGGACCAGGCAGCAGGAAACTTGGATGGGTTGGAACTAGCCCGACGCGCTTCCACAATTATGGAATCCTTGACCGCCAATCTCGAGCAACTTCAGGCAGCCTCTTCGCTCTCCTCGAACCCTCAGTCTGTGGAACGAGACTATTTAGACGAGCTTCGCACACCCTATTATTCCCGTGGCACAGCCCATGACACTGGACTGGTTTCGCAAGTCTGGGCTCATGCAACTATGGTCTATTTGATCACAGTTGTGTCCGGATGGCAGCCAGCCAACGCCATACTGAGACATCACGTTGACCAAATAGTTCAGGTATTGAAGGGACAGATCCCTATTCCATTGATACGCACAATGGTTTGGCCCTTGTGTGTCGCGGGCTGTCTTGCTGATCCACCACAGAGGCGTTTGCTTCTTGGCGTTCTAGGCACGCTCCAGCCCATTACATTATTTCCCAATGTTCATAAGGCAGTCAGGATTATGGAGCGGACGTGGCAGAAAGGTGGTAGTGTCCAGAGTGGCAATCAGCTTGTAACTAATTATATGGATCTTGCGTCTTGTTTTCAGACCCAGAGCGAGTTACCATTACTTATATAATAAATGCATATACTGAAGCTAATCTATTATATAATGTAAATTTCCAAGCTCTAGTTTTACTTAAAATCCTAAAAGGCTATGAAGTACTTATATATCTTTTATTACGACTCTAGCGGTTATAAAGTCAACAAGGGTCACTTGATTGGACCCTTGTTGGTCTCCTTGTGCTTCTCTTTTGTCATGGCGGCTGTTGCGACCGTGTTGACGCACAGTTTATCCACTGGAGTGGGAATCGGTGGCATTATCGAAGCTATGATTGTTTTGGTATGGTCTTTCATTATGTGGTATCTTCAGTAGATAATTTCATTGCATATTTATATCTATTTCTGCTTTTTATCAGAGACTAAATAAGTGTATTCGTTTTCAAGCACCTCGACGACGCCTAACAGCCTTAATGATAAAGTCCTACTATATAGGTAAGGGTAGGTCAGCAGGTCAGTGGATGTCAGCCAATCATCAGCGCTTAGTCAACAAGTGCTGCCTAAAGGATTACTTTATTCTCATATATATATCTTGCCCTTCTGGTATGCTTTTCTGGTAATCCAAAACCCCGTCTTACTGTCAGAAGTGTCTTGAGAAGCTGACCTGAGCACCCTTCTTACCCTTCGACGTGGATATGGCGACCAGCGCGCAGCCTGTGCCCCAGGCAAAGCCCATGGTCGAGCCGGCAACAACAAAGCCGACCCTCGATCAGTTGATGCACATTGTTCATCAGAGCCTGGCACAGCATACGCAAGCTTGCAGAGTGTCATCTTGGCAGGCTACGGTTAGTATAACCGACCGCCTAACAAGGAACATGAATCTGTATGTCTTAACTCCTTCTTTTTGTTCTATTACCCAATGAATAATGCTATAATACAATCTTACTAACTACTACAGCATCAAAAGCGCTTTACTTGCTATGGATGAAGAGGACCCTTTGAAAGTTGCAGAACAGAGTTGCAACTTTGAACTCGAAACTTTCCATAAATCAGTTTCAAAGGTACAGTTCACTGTCTCTTCCTCTGATGATTCTCGTGCTGACCCTAGACCCAGGAGGTCTATAACCAGGAGATGACCCAGAAAATAGTAGCATTCTTCAAGCGACGAGACGAGAAAAAGCCAACACTCAAATCAATCAGTGACAGATACGACCAATCAATTCTGTCCATACTACCGTGCCCGAAAAGGCCAGAGGATTTGAAGGAGATTTTTCCACCGCGTCGCCGGCGAGTCTGGCACTGCGAAGAACCTGAATGCGAGCTTTCAACCACCAAATTCAAGACTAAGAAATCTTTACAACAACATATCAACGAGGAGCATGCAAAACCAAGAGAAGATTCTCTCGATTCTGCTCAGAAGAACCTTGGTTTGGCCGTCGGGCCTGAGCTCGATGGCAGGGAGTCAGATACCGGAGTTGCTGAAAATCTCGTGATGCCTTCTTCAGATGCTTCAAGAAGCCTCTCAGTACCATATACCGTTGCGCAAGACCGCACACAAGGCGACAAAGCGCATCGCCCTAGTCTCTTTGCAAATCCTGCAAAGCGGAACCAGCCGCAACAGATTGCAACTCGGGGCGTTCTTGATGGCAGAATCGTTCGTCGATCAGCGATAAATAAAGCATCTCAGCGGGACAGACAGGCCAACCTATCCTCAAGTGGATCGGGGAAATAAATATTTGCTAAAGAGGTTTCATATCTGTAGTATCCTGCTGTCTAGAAAAGTCTTTAGGACAATTGTAGTTTAAAGTCGAAAGAGACAGAGCCTACAACAACATCCATTGTGTTCGTTCTTTTAAAGTGGTGCCACTTTTCCAAAGCTTGCCTTGTGTCTGAAGTCCCGATATTGAGTTGCTCCAATACTTCGACCACTACGGCGTACAAGATATCAAGGCTTCCATCGTCAACCTTGACAGAGATTCCCAACGACCCACGTGCCCCTATACTACGAGTCTGTTCAGATTCACGTATCCCAACTCCGTAGCATCCATCGGCACCTACTTTGCCGATCAATTGCCCCTTGTATACCCGCATTAGGTCTGTACAGAAGCGCCCTTCTCCTGCCACGAATTCCGGATAGCTGGACATCGCACTGAAGATCCGGGCAAGGTTTCTCGTACGCGGGGAAGGGGAATCCTCTTGCTCGGCAGAATCTGCACCAGCGGCAAAGATAGCGAAGGTATGTGCCAAGTAGAAGAGCGGAAATGCGGGAGCTGGAAGATTACAGCCGTCGGTGGCCCATTGAACAAGACTAGGCTCGGGGCAAAGCTCCTCAGCGACCTTTTTAACCCGAACTTGCATTGGGTGGTCTGGACTGTGGTAATCTGCTATACTGGCACCTAGAGCGAGAGCGCCAGCCATCATCCCAGCGTGCTTGCCAGAGCAGTTGTTGTAGACTCCTCCCGTGACGTCCAACCCCTTCTGAGCCCAGTCTCGATTGACAGCAGGGTTCAGGGAAGCATGTCCACCGCAGCGGTAGTCGCTTTCTTGAGCTTTAGCCTTGACCAGCATGCTTCTAGCACGTTCGACGTGAATTGCTTCGGCATTGTGCGATGCACACATCAGGGCAAGGTCGATATCATCAAAACCTGCATCTTGGAAACCGCCGGTCTCGATGACAGCGAGAGCTTGTGCAGGTTTGGCTGACGACCGGGCTAGAGTGACCCTTGCGGGGTTTCCAACAGCATAAAGGATGTTGCCGTGAGAGTCTGTGACTGCGACATGGACGCGGTGGATGTTCTCAATGATGCCGTCTCTATCCGTGATAACGGAGTTGTTCTCAATGGGCTTTGTCTGTGTCATTCTGCCAGACGGTGGCTTTGTGAGCAGTGGATGAATAACTTGGTGAGAAAAGTGAGTAAAGGAAGGTGCTTGATCTTGTGTTGGAAATAAATGAGAAGTATTTGATGATTTATATATCTTGTAAGTGGTTTTGCAGCCTTCGTCGCGATCCCTGTCTTTTTCCATACCCACTATCCGGAGGATGACGGGCAGCCAGCTCTCAAGAGTGACTTGAGCCTTAACTATAATGCGTCAATCCTCATTGTTCTCGCGTTAGGCTACAAGTAGTCACCACCGTCCCGCCGCCATCCTGAGACCATGGGATTGGTCTGATCGTCCCCTCATCATTCTCCGTACCCACAATGAGGCTGACTCATCGTTAATGCTCTTGTCTTCCATATTCCGTACCCACTCAATTTGTCCACGTCCCCAGTAACTGTCAACATGCATCCTATACCTGCGGATACATACAGTAAACATGACATCGACTCAAGAACCACTGACGCGACACGCCTGCGAGCCATGCAGACGCAGAAAGATGAAGTGTGATGCTGAGCGACCTACATGTTCGTATTGCCTACGTCTGTCGCTGCCGTGTTCTTACTTGCCAAGGGCAAAGACCAAATCGTAGTGAGTTAAAAGCATACCACAGTAGTCGCCGTGAGTTGACCCGTAGGTAGTATCAAGTCTAAGAGAGTAAGGGCACATAAGCGAACGGCAGAAGAGCTCGCTCAAACCATGAGACCCAATGAGCATCCGGCTGCGCATGAATCTTCCCCCAATTACCAATCTACATTACCTGTTTCCCTACCACCGCCGGAAGACATCCCTCAGCATGAGCTTGAAAACCGGAAGTTCTCACTTGAAAGGTTGGTATCTTTGCGGTTTCCAGCACCAGTCAGTTGTCAAGTACAGCAGTTGTAACTCACATAGCTAACACAAAGGACGTGCCTCAGACCTCAGCCAACCCAGGACGCCCTTGAACACTTCGTCAAAGTCTATAAAACCAAGATACACCTTCAACCTCTGCCGCTATTCAGCCTAGACAGGCTCGAGGAACGACTACTTGACGGCCCTCGTTTTCTACTCTGGAGCTTTATGGCTCTCACTCTGATGTTATCTACCCATCCCTTCTACGATGGTCAGAGAACAGTTGCAACAGACTTCTACACTCGAAAAGCGGAGGAAGTGGTTAGTAATCTGGCTTCTGAGGGGGATAAATCACCAGAAGTCACGCAATCCCTTTGCCTTATCGCCTTGAAGCATCTGAACAGTAAGTAACGTGTCTTCAACTCAAGTTCAAGAGCTCATCGGGATTTCAGATCAACAACTCGCACGAGCCTGGATGACTACTGGTACTGCTGCGCGACTAGAAGCCTTACGAGTCCTCACGTTTGACAGCATCCCTTCTTCAACAGATGACTTGGTATCTCGAGCTCACTGGAGTGTATTCATGCTAGAACGACTTTTTGTTCCTACGTTGTCAGATGCTTTTGGGCCCGGAGTTCCCGAATTTCCCATTAGCCCTCCAAAGCCCCTTGCACCTCAATTAACACTCTCTACTGCCACAGCAGAACGCTTCCAGTCAGAAAAAGAACAACCCAGAACGATACTGAGCAGTGATCCCGGTATCATTGGCGTTCACTTGCGTCTTGTGTCGATTTGGGGAAAGCTTCGGTCTTACCTACATACTCTACGGCGAGGTGTCACTGAAAAGCCTTGGTCGCCAGACTCAACGCATACAATACTTAATATCGAGCTAATAGAGCACGAGGCTCTAATCGATCCAAGCTATTTTCTCTCCAGGGCTCTTCTGCCAAGCCGCACTGCAGCAGAAATATCTTCACATCGCGAATACTGGGATCCATTCATGGCTAGCCAAATAATCTGGCATGCCATCCACGCCGTGATAAATCACCCCTTCGTCCACTTGTTCTTGCTCAGATCCTCCAGGGATATTCCGCCATCATGTCTGTTCCTTCAACAAAGGATTGATATGGCGCTATTTCACACTGGATCCTTATTTCGGATTCTTCAGTCGTTCATGGATCTAATGAACATAGTTGATCCGATGGTGGCAGACTTTGTAGCTGCAGCTGCGACAGTGTCGTGGTTCTTTCAGTTCTCGGCGGATCCCAAAATCTCGCGACGAGCTCGTGAAGAATTAGATAAATGTGACGCGTTTCTCAGCTATGTCGCTGAAACTTGGCCTCACGTCAATCAGAAGGTACGCTGCTAATCACACCAAGATACCTGGCATTCAGATCTCAGATGAGTGCTCACATATGGGTTTAGGTCGAGACGTTGAGGAAGCTGGAGGCACTGGCCAACGAAAACCGGCGACAGCACTCAGACGAAGGCACAAATATCAGATTCCAATCCGCCTGGCTTTGGGATCTTTTGAACCCCAAGATTCTGTCCACTGAGATGGGCTCCTCACACTCAGGACCAGGGACTGGTGGTGCCTCTGAGAAAGATCCAGATTCTGAGATGTATCTCAAAAGCCATTTTGTCATGCCTTTACACGAAGACCAGGCCTCTGGTCAGATAAGAGAGCCAATGGCATCCAGTCCAGATGGTATGGATTCTTTGTTTACTATGCCTGGGGATCTGGATTTGTTCAATATCGAGTTGCTGTCGCACGAGTTTTTCGAAAATGGACTGTGGGATCAAGGTTACTGAGAGGAAATGATTCATTTACGTTCTGGGCCTACCACCCGTATCGTAAACCAGTTCTCCTCTGTGTACTCCGGATATTAGTCTACGGATGATATGCTTTGTAAACTTGGATCGAAGCAAGAATACACTGTATCAGTCCAAATACAGCGGTCAGTCCCAACACAACTATCGCAACCCAAAAGTTATGCCATTGCACTCCATTCCGTCGGTCATACCACCACTGAGAGAAAGAATCTGGTGTCGAATGGTCAAACTCTTCCTTGAGTATTACTAATCGATCTTTCCAGAAACAAAAGTTGGAGAGATATCTGCTCTCTCCGCTGGGAGTCCCGCACCAAGCTAGCTGTGGATCTATCACACGGCTAGAGTGCGTGCAGAGTCTATCAAGCCAAACTTGCTTCTTTCGGTTGGATCGTAATGCTGCCCAGTGGTCAGATTGCGGAAATAGTATTGCTAGTGTTCTGAGGGTTTCTTCCGCTAGGTCTTGAGGCAGAGTAGCTTGTGCGTTTATGCTTTTGAAAGTTAGATGAAATGCCCGTAGATACAGACAGGATACTGACCTATGTCTCTGGGCCTCAAGGAATGCGACGTGGTGAAAGACATACATTTGCGTATTGTTATTGGTAAGACGTAAGTGATCGGCGAGGTTGTCGGTGAACTCAATCTTAATACCAGCCACGTTCTCGAGACTCCAAGCGGATAAGTCTGGTGTCACTGCAATTCCAGTGCAGGTCGGATGACTTGATATGGGGAAGACTTTTTCAGTTAGACTGTCTAGAGAATCTTTGTCCCATAGCGGTAGAGGCTGGGGACCGGTTTGATGCATGAACCCGGAAGCTCTCTCTAAGCTGCCCACTTCTGTCATCAGGATAAGTCGAGCCACAAGATTTAAAGCATCCTGACAAGCGTCAACATCGTTATTCCCAGATAATTTGCATATGTAAGAAATGGCTTGGTCCTGTTCTTTATGCCTTCGAACCTGCTCTGTCACCTTTCCGAGTGATGACATGTCGTAAGGGTAGACTGCCGACGAACTCAATTCACTGAACAGCTTTTGCTGGCGTTCGACGTATGCATTGTATGCCCTGAAGTCGAGTGTCGACGCCCTGTCTCCATTAAATAAGTGAATGGAGGGGGGCAAAGTGCCGAGAAGCGTCCAGACTAAAGGCATGGCAGATGTAGTTATTAACTGGGAAGAATCTTTCTTTTTCATTTGTTTGGTGAACACAGTGAACAGTACCCTAGGTCAGACCGTTGGGTTCGATTCGAAGCCAGTATCAAAATTGCACTGCCAACCCTGTCTGCCTTGCCGCATATCATGCATATGTGGCTTTGTAATTGTCACCCAATGGCTATACAAATCACAATGTGGCGTCTTCAGCGCTGCACCATTGGGCAAGATCTTGAACTTTCATGCACATTAATGATGCCCGACAGGCTTGGGCACGAATTGCCACTGCAATCGGGCGCACTCCTGTGAGTAGAGACTAGCCAATTACTGAATCTTCTATTGTCAATTTCCGAGCCTTCTGTTTCCTCCAATTTGCAAACCTTGATATCCCGTCTGTTGCATCTAGGCGCGTGTCAGTTCGTCCATGTCTTTTGATTCTCTACCATTGATGTTATCCTAGTTCTCGTCTGGGACAAATCCGGCTCTAAATGTTAAGTTATGGACTATTCGAGCATTATTTCCAAGCCTAAGTCATTCTTTGGTAAGCAAAAGGTCTGGATGGCTCGTGGCGAGGACCTTGCAATATTCAACACGTATCGATCCAATATCCAGAACCTTCTTAGACATTCCTGTATTCCAGAGTCCAGTCACAACCTTTGGATTGGCCTTTACCGAGTTGGAACTACGGAGGACGAAGCTAGAACATTTGTTGTGGTGTCGTGCAGCGATCGCAGGATCCGGAAGCTTACCCGCGATATCCTAAGCAGCTACCCCATCTTCCAACCAGGTGAAGCACTCGGCAGGTTCAAAGTTATCAGCAAAGCGACACTCCCAGAGACAGCTTGCGAGCCTCAACAGACCATGCAGGATAACGGCGACACACCGTTTGAAACGAGATTACTGGGTGAGGGCGACTACAAGAAACCTAAGACGACAATTCGCATCTACCCATCTAGCACAGGCGACAATTATCTTTGTCGCCAAGTTCAAGCATTCCAGAAATCTGAAGGTGGAGACCTAGACTTAAGGTGTCAAACAGCCACGGCGGGACCCTTGCTTTGGCTCGATGGCGTTACTTACCAGCTTACTGTCGCACACGTTGTCGACTTCAAGAAAAAGGAAATTGATGACGACCCCGAAAGTCCTGATGATGATGTTCGCGACTGGGACGAAGAAGATGACGATGACAGTGTCAGCGAGTGTTCTTTGGATGAAGCTGTTGCTTCCTGGAACATCTCCGCGCGGTACAACACAACTCCAAGGGCTTCCAACAATGAGAGCACCGACGACGATATGTCCGATTCCATATCCAGTGGATCAGGCCAAGAAGATACTATCCAACAAGACGAGGGCAATATCGCCGCCAGAGTCAAACAAACACCCATCAATAAAGAACCCACGGGCATACCAGTCCAGCTCCATTCTCCACCAGCCATGGCTCTCTCAGAACAGCCAGTCCTTGAAAATTTCATTGTCGAAGAGCATTCCTTGCCTCGGAATCGCCTTTCAATTACAAGCTGCCCAATCTCCTCGGAAATGGACTATCTTCTTATTCCTACAAGGTGTGATCTCCAGAAGCAGGCCGCATACGGTGCAGAGACAGTTCAAATATCTGATGCCTTTGACGTACAAGAGAGGATCGATACTCGCCCTATTATCATCGCCACAGCAGCACTCGGGTATATCGACGGCCTGGTGTTCCCAGCCGCGTCATTCCTGCGGTCTCCGGGTTCAAAGGATTTTCAAACATTATTTTGCATCCAGTCAAGCGAGACTTTGCCCAGAGGTTCTTCGGGCTCCGCTGTGTTTGATAAGGGGTCTGGCCTTCTCGCCGGGCATATTGTGCTCGGATGTCCTGGCAAGAATATCTGGTACATGGTTCCTATTTTGAAGGTGTTGAAAGACCTCGAGGTCCATCTTTGCCTGAAAGCCAATTGTCAAATACAGATTGAGCCGACTGCAACGAAGAAATGGGGGGATTCCTTTGAGACAATAGGAGACACCCAATGTAGGATCCCTAGATTCCTGCCCGATATCTTTATGTTAAATTCCCCCGATGATCATCAGAAAGTGGTCTCAGAACTAAGCAAGAATAATCAACCTGTGTCAAGCACCTTTATGGGGTTTCAGACCGTAATGCCAGCCGGCCTGAATCAATGGAAAAGTCAGTTTAGCCATCAGGGCAGTTCACCGACAAGCGATAGACTGTTCCTTGACACTTTCAGAGACTTAAGGGATACCTTTTTAGAGCCTATGATTTGTATGCTTCCTGGAGGGCCTCATGACGAACGTCGGAGGACGATAGGGAAGTACAAAAGAAACGTGCCGCAGCCTCAAGCATGGATGTTAGAAATATTCGAACCTTTCATAAAAGGGAAAGAGGCGCTTGATGGACCTGGGCTCTTAGAACTACTAAGGCGAAAGGTATGAATTAGGCTACAAGACGACAAGTACCTCTATAGCTGTCAGCTAACATAACCTCACTAGAACCTGTTGCACGCCAGACCCGATAGTCAAACCTATACACCTCAGTGTCTGTAAGTCTCATTAAAGCTACGTGGCTATTGGTATCAAGACTAATTGAGACATAGCTACATCAAAAACATTGATCCCAGCACAGCAATGGCACTTTACAAGGCTACATCTTGGCGACCAATGAAGGGATGTCGGGAACTCTTCTCGGCCAACGCCTCCAGCGAACCAAGTCCGGTAATAGATATTTTACAAGACGTAAGTGATAAATAATTATCTTTTAAAGGGAAGCTCAAGGTATAACATGATGCACTCATAGGTTTGGCATGGGACCGCTTGCTTCAATATTACAGTCAATTTGCCATTTTTGTTCATCACAACTCAGAATGAGTTATTCAAGAGATCCACTGCTGGAGGCTCTGATGTCCGAACTCGCTTTGACCTTTCCTTCCTTCAGATACCGTCGCAGTCTTGCGATACACATGACGAAGCCATAACTTTCCAGACAGAGAAGAGCTATCTGCTCCTGGCTACGTGGTCCACTATAGTGATCGGCACAAGTGAAAGATATTGGACATCGGTGTGCCTGGATGATCGCTTTGGCGAGCAACTAACCGCCGATGATGGTTTGGAGGATCTAAAAATACCACTTGGCACACTTGAAAGCCAAGCAGCAAATTCCAAGAGAACTATGTCGCCGAGAGCATATGCTCTCAAAGTATTGGCAATACAATTAGAGAAGGTTGCTATATACCACCAGCAAATCATATCAGCTCTGAAATTCAACTTCAACATATTTGTAAGGTTCCGCCATATTCCACAACTCTATGGCAGCTGTGTAGCTGACTTTCCTTCCCAGGAGGAAAAGGTAAATGGTCCAAATGCCAATGGGCTCCACCACCACGACGCATGGAGAAGCCAGTTCCGCCACTGTGCCTCACAAGTCTCGCACATCAACTCAAAGCTTGTAACGACAGTTGAAAGCTTTCTGCTCAAGGAACTACAGGCCTCTCCAGGTGATACATCGGGTCATCCTCTATGGGAAGGTTTCCGTCAAGAGCCTGGTGCAGTTGAGTCATCACAGCGGATTCAAAACTCCCTTAATATGCTTCGCAATACACAGAGTCAACTTCTTAGCATGAATGCTAGAATAGATGTAAGGCCGACCTAATCGACTCCCCATACACCTGCGCACTGCTCAAGACTAATTTGGAGATATAGAAAGCCGGACACTCACATAACTCCACCGAAGTTAGTAGAGTTCATCAACTATCTCTAGCAGCGTCTGGAAGTGTAGATACCCCGCTAATCTGAAGGAATGAACTAAAGACTTTAGATTGTGGGAACGGTTGCTCTTCTTTTCCATGTCTTTGGGGGCTAGCTGCCGTACATCATTCCATGAATTTCTTACTATGTAAATTATATGAATTCTTTAGAACCCTCGATTACGCTCTTTTTCCACTGTTATCAGGTGGTATTCTTTCAAGTAACTTTCTCCAAGGTCCTCCGCTTGATTTTAAATGAACACAGACTTCTATGGCCCTCCATGCAGCTGTCCTTTACGACAAGCAAAATATTGTTGAGCAGCTGCTTCGGCTTGGTGCCAACGTCAATCCCGAAGGTGAATTTCACAACACAGCTCTTCTTGGACGCTTATCATCAACCGCGAGATTCTCAATTCTCCGTTTGCCTCAATCAATACTTCCGCGTGAACCGGGGGCAACTCATCAGCAAACTTGAATTTTTATGTATATTAGTAGTGAAAAGTATCTACGTTCCGCCGCTGTAGAGATCTCTGGACCCCAGTCACGGTCGTCAGTTTAAGTTTTGTAATCCCAAGATACACTTTACCAGCATGAGTCATCAGGGCAGTCTGAAGTCTATCAAATACGGCCAGTCTGCCTTTTGAATCTCCCCATCATGCTCCCTGATACCGCCATCACACAGTTTTAACGCTGGAAAAGACATGTCGCCAAAACAACCATCTTCAGATGAGCATTATAATGCACCATGTGAAACCCGACATGGTGTCGAAGCGATTATAGACACAACTGTGGAGCTTTTACCCCACGAGATCCTGCATCACCTCCGCGGTTTCCTGGAACAAAACCATCGATTAGCTATACACACTCAGCATTACAACTCGTTCGACGTAAAGGAGATTCGAGACCTTGACAAGAATCAGGCCTTGAGATTCAGGAACAAGACAGTTCTCATTTACGTCCTCAAGGGTGGTGGTATCGGAGGACTATGGGAGCTGGTTCTACACAACTATCTCTATCGGCGATGGTTTCAACCCTATCTCTCGGATATCGATCATGGCGAATGTATTGCTATGGTAATGAAGCCCATTGATCGGCCTCGAACATCCAATGATGATGATGCCGTCAGTCATGTTCTAGACGTGCACTCCACGATCAACCGTCGGCTTGACTCGATCGAACACGAAACACCGCCATTTTATACCACTCGTCCCCTTTTCAGGGCTTTCTTCATAGCCATACCAGGTTAGAATTGGGGTGGCTGCGCTGCTCTAGAGAATATCGCGTCTTTGAAAGTCCTAATTGTCCTCACTGGAGAGACAAAAGGACTCAGCGCACCGATTTCTTTAGCCTCTATCGCAGACAAATCTAAAGCTAGGACTTTGAATGGTCTGGAAGCCGTTGAAACCAACCTCGAGACAGCCGTCGACTTTGTAATGTAACTGGAACATCGGGAAGAAGATGTTTTCGGTCTTCAACCTGATCCAGTGGCTGCATCGAGAGGCATATGCCCCTTTACTCAGGAGCCGTTACACGAGTGGGTGCAGCATAGGGCTGGGAGACTGGGATGGAAAGGTGGAAAGATTGTTGGGCCAAGTTCGCGGTGGGTGGACATGAATATGTACATAGCTTGGACTGGGTTTGGAGCGCAGGTTGATGCGGTCATGATGAATAACCAGGAGAGGGTCATGTGGAACTGACATCGACGGAATTGTAGGTGTGATAAGGAATGGGTGTTTGTTGATGAAGATACATCTCAGGATAAAAGCAGAGTCAGTAGGGAGTAGTAGACATACAGATAAATCCAAAGATTTAAAGAATCAAACCTCTTATAACCGAAGAGTTCTGGCAGCTCTATCTATCAGCAATAGAAAAGCGCCAGCCTAAGACCTGGTTATAGCGAAAGATAGCACAAACCATTCAAACTTGTTAGAGGTCCACCAAACGAGGTAAAAATGCTTGACAGAGGTCTCTGAGAGAAGGCATCGGCGAGCGGCGGGCCGCGGCGCTTTTAGCAGGATTTTGCCGAGTACTACGGGGGTTACTTCCTCAACTAGTTAGCTCAGATTTGAAGCGCTGCCAAATCGATTACACAACTACACCATAGAAGGAAGCCCAATTCAAGGAATAAATATAGATCGTACAAGCGCGAGAAGAGTATACAGGACAGGGCCTTTTTCTTAATTTTTAAGAGATTTATTTTATTTTTGTTAAGATTAAAACTTCGACTCTCCTTAAATCATGACCTCGATGTTTGCGTTACGTACTAAAAAACTGCATTGGCGACATCATCGTCTTCCTAGCTGGGACTTTCTATAGAGATGCATACACTTGGCGATGGCGATATGCTTGGCAATCCGATTAAGCTCAGAAACACAAATAGTGAGCAGATTGCAGCTAATTTCGAACATCAGCCTGGCCTTCTATTGGCCGAGACATCAAAAACTAAGACGTAATTTTTTTCTTTACTCCGGAGGTCCACTGCATCCACTGCCTGCACTAAGAGAAACAAGCTTCGGCGGGATCCCCTTTCTTCTCACTTTAATTTTTATTTTTACTGCTGTCTCTGGATCTCTCTCTTGATTTCTTACGATCAAAATCTTATTGTCGTCGCCTGAGAAAACAGCGAAAAAAAATGACGACGGCACGCATTGAAGTGGACCGATCGAGTGGAGACAAAGATGCAGCTTTCTGGTCCGCACAAGAGGATGGCTCTGAGACGAAGCCTTACGGTAACGTAGCCACAGCCCAACAAGAAGCTGCTCGACAAAAAGATATTGAGTTTCGCCAGAAGTTTGGTGACGCTGGTCCCCTTGGTCTCTCTGGGTTTGCCTTCGCGACGTTTTTAACAGCCTTGGTCAATCTCAATGTTCACGGCGTGACTATTCCCAATATTGTCATTGGACCAGCTCTGGCTTATGGAGGCCTGGCTCAATTACTTTCTGGCATGTGGTGAGTAGTTGTTTATTTCAAACTGCATGTTCGCAAGTGGATTCTCATACTGCGATTAGGGACATCGCCAATGGCAATACAGTCAGCGCCACTATTGCCTGCTCGTATGGCTGTTTCTGGATCTCCTTTGCCATTAGCATGATCCCCAGTTTCAACGTCAGGGATGCGTATCCCAGTCTTGCCGACTACAACCACGCCAACGGACTATTTCTCATGGTAGGTCGCTACTATACACTTCTACTCTGAGAGTAATCCAACATTCACATTCTGTAGGGATTCTTCATCTTCTCAGTGGCCATTACACTGTGCTCTATGAAGTCAAATGTCTTTTCTCTGACGCTTTGCCTTCTTGTGAATTGCACCTGGCTATTCCTCGGGGTGGCTAACCTCTGGACTGAAGAGTCGGGAGCTCCTAATAACGTGCTTCTCAAGTGCGGCGGCGTTACTGGCTTGCTGGTTTCTTTCACAGCGTGGTATCTTATGTATGAAGGTTTGGCAAATAGACAGAATAGGTAAGTATACCCATGAGTATGTGAGGATTGTACTGACACGTCGGGTTAGCTTTGTTTTGCCACCGAATCCTGATCTTCCGTGGAATCCAAGCCGAAGATCCCATGGTTCTCACATAAATTAGTGGTTGATTCCAAGATTAGCAAATAGAATAGCAATCATTTCAGTGTTTACGGCAAGGCCCTGGCCACGCCCGGAATTGTGCTCCCTTGTGCAGTAAGCGGTAGTGAGAGATGGGCTGAATTTTCAAGGTCATAATCACCGACTTCGGCGATTCTGCCGGTATACTACTGACCTGTACGTCGAAAAGGCTCCAAAGATACACATGGCAGGGCCCTATTTCGATTAGTCCTCAAGCCACGAATCTTAACAGCAATTTATAGTAGTCCAGATCAAGTGCCAGTCTCTGCAGCAATCATCAATAGAAATAACTAACAGGTCTTAAAACACGGAAAGATTGTGAAATAAATACCAAGATGCTTGACAGGGGTCTCGATCTGTGTTGATCCCGTGAAGCATCAGTGCCTGAATCTGATAAGATGACTCGGAAGTGGAGTTCACTCTGTATAAGAATCCTAGGAGAGAAAATATATAATCTCTAATTAAAGTAATATAAATGCCTAAGTAAATCTAGTATATCCTATCCTGACTTTAGAGTAGATTATTTTAACATTCGAGCTCAACATCAAAACAGCAAGGTAGGTCAGCAACAGAACAACTGTCGATTACCCTGTAAAGTGAGATCTCAATGAGAAGGAATGGTAGCTGATAAGCTGATCTTCGATCTTGCACTCTGATTGGCTTAACTATGCTACTTGAGTGGGCCAGCGTCGGATCTCGAGCCAATAGATAAGGTTCGATTAGTGGTGTACCGGCTGAGTCTTATCCCAAAGCGGAAAGCAGCGCGTTGAGGCTCGGATTCGCATTGATCTGGCGGGAATAGTATCAGAATTCGTAGAAATAAGCATAGACTCAAGAACTCGACTTTGCTGACATTCGTCATTGACTATGGAACTTATAGTATAAAAGACTCCCGAGAGCCAGAAAATGGTCCGAGTAAGAAACAGTAAATCTCTCCGTTCAATTATATCTTGATCCAACTTCAGTCATTTTTTTCGACAATGGAACTGTCCAACAAAGCCGCCTACCTTCTCAGCCCTAACAGTCCCCTGATTGAGGTCAAATCTGCACCTGTTCCACAACCTGGACCAAATGAACTACTTATCAGAACAGAAGCTGTTGCTATCAACCCAGTCGATGCTGTCAAACAGTCCATGGGCAACATGATGTTTGAGTGGCTGACATATCCTCTCATTCTCGGTTACGATGTGGTCGGCAAAGTTGTCAAAGCTGGTACCGACGTTACTCAATTCAAAGCGGGTGATAGGATCGTGGGGCTGGCAGCTGGTATGGATAAGCGCGGACGAAGACCTGATGAAGGCGCTTTCCAACAGCTTGTCGTCATCAGAGAGCATTTGGCTGTAAAAGTCCCTGCTGGTATGAAGAGCGCTGATGCGAGCGTCTTGCCTCTTACTGCTGTCACCGCTGCGTGTACGCTCTTCCAAAAGGATCAACTCGCGCTTCGAATGCCTCAGACCAAGGGCCATCGCAAACCCACTGGTGAGACAGTCCTGATTTGGGGAGCTGGCACGAGTGTTGGGAAGAATGCAGTACAACTTGCTGTGGCGGCTGGCTACGATGTTGTTGCTACGGCATCACCCAAGAATTGGGATACTATTCGCGGGCTCGGCGCATCTTCAGTATTCGACTATCGGAGTTCATCGGCCATAGACGATGTAGTGGCAAGTCTGAAGGACAGAAAGTGTGCAGGTGCTGTAGCCATCGGGCAAGGATCCCTGGCAAAATGCGTCGACATCATCAAAACAATACCTGGCGCTGAGAAGAAAGTTGCCCAAGTCAGCCTTGATATGCCAGCCTCGCCACCAACAAGCAAGCTATCCATGGTTCCTTTCGTCGCAAAGTATCTCTGGCTGTCTTCAACAAACAGACTGAAGGTCCTGAGCAGCGGAGTGCAAAGCAAGTTCGTTTTTGGGACGGACATTATGGAGTGGGATGTCGGGGGAAAGATTGCCTCCTTCCTAAGTGAAGCACTAGAGTTTGGGGAGTATGCTCTGCCTTCAGAAGCTCACACTGTAGGCTCTGGTCTGGAAAGCATTTCTGAGGCCCTGAAGGAGGTGCGAAATGAGACGTCTGGAAAGAAAATTGTAGTTGTATTAGAATAAAGCAACTCTGTCTTTTATATATTTGCTATTTCAGAGAATCTTGAGTATAATGTTTTAAAAGAAAATCAAAACCTATATATATTCACTTGGCTTATTGTGTTTAACAAAAGTTTTACGGAAACGTTATACACCTTGAGGAGGCCAGTATCGACGGCCTCACTGTCTAATTCTCCGAGTCCAATGACAATGCCTTGAAAAGGGGTCGCCCTAGCGAAGTATCACAAAGATTGAATAGTAGATCAGCACGTAGATACAGATCCCTAGGCACTCGGGGATACTGATATTTCAATTGCGCCTACGTCTGGGATTAGCGGTCAATCCTACGCTTACTCCAGCTCATCAGAGGGCCAGGGGGGCGGCTCTCCGGGAACTTGTTTCGGCCAAGGGCCCGGAGCCTCGTCACTAAGTCTGACGCCTTCAATCTCATCAACTATGATAGCCTGTTCGACGAGTTTTCCCGGTCTGATGGTAGATCAACGTTACGCGTTCCCTGCTAGCAGATTAGGGATTTTGGATTTATCGGGAAATCCTCGGCTCAGATCAACCAGACTCTGCATATCTGAACTTAACTGGGAATTCAACTTAACCGAGGTAAAGTCTCAGAAACCTTATTTAATTGCGCACTTTCATGCGAATTAGCTGGCCGTCACAAGATTTCCACAAGCTTACAAGGCCCGCAATATGAATGTGGCCAGCGTGATTGCTCCAGCAGCGGCCGAGCCAAGAATACCAGCTGTAGTGCTCTCAACTTCTCCCCGACTGAACCCATAAACCACCGCGCAAATATCCAGTGAATCAGCCAAGAGACCAACCAACAGCGCCCGTCGAATGCTCCTGAGTACGATGTCAGTATCGAGTGTTCTCAGAGACACGTCCATTGAGAGGTCTAGCTTACTTTATGCCTCCATCCTTCGCCTCCTTGTCCTCAGCTGTCAACAAGAGTCCGCCATTAATGACCTCTCGGTGTCCCATCATGCGCACAAGAAGTTTGTAGGGCTCCGAAACATGGTACCCGTGGGATGCGCAGGTGAGCTGTGGTGCGAAGAAACTGGCGGCCCCAATTCCAATGCGAACAATTGCGAGAGCCTTGGTACAGGTTAAGAGAATTGGGGGCAAAGGTAAGTGACTGTTAACTTGAGAAGCCATTCCGAGTGTGTTGGTTCGTCGAAAAGTGATGCTGATGATTTTGTAAAATGTGGAAAATAAACAATTAAGTCAGTCTGTGCGCAACAACAAAACTGATTTTCTTTCACTTTTAGAGATTGTGTTCAATAAGCAAACCGACCAGATAAGCAAGCCACCTTGAGATTTATAATAACATTTATTAAGTACTATAAAAGCTTATATTAAAGGTTGAATTACTATACTATTATTTATTAGTTAACTCTATAGCCTATAGCTTAACCTTATAGATAGTAGTTAACTATATATTTTATCTACTCTAGGGTGGCATGCTTAAGCTTTTAAGTATCAGACACGAGAAACATCTATCTGACTGCTTCTTATCCATGGACTTTCCATGGGGTCTATAGGGAAACAATTTTCAAACTTTAGGACCGGAACCTTGCGAGGGAAGGTAATTGGCTGGGATCATCAGTTGGGGGCCCTTGCGTACGTTATATGGATCTCCATACGCGTCACTCGGCAGTTGGGATTTGGTGATTATGATATATATAGACCCTGTGGATCTGCCGAGGCTAAATGGTGAGTTTCAATGGGATGGAGCCATGATCTGCACTGCACCGCACTGACATTACAGTCGTTTCGGTAGAGTAATTGACCACGCAGTACGGAGTACCCTTTATTATGCTCGACATTCATTTGCCAAGATCACCCGAGAGTCCGACGACCGGGATTCGGCTTTCAGAAGCATCCGTGGTAGTATTGGGGACAATCTTGCAGCAGTCGGAAAAAATATAAAGATTCAAAGCGGACTGCGAGACTGGTACCAACGCAACTCTATCGTCTAATTTTATCTCGATCTACAGTATGAAACGAACACCGGAGCGGACAGTGATAATTGCTGGAGGAGGTATATCTGGCCTCTCTCTCGCCAACATGTTAGAGAAGGCCGGCATACGCTACGTTTTGCTGGAGTCTCACGACGAAATCGCACCTCAGGTCGGCGCAAGTATTGGTCTTCAACCAAGCGGACTTCGAATCCTTGATCAGCTTGGTTGCGCCGATGATCTCATGTCATTGGTCGACATCCCACTAAACAATACATACATACGATACCCCGATGGTTCACTGATAAGGCATCATAGCAATGTCCAAGGTCATTTGATTGAGAGGTAAGTCAGAGAAAGAGTGCCAGTAAGAATTCTAATCTTTACATTCAACAGACACGGCTATCCCACTATATTTATTGACAGACAGATGCTGATGCAGGTTCTGTACGATAAGCTCGAATCAAAAACCTCAGTACATGCTGGTCAGAAAGTTGTTTCAGTTCTGGAGCTAGACAACGGCATCCAAGTTACGACAGATAAAGGCAAGGTTTTCCAAGGAGACATTCTAGTCGGAGCCGATGGGATCTACAGCACGGTCCGCAAGGAAATGTGGCGCATTGCGTCGCCTGAATACTTTCCTGCTGACGAGTGGTCAAGAGTGCCGTGCTATTACAAGTGCATCTTTGGCATCTCTCGCCCCATTAAGGAGCTTACGCAAGGCAGTCACTACATCTACAACGAAAATTTCTCTTATCTAGTTTTGGTCGGGCCTGGGGGGAAGTTCTACTGGTTCCTGTTTGCCAAACTGCCGGCTCCTCTGTACGGCCGTGATATTCCGAGGTATACCAAGGTCGACGAAGAGAAGTTGGCTCTACAACATGCATTCGATCAGATCACTCCCGAAGTTACCTTCGGTCAACTATATGGAGCTAGAACGAGCTCTACCCTAACACCACTACATGAGTATGTATTCGAAAAGTGGCACTATAACCGCATCATTACCATCGGCGATGCAGCTCACAAGGTATCAGGTTTTTTCCACTATTTGTCCCCTGTTGCTAATCTTTACCATATAGTTTGAGCCATTGACTGGTCAAGGCGGTAACTGTGCTATTGACACTGCAGCGTCTCTTGTGAACCACCTCACTTCAGAAGAGTGCACGGACTGGAGCAATGCACAAATCGAAGCTGCCTTTTCCGCCGTCCAAGACAAACGTTTGCAGAGGGTCCAATGGCTCGTGGACGACGCCCACAAGATCCAGCAAATGCAGGCTATGGCAACACCATTCCTAGCGACCATCGGTCCAATCTTGGCTCGTCTATCAAGCACGCAAACTGTACTTGAACTAGGTGCACGCAAAGTCATTGGTGCAACGCGAATAAATAGCATTGCTGTACCTCAACGACAACATACGGTGGCTTTCAATGATGAGCTACCTTCTCAGCCTCTTCCTTGGAGCTGGCTTCCTATTGGCCTAGGAGCAATTAGCCAGGCAGCGATATTCCGACTCGCGACACAAATTCTTGGACCATTGGAGATTCCTACTACTTTCGGCGGCGAGCCTATGGTGAAGCATTACACAGAGCTTATAACCTTGGATAAGATCTTGTCACACTTGGTTGCTGTTTTTGGAGTTCCTCTTGCTTCGGGTAACGTGGCGGCAAACCTGCAGTGGATTTCTTTCACGCCGCTGTTGCTGTCAACTACCCTTGACTGGACTTTGGAGAGCTACCGAGTTGGGTCAAAAGGTCTCCTGTCTTCCTTGTAAGTCATGCATCAACGACAAGTATTGACAATCAGGAGCTGACCGGAGTGTGATTTAGTTCGTCGATCTTCAGCACCATTTACCAATTGAAGGCGGTCGGACGTATCGCACCTCTATATCACTTGATTGCAGTATGCGAGAGTATTTTCGGGGGATCTGTGGCTCCCATAACGGACCGTCATATCGACAAGGAAGTGGTGGAAGCTTTCGTGCCCGGCATCACCCTTGGATACATCGTTCCCACTGCGCTGATGCTCTGGCCCTTTAAGAACAAGGCAACTTGGCAGAAGTTTACTGCACTTTGGCAGCCATTTCCCGTTTACGTTGGTCTTATGACTGCTGGTCTATCGACCTTGGTGCGCGGACAGAAGGTCAGAGACACGTTTCAATACAAACCCTTGAAAGAGAGCCAAGGCCCCAGGAAGCGAAAGGCCGAAACTCACTCCCTATTGAGATCTGTATACATGGTCGGAACCGCAGCTACAGCACTTGTCCATATATACACTCTCTACCGCACAGCATCGAGTCCAAGCCTCAGCTTTTCTGGTGTTTTCGGCAGTATCAGATACATAGTGTCTGGTGCATCCCCATCTGATCCATCAGACAGGATCCATGTGTTCTTACAGCGCGACATGTTCTTGAATGCTCTTTCTGTTCTTGCCAATAGTTTCTATCGGACTCTTACTCTACGACGCTTAGGCTACATCACTAATAAGGAAGCTTTGACGGCTTCTTTAGCAGCATTAGTCGCGCAACCAGTGCTTGGACCGGCTGCAACTCACATTGCGTTTCTTGGGTGGAGAGAGGAGATTTTTATGAAAATCGGGAGACGGATTGGCGATTGCAATTAAAGAGAGAGGCTTTTCTACATGTAGAATTTTTCTTTGTCACTTTGAATTATGGTTTTGAGCTTTCCAGCAGGGGCTAATTGTTCATTGTTTCTTCATCATGCAATGTGATGATAGGCTGTGATTCATTCCAATCGTATGTATCTACTTATCCAAGTGCTAATAATCTCATCGTTTCGTATTGATCAAGTAGTGAAGGGGTTGAAGTCAACGCCAAGACGGTCAGCTTCAGCCTTCAACTTCTTGTTCTTCCTGGTCAAGTGCCACTTGATGATAGACGCAAGAGTAATACCAAGACTGGCAAATACGATCTGCAAGATCATGGCCATGGTATATCGAGGTTGATCTCTATCGGGAAAGAAGTAAGGAGAGATGACATTGCCAAGATGGCCAAAGATGTTGACAATGGCACCACCAGCGGCACGCTTCTCGGGAGTCTGACCAAGGGTTGAGACAGCCCATGTGTATTGTAGGGTGTTTGCAGAGAAGCAACCAGCTGCATAGAGGAAGGTCATAGCATATCGAACAGCCGCATTGCCAGTGGCGACGGTAACGATGAAACCAATGACGGAGAAGGAGAGGGGAATGATGATGTGAAGACCTCGGTCCTTTCTGCGATCAGAGTCCCATGACACATAGAAAGTGCAGAGAGTTCCAAAGACGTAAGGAGGTGCAGTCATCAGTAGAGCGGTGACACTCTTGCCGAAGCCTGTTCATCGTTAGTTACTTCCAAGTGATAATTAGAGGATGCAACATACCAAGACCTCTGACAATGGTGGGGAAGAAGTTGTTGAAGCCATATGACGAAGTGATAAAGATGTTCATGAACAAGAACATGTAAAGCTTGAGATCGGTAACAGCAAGCTTGAGTCCATGCATGACGGTCGACTTTTCAGAGAACTCAACCCTGTCGTCGAGAATTCGCGCAGCAGCAAGCTTTCGCATATCCTCAGTCATGTATCGCGTAGCACCACCGGTAGGAGAGTCGGGGTAGTTGGGCAGGACAAAGAAGGCAGTGATGGCGAAGAAACCACTGGCAGCACCTTCGATGATGAAGAGCCACTTCCAGCCAGCGAGACCCATGGGGCCATCAAGACCGGCAAAGACACCGGCGGCGATGAGGCCTGAGAAGGCTTGGGCGAGGACTAGACCGGAGTATAGGAGGGCAACGCGGAGGGCAAATTCTCGACGGGTGTACCAGCAGGACATGAGGAAGACGGCCTTGGAGATGTTAGTGGGTGATTGGGAGTGTTGGATGGGAGGGGACGTACACCGGGGAAGAGAGGGGCTTCGACGATACCAAGGACGAACTGGACGCCCCAGAGACCACCAGCGCTGGTGCAAAGAACGGTCAATGCTGAGATGGCAGACCAGATGAATGCAGCGACAGGCAAAAAGATGGAAGGTCGGACACGAGTGATCAACATGTTGGACGGCAGCTGAGCAAGCATGTATCCCACAGTCAAAACCGCAACAGCAGTCTATCAAGTTAGCACCACTCATCTAAGATCACCACTCTCGTATGACATACCTGATAATCTCCCTCTCCCAGGTTGAGATCCTCATTGAACGTGTTCAAA